TTGAGTTGTGAGAAGCAGCCCAATGCTTACACCCTTCACTACCTGGTACGGGACTTGGAGGTACTGGTAACCAAGAAGGAAAAGAAGGAAACAGAAAAGGAAGGTGAAAAAGTGTAACAAAACTCAACCTTCTTGCTATTGAACCCTCTTCTTTGCTATCAATACCCCTCATCCACTTTGGGACTTTGGCTTCTCAACTTTGTTTTGGCAAGCCAACCTCCATTTCGCCTCCCAGCCACTTGCCAAATGCCTCAACATTTGAGTGTCTTCCTCTTCCAAGATCTGTTCCATCATATTCTGTTCTTCTTGTCACTATCTGTATCTGTCTTCCATACAATATATTTGCTTGCTCCTCCTCATTTATTTGTATACAATTCTTTCCTATTTGTATACATAGTATTGGTGTGCCCTGACACCACCTGTATTTGATAGCTTTTGTGATGTAACAAAGGCTCAGTGGGAGGAGACTTCTTGTCATCAGGTCTTGATTGCCTCTCCTTTTACCACATTACTTCCCTCTCCAACCATTGCACAGCTACCACCAATAAGTTCATCAGGTCAAACCCATGAACTACACTATCTGGCCATATATTGTAATTTATATTGACCATAGTCCAAGTTTTGTCATCAAAGCTGCACTCTCTCAATACAAGCACTTACAATAAGAAAAGGCAATCAACAAACCAAAATTTAGAGAAAAAAGAAAAAAAAAACCCCCACAAGTCAATTTGTACAGATCTATGCCAGAGGTAGAGCAAGTAGCAGGGAAAACCCACCAGTGGGAAAACCTTATGCCGTTGTTGACTTTGCAATGAATTGATGAGGAGGAAATGGCTGATGGGGATAGGGAACAACAGAAGAGTAGTGGATCATCCTTTATGATGTGATCAGGAAAGGTCTAGATTGATCATGCCGGGGGCCCAAAGGTCTGGATTGATCATCACTATGTGCCCTGGCACACACGAAACCGGGCTTTCAGACATTAGGGGAAATCAATTTGGCATTCAAGACCGCCTTAAACCGTTTTGCTCCCTTAAGGTGGTCAGGACTCAGGGACATGTAGATCCTACCCTGAGCAGGGTCCATTTTTGCATCTTGACAGCTCCAAATCAGACCTTCCCGATGAGGCAATTTTGCCGGTTTAAGACCACCAAGTTTGACAGAAAAATGCAATGGCAGTGTTGACATTTTCTCTTCTCTATCCATTGCAAAATCACCCCTTCCACTCCCCTTTCAGCAAACACCAACAACATTTATCCACTCTCAACATGCCAACCCATGCTGCTAACTTGACTGACCATGTCCAAATACTTGGTGGATGCATAGATCAGTGACTGAGATACAATTTGTAATGGCTTTCCTAATCCCAACGCGTCAAATAGGAAGGTGCCCTGAGCTTGTAATACTAGGGGAATTCAATAGGATGTAGGTGTGTGTCAATCATTGGAGACAAGAGGGGAAGTGGTAGGAGAGAATAGAGGGCAAGAGCAAAAGAAATACATTCAACATCACTGTTGGACATGGCCAACATGTTTGAGACAGACGGGATCTAATTGGGTTCAGACCTCTGCAGGGCCAGCCACGTGCTTGTCCCTGTGGCCCTGAGGTTGCCAGTTTGAGACTGCAAGTTTAAAAAGCCAAACTGAATTCCCCTATTGTTTTGCAACTTGCGGATGTCTGAATTTACATGTGACACTCTTTCACTTTTGAATGTTGGAAGACCTCAATCAGATGTTCACATAAGTATGTTTCAAATATTAAAAATCACCGCTGATGATTTATAATCTTGGACAATATTTGCTTCTGTCAGGCGTTTTTGGCTGGCAGCAAAAACATTGCGGACAAAAAAAAAAAAAATGCGGGTTTCAGGCCATGCTGATTTTGAAAAATCACCAGACATGTTTTTTGCCAGGAACACAACATGCATACCGTGTGCATGCCACATGTCTACCACATAGTCGCCCTTTCTGTCATTGATTTCTTGCCCCCACATGTAGGCATGCTGCACCTGCCTATGCAACTTTTGCACTTCATCCGTAGTTTTGTCAAATCTACATCCAGAAGCCCCATAAATCTGTTTGCTCATACTGCCATGCCTGCTCCTCCATCCACATTCCCTGCAACAGCCAACAAATCAAAGAAGAAGACAGGCAGTGATGATGAGGAAGGCTCATCCAACTGGATGTGGAAGCACAACAAGAAGAACATGAAGGGTAGAAGGTATGAAGTGAGGTTCCAGATGCAACAAGAGGAATGTGAGTGGACAAGGAAGAGGGATGAATGTAAGAGGTGTTGTTTCTCTTCACTACTAGTCGGCGGCGGAGGGGCAAACGGCAATAGTCACAGCTATGGGCTGACTGGATGGGAGATCGGCAAAGAGAGCAGCAGCAGAGAACGGCGAGTTTCGGACGGGGCGGCATAACCTGAAGTGAACAGGACGCCAATACATGTACTTGTCACGCGGACAAAAAAGAGGTGGTGACTCTAGCTATTACTAACGCACACACAGACGCCTAGGCTTTACAGCAATGGGGCAAAGAACGGGGAACGACGACGGGCAAAGAAAGAGAAGCCATGTTGATGTTCCACCAAGTCCTTGTCTGCAAGTGCAGCGAGCTCTGCAAAACTCTAAATTGACATGGCAATACACATTACATAAACACAAACGGAAGTGCTTCTCATTTGTCTAAGTTCTTTCTGCTCTTCATCCCACAGCTTTATCAGGTTGCCTCCTGCATGCATGCATAGCAGGAGTGCTTCTCATTTGCTGAGTCCAAGCACACAAACACAACAGGCTCAAACACAACAGGCTGCCTTCCACTCATGCTTACTCACATGCAGTCCAACAGTCAAGCAGTAGAGTTGCAGCCAAAAGGGTCGACGGGTTGTATGTCAAGAAGGGTATGAGCCAAGCCTCTTACAATATAAAGAAGATGGAATAATGGAACGGTGATTGAAGGAAGAGGAGCGTCCTCCAGGGGTTGAGATGGTTACAGTGGTTGGAAAGAAAGGGAGACAGTGGAGTTTTGAAGTGGGAAGAGAGGATTTGTGTTCCGGAAGATGAGGGTTTGTGAGAGGAGTGTTTGAAGGAGTGCCATGATGCGGTGAGACATTTTGGTGTGGAGAAAACGATGGAGGCAATCATGGAGAAGTACTTTTGGCCACAAATGAAGAAGGATGTCAGGGAGTAGGCTCAATTGTGCCACCCCTGTCTAACTGCCAAGTCTTTGACAACCAAACCTGCTGGCCTCCTCCACTCCCTCCCTGTTCCCCTTGCCAAATTCGCCAACATCGCCATCAATTTTGTGTGTCCCCTCCCACCCAGTAACCGTTCTGACTACCTCATGGTCATCACCGATTGCCTCACTGGGTGGGTTGTGCTCATCCCTACGGTCACCACCGTCGCTTCCTCCGCCACCGCCCAATTATATTTTGATCACTGGATCTCCAAATTTGGGTTCTCTCGCTCTATTGTCTCTGATTGAGATAAACTCTTTACGACCTCTATTTGGGATCGCCTTCACGAGCTATGTGGTAACAAGTTAAAGATGTCCACAGCCTATCACCCCAAGACTGATGGTGCTTCTGAGCGAGCCAACAAAACCATGATTCAAACCTCACGCGTTTACACCAATCACCAAGGCAATCAGTGGGCCAATGACCTTCAATGTGTAGTGTTTGCCATGAATAATTCTGTCTGTCCTACCTCTAAAAGTCCTACCTCTAAAAGCTCGGCGGCTCAGTTGGTTTATGGCAAGCGTCTGTCTCTGTTGCCCCCCATCCAAACGGCAGAGGAAGAGGCAAAATGGAGGGAATTTGGATTTGTCCAGCCAAGTCAGGAGGAATGGCAGATGGTGGTGCAGAGGATGGAATTGGAGAAAAAGATGGCAAGGGATGTGTTGTTGATGGCAAAGAACTCCCAGGCAATCCAGGCGAATCAACATAGGCGACCAGAGGTGGTCTACAAGGTTGGCGACTTGGTATATGTCAACACCAGTGTAAGGACCAAGCGGGCAGTCCTTCACTGAGTCAAGGGTGTTTGTATTGCGAGAAGCAAGCAAGACCCCTTGTGCATGTATCTGGACAAAGTCCATCAACATATGTATGCAAAAGCACACCAAAGAGACAAAGAGGACAAGAGACAGGGGAACAAGGGTGATGGGAAAGAGAATGGATAAGGGACAATAAGGGACAAAACTCACCTGGACAGAGTCCGTCATTACATGTATGCGAAAGCACACCAAAGAGATGAAGAGGACACTGGCCAGGATCATGTAAGAGGTGGAGTTCCTCTTCACTGGCAGCAACGACGGGAGAGAGAACAGCGGTAGTCACAGCCATGAGAGAGCTGGACAAAGGAACGGCAAGGAGCAGCAAAGAACGGCAGAGAACAGCGGAGGATCGAGCGGGGCGGTGCAACCTGAAGCAAAACAGGACCCCAAATACATGTACTTGTCACACAGACGAGAGAAGGGCAGTGACTGGGCAGAAGTCAGTCCTAGCTATTAACAAACACACACACAGGCACCTAGGCTTTACAGCAATAGGGCAAGAGATGGGGAACAACAACGGGTATATACGTACCTGGGCAGAAGTCAGTCCCAGCTATTAACAACAGCCCACAATTTAGCTCTGCACTCTGGTATACAATAATGAAGGGAGACTCACACACACTGTGGTGATCAGGCCTGCTCTGGGGTGGCAGCTGAAGTAAACACCAAGTGTAGTTGCAGGCTGAGTCCAAGTACTTGAAGAGGAAGACACAAGTCTGCTTGGAGGTGGTCTCGGAAGGAGTTGTAGAGGTCAAGGAAGAGGAGGAGGGGAGAGAAGAGATGTGGCTGAGGTCTCTTTCCCAACACCCAGCCTTTCTTATATACATGATTAAGTGACGTGACGATAGACGGAGCGACTATGCGATACAACTACAGCACAAAGCGAAAAAGTGACGTGACGATAGACGGAGCGACTATGCGATACGACTACAGCATGTCCCAGCCCGTTCAAAACCTGCCCTGGAGCCACAACGAGAGCATCTGTGGAGTAGCCGGCCTGGGAGAATTTGGATGGAGGCGCTCGGCCCACATAGCCTTTATAGCCGCATCCTCACAAGGGGTCCTGGGCTTATCCCACTGCTTAAAGTAGGTTTGCCTGCCCTTGCAAAGGGGGTCAAAAAAGATGTACTGACATCCGCGGTCCCGCCAAGTCTCAACCGCGAGTAGGGCGAATCGAGGACCTTGGTGAGATGCGTATTGGCCGGTGCCGGGAGGAGGAGGAGGAGGTTGGTTGAACACCGCAGAGGGTGCAATGGTGGTGGGGAGGGAGGTGTCGGACTCGTAGTCAGAGCCGAAGAGAATGTAGAGGAAGTCCTCGGAGGAGGTGTTGTGGAGGGTCTCAAAGGAGAAGGACATGTTGTGTGTGTGTTTGGAAGAGTGTGTGTGTGTTGGTAAAGTGTTTGTGTGGGTGGGTGTGTGGGAGAGAGGCGCATTTTATATGCAGAGAGGGGAGAGGTGTGCCGGAAAGATTGGCAGAAAAGGTGGAGTTTTTTCTTATTGTCCTCGAGAGAACTTCTAGCATTGGACTTGGATTGATTTTTGGGGTGTTTTGTCATTCTTTTTGTTTGCGCAAAGAACAATAGCAGCGCGGATTTGGTTCCATGTGGAGCTGTGCGTTTTTTTGGAAGAAGGGAAGTGTGATCGGGGAAGAACAATGGGAGGGAGACTTTCTGGGGCGGCAAGATAATGGTATTGTTGGGAAAGAGGTAGGTTGTTCAGAGTAGAGTGTTTTTCTTTTTGTTTTATTTTTTGGAGGGGAGGTAGAGAAGAGCTCCTATTTGGAGGAAGGGTAGAGAGTCTCGCTGCCCCAGCCGTGGTTCGACTGAGGAGGAGGTTTGTAGGTGTGTCGGAGAGGGACAAAGGGGAAGGTATCCGTAGCTTCGGAGTACCACACGCCAGCTTGGCGCTTCTTGGAGGATAGGTATTTGGTGATGATATTTTGTTGGTAATATTGGATGCAGGCTCCCAAGTGTCATACACATTGGGGAAACCTTTCCAAAAGATGAGGCATTTGGTTTTGCCGCATATAGTGCAATTGGCAACGATGTGGTTGATTTTGTAGATGTTGTCATCTGCATCGACGGGAGGAGGGAGGGGTTGTCCGCGCTTGAACGGATTGGGCACAAAGTGTTTAAGATGGGAGATGTTGATGGAAGAGTGCGCTTTGATGTGTGGCGGCAGGTCTACAACCATCACTTCGGGGCTGATTTTCTTGATGATCTTGAAAGGACCGACAAACTTAGGTTTAAGCTTGGACAGGCGACCTTTCTTGTGGAAGAAGGGAGGTTTGATGTAGAAGGTGGAAACAAGGATGTCTTGGCCAACTTCGAACTTGGGAGCGCAACGGCCTTTATTGTACTGCTTGGCTTAGCTTTCCTGTGCTCTCATGAGAGAGTCTTTTGCAGCCATAAGCTGTTGCACGAGAGTTTCAAGGAATTGGTTGGCTGTCGGGTTCTTGGTACTATCGACCGGATAGGGAGGTACAGCTTGAGGCTGGTAACCAACGTCGAGTTCAAAGGGAGATTTGCCAGTGGTGGCGTGAGGAGCGGAGTTGTAGGCGAATTCAATTGCAAGGAGGAGGTCATACCAGTTGTTTGACTTTCTGGAAATGAAATGGCGTAGCATCTCTTTGACAGTCTGTACCATGCGTGCAACTTGGCCACCGCTTTGAGGATGGTAGGAGCTTGACATTGAGAGCTTGGTGCCGAGGCAAGCAAAGAGAGCGCGCCAGAAGGTAGAGGTGAACTTTACGTCTCTGTTGGAGATGATGTTCTGAGGAAGACCGTGGTGTCTTACAATATTGTTGAAGAAGAGGTTGGCGATGTGAGAGGCATTATCCGTTTGAAAGCACGGGATAAAATGGGAGCGTTTGGTCAACTTATCAACAACAAAGAGGATCATGTTGTGTTCAAGAGGACCGGAGGGAGGGAAGGGGCCAGCAAAGTCCATGTTGACTGTATGCCAACAAGCTGGAGGGATGGGGAGGGGACGCAAGAAGCCAGAGGGGCCTGCGTAGGAAGATTTGTTGGCTTGGCAGGAGACACAAGATTGAACATATTTTTCAAACATCTTTGTGCAGGCTGGGCCAGAAGTAGGCATCGGCGACACACTTTGATGTCTTTGGAATGCTGAGGTGGCCAAAGCTAGGGATGTCGTGGGCGTTGTGCATGATATCGAGACAGAGTTGTTTGACATCTGGGATGCAGAGACGGGTTCGGCCATCCAAATCAATGAGGTACAGGAACTCGGTCAATCAGTTTGTACCGTTCAACATGCGGAGGCACCGGATCAGACAAGAGACCATCAATGACGCGTTGGAAGTGATCGTTCTTGTGTAAGAGGAGTGGTTCCTCTTCACTGAATAGACAGCCGGGTAGTTCTCCACATTCCCTATGTCACTGGGGAGGACCTCGGCGAAATCGGTATGAATGGATGCTATGCGCTGTTGGCGTCCAGGAGAGATAAGAACAGTAGGTTGAAGGGTGGGATCGTCAACAGCGAGAGAGCAGACATTGGAAAACTGGGGATTGGCATGGACAGAGCGACCTTCGGCCATGAGTTTGTCAAGCCGAGCAGCACCCTCCAGTAAGCGGTGGTGGAGGCAGAAGGGGAGGCCAAAGATGATGTCGACACAATGAGGGGTGGGTAGAATAAGGAATGAAGAATTCTTGTAATGGGTTGGGCCAATAAAAACATCCATCCTGACTCTGGTATCGACAAGTGGTCCAGGTCTGCCATCCGCCATATGGGTCTTCAACGGCTTGACGTTCTCTTTCCTCAACCCAGCCGCCTGCACGAAACTCTCACTAACAGTATTGATGGCCGCACCAGGATCAATGAGACCTGTGGTGATAGGAGAGTCAGCCGAAAGACCAACGTCGACAAGGATGAGGGGGACTGACGAAGCGTCGGTGCAGTCGATATCGTGTTCAACCATGGCAGCAAACACATCACCATCCTCGTTGAGATTGTCAATATAGAGATTGGCGACAGTGGCAGCCGCTTCACGAGCAGCGCACTTGCGGCTTTTATGACCAGCCTTACGGCACCAATAACAGAGGTCGTTCCTGTCAAGGAAAGCCCGGGCACAAGCGCCAGCATCGGTAGACTTGTCTGGGAGTTTCTTCTTGTTGATCCATTGGACTTCTTCCGCCGTCAGAGAACGGCCATTGAGCTGGGCGGGCGGAACAGAGGAAGGGTTGGGGACATTCGATGGTGCCGAGGGACGAGAGGTTGTGGCGGAGGACTGACGAAACTGCCAAGTATAGGTGGCAGGGGGAGGGGCTGGGAGTTCTGTGGTTCGGAAGATGCGATCAATAATGTCACGCAGGAGAGGAAGAGAGATTTCCGAACGACTAAGTCCTCGATCGGCAAGACAATCCTCAACTCAAGTAATGATGTTGGAGGGGAGACCAAACAGAACCTTTTGGCGCATGTCGGAATTGTGTAAGCAGCGTGTGTGCTGCTTCACTGACGGCAAGAGCGGCGAGGCGAACGGCGAGGGTCTCAGCTATGAGGAGCTGGACTGGAGAACGGCGAGAGAACGGCGTGGAACGGCGGAGATCGAGTGGGGCGGCGTAACCTGTAAACAGGACCCCAATGCATATACTGGTCCCACAGACAGACAAAAAGGCGGTGACTCTGGGCAGAGATCAGTCCTAACTCTAACAACACACACACAGACGCCTAAGCTTTACAGCAATGGGGCAACGGACAGGGGAACGACGACGGGCAAGAAAGAGAAGCCACGTCGACGTTCCACCAAGTCCTGCCTGCGCGTGCGGCGAGCTCCGCAAAACTCCAACGCTGACGCGGCATTACACATTACGTAAACACCAATGGAAGCGCTTCTAATTTGTCTAAGTTCTTTCTGCTCTTTGTCCCACAGCTTTATCAGGCCGCCTCCTGCATGCATGCATAGCAGGAGCGCTTCTCATTTGCTGAGTCCAAGTACTCAAACGCCACAGGCTGCCTTCCGCTAATGCTTACTCACATGCAGTCCAACAGTCAAGGCAGAGAGTTGCAGCCAAAAGGGGTCAACGGGTCGTATGTTCAGGAAGGGTATGAGGCAAGCCTCTTACAAATCGGTGATGCCGCCGAGACAGTTGCCAAGAATTATCTGACACTCTCCAGCCTTCTTCTCGAACGTTTGCCAGGCCGTCAAAGTCGATCCCTGGCACTGAAGCCCTTCAAACACACGTCGAGTCTCGGACTCCCAATTGGGCGAGAGAGCCTGCTTCTTGAACTCATCACGCCAAGCTTCCCACGAAACGCATGCAGCACCAATGACTATAGACCAATAATGGTACTTGTCGACCTTGGCGATGGACTTATTCGCTTGAGCAACCCGCCACTGAGGAGCGGACGGCGTGCCATCTGGAGAGCGAGAGTCGTATTCAACGAAATAGCGCTGAAGGTCGTGGAGATGTCGAACGACGCCAAGCTGGGACGCACATGAGGATGACAGCATGGGGAGTTTCGGAGGGTCGACTTGGGCACGCTGGAGCTCAGCTTGGTTGCGATGCATTTCGTTGATAATGATGCGGAGGTCGTCATACCCAACGCTCTGACTGGACGTCTGACCGTCCGAAGCTGGGGCCTTGGGGGTATGACCGGGCAGCTGATGAGGAGGGGTGTCGTAGGCGATGCGCGTGCCATCGGCGGCGCAAAGAGGGGTAGTGACAGCGACAGCAGGAGGGCGGGGTCCAAGAATGATTGTGCTGTCCTCGCCAAGTCTGACAATGGGGCGGCTAGCGGCGTCGGCAGAGGTGATAGCATTTCCATCCTCGTCAAAAAAGACAGAGTGAGGCTTGGAGGGGGATGTGCCCTCGGCGTTCTTCGTGCCATCGGCATTCTTTGGTTTGTTGGGTTTGTTGTCATTCATTGTGATGGGTATGGGGTGTGAAGTTTGAATAAAAGTGTAAGCAGCGTGTGGGCTGCTTCACTGACGACAAGGGAGCGGCGAGACGAACGGCGGTGATCTCAGTGTAATGTAAGCAGTGGGCACCACTGCTCACGACTTAACCATTTTCAGCCGCGTTTCGGCGATCACCGCCTTCCGCGACTTGACCATCCTTCTCGTGTCTTGGCTATCGCCAACACTCATGACGCCACTTTCCCTATCACCGCTTTCCCCATCCTTTTCCTGCCACTCTTATTATCGCCGCTTTCTCCTCATCTGTTCCCGTTCCGGTCCCGTGCCACCTTTGGTGTTTCGGTGTATTGTCTTGTGTGGCTCGTTGCGCGACTGCTCTTGCACAGGGACAGGGACAGCGGGCGCGTGGGATCTTTGGGTCTTTATCCATTTCTCTTCCCTATCGCCCTTGTTCCCCTGTCTCTGTGCGTATCCGTTCCTGCTTCCATGTGTTCTTCTTGACTGATCCTGGCCAGTGTCCCTTTCGTCTCTTTGGTGTGCTTTGCGTACATATATTGACGGACATTGTCCAGATTTCATGCACAAGGGGTCTTGTACACTTTTCTTGACAAGCGCCACATCAACTAGTGAAGGACTGCCCGCGTAGTCCTTACATGTAAGCAGCGTGTGGGCTGCTTCACTGACGACAAGGGAGCGGCGAGACGAACGGCGATGATCTCAGCTATGAGGAGCTGGACTGGAGAACGTCGAGAGAGCGGCGAGGAACGGCGGAGGGCGGATGGGGCGGCGCAACCTGTAAACAGGACCCCAATGCATATACTTGTCACACAGACAGACAAAAGGCGGTGACTCTGGGCAGAGATCAGTCCTAACTCTAACAAAACGCACACACAGGCACCTGAGCTGTATAGCAAAGGGCAACGGACAGGGGAACGACGACGGGCAAGAAAGAGAAGCCACGTCGACGTTCCACCAAGTCCTGCCTGCGCGTTGTAAGAGGCTTGCCTCATACCCTTCCTGAACATACGACCCGTCAACCCTTTTGGCTGCAACTCTCTGCCTTGACTGTTGGACTGCATGTGAGTAAGCATTAGCGGAAGGCAGCCTGTTGCGTTTGAGTGCTTGGACTCAGCAAATGAGAAGCGCTCCTGCTATGCATGCATGCAGGAGGTGGCCTGATAAAGCTGTGGGACGAAGAGCAGAAAGAACTTAGACAAATTAGAAGCGCTTCCATTGGTGTTTACGTAATGTGTAATGCCGCGTCAGCGTTGGAGTTTTGCGGAGCTCGCCGCACGCGCAGGCAGGACTTGGTGGAACGTCAACGTGGCTTCTCTTTCTTGCCCGTTGTCGTTCCCCTGTCCGTTGCCCTTTGCTATACAGCTCAGGTGCCTGTGTGTGCGTTTCGTTAGAGTTAGGACTGATCTCTACCCAGAGTCACCGCCTTTTGCTGTCTGTGTGACATATATGTATTGGGGTCCTGTTTCACTTCAGGTTGCACCGCCCCGCTCGACCCTCCGCCGTTCTCCGCCGTTCTCCGCCGTTCTTCGCCGTTCTTCGCCGTTCTTCGCCGTTCTTCGCCGTTCTTCGCCGTTCTTCGCCGTTCTTCGCCGTTCTCCCGTTCAGTTAGCCATAGCTGTGACCTTCGCCGTTCGCCTTCCTCGCCGCGTATCGACATCCTCCCCGGTGTGAAGCCAGTTGCTCGTCCTGGTTTTCGCGTCCCTCTTGCCTGGAAGGAGGCGTTCTTTGCTGAGATCGAAAAGCATCGCCGTGCAGGCCGTCTTCAACCTTCCAGTTCTCCCTGGGCTGCTCCTGCCTTTCTCATCAAAAAGACCAATGGGAAATTCCGGTTCATCTGTGACTACCGTGGGTTGAACTTAGTCACCATACCCGATCAGACCTTGCCCCCTTTTATTGAGGACATCCTTCAACGCGCTGCCTTGGGCAAGGTGTTTGCCAAGATGGATATGACGGATGCGTTCTTCCAGACGTTAATGGAGGAGAAAGACATCGAGAAGACAGCTATTGCGACGCCATGGGGGCTGTATGAATGGGTAGTCATGCCACAAGGGGCTCGCAATTTCCCTGCCACTCAACAGCGATGCGTTAACGAAGCGCTGAGGGGATTGATTGGAGACACATGTGAAGCGTACATTGACGATGTAATAGTGTGGGCAGACAATGATGAAGAGTTGGAAGGGAGGATTCGGGAGGTTCTGGAGGCGTTAAGGAAGAGCGCGTTGCGTTGCTCTCAGGAGAAATCGGTGTTTTTTGCCGACTCAGTCACCTTCTTGGGTCATGTCAATTCCAACAACTCTATTGGTCCTGATCCCAAGAAGGTCTCTGCTCTGCGCTCATGGCCAAACCCCCATACTGTCAAAGAGCTGCGAAGCTTCCTAGGTTTGCTCCAATATCTTCGGAAATTTATCCCCGATATCGCTACTCATTCCTCGGTGCTATCAGGCCTCCTCCCCCCCAACAAAGCTGCGGAGAAGGCCTATGACGTTCGAAAACGTCTCCTTGCACGTGGGAAACCTCCCCATTCTCTCCCTGTCTTACCTTGGGTTTGGGAATGGACTCCCCAGGCCCATCGCGCCTTCGTCACCCTCAAGGATCTTGTGGCCCATATCACCAGCCTTGCTCCCCTTGACTTCAAAGCTATTGCGGCGGGAGAGACCAAATTATATCTCCACACCGACGCTAGCAATATGGGAATCGGCGCCTGGTTAGGCAGCGGTCCCAAAGCAGAGGACGCGGCTCCCATCGCCTATGACTCTCGTGCTCTCCTACCAGCAGAGAAGAATTATCCGGTTTACAAGAAAGAATTGCTCGCCATTGTGCATGCTCTCAAGCAATGGCGCCCCCTTCTTTTGGGCCTTCCCATTCATGTTCTCACCGATCACGCAACTCTCCAGTGGTTTTTCAAGCAGCCAAACTTATCCAAGAGGCAGAAACGATGGTTGCTTGTCTTTGCTGAGTACGACCTCTGCATCTCCCACATTCCTGGCGCTACCAATGTCATTGCCAATGCTCTTTCCCGCCTACACTCGGAGGAGGAATCACTCAACGCTCTCTCCCTCATTACTACCACTGTCAATCACAATTTTCTGGAGCGTCTGGTGAAAGGATACAAGGAAGACGGCATCATGGGACGGTGGTTGGAGGAAGAGGAGCGTCCTCCAGGGGTTAAGATGGTTACAGTGGTTGGAAAAAAAGGGAAGACGGTGGAGTTGATGAAGTGGGAAGAGAGAATTTGTGTTCCGGAGAGTGAAGGAGTACGAGAGGAATGTATGAAGGAGTGTCACGACGCAGTGGGGCATTTTGGAGTGGAGAAGACGATGGAGGCGGCCATGGAGAAATATTTTTGGCCGCAGATGAAGAAGGATGTTAGGGAGTATGTTCAAACGTGTCACCCCTGCCAAATCGCCAAATCCTCGACGACCAAACCCGCCGGCCTCCTCCATTCCCTATCAGTTCCCCAAGCCAAATTCGCCGATATTGCCATTGACTTTGTTGGTCCTCTTCCACCCAGTAACGGTTATGACTATCTCATGGTCATCACCGATCATCTAACTGGGTGGGTGGTGCTCATACCTACCATCACCACCGTCACCTCTTCTGCCGCCGCCCAACTATATTTCGACAACTGGGTCTCCAAATTTGGGTTTCCTCGTTCCATCGTCTCCGATCGCGATAAGCTCTTTACGGCCTCTTACTGGGATCGCCTCCATGAGCTATGTGGTACCAAATTGAAGATGTCTACGGCTTACCACCCCCAGACCGACGGTGCTTCTGAACGAGCCAACAAGACCATGATCCAGACCTTGCGCGTGTATACGAATTGCCAAGGCAACCGATGGGCCAATGATCTCCAGCGCGTAGCCTTTGCTATGAACAATTCTGTCCGTCCTACTTCCAAAACCTCGGCAGCTCAGCTAGTCTATGGCAAACGACTCTCGCTATTGCCGCCAATTGAGATGGTGGAAGATGCAGAGAAGTGGCGAGAATTTGGGCTTGTGCAACTGAGTCAGGAGGAATGGCAGTTGGCGGCGCAGAAGATGGAGTTAGAAGAGAAGATGGCGAGGGATGCGTTGTTGATGGCGAAGAACTCTCAGGCTATTCAGGCAAATCGGCACAGGCGGCCGGAGGTGGTCTACAAGGTTGGCAACTTGGTTTATCTCAACACCAAAGATTTTCAACACAAGTATAAAACCACTTCTCCTCGCAATTCAGCCAAGCTCGTACCGCGATGGGAAGGTCCCTATGTCATCACTGCAGCCTTCCCTTGCCAATCTCTTTACAATCTCAACCTTGTCTTATCCAAATCTACCTCTACCACTCGCCGCCATGCCTCTCTCCTGAAACCATTCCGTACCTCCTCCAGATATCATGGCGAGGTCTCCCCCACAATTTTCTCCTCTGATCAACAACCTCCACCCTGGGTGCTACAAGTCATTGAAGAGAGGGTTCTTAAACCCAATCAGCGCCATCCCGGAGTCCCTCAGGTGCGAGTACGAGTGGCAGGCGAGCGTGTTAGTGGTCGGTGGATGAGTCGCGATGAAGCCAAGATGTATGAGGGTTGGGATGCTGTGTGGGAAGAGTATTTGGGTGATGATGAGTTGTATTTGGATATGGTGGACGTTGTGGAGTTGTGAGACTAGGTGTCATTGCGCTTGGAATTTTTTTCTTTAACTATTTCCTTTCTTCATGACCTTTTGATTTTTTATTGTTGCTAATCTGTCTAATAGTATTTCAGCCATTTCGCCAGAGGAACCCTTGACTTGTGGTCTCATCCAGGTGGGGGAGAGTGTAAGAGGCTTGCCTCATACCCTTCCTGAACATACGACCCATTGACCCTTTTGGCTGCAACTCTCTGCCTTGACTGTTGGATGCATGTGAGTAAGCATTAGCGGAAGGCAGCCTGTTGCGTTTGAGTGCTTGGACTCAGCAAATGAGAAGCGCTCCTGCTATGCATGCATGCAGGAGGCGGCCTGATAAAGCTGTGGGACAAAGAGCAGAAAGAACTTAGACAAATTAGAAGCGCTTCCATTGGTGTTTACGTAATGTGTATTGCCACGTCATTTCAGAGTTTTGCGGAGCTCGCCGCGTGCGCAGACAAGGACTTGGTGGAACGTTGACGTGGCTTCTCTTTCTTTGCCCGTCGTTGTTCCCCTCCTTGTGTCCTATTGCTGTAAAGCTTAGGTGTCTGTGTGTGTGTTAGTGAATAGTTAGGACTGACTCCTGCCCAGAGTCACCGCTTTCTTCTGTCTGTGTGACAAATACATGTATTGGGGTCCTGTTTGCTTCAGGTTACGCCGCCCCATCCAAGCCTCGCCGTTCTCCGCTGCTCCTCGCCGTTCTTCTCGCCGTTCTTTGTCCAGCTAGTCCTCAGCTGTGACTATCGTTGTTCGCCCCAGTCATCATCTCCAGTGAAGAGGAACCACACCTCTTACAGATTCCCGCCTCTCGCGACTTAACCATTTCTGCTTGCGCCTTGGCTTGGCTATCGCCGACGCCCCCGTTGTCCTTTGGTTCCGTTTCCCAGTTTCTCTGCCACTCTTGCTATTTCTGTTTCCCCGTTGGTTTCGCAACTGCTCTTGCTCAGGGACAGGGACCGTGGGCGCGTGGGATATTTGGGTCTTTATCCATTTCTCTTTCCCATTGCCCTTGTTCCCCTGTCTCTGTGCGTATTCATTCCTGCTCCTGGTGTTTTCCTTGACTGATCCTGGCCAGTGTCCTCTTCATCTCTTTGGTGTGCTCTGCGTACATATATTGACGGACTCTGCCCAGGTGAGCCTTGTCCCTTGTTGTTATTTATTCCATTTCTCTTTCCCATTGCCCTTGTTCCCCTGTCTCTTGTCCTCTTTGTCTCTTTGGTGTGCTCTGCATACATATATTGACGGACTCTGTTTAGGTTACATGCACAAGGGGTCTTGCACACTTCTCAAGACAAGTACAACATTGACCTAGTGAAGGACTGCCCACGTAGTCCTTACACCCTGGCAAGGAAGTTAGCGAGGGGGAGGACAAGGAAGTGCAAGTCTTTGTTGAGCCTGCCAACTTGGCCACGGGTTGGCAGCGGGCTCAGGATTACTGGAGGAATCACGCTTTCTGAGGGGAATTGTCTGTTGTAGACGGGTAAAGGGGGTGAAGGTGTTGTAGATGATGCATGGAATTCTGAGACCCTTCCAGTTTTTGCCATTTGAAGTCAGTCGGCATTTCAGCACAAAATGTCCATAACAATACAAGTCCCGTGTCACGGTCAACCTCTGGCACCCCATTATCCCTCAACTTCTTGAGAAATCAAAGTCTGATTCTTTTTATTCTTCCCGGATCTTCTACATAGCAGTCGCAAAAACCATATGCATATACAGGTGATGCAGAGTTGCAGAACAATTGCTACCAACAGCCAACATGAACAAAGATTCCCCACACATGGGAAGCACATACAACACCTCTTACCTGTTGTCTCCAAGGAGCTCATCCAGCAATAGATTCCGCAATTGCACACCAGCGTAGCCCCGCTGACTCCCCTCCCCCTGCCCCCCTGCTGAACATCCCCATCTGGCACAGATTGGCACCCATAGCAAGACTCATGGCCCCTTCAGCGCGGTTGTTGATGGTGGTCGCATTGGTTGACCCGGCAAGAGGTAGAGAAAGAAGAGGACTGCTTACTGAAACAAGCGGGGAACAAGGAACAGGCAATGGTGTGATGGGGGTATCATGAAATTGGAGAAGGCAGGTTATTGATGGAAAACTGTTGGGATGGAGGTCAGCTGGCCTGTTCATGCACGCCCTGTGGAATCAAACAACGTACAAATTGAGGAATCGTTTGCCGAGAGCTGAAAAACATCGAGGCATTAGCAAGCAGCCTGTAATGGATAGCGAAGAAACCACAGCGTACCATTCAGGTTGTATATGGACAGGTCACCAGCAGGAACACCAGCCCGGTCTAGATGTAAGGACCAGGTGTATGGTCCTTCACTGAGTCCGTTGGGTGGCATTGTCTAGAAGCAATCAAGACCCCTTTGCATGTATAATCTGGACAATGTCCATTAATATATATACGCGAAGCAAGCCAAAGAGAAAGAAGGACAAGGGACAGATGGGATGATAGGGCAAGTGAAGAAAAGTGATGGATAAAGATCCAAGATTCCATGCGCCCAAGTCCTCTGTCCCTGACGCAAGAACAGTTGCGCAACAAGACACACAAGACAATACACCAAAACGCTGAAGGTGGCATAGAAGCAGAACGGAAATGGATGAAGGGAAAAGCTGCAATAGCAAGAGTGGTGAGAAAGAGTTGGGGAAACGGCAATAGGGAAAGAGGTGTTGTGGGCATCGGCAATAGCCAAGACGCATGCAGAAAGGGCAAGTTGTGGAAAGCGGCAATGGCCGAAATGCGGCTGAAAATGGTTAAGTCCAGAGTTGCCGTCGTCCGGTCCCGTCCGGTCCTTGCCCAAATTTTCAGGACCCAAGACGGAACCAATGGGTTTTGTCCCAGATTTTTGGGACACGGGACTGGACTGGCAGGGACACGGGACTGGACTGGCAGGGACAAGGACCGGACCGGACAAAAGGCCATTGGTTGGTCCGTCCTCGGTCTGGGACGGTCCCACAAAGTTCATCTTCCAATTTAATCTACAAATTCAGAATTCAAGTCTATTCTATATGCTCTCCTTATTCTTGCTCTTCTTCATGACATCTCTATTGTCAATGAAGGTCGACACTTTCCTTTTGCCCTCATCCTGCACTCTCCTTTCCTCTCAATCAGCAGCACCCAGGGTCTGCAATTTGCTGAATGTCCCCTCTGACATGCAACGACGCTTCTCAGTGTCTGCCAATTTGGCATATGAAAAGAGATGTTTGCACGGTACAGATGATGCCGGTATAGCCAGAAAGTCTCTGGCAATGCCTGATATGATGGGAAATGCAAACTTGTTGCGCTGTGAGAATTATTAGTCTTGTAGCAACATTCATGGACAAACGTATGACTTACCTTCCACCATTGCAGGACAAAGTCAGGCTGGATCTGCCCTGGCGTAGCTGCTAGAAGGGAAAGGGAATCATCCTCTTCGAAAGAGCTGATATAGCGATCAAACTCATCCAAGAGCTTCCCACTACCTCTGAAGGCCAAAGACGCCTTTTGCAGCTGCTTGATCCTGCGTTGCGTCTCTGTCAGAGGTGCTTGAGGGCATGATTCACGATCATCAGACGTATGGGTCGAGCGCTTTGCAATAGCAAACTTGTCATACTGTTGTGCAACATCAGCAAGGGTTTGATGAAGGTTAGAAAAGGGAGGTATGAGTTAATATCTCACAAAAGATATCATTGGGCTCAGCAGCTAGCTTGAGACCTGGATTCAGTTCAAACCACCAATTCTTCATCAGTGGGTTCAAGTCTAGAGGAGATGCAATGAGTACATGTTGAAATGTTCAGCAATATACTCACACACTGCAATCACCGGCTTTTGGCTTCGATAGCTTTCCTATAATACTTCTCAATTGATGTCAGACCATGACGGATTGGTCCGTGCAGCATGGTAGGGATTTCCGAGTCTGCTAGCAATCCTTTCCATTGCTTATGGAGCCCCACAAGTCTGGGTAGGACCATCCACAGAGTCGGATTGATTTTGGTGCCAAACAGAGCCTGTATCGTGATGCCAGCTGATAACAGTGGTCAGTTCATGTCTGATACATCAAAGGACAGTGCTTACATTGAGCACTGAGTGAACAGAGTCAAGCATCTTCCACTGCTTGTTGGTAAGGGCAAACCAGATGTGAGGCTTTGAGTTCTTAGCATTGATCTTCGGTACCGTGGGCTCTGCATCAGCAAAAGCACAGAAGTGGGTATACCCCTAACAAGAAGAAGTCAGTCTTGGAAGATACAAACATTAACTGTGTCTCACTTTTCGGACTTTGAGCAGCCACTTGATGACTCCGTGCCAGGATCCCCACCTAGCCTTGCAGTATAGGACAGGGGCTAGGGGTTTTATCCCTTCGTCTATGCAGCACAAGCGGAAATACTTCTTGGCATTTGGAGAGTTGCTGATCTAGGGGGTCGTCAGTTTGGAGTCAAGTCTTAAGTCAAGGACAATACCTTAGCAGTGATTTTTTGGATCTTATCAAAGAGAAGTGGCAGGTCGCTGATCCTAGAGGGCTCAGAAGCGACATCTCTGTCAGGCAAGCTTTCTGCGTCCTCTACTTCTTGACTAGTCTCAACCACCTTCTCCACCCTACCCTTGTCAAGCTCCTCAGCCATTGTTGGAGTGGTGTGTTTCTCAATGCTATTCAAGAGGTGGCCTTTGGCAAGCCCCAGTATGTGAGCGTAGCAACTGTATAATCATTAGTATAAGAGTATAAGAAGGCCTATTGCAATGTACAGAAAAGTGGCTTACCGGCTCTGCATTGGACTGTTGTCTGCATCGATCAAATGTGCATCAAAGAGTATCTTGGCAAGACTTGTCATTATTGCATCATTGACTGAAGCGTTATAAGAGGTGCATGCTAGAACCTATAAGATATCAGCTGATGGTATCATGTGTATTTTGTTTGAATAGACTTACCTTCTCGGCAATGTCATACTTGCACATCAGATTGTACAACAAGGTTGCCTGGTTAGTCCCATTATGGCTACCATCAATGGGTTCAAAGCCAAGCACATTGGAGTGGAGGGCCCAGTCCTTGTCAATATAATGGACTGTGACCCCAAGGTACGAAGTCATTTGTGAGGAGCTCCAGCCGTCAAATGTGAGACTGAACCTCCCAGATTGTTGCTGATGTCTTGCGTCAGCAACACTCCCATAAAGTTGGCTATGCAACCCTCACCGCGAGTTTCGCTTTCAAATCTGCTTGCTTCTCTCTGTATAACGCTTTAATTTTGGTTGTGATTGCCGTGCGCTTTCGTATAGTGTCAGGCGTGAAAGGATCCATTTCAATAACAGCGTATAGCATTGTTATAAATGACCTTTGTTGAGAGGCAGTGAATGACTATACTAATCAGTACAGTATAATTTGCTGAATGTACCTCTAGTGACATTGATACATACTTGGTTTGTCTCTGCAGTCCATTGCGCAATGAAGGTGGTAAGGTCATCAAAGGAAGGCTTCTTCTTTGATGCTGGTTTGAAATAATCCTGCATGGTTATGTTGAGGCATCAGCAGAGTTGGCATTCTGAAGGCGGCCAGGCACTTACAAGCCATTTTTGGCAATGACTTTCTTGAAATCCTCCAAAATTTTTTGATGTGGTACCAATGTCTTCTCCTTGCACATTGAAATGTACTTATCACAGTGATCTACAGAGCAGCCAATGTGTCTATACAACATTGAGGTGCTAGACTTGATACTGAATTTTGTCCTACAAAATTACTCAGCACTGATTTGAGTTCCCTGTGTCAAAGAGAAACCTTCCCACTCACTTGCAAGCGGCGCACACTCTCTTTGAACCATTGATGGGAAAAAAGGCATAGAGACCTTTGACAGCGTCCTTGGATTTTGAGGTGCTATTGCAATCTACCTTCCCATCTCCATCCTTGTCTTCGTCCACATCCTTCCCTCCTTCATTGTCGCTATCATCAACAGAGATGACACTTTGATTGTAACTGGCCAGGGTTGGAGGGAGATTCTCCTCATCATCTGATTCACTTCGCCCTCTGGTGAATTGACCAGGGGGGAATGCTGCTATAACATCATTGATGGCTTGAGCACTGATATGTCTCTTACTCATTTCGGTAGTTGGATGCTATCAATGATGGCGGGCCTATGGGGAAAAAATGGCCTGTCCTATGAGCTGCTTGGAAGGTCCAAATTCATGCTCTCGGAGTTTGAATTTTCAAGTGTTGCTTTGAAATAATCTGCGTGGCACATAATACCAGTCCCAGACGGTCCAGGACGGTCCCAGAACGGTCCCATAAATATACATATGCGCGGGACCAGGGACCGCCACTCATTGGACTGTCCCAGGACCGTCCCATGTTCAACGGTCCCCAAAGGTCCTGGACAGTCTGTTCCTGGGTCCGGAACCGTCCCGCGGTCCTTTGCAGCAACTCTAGTTAAGTTGTGAAAGGCAGCAATCGCTGAAACACGGCTAGGAATGGCGAAGTTGTGGAAAGCAGTCCACTGCTTATAAATGAGGACATGCAGTAGTCAGCAAAACAAAGAAAACGGGCTGAAAATGCATAATTGAACTCACAGGGGCAACTGAGAGCAAAAGGTAGTTCACAACTGAGGCAAGCATAGCTGAGAACGGTCGAAAACGAAGAATCACGGTAATCACTGTATAAGTGCAAACAGGAATCAACAACAACAGGACGGATGGATATGTGGTGCTTGGTGGTTTGGTGGTTTATTTGATTCCAATATTGTGGCACTGGCCCAATTTATCCCTCTCCCCTGAACAATTTTTCAACCCAGGTCACAATTGCGATTTCCGGGTCAGAAAGTTGCGGATTCTGGGACCAGGGCATTTTGGATTTATAATTTATGACCCAGGCATTATAAAATTCATCTCATGAAAAAACACCCCAAAAATACATCCAAGCAAAACGCTATTGTTCTCTTGCAAACAATAAGAAAAACTCAACCTTTTCTGCCAAGCCTCCAGCACACCTCTCCTCTTCCTGCATATAAAAACTCCCCTCTCTCCCACACACACCCACACACACATAATCCTTTCAACACACACACACACACATTCTTCCAGACACACACACAACATGCCCTTCTCCTTCAAGACCCTCCACGACACCCTTCCCACTAGCAGCCCTGCTGCATCCTACACCCCCAGTGAAGACTTCCTCGACACTCTCTTTGGCTCAGACAATGAGCCCGACAACACCTCCCTCCCCACAATCAGCGCATTCTCTGTGGTATTCAATGATCCCTCTCCTCCTCCTCCTGTCCCTGGCACTGGCCGATTTGTGTCCTACAACGGCCCTCATTTTGTCCTACTGGCGGTTGAAACTCGCCAGGATTGCGGGTGTCAGTATGTGTTCTATGATCCCCTTTGCGCTGGTAGGCAGTACTACTTTAAACAGTGGACACAGCCCCAAATGCCTCGTGAAGACGTGGTCATCCAGAACATGTGGTCTGAGTGCCTCCACTCCAACTTGTCCAGGCCAGCCACCCGGCAAATGCTCTCTCTGTGGCTCCAGGGCAGGTTCTGAATAGGCTGGGACAGCCCTTCCTTCTGGCAGGGGGTGTTGTAGCGTGCTAGGCGCCTGCACACCCCATGGAATCTTTTACCCTTGCTTGTCTCCGTCTTTGCCTCTGTCTTTGCTTTGTTACTAGTTCCTCTTCTTGTTCTCCTCTTCTAGTAGGGCTGTCCAACATATGTTGACACGCCATAGTCACTACCCTTACCTTCCTTTGCCCGTCTCTCCTTTCTTATTGTCTTTAACCTTTTTGTACACTTTGTTGGTTGACTTGTACCCTTGTTCGCTTCGTGCCATAGACACATCTTGTAGTTGCTCCGTCTATCGTCCCGTCACTTATTCATGTATATAAGAAAGGCTGGGTGTTGGGAAAGAGACCTCAAACACACAACTCTTGACTTTCTTCTCTCGCCCCTCCTCTTCTTCCTTTAGACTCTACTACCTCTCTCAAGACTGCATCCAAGCACATCCGTGTCTTCCTCTTCCAGTACTTTCAGCTGTCCCCCCAGAGCAGGCCTGATCACCACAACATGAGTTATGTGATGACTGCGGCTTCTGGACCTTCAGTTGGGTCAGAGCATGACACAATCTCTGATCAGCCTCATGATCTACTTCTACTTACTCGTTTAAATAGTCTGTTTTCCAATCCATCTTATCTGAGCTCTTCCCATTTTGCTCCGGCACTTCTGTACATCTCACAATGGATCCCTGTGAGAGTACAAAATGTATGGTCATGAAGTCAACTTGTGTTGCCTATCACCCATTTTGACATGTCACTCTCACTTGCTAAAATCTTGATGTGACCCCTGCCCCACTGGAACGGGTGGTGGGTACATTGCTAGGACATTTGCAAGCCTTCACAATGTAACTTATGAAATATTGATCTTTGAGACAAAAGATTAAGATTGGGGTTCTGGACCCCTTCTAATATACCTATGGATTTGCCAATTGTTCTGCTTGTCTGAATCAGCATTAGCATATATTGTCATTTATTGGCATGCCAAAATCAACCAATGCCAAAATGCCAGTGTCAACCTCTTGGTGTGGGTCAGGAGGTTGGTCAGCTTGCAGCAATGGGTGGAGGAGGGCTGTGACACCTTCTATAGGGTCAGGTGCCATCAGATGCATGGACCAGTTTTTCAAGCATCCTAAAGACTGCATGTGTGATGAGATAACCTGAATAAAGCAGCCCATTTGCCCGCCTTTGTTGCTTTAAAAGATTCACGCATATCAATATGACAATTCTTTAGAAGTCGAATAAGTTCTGAATCAACCCGTCCACTATTTGCAACTAGATCATAGTCAGGGGTGATATGAAATTTTGTAGGGGCCGCAGTTTACCTCTGGTTCAATCTACCCTCCCTTCAATACTTCAAGGTGGATGTGCCCTCTGCCATTTACTATGAATTCTCCAGACCTATGGACTGTGTTGGCCTGAGGACCAAACAACATGGCTGTGCATTTGCAGCTGCTTCCGCATCAGAAATCATGTCCACTTTTCTCCTCTTTTTTGCAGTATTTTTGCCTATCACTTGTCAATGACCCAACTGGCCAGTATCACCCCCCATCATGAGACCACTTAAACCCACACCCAACAGCCCTCATTTCTCCCCACTCCTCACACCCTTTTTGTCTCTCACCTCTCTCACTCACCTCTCAACAAACCATTCACAGCAAACCTCTTACCATTGTAGCCCTTCTCAGCCACCCTACCCTGTTCACAACGCATCTCAGCTGTACCCTGAAAGCCACCATCTGCCTCTGGCATACTTTGCAGATGCCAGATTTAAACTAGAGAACATAGCATTATTCAGCCACAGCGCATATCCTGAATATTCAGATAAGAGATTGGAAAAGCAGGGTGGCAAAAGAAGAAAGCATTGGAAATCATTTGTAAGAGCTCATATTGAGAGAGTGCAGCTTGGTTGATGAAACTTGGGCTACAGTCAATAGAGATTACAATATATGGCTGAATAGTGTAGTTCATCGGTTCAAGTATGAGCAAAGCAATTGTTAGCAGCTGTGCAATGAATTGGAGGGGGGAGTGGGGTGGTAAAAGGAGAGGAAGGTAAGAACTGCAGTGAGGAGAGGAGATCTCCTCCCTCCAAGCCTTCCATACATCACACAAGTTATCAAATAGGGTGATGTTGGGGCATGCCATTCCTATGTATACAAATAGGATAGAAAATAAATAAGGAAAATAAATGAGGAGAAGCAAACACAGATATCCTACAGAAGACAGAGGCAGATAGCAATGAAAGAGAACAATAGAAAACCAAGCAGATCTCAGAAGAGGGAGAGGCTTGAGCATCAAAGGTGTTTGGCAAGTGGAGCAAGTGGAGGTGAGGTGGAGGTTGACTTGCCAAAGCCCAATGAAGAAGCCAAAGTACCAGAGCAGGCGAGGAGTGTTGATAGCGAAGGAGAGGGTTCAGTAGCAAAGATGGTTAGTTTCATTACATCATTGATGAGGCAGAAAGGTATGTAAGGGAGTCTTTATAACCAGCAGATAGAACCTCATTGGTGTTGAATCATCCTGCACACAGTCCTTACCCTGTCCCTACCCTTTTGCAATCTCATTGCAGACAACTTCTTGAATACCCGGGTCCCTGAATTTTCTTTCAGAAGACCTGGGTACTAAGACTGTATTTATTCTGTTCATGCATCAAGATAGTGACATGGCCATTAGAGGAATTCAATTTGGCCTTCTTAAACTTGCGGTCTTAAACTGGCAGCCTCAGGGCCACAGGGATAAGCACGTGGCTGGCCCTGCAGAGGTCTGGACCCAATTAGATCCCGTCCTTCTCAAACACATTGGCCATGTCTGACAGTGATGTTAAATGTATTTCTTTTGCTCTTACCCTCTATCCTCTCCATTCACTTCCCCTCTTGTCTCCGGTCATTGACACGCACCTACATTCTATTGAATTCCCCTAGTATTACAAGCTCAGGGCGCCTTCCTATTCGATGCGTCGGGATTAGAAAAGCCATTACAAATTGTATCTCAGTCACTGATCTCTTTCTGTGGTTCTGACATTGTGAATGTTGCAGCTAGAAGTCCATCGTTCTCAGCAACCTGGTCATGCTCTGCCCCCTGCACCGCGCCTCAGATAAATTAAGCCGTGGCATCAAATCTGGTCGGAATCTGGTCAGAGCTGGTCAGTTCGGCCCCCGCCGCCCTGGCCGCCGGCCCTATGCATGCATACTACTCATTTCTTTTTTGCCTTGAACTCGCCTCTGATTCCTTTTTGCCTCCAACTCATCATCCATCCGTCACTATTCCCATCACGTGCATCCCAATGTGCTTCATCATCGAAGATGTTCGAGAGCAGCTGCAGCACTGCTGCAAAGGACGTGAACAATTGCCCGACGAGTCACGGAGGAAGAAGAACTCAAACGTGTGGGTTGTGAACTGGGAGGGAGGAGCGCTATCGCAGAGAGCCATTGACGATAGAGCCAGAGCCCTCAATCCGGGTGGAGACTGCAGTCCAGCCCAAATGAAGTTCATTGCTGGTGTCTTGAGGTATATCTCAGTCCTGGAAAGGGTGCATGCCAGTCAAGTGAGTTCCAAACTATTCGGATGGGTTGTCAGTGACTGACATCTTGTGACAGATGGATGCCAAGCGCCCTACCAAACGCCCCCCCGGCTTTCCCCAACACCGCCCTCTTTTCACTCCCCCCACCCATACCGATCTCTGGCTTCACGGCGAAGCCTTTGAGTCTCAAGCCGACACCGCTCTCCTGGAGCCTGTGCTCATCTTACATCCCCTCTTCTATCCAATGATGGGGCTGAACAAATGTCCTGCCCCTAATTGTACAGGAAGTGTCAAGAAGAAGGGCTGGACGCACATTCGCTCTCTCTATGGCATCTTTGGCAACGTGAAAGCGATAGGGGAGCAGATGTACTGCTCACAGCATAAGGTGTTCTCACCCACCGCGCTGGGGTTTTGGAAAGGTCGCAAGCCATGGGAAATGGGTAAGCAAAAGCGCAAATCTATCTATTCTCGGACGCTGATCTACATTGACCATAGGCAATTTCCCCCTCTTCTTTGAACAGGCTGCGATGACTCGCGAGCTATTCAAACTCATTGCCGAATTCCGGCCCAAGTCGTCAGTCGAGGCGGTCGTTGAGGGCCTTAAGTGTGAGTAGCTTTTGCTATATCTGCTTATTCATCTAATTCATGGTCTGACTATTCCTCCAGAGATGCATATTCAAAGCGCACAAGAGACCGAGAGAGACTTTTACCTTCTTTATCAACAACAGCAGCAACACCAAACCTCATCGCCAATGGGGGATATAGCTAGCTTTCCCTTGGTGGATCAGTCAAGGCTGAAGGTGCCATCTGCGGGCCTCGTTCGACATGCATACGAGATATTTGGTGTACAGCGTCTGGAGGAAAGTTCGAGGTACATGAGAAGTTTGGGAGGTATGTGATCATTCTATCTCCCTCACACAGCCCATAAGCTGATGTCATTGTGTGCCATTCGAAAGGCTTGATAGTCGGTGTGGACTCGACTATGAAGGTCGCCAATAAAGCGAACGTTGTTGGCAGGCATCACTCAGGGGCTATCGAGTCTGTCAACCCATGGGGTGGTGGTCTTCTGACCGGGGTGAACGAAGACAAGGAGCTCGTATTTTGGGTATGTCTTTTCTCAATCAACCGCCACTGCAGTAATAGGATCTCACTGACCTTTCCTTATAGGAGTTCCTCCCTACCAATTCGGCGGTCTATCTACAAGCACCTCTGGCGGAATACGCGGAGCATTCGGCCGCCCTTAGCATTGACTTCACTCGACAGGGAGAGGTAGCCGTCGACAAGTGCTGCGACTTCCGATCTGACATCACCAGTGAGCTGCGTGACGTGAGTGTTGTCCAAGACTATTACCACCTCAAGCAGCGCATGCTGCGCACTATCCCGGAGCAAACACAGTACAGATGAGCCGTCTCTGTTGCACTCAACGATGCTTTGGTTGAGCGAAAGGGAGAGAAGGGTACGCCCACTGTTTATCGCCCAGTTGAGGAGCAGGTTTGTAGGATGGATGAGATGAAGGAGCGAATGATGCGCGACTCGGTCCCGCTTGAAGTGAGAACGAACCTGGTTCCTGTAAGTGATGGGAATCCAACCGCAGGATATGACATGACTGATACCATATCCAGGCCATCGATAACCAGATGAACCATATCCGGGCTGGTTGTCTTCAACACCGTCATCCCCATCTTATATCCAACACCAGTATCAACGAGTCTTGGCACAAGAGGATCAACAATACGGTACGGGGCATGGCGTCAAGTCTCCCCACTGTTGTCTTCTTGGTGGGTGACGCTGTCCTACGAAGCAATCTCAAGATTACCATCACGAATCATTCCCAATCGCCAGACTCAATGTCAAGGATGTTTCGCGCGGCCACCTTGGAGAGCCATCACATCTTCCTGCTCGATGACATCCTGCGGCTTCGACATGCGCTCTACGGAGCTACACAGCCACGTCTGCCGGACATATGCCCTTCACATGTCTTGGGAGTGGTACCTTCTCGTGATCCCAGCGATCAGGCGCTAAGGAATCTACGGCGATCCGTCCAGGGATTTGCTGCGATCAACCGAGAGCTGGAGGAGGCTGAGGCTGAGCCTCAGATAATAGACGATGAGGACGACATGGAGGGTATCAAAGAGGAAGAGAGCAACAAGCGCGGCTTCAACATGATGTTCTTGGGTACCACAATCAACGGTGAGGCCGACCAGGATATCGATCCCTATGTGAGTGTTGCCTCATAGATTTATCTCTTTTGCTGTTTTTCTGACTCGACATTTACTTGCAGGAGCAACCAATTGACAGACGCACTCCTCAATCCAGGAAGTGCTCGCGGCCGTATACAGACGGCCCTTACTACGAAGATGACAGTTGGGGTGTTGCACGACGGTGAGCAGAGTTCTTATTGCCTATGCGTATCTCCGACCGCTACTGACCAGTTGTCAGTCTTTTTGTGACCGATAATAACTTATCATATCCAGCACAAGCTTCACTCCATCCCGATGCTCCTCCAATCCCCCCCCCCTTCCATCTTCATCAACATCTTCCCTTCCTTCTTCAGCAACGTCTTCCCTCCCATCTTCATCAACGTCCACTCTTCCGATATCGTCCTCTATCAGCCATCCAGACCACCCAGGCTCATCGACCATCGCTGCGACCCTTCCTACAACGGCGTCCGTCGCTACTTCTATGTTCTCAAACGCCTCATCAGTTTCTCAGGGTCTTCTGGCCCCCGCAGCTGTTGGGGAAATGCGTCGGCTGTTATCGCTGGCTCTAGCTCGCTTGGAACCTGCAGAAATGGTGCCGCAGGGCTATCTCGGTCCGAGGCCTTGTACAGTGCAAGTACTGGAAGCTCCCTCCAGAAGGAAAAGCGCAAGGGCACCAAATACTTTTGTATCTGTGAGCACTTTGCGTGTTCCAGTCTTTTTGCCACCTGACCCAAGCTGCGTAGTAGCTTTGCGGCTGATGTTCAGATGGGACTCAGCTGCCGACTCGAGAGAGTGGGAAGAGGCGGCCAGGCAGTATAACAACCCGAACCTCGAACTCAACCCCCATCACTATATCACCCATTACGGACAGCCTCCGGGTGATGGGCCTCGACATGGAAGCTATCTAAGGGAGAAATGTAGGAAAATTGAAGGGACACTTAGAAGGAAGATGGCGGAGGCGGTCGCAACTGGTAGTGAGTGCCAAATGATCTTTGACGTTCTCTGGTCTCTCCGCTCAGCGTTGTCAGGCAATCAGTATGCTGATTGTCCTTTAGGAACCCTTTCACACTTTTGGGCCATGCAGATCAAATGGATCGCACCGGTGAATTCAAGCAGGAAGCGGATAACAGCAACCGGATGCCCCGCCAAGGACAACATATGCCGCCGGTGCTGAAAAGTCAAAACTTGTCACGCTAGCAAGAGTATGAATCACGCCAAGCACCATTGCGATGACAGCTTACTGCTGAGAACGAGGTTAATCCCCTACCCGACTGGGCCGCCTGTAGGCAAGGATAACAACCCTTACCTGGATAAGGTGGCACCAGAGAGGAAGGTGAAGAAGACGGAAAGGCGGATGAACGGGTACAGAGTGAAGGTGATGTTGAATGAGGTGGTGGAGCGTGAGCGGAATATGACTGAGAGCGAGCGGCAGGGAATGGAAAACTTAGAGCGACTTTATCACGAAAATCGCGTCCGCTTCGCAGCTCTGGCTTGGAATGAGGAATTACAGGATTTTATTTTGGACAAGAGGAGACTTGGTAGCAAGAAGGGAAGAGGTGTTGTATGAGTATGCGTTGTTGTATGAGTATGAGCAATGTACAATGGTTGCTACTTATGTGAACTTCAAGGGATCTACATTCTAGGATTGCAATCTGGAAGTGACAGACTATTTATCTGGCCTTCTTCTTAGAATTGATCATCTACTAACTCATACTTGACTCATGCCACCCACTACTCGCACCTCTGCAAGGCTCTTTGCAATTCAGAAACGCCGCTTTTGACCTGATCCTTTGATGGGGCATCATTGAGGGCTGATTCATCTGCAGATGACCAACTGGTGTATTCAAAAGGCACTGGACCTGTGAAAGCACTTATGGATCAAGCTGTGTTACAATTGACAGAGATGAACTAATGACTGATTAGTAGGCTGAATCTCCCTCCTGCAAAGCCTGACAACATCACTCAGTGTGACACAGCAACTGCTTTAAAACAAGTTTATGGGTCATGCTCAAATCCGCCTAGCTGGTGAAGATGTTAAACCATTCTGCCTCAATGTTGATGGCACAGCAGGGACTGGAGAGTCTTACCTCATCACAGCTATTGCTCAAGGCCTTGATGCACTCAGACAAGATTTCAAAACTGATTCAAGATCTATCCTTTCTCTCCTAGCCCCAACAGGTGTAGCTGCCAATCAAATATGGGGTGAAACCTACCAAAGGGTCAGACCTACCATGGGGTCAGACCTACCACTCTGCTCTAGGCCTCTCTGTTGGCGACTTTGTAGATGACAAGTCAATCTCTTCTCAGACTCTCATCAGAAGGCAAGAGATATGGCGAGACACCCAGTACATCATCCTTGATAAAAAGAGCATGGTGGGTAGGGTTAGCCTTGAGAGGATTGACACAACTTTGCACAAGTTGAAAAAGCATCAAGAGTGTTTTGGCGGTGTCGACATCATGCTTGTTGGGGACTTCCAGCAGCTTCCTCCTGTTTGTGATTCACCCCTGTACTACTCCAACACCCACACCAGGAACACTGGCCAAGCTTGTAAGAGTACTGGAGGTTGTCTGGCATACCTATCCTTTGATGAGAGTATTGCTCTTAAAGATGTCATGTATCAAGAAGGCATTGATGATCAATCACTTCGCTTCTGTGATACTCTCAAAGCTTGGGAATTCTTCGAGGAATTGACCTTGTTTGAGAGCTTCTAGGGTGAAAAGTTTCAAGGATATTGCCCTCAGCCCAGGATTTGCAATGTAGTGGTTGATGTAAGGATACAGTGATCAGTTCCTGGGGCACAAGTCAATTAGTCCAGCTACCAACATATGAATTATGATTCCGTAGTTGGAATTGTGATGCAAGGGCTTTTGCTGCTCATCCAGTTACCCGGGCCCATGGTTAATAACGATGTTATTGAGATTCAGCCCTTGGCAGAATCACCCTCCCCCTTAGGGAGGGTCCAACAGCAGAAGGGTGTTGGACACCGGAAGGGCACTTTTTCGTGTATCTTTTTGTTTTATGCCCATTTATCGCCGTTTCCACATATCAACATGCCCCCAAAAGTATCCGACGTCGAATAGGGTCCTAGAGGCCCTACGCGCTGCAAATCGGCAAGAAAAACCCAACTTGGCCGTGCTCTCTTGCCAATATGATGTGCCCATCAAGCGACTCAGAAACTGATACAAGGGTATTCCGACCAAGCATGACAGCAAACATGTCAACAAAGCTCTCGCTGACACAGAAGAGAAGATACTACTGGAATGGATTCGTCTTCTGGATGGCTGGGGGACGCCTCCTACCAAAGTGCTTGTCAAATTTTCAGCCAACCAAATCCTAGCTTGGGCGTGGGATGGAGACGCGGAGGACGCGCCCACTGTGGGCTCCAATTGGGTCGACCATTTTCTCCAGCGGACGGAGAGTCTCCACCATGTTGAGCAGAAGAGCGTCGAGCTGGCCAGAGTTGCTGCTCTAGAGCCAAAGGCGATAGCAAAATATTTCAGGGAGTTTGAGGAAGTGAGAGGTAGATATGGCATCCAGGTGAGTTTTCCAACGTGTCTCACCTTGTCAACATACTGATCATTTTTCAGCCTTCTGACATATGGAACATGGATGAAGTGGGATTCTGGATTGGTGTTGGAGGGAATGAGCGCGTCTATACAACAGGTCCCAAGAAGGCTGCTTATGCGCCTACCACCACCAACCGCCAATTCCTCACCCCCACACTGTTAGAATGGTGACGCCAGGATGAATTTGGCGGTGTGCGGAGAAATGGAGAACGGGATCAAATTGTGTAGCCGTTGTAGATAGCGCCTGGTAACTGGGATTCTCCTCTCTCATCTGACCACAATCGGAGTGAGACTGAGACCAGTACCAGGTGAGTTATGCATCTGACCATAGTTGGAGTGAGACTGAGACCAGTACCAGCCACAATTTAACTTAAAAGTTGTACACTGTAACTGGACTACTCAGTCGGTCAGAACTCGCCCACACACCTCCGTCCTCACATCATGTCAACCAACCACCACCTCCTGAAGCTCACCAACCATCGGTTTGAATGGGAGAGAGCGGTGAAGATACACTTCATCAAGAAACGCATCTGGTTGTTGGTCAACGGATCAGAGACAGAGCCGTTCCAGACCCTACCAAGAACCACTCGATCTGCATCATTAGCTGCGAGTGAGGGTGTGACGGATTGAAAAGAGAAGCTAGCCGTGTGGGAGAGCTGGGAAGAGCGAGAAGCGGAGGCCCAAGGCACAATCCTCAAAAGTGTCAGCGACGGGATTCTACTGGAGTTAGCGCTCAATTCCGCCAAGGCAATGTGGGATCACCTCGCTAAGAGGTTTAAAATCGAAGACTCTACCCTCAAAGACGTTTACCTTGACCAAGTCCGCTCGCTTCGACTTGTTAAGGAACCCTCTGTGGATGACATGATCTCCCATCGCACCACGTTCAATAACCTCTATGCGAAGAGCGTCCGCCATGGGCACAAGGCCTCCAACACCGAGAGGGTCAAGTATTTCAAACACTCCTGGCTGCGCACCGGCGACTTTGCATTCTATCGCGCAACCTTTGAAAGCCTTCCAGCCATGTCCCAGACGTGGGACAAACTCGACTCCCTCTGGCGCCAAGCCTTGCAATCTGCGGAAGAGTCCAAAGCCATGGGCACACATAAAGGGGTCGTGGCCATGACCCATGGGAGAGACCAGGGACAGGAGAAAAGAGCGAGAAATGGTGGTCCACCCCAGGTGGCGGGAAAGACATGGGGTCACAGTACCCAGCCATTCCGAGGCGTCTGCTACTATTGCCACAAGCCTGGTCATAAAGTGAGCTACTGCCGTTTGCTTGCAAAGGACCGACCAAGGATGGACAATGGGAAAGAAGGAGATGATGGAAAAGACGGAGAAGGAAGGCCAAAAGGAAAGGCCCACGCCCTCATACAACATGAGGAGACCGACAAAGTAGAGAACGGAGTAGAAATTGGGAATGTCAACCTGGGATCCATTTACTACTACTCCTCAGATGTGGCAAAACACTTTACTCCCTCCTCCTTCCTAATCGACTCTGAAGCTACACACTCCATATCCAATGACCAATCCAAATTTCAAAGCTACATGGCACTCACAAGACCGTACTCCTTCTTGCAAGTTGGTCACGGCACCATCCTAGCAGAAGGTATTGGCACGGTCACTATCTCGGATGACCAAGGCCGGAACGTATCTATCGACAACGTTTACTTTGTGCCCGAGAGTCAAGGAAACATCCTCTCATACAGTCGCCTCAATGAGGCCGGTTGAAAAAATCAGACTCGAAGACAACATTATGTCGTTGGGAAATGCCTTGGTGAAACTATTGAGGAAAGGCAACAACACTGAAATGCTGTGCTTTGCACCATCGGGCAATACAGGGAAGCAAGGGGGCGTCATAAATTTCATTGGCCTCAACAACCCTGTATACAACGAGCATGTCAGGCTTGGACATATTGGGAGTGCCAAACTCCTAGAGTCACACCGCCAAGCATTTACCTCTGTACCCCTCAAAGAGGATGACATTTGCGCATTACGGCTTTACAACTGTAAAGCCTGCTCTACTCATTGACTTACGCGCAAACCAAGAAATGATCACTCCCCTTGAGCCACTCGCGCCTGCAAAATAGTCCATGTCGACATAATTGGGCCATACAACCCATCCCAACTTGGGAACCAATACGCTTTGGTCATGATTGATGACCACTCTAAAGTCAACAACGTTGTCTGCCTTCCCGGCAAAACCAATCTCATCCATTACTTTCGCCTTTTCATCACACGGCTTGAATGCCAATTTGGCCAGCGTGTTCGATTCCTACGATCAGGCAATGGTACGGAGTTCCTCAGCCTGGATGCTGAAAAATCTTACAAGGAAAAGGGCATCATTCACCAATGTTCCGCACCATACATGCCAGCTCAAAATGGTGTGTGCAAGAGATTTGTACAAACCCTCAAGGAAAAGGGTGAAGCCATGCTTGCTACCTCAAAGCTAGGCCATGGTTTCTGGGACCTGAGATGTGATATGCGTCAATAGTCCATATAAAGACTACCTTGGGAAAGGACTCCATCTCCGCATGGGAACAATTCACAGGCCGTGCAACAAACCCGCACAAAATTCGAACGTTTGGCAAACACTGTTTTATACATGTGCCAAGGGAAACAAGAAAAAAAAAAGATAGTTGGGACGTTGAGAAAGGCGTAATACATGGGCGTTTCTTAGGGGTTGATGTAGGGAAAGCGGGTTGTTTGGTGTGGAACAAAGTCAGCAGGAAAATTGAGAGAACGGCGAACGCTATCACAGCCTTGGGACAACACTATAAACCCGACAACGAAGTAGATAAAGAAAATCCAACGAAAGAAAACACTGCGTTAGATGTTGAAGGAGTTATGGGGGCAAGAACGTTGAGGAGGAGAATGGGGTTCAGAAGGAGAATGGGGTTCAGGAGGAGAACGGGGTTCAGGAGGAGAACAGGCAGGAGCATCCCATGCACAAAGATCCCTGTTGTGCCCTCGCCCTCAGTGAACCCCTATCAGATGACAAGAACCCAGACCCCCTACCCGACACTTATCTCAAACCACTACCTAAACCCACAGGGCATCATACCTGGCCTCCAAATTTGTCCCCAACACTTTTACTGGGGGGTCCAACAGCGATCCAAAAAAGGTGAAGGAGGCAGCAAAGGGCACAGATTGGTTGGAGTGGAAAAAGGCAATGCTGGAGGAGCTCCATAGCTTCGACGCGAATGATGTTTGGGAGGAGACAACATTGCCCAAAGGAAGGACAGCGATAGGAGCGAAGTGGGCGTTGAGGAAGAAAATAAGGAATAGAAGGAGATTGAGGGGAAAGTTGGCATATGGAATTGATAAGGTTAGATAGAGGTGGAGAGAAAAAGGGTTGTCAATTGTGAAGCCAGGCGTCAAAGAGGAGTGTTAGAATGGTGACGCCAGGACAAAGTTGGTGATGTGCAAAGAAATGGAGAACGGGATCAAATTGTGTAGCTGTCGTAGATAACGCCTGGTAACTGGGATTCTCCTCTCTCATCTGACCATAGTTGGAGTGAGACTGAGACCAGTACCAGCCACAATTTAACACACACTCTTGGTGTCACGGCGATACCTCTTCTCCGCTTCCGTCCATAGAAACTGATGCATGCTGGAGACCCAGGAGCTTCCTCTTCTTTGTCCCTATTGAAGAACTTTCTGGCTATCCTTATTCTCTTCATCTACTTCCTTGGCTACACCTTGTACCGCTTGCCCACTACCTTGCTACACTCTCCCAAGCCAACAGATATGAGACGCTCCAGACTCAACCCTGACTTATCTGGCCATAGCTTGTGCTCCAGCTTTGGACTGCCACAAAATCTTTCTCCTCATCAATGTCAAGTGTATTTGCCCCCCAGCTACATCTAAGTGTGTAAGAAATTTGCAACTGCAAAGGAACATTCAATTGCTTACACCTCTTAGCCACTGCAAAAGGTCACCATTCCAGCCCAACTGCAACAGCATTAGCAGCTTATGTACAATGCAATGATGGCTCCACAGGTCCATTACAATGTGGTCCTCTGTCTCCAACAAGTGTGTAGCTCTCTTTCTCAGAAAATGGTTATCCAACTAGTGGATTCTTGTACTACACACTTGTAGCTGGCTCTTGACTACAGGCATGTATATGCTTTCAATCTGGGCCCAGGAAGGGGTGGAGGTTGCCAGTGGCAATGTGTAATAGGTAGGCAGGGGAGCAGTGTATGTCAACCTCTGACAGTAAGCTGGAGGCTCAAGACATCTCCATGGCAATCTTCAGATTTGAGGATTCTCAGCAACCTTGACTATGTCTGACTTGCCTATGGAAAGGGCTTAGTGAACAGATACATCTCCAAACACACTTTCCTCAAGTCCAACCAAACAATTGGCTAAGTCTTGCTTGGGTCTGTAGCAAGCTCCTCTTCAATGGTAAAATTCTCTCATCTTGAGGCCCCAAACTCATTGGACCCAGTCCAAAGAACAGCCACATTACTGCTGGTTCAAAATATCTTTTTATGTCACACTGCTGGACAGTCATCACAAAGCCGGACTGACCAACCTTGAGTGAGCAATGAGTGTTGACTGCCTTTGCTACAAGAGTCCATGGATGCTTGTTTATTCCATGTATTCCATATGCTCTTGGATAAGTACATACTGTATGTACATGCTGCATCATCTGACTTGAATAGGGATACCTGAAAAAATTACAAAAAGCAAAAAAACAGCCTCCGGCGGGGCTCGAACCCGCAACCGCACGATTAACTGATGGCCCGTAACCGGTTCAAGCAGACTCTAAGAGTCGTGCGCGCTACCGATTGCGCCACGGGGGCTTTGATGTTATGATGTTATAAGGAATTTGGCATTAATAGAGACCATACATCATTAGTACATGTTGATTCACCAGATGTTCAACCTATTCACAGGTGACATGGTCCAGGCTTCCATGAAAACATAGTGTCAAAGTAGTTGTTATGCCAGTACGAATTCTGACCATGATGAAACCATTGACAATCAGACAGTATAATTGGGCAGAAGTTTCATTCAATTAATTGTCCTATGATTCGATAATTTATCACATATTGAACTCCCCAGCATTGTCTTGCATGAATTGCATCCCCTCCTCCCTGAAATCGTCTTTGAAGACTTGAATGTCGTCTCCCTTCAAGCGCAGTATGTTTGTGTTGGCAGAAATGTCATGCGCCGGCCAAGAGGTGAAATTGGACGTAGTGCCGGGGAGACCGTTGGGGTCGGAATAGTGGGCAAAATTGATCCTGGAGGTATGACAGGTCAGGAGGGGGAAGAGAAGAAGATGTTATGCGCACCAGTACTCCATCATAGCATCCGATAAAGCCCCATCGACATCGGTATAGTCGGCTGATTGGCCGGTTCCCGGTCGAGCCAGACCATAGACATACGGAATCTCACTTGCATGCCACACTGTATGATATTATCAGCATGAGTATGTCCGTACTACACAAGCCCGACTCACCTCCTCGCTGGGCCGCGCTACCAGGCGTACTCTGTTCAAATTGATACGTCCATGTCGCCGTATTGCCATGCTTGTTTGCCTCTCTCAGAAAATGACGTCTGGGAGCCTGAAATTTGAGGTCTCCAACGATGGAAGCGAACCTCTTGTAAGCAGGTTGAAGGCCAAAAGTGTCATTGCCGGTGTCGTAAGGAGATCCCACCGTGGGGTCAGCGGGGTAGAGGTCGAGGAGAGAGTCGAGGGTGGCATTGGAGGGAGGAACAGGTTCAATTAAGCGGATGAGGTTGCGGCCGGATTCGGGACCGTCAAGTGTGGTGGGGGCAAAGCTTGTGCCTCTGTTTGATGATAATTTGGTATATGAATACAAGAGGAATGCCAAGCTCACTCGTCTTTGTTGTTTCCTTGGATGAAGGGAATGTTGGCAACCTTGCCATTAGAGATGAGAGTGTGCGGGGAATCGGGAATGACATCGCCGTCGATGGATGGACCATATAACCGGCTTTACCATCCATGTCAGTCTTCCTGGCACCTCGTCACGTCATAAACAGACACTCACGAGTCAACCCATTGAGTTTGGTTCTTTGTAGCTTTCTGTCCATTCAGCAATTGATCCGCCGAAAGAGCTTTCAAACAGGCCCATTCAGTGCTACCGTCACTGGGGGACTTGCATCCAACGTTGTCAAGGAAGAATTGGTAGGCGTCTTCCCATGTGGAGCCGGCAGGTCCGAGGGGTGTGCCGGATGGAGCACCGGATTCCATGATCTGTGTGAAAGTCAGTGTGGATAGATACGCAAATCAGCAAGAGGAACTTGCAGCTTTCTGAAAGAGAGTTGTCTCAGGGTCGAGAAAAAGTAGAGATACTGCCATGGCGCCGGCCGACTCGCCGAACAAAGTCACCTGTTCTTGTCCATGAGTATACGCGGGTAATTTTTGTGGTTGCGAATATACTGACCTTACTGGGATCGCCGCCGAAAGCAGCAATATTTGACTGGACCCAAGACAAACCTTGCTTGATATCTTTCAATCCGAGGTTTGTGGCCTGGTTCTCAGCGTAACCAGACCCGGTACTGTTGATTTATCAGCTTGCTTGGGCAACCTCTTGGTATCCTTGAAGACTGACCCCCATCCAAATGCGCCCAGCCTATACTGCAAGGCAACAAAGATGAATGGTTTGCCCTGTAGCGCTGTGTCAGTGATGGGGCGGACGGCGTGGCCGGTGGCATCCAGACTGACAGAGTCGACACCATACTGCAAGTCGCGAGACGCGTTGAACCAACCTGCATCCCCAGTCTGAAACCCCCCTCCAAAGCTATCCTTGCATCAATAAAAATCCTTCACATGTAACACCCGAGGATTCACTTACACCCAGACCATGACCGGAAGACTTGCGTCCGAGCCGCTTGACCCGCTCGGCGTGTAGACATTCAAGTACAAACAGTCTTCCGACATTGTCAAGTCGTAGTCTTGCATACACGCTGAAGAGGATGCCTGAGCGGTAAAGTTTATCGATTCGTAGGTGTAGGTCTGAGGAGGAGAGAATCGGAGGTCGCCAGTCGCTGAGAAATCGTCGTCAACAGGGGTCCTGTCGCCTCAAGTCAAGGAGGTACTCACGGGGCTTGGCGTAAGGAATACCACCCCAATAGTCTTGCTGAAACGTAGGGTGGTTTACACCTGATACTTGAACATCGCCGCCGTCCGGCCCAGCGCCCGTCAAAGTGGCTACCGGATCGTCGGCTCGTTCTTTGAGGATGGTCAAGGGAGAGGCGGCAGTGAGGGCAGCTGTGAGCACCGTAGTGCTCAGCAAAGTAAAGAGTGTGTGAATGCGCATTATAAAGGGGTGGTAGAGAAGCAAGAAGAAGGCTGTTGTCAAGAGGCGAGACTGTATATGTACGGCAAGTTTTCGTTGCTGAGCAAGTGCCCGGGCGGCAGCCCAGCCGGTTTGGGGTGTGTTGTGACTTGCGTGATGCAGCTTTCCGCCTTGCCCGGTGCTGTCTCGGTCGTTGATTCGGGGGCGGGATGGGCAAGCGCAGGGTCATATCGGTCGCACTAGGCAGTCGCTGTGTGGAAACCACCGCCAGGAGCATGACGCGACACAGCGAAGAGCACATGGCCACTGCTGTGTTGGCAGTGCGTTCGCGCGCGCCTCTTGGGGAGGCCCATATGGAAGATACAGTCCATCCGGGGCGCAAGAAGAGGACGCCGGCAGCGACTCACCGGTCAAGTCACGTTATCGGGCCGTAGACGTTGTCCACTGCCATCTGGATAGTAGAACGAGGGTGCCTGATGATGACGCTCTGTTGCTTACGTAACGACATGCAGTGCGCGTGTTGTTATTACTGCGAAACGAGATAAACAAACAACGAACCCAGAAACGACCCGACTTGGCGCGTGGTTTTTATTTCCTCTTTCTCCCGTCATCCTGCGTCCCCATGCCGCCCTCCCGCAAGCCACCGCCTGCGCTCTACCCCCATCCCCAGGGGCTCCCCTCTGGCCCCTCTCCTGTCGACCCTCGCACCTCCCCGGCACCTTCATACGACTATGGCCAGCAGCCCTACGTCAATCCGCTCATCGACCCGTTTCGGGACACCGCGTACAACGCATACTCGCCCCTCTATCACAACGCCCCGTCTCCCATAGCACCCGTCTCCCAGGCTGGCGATGCCCGACTCCCTTTCTTCGAGGCTGCCTTGGCGCGTTCGCGAGGCGGCCATGAGCAGCTCAGCTCGTCCGACCACGCACCCGTCCCTACGTACACCCAGCCACTTCCTGCCTATCTTCCCCCTCCCGACCCCAATCACCCGGACCTTGCAGTAGGATTCACTGCATCCAACACTGTCCGGTACGCGATGAATCACGCTGCCCCAAGGGAAGGCTCGCGATCTCCCTCCCCTTGGATGGATGACAGTTTCGTGCAGAACGGCGGGGATGATAGAGATGTCGAGAAAGGGCACTTGCTCGAGGACAGTGAAGCCCTTCCTCGTATACCTTTCACCACGAACGCAACTGCAGTCCCCGGGACGGGAGATGACCACGGGGACCTCTCTGTTCCCTCATACGCCTTGTCAGGCGGGTATCATCCCGACCTTGATGAGAAGGAAGGCTCAACTCAGCATTTTGGGCCCGCTCCCGCCGGTAGAGTGGGTCGTCGCACGCACAATGCTGCAGGCTACAAGCGCATCAAACAGACCGCAACTCTGGACGATAGCGGATTCTTTGCAATAAACATGCCCATCCCTACCCGACTCTCACAATTTCTACCAATCAAAGGAGTTGAAGAACAAAAGTCAACTAGGTGAGTACATCTATACTATCGTATGGCCGTGTTCTGACTTCGCATCGCTCCAAAGGTATACTGCCATCACTACAGACCCCAATGAAGTCCCTACCTCAGGGTTTCGCCTTCGTCAAAACTTGTTCTCTCCCCCTCGGCAAACAGAACTGTTCATCGTCATCACCATGTACAACGAAAACGCTGAATTGTTTTGTCGAACACTGTACGGAGTGATGAAGAACATAGCGCATCTATGCGGGCGCAAAAACTCTCGAGTTTGGGGTAAAGATGGTTGGCAAAAGGTAGATTCAATGACCGAGCTTGATGAACCCTTAAGCGATCTACGCTAATTCTTCTCCAGGTGGTTGTGTGTATTGTTGCAGACGGCAGAAAGGCTGTCAATCCAAGAGTACTGGACTGTCTGGCAGCGCTCGGTGTGTACCAAGAAGGTAAGTTTACAGTCAACGTGGTGTAAATCGTAACCACATCGTCACCACATCGTGGTATAATTACATCCTGGCTAACGATTGCACAGGCGCAATGACCAACAAAGTGCAAGATAGACCAGTTACCGCTCACGTCTTCGAGTATACCACAAGTTTTGCTCTAGATCCCGACCTTCACTTTAAATATCCCGATCGAGGAATTGTCCCTTGCCAGATCATCTTCTGCCTGAAAGAGAAGAATGTGAGGGTGCGAGCGTGTCTTTAGAATCGAAGCTGACATTAGCTGCGACAGGCAAAGAAAATCAACTCGCATAGATGGTTCTTCAACGCCTTTGCTCCCCTGTTATCGGTGAATATCTTCTCTGCAACGGCGTCATCCAGCTGACGTACTGCACCTCTAGCCAAACGTTTGTATACTACTTGATGTCGGTACACGACCTGCCGTCAAATCCATCTACCATCTTTGGAAGGCGTTCGACATGAACTCCAATGTCGGAGGAGCTTGCGGCGAGATTGCTACTTTCAAAGGCAAGACATGGCGAAGTCTGCTCAATCCATTAGGCAAGTCCTTCCTGTATCAGTGCCGGATCTTTGACTGACTTGGTAATTAACAGTCGCAGCCCAAGCTTTTGAATACAAGATGTGCGTACCCTCAAACCCCATGTTAGACAGATCACTGATACAGTGTTAGGTCCAACATTCTCGACAAACCTCTGGAGAGCCTATTCGGTTATTGTACCGTTTTGCCGGGAGCATTTTCAGCTTATCGTGTGAGTAATTACAGTATTAGTGGTCGTGATGAGTCTGCTAAGTGACTCGCCATAATAGTGGATCGCTCTTCAGGACAATGCGGATGGAACGGGGCCTTTGGCGAGCTACTTTGCTGGTGAACAGCTCAATACCGGGAAAGCCGATACCTTCACTGGGAATATGTGGGTCAAGCATTACTCGAACAATACTTGATGCTGACAATATTCACAGGGTACGCGCGGCCACACATGGGCAAAATGGAAGGACGAGAGGTGCTGATCTTGTCCGCCTCTTATTAGTATCTTGCCGAGGATCGAATCTTATGTTTCGAGATCATGTAAGTCTAGTTGCTTTCGCGACGTAGTGTGTATCTGATTTTCCGCCTTTAGCGCAAAAAAGAAAGCAAATTGGGTATTGAGATTTGTGAAAGCGGCGGTTGGAGAGACCGACGTTCCGGATACCATTCCGGAATTCATCGCACAGAGGAGAAGGTGAGTTCGTCTGCTGATCGTGATTTCGAGGCTGATCATTGTCTGCAGATGGCTGAATGGCTCCTTCTTTGCTGCTGTGAGTATCAGCAGGCCTGTGCGGCCTGTGCTGCCGAGCAAAGCTAATCCTGTCGCAGGTGTACGCTTTGATTCACGTCAACCAGATCTGGCATTCCGATCATTCGCTTGCGCGCAAATCAGGTCTCATGCTGGAATCTGTGTACAACGCCTTGAATCTGCTTTTCTCGTGGTTTTCCTTGGCAAACTTCTACATCTTTTTTGTGAGTGACTCCTCATCATAACTATCATTGCGTACTCAGTTGACGTTCCCCTAGGTCATCCTCACTACTGCTCTCGAGGGCGATGCGTTCAATGTACCGCACATCGACGTGCTGAACACTATCGCAAGGGTGAGATTACTCGTGTTTTTAGGCTGTATTGGCTCTGACCCCCAGAAACTGTAGTACGGATACCTCGGGGCTTTGATTGGATGCTTCATCTTTGGTATGGGAAATAGACCACAAGGGTACGTCAAGTATCTTGTAATGGCATGAACTGATTGTTTTGGCAGATCTCCCTGGAAGTATAAGGCGACAATATATTTCTTCGCCCTTCTCACAACATAGTAGGCATTGAAACTTTCACCTGTGAATAACAACATGCTGACACCCGATTTCTCTTTAGCATGTTGATTGCGGCTGTTCTCTGTACTATACAAGCAGTCTCGGATTTCGATAGTCCTATCTTTGCGCGCTTGGTAGTGTCTCTCATATCCACTTACGGCGTCTATGTGGTCTCCAGTTTCCTTGCTTTGGATCCATGGTAAGCTTTTCGTGCTGTCCTCGAGTTGCGTAATCTAATAGAGCTAGGCACATCTTTACCTGTTTCTTCCAATTCGTATTGTTCTCGCCGAGTGAGTCCTACTTTCCTTACCTCTCGGTTGATTCTTTGCTGACATCTACAAATCATAGCTTATATCAATGTTGTACGTATCACGCAGTGACCTCCAGATTTTATGTTTGAGCTGATTGTTCGGCGGTAATTCCTAACCGTACAGTTGAATGTCGTGAGTAAAGTTGTATGCAATAGACTCGAGTCATGGACTGACACATCTCTAGTACGCTTATTCGAATTTGTAAATTTGTTATCGACATCCCTGCCTAATCAACGCTCATGTCAATTCCTTAGGCACGACCTGTCCTGGGGTACCAAGGGTTCTGACGCTACCCAGGAGTCAGACCTGGGTGCCGTACAAGGTGTTGGAAACCATGTGGAGGTTGAATTAGTGACTGCTCAGCAGGACATCGATGGTGCTTATCAGGATGCCTTGGACAACATTAGGCTGAAGGGCGCTAAGGAAGAGAAGATCGACCTTGGCCCGAATCAGCCAATGTCTGAACAAGCACAGAAGGATGTCTATGTAAGTCAACTGATTTGAATCTATCCGAATTGCTCACATGTCGCTTTGTAGGCCAATTTCCGTACCAATGTGAGGGCTTTGCAATTATGAGACTGTCTGAAATGCTCATGGTCACCTAGCTGTTGCTCTTATGGTCTCTTTCAAACGCCTTGCTGGCCAGCGCCATTTTGACAGGGAACACTTCTGGATCTTTTGATTCTTCTAGCACTTCAAAAACGACTGTCTATATGCTGGTTATCCTGAGTGAGTTTTATGCTTTATCAACAGAATTGGGCGCTAATATGTTTGCTAGTCTTTGTGGCAGGTATGGCGATATTCCGCTTTATCTGCTCGACAACATATCTCATCCTGAATCTCTTTACCGGATGAGAAGGTTCCCGGGTTTAATACACCAACATACTCTTCGGGCCCCACAAGCATACAGATGTAGCAGTTGAACACGGACGATTATTAGTAACATAGAAAACATACACGAGCACCATGTAGGACATTTGTTCAACATTGCGATTGAGTAAAGAAGCCAGGCTGAACCACCTTCTAACAACTCTGCTATCCACATTTCATATCATGTATGTATATAGTCAGTAGACGCAATGAATCCAACACGGAGGCAAGCTTTCCGCTTCTCAACATACTTATATGGATTATGGTGCTTAGGGAAATCACGTGATCGCGCAATGACAAAAGTCTGAACCAAACATCTAGTGTTTTTGAATGGCTGTCAATACATACCCTGCATACACCTTGTGACGTTGGTGCTCCACATTTCTCCTTGTCTTCTACCTGACTTTTCGTCTCGTCACTCGTTGAATCCGGCACTCACATACTTTCCAAGGATTGATTGCGAAACTCCTTCGGAGGTCGCGCAAGACCGTATGGACACCGACCTAGTAGCAATAGCTACTTCGATCAGCGAAGAGCTGTTGGATAGTCAAAGCCCTACTCATAAAGGTATGGACACTTCCTCTTCCCGTGTACGGTCATGATCTTTTACTCACACGAGATTAGAGATTGCACTTTGTGGGCCAGCTGTGGTCCGCATAATGCTCGCTGCCTGTCTTGCGCTTCTGCCAGGACATCAAATATCGGAACTCGATCCTGTGAAACCCGAGCTTGACGCAAAGTCTCTGTCAGCTGGTCCGCGAGTCCTCTGCGATTTGGCCCAACAGCACATCGATTTTATTCCTTTCAATCTGGTCCCTCCTCGTTGGCTGCGACTATATACCGATGCTTACATTATCTCTACTCTGATCGACATTGTCTGCCATCAATCAATCGAGGGTCAGCAAAAAATCCTCCGCCTTGGGGCAGACATCCAGCAGCTAGACAAGGTCATCATAGTGGCCGGCGCTTTGGGCCCAGGGAGACACCGATGGGTTCAAACGCTCATCAAAAAGGCTCAGGCAGTGGTTTCCGGTACCGAGGATGACATTGCGGCAGAGGTGCCCCAAGAGACAATCTTCTCATCATCTCAAGATTCGGACTCTTCTACGACCCCAGATCCGAACTCGTCGCTCTTGTATGCTTCAAATCATATCGAAGTCCTCCAAAAGATACCCTCGATGAGAGCGTATGAGAGCAGGCACTCCCACTCCCCATTCATCATTCGCAGATACGCTTCCCAAAAAGACTCTGCGTGCTTTTGGCCTGCCACAGAGCTTTGGAGCTCCCCCAAATACCTACTTGAACAAGCAGGGGCGGGCAGAGTGGTGCCTGTGGAGGTTGGTGGGGCGTACGATCAAGCCAACTGGGGACAGGAGATAATACCTTTCGAGTCCTTCCTAGAGCGAGCGGGCTTCAATCGTACAATCCATCAGAAGCGCTCCGCCCCTTCAACTTGCTACCTCGCCCAGTACGATATATTCAACCAAATACCGGAGTTGGCAAAAGATATTTGCTATCCTGATTATGTGTGGTCTGAGCCCTCGCGCCCTTCCACCGGCCCAGCGTATAGTCCTCCGCAAGACAGTCCCGTGGTCAATGTATGGGTTGGAAATGGTAGTGGGGAGATCATCAGCCCGGCCCATACGGTGAGTCCCAGATAAATATACTCTCACATACAAAGCTGATGCCCTTAAGGATCCTTATCACAATTGTTACGTTCAAGTCCTTGGCTCAAAAAGGGTTTGGCTAGCGCCGCCTTGGTGCAGTGATCACATGTACTGCTACGGGGCAGGAGATGTTGATTCAACATCCGATGGACTGGCTGAGCAGTACATGACGAATACCTCGAGAGTACCTCTTTTGAGGGATCCTGTAGAATTCGAACAAGAGTCTCTCCGCTTCCCCGCTTTCTTTGAGACGGTTCGGCCTCAAAGCATGGAGGCTGTTTTGAATCCGGGCGATCTTCTCGTCTTTCCACCTGGATGGTGGCATGCGATGAAAACTGAGGGGGAGGGGCCTGTTTGGAGTGTCTCTATGTGGTATTAGGAAATTATGTAAGATGATACTGGGCTCATCACAACAAGATTGCATCCAGTCTAGTACAAAACGCCAGGGTCTATCGCTGAGCACCTGGCTGGTTCCATGACAAAACTGTAGATATGTCAGTGCTGCTTGCAAGGAAGGCTTGATACTCACGGGACATATCTCCAAGCTTTCTGGGCTTGACAAGGTGCCTAATCAAACCTGCCACAGCTAGTGTCACGCACAGAATAGCCGCGGCAATGTAGGCCCAACCCAAGAATGGCTGCTTGCCGCCGATCCATGACACAGTGGAGATCTCGATTGACTTTGTGCCAGAAAATTGCTTGACCGGATAGTCTAAAACAATATGAGCTTGCTGGAAAGGATACTTGAATCGTTCTATCTCATTGAACTTACTCATGTAAGCGACAACGCGGTACCTTCCTTGAGTCATGACCTCGTCATCATTTCGAGACCACAACTTTCTGAAAGTTGACAATGTCGCGACTCTCATCCATACTTGGAAATGCTCGTCCTCGCGAAGATTGGGGAAGCCGTCAACATAGCCATTTGGATAGCGGAGGGCCCAGTTGGGAGGAGGAATGACGTCGGTGGAGGATGGGTAGTTGGGGGCCGTGGCGTAATTCTTCGCTATGCCACCCCATGCAATGCCCGATTCAGTAAAGTTGTAGGTCTGATTTTGCGCTCCATCTGCAACGATATTAGCAAACCGGAGAGGGAATCGCAACTTGACTGACTTGAAGGGTTCAGAAGCACCACCTGGGGGAAAGTGTCTGCAAAGAGCTAGTCAGCATGATTGGGGCGTCAGCGATGAGCACATATACCGTTAAATACACTATTGGCTATCAATCCGCATGGGTAGTAAGGCTTGTCATTGCTGGAAGTGATGGGCTTGCAGTCACCGCCATTGATCTGAGACCTGCAGAAGATCTTGAGTATATGCCTTCGCATAGTCCAAAAAGCTCACAATGATCGATAATCCCCCTTGAGTTGACTTGCGTCAAAGCTCATGGCGTACCTCCGGTGGTTTTGATAGCTAGTAGCGATACATGAGCCATGCTCTATATCCGTCAGACAGAGACACTTACTAGTTGCTCAACTTGTAGTACAAGAAGACGCCAGGACCTATCAAATTCGCCCATCAGCGCTGCAAATCGTACATGATCTCATAACGCACCCAGGTCATAAGGAACTTCAAACTCGATCTCGCACTTGGCTTGTTCACCAACGGCACGAGATGAGTCGTTGCTGAAGGTCCAGGTGGGAGAAGAAATCGAGCTTTTCGAAACGGAAGATGAAGTTGCCAAGTTATCTACTTGGAAGTCAGTCGCGGAAATTTCTTGAGTTTGTGGTGCTTGCTCACAGTTGTAAGCATCGCTAGGCATAGTCTGGAAGCTACCATCTGTGGGAGCACTAGCATCACACTGGGTGTAGTCTAGCGTTATTGTCGTCACTTTGCCGCTGCCCCACACTATAAGTCCTCCTATGGGGGCGAAGATGATGCCGATGATGAACAGCGTAGGTATCACGGCCTTGGGAGTGAGGATCGGCTGCCATGCCTTGAGTCGTTGTTGCTTGAAAGCGGTATCTTGAAGTACAGGTGAGTGTTGGAAAGAGGACGATATGACAAGACGTACTGGCCGGCCTCTTTGACCATTTCACTTTCTCCTTCTCAGTGGGAGCGTCCTCGCCTTCGGTGGCTACCTTGGGTTTGCGGTTGAAGATCGCCATGGCGGGGGGGCGGCGCTGACTCGACGGGCTGGATGGATGAATGAGACACAAAGTCGCCACAAAGTCGCCACAAAGTCACCGCCCTCGGTCATTGCCCGACGCGCAGAAAGTGTTTACGTCCCCGCGCCTGCGCACCTTCGTCGTGTGTTCATTAGGCGCGCCACACATTGCCTCGCCAATTCGACTGCTTTTGCAACGTTGAGGCAGCGGGAACCCCACCAACAATTACAGGCGATGTCGCCCTTGACTTCGGCAGTGCTTGGCGTCAGGTGATTATCTCCGCGAAGTACTTCAACAGTAAGTGCGGTGCTATGGAGAGACGGCGAGGAGTGTGGGCAAGTGCATGTGGGTCCACTGTTTCTGGCATGCATATCATGATACGTGTACATATAGAGACTACAAAGAGTGTCAAAAGTGTGCTTGGAAGAATGGCGAGCTCCGTGACAGTATCGACATCAGGCGAAGACAAGTTTTCGCGATACGCTGTCTCCTACAGGAGTTTCTGCCTTACGCTTCAGTCCCTGGTTGGAATCGGTCAACGGTTTTCCATTGAGTTCATCAGGCGCCAGAGGCCTGGCACGAAGCTCGGCAAGAGGCTTGGGAAGGAGCGCAGGTGGAGTAGGAACTGGATAAGAGCCGAAGAACGAATGGTTCAATGCCTTGAGATGTGACTGTCAACATACCGCAGTCTCAAGATGTCTAGATGACACTCACAATCTTTGCGGAGGGGCGTAGTCGAGGATCAAATTTGAGCAGATCCCGTGCCAGATCTTGGCCGTCTTTGCCGATGGAAGCAATCAGGCCCCACCACTGATTCTTTGGGAAAGAGCCAACATCGTGGTAATCTGGGAGTTTGGTGTGACCCTATTGCCGTCAGCTGAGCCCTTGTTGGAGAAAATGCTAGCTCACTGGCCATTCTTGCTCCGACGGTGTCCCCATGGCGTGGAAAGTTTTCTTCAATTGGTCTATATCGGTCTCCCCGGCCAAGAAGGGAGTGCGTAACACCAACTCGACTAATATTGTGCCCATTGACCATATGTCCACCGCGGGTGAGTAATGGCGCGAGCCAAACAGAAGCTCGGGGGGGCGGTACCACCTGCATTTGTGTCAGTACACAACGCAAACACAATAGTGAAGCGCTCTCACCTAGTTATGACTTGACATGTCATCTTGCTACCAGCATCTGCAAATTCGCGTGCCAGGCCGAAATCTGCTATCTTCAGCTCCCCGCTGGCCGCAATCAGCAAGTTGTTGGGCTTCAAATCCTACGAGGATGGTCAGTCAGTCCGGCTTCCGGGATCCTCCGCTACGCGTACTCGATGGAGTACACCATTGCGGTGGATATATTCTAGCCCCCTCAAAGACATCACCATCCAGCTCTTGATGTCAGCATTCTGGAAAATCAATGCCGTATCTCGAATGACAGCTTCGAGGTCGGTATCAAGAAACTCTAAGACCAGATTGACGTTCTGTTTGACTGAAAAGACATCGAGAAGCTACAATATCCGTTAGTATCTGGTCTGGCGGGCCGCTTGGGGTGCTTATGCTCACAGCAATAATGTTGGGGTGTTTCAATTCTTGCAGGAACTTGACTTCCCGCAGAGCGGTCACATCCAGCCCATGTCTCATTTCTCCGACTTTGATCTTTTTGATAGCAACTGCAATCGAATCAGCAAATGCACGTGCACAAGAGCAAGAAGCCAGACATACTCTTTCGTCCGGTACTCTTCTCTTTACCTGTATGACTGATCAGTCTTGCGCACTATCTAAAGCGTTTCTACTACTAACCTTTATATACATTGGCAAAGGTTCCCTCTCCGATCTTGATGCCTTTGTCCCCTATCGCCAAGGTCAGCATGATATCACCTATCGAATGTCTGGGCAGCCTCACACCTGTCAGCCCTTTCCGAATTTTCCAAGGCTGCAAGATCCATTATTGCGGTGGTTGAAACCCGATGATGGATTGAAGACGCCGAGGAATGCGAGAGAGAACGACGCGCCGACTGAGAATTATGGGGCGGGTGAAGAGACCACAAGCGATAGGCCTGGTATGAGATGGGTAGCCGACGATGGAACACGACGTTTTCAGAGAGGCTATAGTAAGCTCAAAACACATCCATTTTGTTGTCAGCTGGATGATGGCCGCCGGGGCGCCGCGCTGCTTCAGATTAACAACAAAATTAATAATATCAAATTACCTTGGCGTTGTTGGCGCCACGGACCAGACAATAATACGGCAGAAATCAAGACAGAAAAGGATTCTTGACGGGAGAGAATGCACACCGCATCGCAGCCAAAATACGGGACTGTTTGGGACCAAGATATATGACTAATTCAGCTGATTATTCGCTTCTGATACTAAAATGATCTCTAGCTCATTACTTCTGACGCCGCCTCAGAACGACGAGACATCACTTTCGAGAGATGCCATCGGCCAATAATGACATGCAACGACGTCTGCTGACTAATTGTCTTATAAACATATGTATGAATGATATAGTGTCTCGCACCATATGACTTCCCTCCTTGAGAACATGCAGGAAGACATGTATGTAAGCTTCCAAGGTTGTCTAGCTTGGGCTCTCATCGGCTTTGCCTACCTCTTCTCACTCTGCAAGCTGGTATCATTCGTCGGGTCTTGGTGGCGACCGAGGCTTTAACAGAGGAATCTGAGGAGTGGGGACCGAGAGCGCGCCAGCAGGACTAGCAACCCTGCGTAAAGGCGGTAGGTGAAGAGAGGAAGAGTAGCGGTCTTCTGACCGCCGGTGACCGTGTTGAGAATGTTGGGAGTGTTGAGAAGCATACAGGCTCTGGTCACTCCCAGTAACAGAGGAATGGCCCGAGCTCTGTGACTGCAACGACGAGTGAGGAGATGGGTATGGGTAGGACGGTCGCGATGACCAGCTTCGATGATGCTCCAATGGCTGGGTGTAGGTTAGACCCACGCCCGAATTTGATTTGAACATGACTCACAGGGGCATCGCGTGCTAATCCTGGACGTATAACGTCATCCTCTACACGCTCCTCCTGCATCCTCCATCTCCTGAACTCGTCTCGAAGAGCCTTGTTCTCTTCACGTACCTCTCGTAATTCCTCCTCTAACCCAGCATTGACCTTCTCAAGGTGGCGAATACGAAACTCGTGATCCTGGTGGACATCGTGACATTCTGGAGCCAGGGGACCAGCGACAGGCGAAAGGGGGTTTGAAGGCATATGCTTGGTGGATGGAACAGCACCAGGCCAAGACGCAAACTGATCGTAGTGAGGTCTGAGGCCAGACGTTGGCAAGGAGCCTAACGAGCCTTCGTGAACGGGGCCGTCATAATCCCCTATACGCCCTTGTAAGGCTCTGTTGGCCTGTTCAAGAGACCTTATCTTCTCCTCCAAACTATCCTGATAGCCCTTCTTCCTGCTTCTGAAGCGTTGCGCGGCGAGACGATTGGCTTCGCGTCGACGCGCCGTGACTGTGTCTTCTCCCGAGCCACGGGCCTTCCGCGAGCCTGATGGTCCATATTCTGCCTCTGGAGATAAGCCATTGTCGGAGTCGGGGTAGTGATGGCTTCGATAATCCTCTGGTGAAAGCGCCGCCGACGACGAATGCATTGCATGGGAGGCAGAATGAAAGTCAGGCGTTTGGCCAAGCAGGGCTGTCTGGCCGACATCTGCTTGGGGCGGCTGTTGGTCGGTCTGGCCGGTGTCGTTGTGAACGTTCATGGTGGTGTTCCTATGACTGTTCTATCCAAAGTCAGCTCGATCACTGTTCGCCCCAGCACCCAACATCGGAGCACAATTAGGCGAACTCGGGTTGAATGACCGTACCGTGAGAAAGGAAAGGATCTTGACTATGTCGAAAAAGATGCCGAGATCACTTGAGGCCCGGAGGCGATCTTGAGAAGCCCCTTCTGAGTACGTTATGGCTGGCTCGTGACATGCAAATCTCAGAAGGGCAGCGACAACCGTTGGGGGCTAGAGTGCGGGGCGGGCCCGGCGATATCGGCTCTGCGACGACGCAGGGAGTGGCTGATGGTGCTGGGGGGCGCGGGGTGTGCGAGAAGGGCAATAACTGGGATGGGGGCTAAAGCAGGGTGGTGAGAGGAGAAGATGGCCTTTGATCTTTTGCGGGTTGTTTTTTGAGGCACGCCTGCTACATCATTTACACCAAGGCCTGATTCCAGCAAAGCTTATTCGTCGCTTAGTCCATGCCCACGTGGCGGCGTTCGGCGCAATCGTCACCTGGACCCGATCCATCAAGATTCCAGAAGATCCCTCTTTCTCCCAATTTCCCGTAGTCTCCGGTATCCCATGTTCAGGTTGTTTGTGCACTCCTGTGCTCGGGCACGCAGGTTTCCAGGTGCGCCGCAAGGCTGGACGGACCACCGCGGTCTCCCCATATCTACCATATACAGAGCATACGCTAGCACTACATGGCTCCCTTTTTTATGAAACTTTTCCCGCTACTCAGCATATATGCAGCCGCCGCGCGATCACATATTTACAGGCGCTCCAGAGGTCACCATGTCCCCACCAGTACACATGTGTATGACGGACAGACCACCAAGCAAAAGTCAGAACGCGTTGATAACCTCTTCAATAGCATACAAGTACATATGTATAGCAGCAGATGCAGACAGCAGCTTACGTCTCCAGCGCGCTTACGTGGGACTTGCGGTATATTACACCACGCCTCCGCCCGCTGACCGGCCGCTGATCGCTGACTGACTGGTCATGGAAAAAAAATGCACGCTATGACCCTCATTATTTCGTATACATACCATGCAGAGAGATAGGGACACACGAGTTACAAAGGCAGCGGACCCAGGAGGCAGGCAGGCAGACGCACCCCGCACTGCCCGCAAGCCACAAGGCGTCGCGTCGCGGGAACTCTCGGCTGACTGGACTTATTAAGGTACAACAGATATGAACTTCCCTCGAACCCTTATTTTGTCCATTGTCTCCACCTGGTGCATGGGTACTCCGTGGCCCTGCTGCTGTTTCCAAGTTTTTAGTCGCTTCAAGTTCAAGACCCAGCATCCAATGTAGCTAGCAAGGTGCTTAGTCACTTATGAATCGGAGCACGCTCGTCAGAAGATCCAGGAGATAAGCTTGCTTGTCATGGAACATAGATATATATATTGACTGTATTATCGGACAGGAAGCGAAACACTTGAGGCCGAGGCTTGGTCCCTCCGCCCCTCGGCCCCGGTTTCAGCTTCCAGTCGGATTTCCTATGAGTGATCGACACGCCAACGAATCCGTGCGCTGTGCGTCCTTTTTGAACAATCGCCAACTAACCTCTGAGTATGTAATCGAGCTGGGAGATGGGAGCAGGAGCATGACATAGGCATTACACGACTACTGAAGCACATCTGGCACACAAATGGTCGACAATTTCCGACTGGTACAGCCAGCAGCGAGGACACTGGTGTTGTGAAGACGGCAAAAGCTTCAAAGATACTCGGGCATCGTCAATTTCAGCATCCACACTTGCAAGAGACTCTCTGGACGAAGGGTCGGTGCCCAATGTAACTCGAGAAACGCCAAAGAGACTCTGAAGTAGATTCGCTGTGTGTAACGATAAGCTGATGTACCGTCCGGGTAACATAGACCGCTCACCATGTCTGCTCAACACAGTATGAGAAATGTCACTTGCTGCTATCCAAAGCTCAGTCTCTGACGACATCTTGACGTGCCTACCACATTTGTCAGGGTGTACTTGTTATAATACATTATGCACAACTCACTTGGCTGCACGCGCTTCTTCCACAAGTTGTGAGACAAGAGGCTTTATGGCGAGTAAGTAGCCCACATCCTTTTGCAAGGCCGGGTCTGACCAAGCATCCTACCAGGTTGTCATAATGAGCTAACGCCCGCTGCAGAAGAGGCTAACTCACGCTCGGTTCCCAAGTCCCAAGAAATGCAGAAGAGTCTTCCAAAGCGTCGATGTTCTGGTACAGCTCTTCCGCCAAGTGAGGGATGATGGGTGCCATGATTTGAATCATGCGTTTCAGAACCTAAAACAGCCGTGAGTAAACCGTCCTTTTACGTTTGAAGAGACACACAGTCTGTAAGACCGCAACAGTGGCCAGCCGAGCCGGGCTGTCGAGTTTTTCACAGTAGAGAGTGTCCTTGACGATATCAAAGTATAAGGTGGACAGTGTTGAAACGGCAAAGGTGGAGAGAGCATTGACCACTACAATAAGATAAGCTTATTTCGCATATGACCCCGTGAGATACCCACCTTTGTTGAAAGTGTAACTGTCATATCCAGCCAAAGCCACCAGCTCCAAGTCATGCAATTGATGCAACACATAGCGGTCAATCTATCTCAATCAGCCCATCTCCCAACATGTTCCTGTCTTTAACTTACAGCTCTCAGTTCCACGTCCTCCAAAGACACCTCCTCATGCTCCGATGTATTGGCAAGTAAGAACCTGGCAGTGTTTCTCAGTCTTCTGAGCGTTTCGCTAGCGTGAGATATAGAAGAAGGTCCTATGGAGGCGTCACAAGTATAGTCTACTGATGCCGCCCAAAGCCGTAACGTATCAGCCCCGTATGCCGGAGAGTCCTATGCAATATTAGCTCTCTTCCACAGCAGAAAGCGAAATGAGAACTGACTCCGAGTCCATGAATGATCTCCATGGGCGACAACCCATTTCCAGCTGACTTGCTCATCTTGTCTCCTTTCTCATCCATCACGAATCCATGCGTGATGACCGTCCCATACGGTGCGCGCCTGTCACTCGTACTAGTGACCTTCGTGAGTAGAGAAGACTGGAACCAGCCTCGGTGCTGATCTGAGCCTTCGAGATACACGTCTGCCAGTGGCAGCTCTGGATCACGGATCTTGCTATCTCTCAGGAGCGTCCAAGACGAGCCGCTGTCAAACCAAACGTCCAGGGTGTCAACGCCCTTGCTGAGCCGCTCACCCTTGCGAGAAGGGGGAACGAAGTCATCAACAGGGCCAGACCACCAGTGGTCGGTACCTTTACTCTTCATAACTTGGATAACATGGGCGAGGGCATCGGCGTCCGTCACTGGGTCTCCGTGGGAGTCGAAGAGGACAGGTATGGGCACGCCCCAGCTCCGTTGTCGGGAGATGCACCACTCATTTCTTGACAGCACAAAGGCCTCCAGGCGTTTCCTCGCTGTGTCTCGTCAGCCGACCAGTTGATATGTAGCGATGAAGACTCACCTTGCGGCGGATGGAAATGTACAGCCTTCAAAGCGTCCAGAGCATCGTCCTTGATGTGTTCAACATCAGCGAACCACTGGGGAGTGGCACGCATAATGATCGGTTGTTTCGATTTCCAGTCGTACGGGTAGCGATGTTCAATGATCTCATCACCTAGCAGTACACCCTCCCCCCGGAGAAGCTCCACCATCGTCTTCGTGCCTTCTCCCAACACTGCCTTGCCCACCAGAGCCCTGAACTTCTCATCCTCCACCCAGCTCATCAGCTCATCGGTGAAACAGCCAGCATCATCTACAGGGCATCTCAACTTGTCGGGCAAGATCCCAGCATTCTTGAACGCTACATAGTCCTCATGGCCATGTGCAGGAGCGGAATGGACCAGGCCTGTCCCTGTCCCAGCTGTGACATGACCCCCTGCAAAGATTTGAGGTTTGGGGGAGGGAGAAGAAGGGGGATGAAAGATGTGGGTGTAGCGAGAACCGACAAGCGACGAGCCTTCAGGTTCCTGTTAGTCCGCTGCTCCGTTGGCGTCAGGGGACGAGGGCACTTACCTGGGAGGGAACCCACCACAGTCAGGTGTCCGAATATCCGCTGCAGATCTGCCACTCGATCGTTAGCGATGACCAAAAGTCGGCCGTGATCGTTTCTGACGACATTGTATGTCAGATTCTCGTGAACGGCCACGCCCTACAAGGCCTGTAAGCACCGGACATGCGTGGCTCCTAAAATACCCCTACAGAGTTTCCTGGAAGCGTCCATGGAGTCGTAGTCCAGATAGCCAAATCTACCCCCGAGCTCCCGCTCTTATGTCGCGAGTAGATAGCTCTCAAGCCCTCAGACATGTCCTCTTCTTGTACAGGGAAAGACACGTAAACGGAATGTGACTTGTGACCATCTCTGTATTCCAATTCGGCTTCTGCGAGTGCAGTGCGGGATGATGGGGAGTAATATACCGGCCGGAGGCGGTATTGGATGAGTTCTTCGAGTGGCAGTCAGCTTCTGGGATATGCGAGCAAGTGTAGAGAGACGCACCTTTTTGGATCATGGTTTGAAAGAGTTGAAGTTGTCGAATTTCAAAATCGTGGTCTATATCTTCATCAGCAAACGATAAGGTAAGGCTGGCTGAGCATGACTCACCGAGCGTGCGATAAGTACCGTCCTTATGGTCCCAATCCGCCATGATGCCTAGAGCCCGCATTTCCTCTTTTTGAACATCTATGGCACTGAGAGCGACTTGTCGCGCTTCAGCTCTGACTTGGCTCGGGGTCAAAGACGTATGTGACTTCTAAGACTTCTCATAAGCTTCTCAGCCCGGAATGTCGCGAATAACATACTCCTATAGCAGCGAGTGCTTTCTGTTCAATGGGCAACCCATGAGTGTCCCATCCAGGTACGTAGCTTGACCACGATCAGCATATATCGCCATGGTGGATATCTGGACTAACTGGACTCGATGGCCTCTTATGACCTTATACCTATTGATGATATCCTTCAATACTTTATTGAGTGCATGACCTGTAATATGATTAGTCGCATGCATTGCCCGAAGATGGTCAAACTTACCCATGTGGAGATGGCCATTGGCGTAAGGGGGGCCATCATGAAGCACGAACGCCTCCCTAGGGTTACTCGCCAGCTGGTAGATTGATGAGCTTTCAGTTGGTCTTGCGCTGAGCCAGACACTATGCTCACCTGCTTCTGATAGAGCTGATCGCAGGTCTTCCGTCTTTGAAGTTTCTCCGCTGCCACGATGTCTTTGTGTCTGAGAGGAAATGAGGTCTTTGGTAGCTTCAAAGTATGGCTGAATGCCTTCTTTTTCTCTTTTGGTGACAGGCCAGCGACGGAGGTGGTCGCATAGCGAATGTGGTGGATGGACGGGGAGGGGAAGAGCTGTGAGCGGAGGAGGAGCGAGGAGCGAAGGAGACGCGACATGACAGCAACAGGAGTGGATGTACGGCTGCCCGCTCTCTGCAAAGGGGCTTTGTGTCAGGCGTGTAACGGACAGGTCTGACCCAAGTTGACTTTTCCAGGTGAACGCGATGAGTGGAGGACGGTGACCGTGGGAGAATGCGCTTGTTTGGCCACCCGGCCGCCGTGAAAAGGTGACTGGACTCCAACTGGACTCGTACCTCCCGACACTTTTGTCCTATCCATACATATAGATCATCCAACATGGGCAATCGGCCTCTCCCATCGAAGGGATCCGCATCTTGTGAGCACCCGTGTGGGTATCCTACTGTCTATCTGACAATGTGTCAGCAAGGAGCGAGGACGACTTTGAGCGAGAATCAAAGGCAGAAGCAGCCGCATACTTACTCGAGAACAGGACAAAAGGGGGTACAAGAGGACGCAAACCCGGGAGGGAGAGGATATCTGGGGCCAAGGACTCAGCTGCGTAGGTCTAGTACATCGCATGATACTGGAAATAACACTGTGCAGCCATCATATGAAACCCGCCGGAAATGAACGGATTGTGCTGGACTACGATGGTCGTATGTATACTTTGTGAGCCACTGACAACCTGTATTCATTTTGATTCTGTAGAGGTGCAGCTGGGATTCAACCCCCTTTTCCGCCTTGCGGGTGAGTTGTTGGGTTCCTTGCTGCCGAAAGACTTCTTACCCTCGTTGCCAGGGCTAGACAGTGATGGAGATGACATAGAAGCTGCTGGCGGGCATAGCCAGAGTCATGGCGCGGACGGTCATTCTCCTTCAATGAATTTCCTCCATATGCTGACAATTTCTAGAAAGGGGCCCCATTGTGACTAGAGAAGAGGAAGAAGAGAAATACAGCGATGAAGAATTCGGCCCACCCGAACCCCGCCTCGCAACCCCACACACTGCTGCTGGCGGCGAAGGAGAAGATGAAGAGGTTTATTCCGACGAAGATATATCCCTTGCCACGGTGAATTATCCTTCGAACAGCTCGGTACCTTTCATCCAGCCCAAACTACCAAATACGTTTTTGGACTTCGACTCTCTCGACGGAATCCCTCCAGTTAAACCCGCTTTCAATGTACCACCCTCATTGCTTCCGGCCGCCCCTTATATTCTCAACAAACACACCAAAGACATCTACGTTCCCGCTCACCTGAACCAGTTCTTGAAGCAATACCAGAGGGAAGGGGTGCAGTTCTTATTTGATCGGTATCAGGCTGGTTGGGGAGGAGTTTTGGGAGATGACATGGGGTATGTCATCGCTGGTCCCACTCGTAAGAGCCTGTCATTGACGAAAGCTTAGACTGGGGAAGACCGTCCAGGTGATCGCATTCGTAAGCCTCCGCATTCCTGTCATCGGGCTTGACTGACGACCACCAGCTCTCCGCCATAATGCGAAAGAGTGCCTCAGCTGCTCAAGACTACGGAAGACGGAAGCGCACGTTACGTCAAAGTGGAACGGGGACCATCAGCCCACAGCGCTGGCCAACAGCTTTGATCGTCTGTCCAAAATCTCTAATAGGCAATGTGAGTCCACATATAGATTGCGGCTATTACGTGCGGGAGGTGACGGATCCGGTCGCAGTGGTCTCGTGAGCTGGACACTGTGCGTGCATCAATGGGTTGAGCATTCTGGTGTTCTGATGGCGGGCACAATAGTGGGGCTACTTTGAATACGAAATTCTGGGTCCCGACAACTCGGAAAAGACTCGTACTGCTTTGGCCAAAGGCTATCTCGACATCCGTAAGCCTGCGACGATAATCAGATGGGAGAAGTGCCGACACGCGTTATAGTACTCATGTCGTATGATACTATGCGAGGCCATATCAATGATGTCAAGGATCTCCCCTTCACGTAAGTCATTTCCATCTACTTCGACCGTCGAATATTAAATCTTCTCCTTCTCAGCGTTCTCATAGCCGACGAAGCTCACCGCCTCAAGGAGCCACGCAGCATGACAACAGTGTCCATAAAAAAGATCCAGACCCGAATATGCTTTGCTTTAACCGGAACATTAGTGCAAAATAGGATCGATGAGATGTGGTCTGTCCTTGACTTTGTACGTTGCATCTCTCTCATCGACAAGCGCGTGCTATTCTGAAATACGAGAAGGCTCATAGAGGCTGGGCCGGCACCTCCCAAGAATGGATAGACTTTGTGGTAGATCCTATCAAGACTGGGCACCAGTCAGAAGGCACGGCGCAGCAGGTGGTTGAAGCTATCGTAAGGAACCTCCCCAGCCCTTGTTGATTCTGTTGGCAGCCACTAAAGAGAGTGATGTGATTGCAGCGTCGGCTAGGTATCATGACCACCAAGGTTTTACCTCATTTCTATCTGCGCCGAGATAAGACACTCTTGTCTGATATCGTGAGCCCAACCACCCCGTTCATCGCTCTCAAGGAACATTTCTCACTTTTGCTTGATTCTCTTCGACTAGCTACCCAGAAAGACAGACCTTGTTGTGTTTTGTCCCTTGACCGGTAAGCAACAAAAAGCCTACACAAACATCTTAGCCTGTGATGGTACATGCTTCGTTTTTTTTTTGTCTACATCACTGATCATACTTGATCAGAGATCGCCAGGCTCAAGCAGCTCAACGCCCCCTGTCCTTGTGGTTCCAGGAAACGGTGCGTCTAGCCTATGAGTTTGCCCCCTGTGATCAAATTGACTAAAGTCATTATCTGGTAGTTCTGCGCGATGTTGCCAGTTGGCTGAGGAACAGGATCCCGCTGAAGTGCTATTCAAATTGTAAGCTCTATTGTACTGGCCCACCATTCAAGTTGCTAAGTGAGATATTTTCGGGAAGCATGACTGCCCTGTCCAAAGTTGCTAATGTGATTTTCCCTCTACCGTTCATCGATTGAAACGACTTGCTGACCTTTGCCAGCATTTTGGTCTTCTGTATCCAGGTATGTCATCGTTGTCTCCTGTATTGGATCCACAGAATTGATTCTATCACAGCAAGAGACGACCTCGTGACAGTGAGACTTCTCTCGGTCTGTTGCTGCTCCGGAGGCTGATTGATCTGTCAGAGAGAAACGAACATCTTCTTTTACAAAATTTGTGTGAGCTCTGAATTGTGGTGCGAATTCTGGCATCATCTGCTGATGCCCTGAATGCCAGACTGGATCCGACACTGTCTCAAAAGAGCTTTCCAGTATGCAAGCTGCCCTGTAAGTGTCATTACTCGTGCTTATAACCTGCCAAACCAAGCCGAGAGATGCTGACAGATACAGTGACACCGACAATTGTGGCAAATGGAAAGTAGGTCAACATGACGGCAATGCGTTTACTCATTTGCCGATTGCTTTGCAGGTGCTAGAAAGGCTTTTGACACAATGGAGAGCTGAGCCTTGCAAAAACAAAAGTGCGCTTCTCTTCCTCGTTGTGACTCTGTGATATTTGCGCTTATGGTATTTTGCTGGCTAGTCCTCCTTTTCTCAAGCTCGGTTCGTCTCCTCAAAATGCTGGCCAAGCTTTTGCGAAGCTCCTCTCTACGTAAGGCGCCTCGATGATATGCATGATTTGGCTGACTCATTTCCAGTCTCCAGCTTCCCTGTAGATATGCTTACAGGAGAAGTGGATATCGAGGAACGTATGAGAATGGTTGACCGTTTCCAGGATCAAAGGCAAGACCACTTTGTTCTCCTGATCAGCACCAAAGCAGGAAGTGTTGGACTAAACCTCACTGCGGTAAGCTCTTTTCACAAGTGGGTCTGGTGGGTAGTGCGCTGATTGTGTGGAAGGCGAACAAAGTGGTCATCTTTGACCCAAGCTGGAGTGAGTTCTCGATGTCATTTCTGCTACCGAGTTTCAGCTGACGATAGCAGATCCTGCGGATGACCTTCAGGCAATGGATCGAGCTTTCCGAATCGGACAAGAACGACCTGTGTGAGTGACACTTCAGAGTCCATTATGAAGCACACTCACGCATGGATTCCAGGGATGTCTGCAGGCTCATTGCCCTCGGGACTATCGAAGAGGCAAAATACGAGCGCCAAAGTATGTTCCTTTCTTTTCGGCTTGGTCCTCCTCAATTGATGAGCCAATGTACAGTCCACAAACAGCAGAATGCAAAGCAATTCAATGATGGCACTTTCGAGCCCCGCCATTTTCAAGGTTATGATGGTGCTTCCACTCTAGATGCACAGGGAGACCTGTATGGTGCCCATAATCTGTTCAGATATGAACCGAATGGGTTCGTTGCTCAAAATGTGAGCTTGATTTACGATTATGTGTCCCGTTTAGCAACCTCCTCGGGCGTATCACTATGTGGGATTGGTTTCACTGACTATCGAGAATCAGCTGAAGGATGGGATCTGTGATGCCGGAGACGCATTTTTGGAGGAGGATCATGAAGACGACCAAGAGGGCGAGGACGATACTCACGAGGTAACGTACTATGCATGTTCCGACTGGAGCCCTATCTGACACTGGGATAGGGCAGTGACCGAGTGAAGCAGGGTGGCTCGCAGCAGAAAAAAGAAGGACGCTCAGCAGATGAGCACGCAAAGGCTTTGATGGAAGATGTCCTGGGGCTCTCGGACAATCCTGTAGCTACCGGTAAAGTAGCTAAGGACATACTGGCCGAACTAGGACTCACTAGTGTGTTATCAACTCTTGTATCGCAACACGGAAACTCTCGCTCACGTACACTTAGGCATTGTGCATGACAAAGCCTTCCAGGATTCTCCTGAAGAGCGACATATCTATGAATTGGGTGTCAATGTAAGTGTTGAGGTGTCATGGCCGGCGCAGCAGCTCAAATTGAATGTAGCTCCTCCGCGACAATCCAGAGTTGGCTAAGACTATGAAAGCAAACGAACTTGCCCCAAAGAGAAAGAAGCGTCCACGGGAGATTGCCGGTGGTAATTCGCACAAAGTCAAGAATGGTGGAAGGCAAAAGTTGAGTGAGAAGGCATGGAAGCGACCGCGAGGGTCGAATCAAACAAGGATTGAGCTGAGTGACGAGGAGTGACTGTAACCATGTGATAGCTGTACATCTCCATCAATAGCTCTATGAATGACATGAAGCTAGACAGCGACGGCGAGATTCGCGCGCATCATCTAGTCTTGAATATCCTGTCGGGGATGTCCTCTCCGTCGATATGACGACGAACATTCTCGCTGCGGAGAACGCCCATTGGGTCCACGCGCTGCAAAATGTTCTGAAAGTCCTTGAACTTGGGGTACATGACTTCAAGACTCTTGGGACCTAAAGTGTGTTGCTTGGCCCAATGAGGTCGACCGCCATGAGCAGCCACGAGCGCTGCGAATTTCTCGTGAAACTTGCGATAGGGCACGGCAAGGCCGTAAGGTCTAGATCAGAGTCAGCCAATACTCAAATATTCAATGCTCTGCATGTTCTGTGCTTACCTGTAGGTCACGACACCGATCCAACACGTCTCGCGGCCATAGCAGGGGCTGAGCCAAATGTCATCGGCGGAAGACCATCGGATTTCAATAGGGGAATGGAGACGAAGACCATTCGCATCTGCTGCCTCGCGGTCTAACCATATCTGCATTTCTTGTAGACATGCTTTGGTTTCCTTCGCGTCGATTGCCCACTCGAGAGCATATTGAGGGAACTACCGATGGGTTAGAATATCACTGGATGTTCCAAGGGAAGCGTACCAGACAGTCAAAGTTAAGCACCTTGTATCCATCATCGACCACTTCGCTATCCGTCTTTGACAACCACCAAGCCCATCTGCCCACCGCGGCGGTCAACGAAGGAAAGATTCTTGAGAGGTAAAGGAAGAATTGAGTAACATGGAAGCCGAGGAAGTGAGCTGTGAGCGAGGGAGAGCTTTGCTTAGGCTACAGTCATATCAATTTGAGTACTTGGGTATTCAGATGAGTGGAACCTACATCTTGAGTACGATTCGCTCTGCCAATCACTGCTCCTTTGCCGTCAGGATACCACCAGACCCTGACATGTTCAGCGCTGTCTTTGATGGTATCCAACTGCGCCAAGACCTCCCCAAAGCTCCTCCCTTCTTTGGTCTCTCTGAGTCTAAACGCCGGTTCTACCTCTACCTCCACCTCGAGAATGAGACCCGTAGCCCCGAGACCGCAAAGACTGGCCTTGTACAGATCGGGGTCTTGGGTGGCTGATACCGTGACCACAGGTACATCAGGGAGGGGGAGTGCGATCTTGAGAGACTTGACGTGCGCAGAGAGAATGGGGAACGATGTGCCGGACCCATGGCTTGCTGTAGAGATCAAGCCCGCTATCGTCTGATCCGAGATCGAGCCGACATTGCGCATCGCGAGAGGAGGAGATGCGTTTCCGAGGAGTCGGTGGATTTCATGGAGGGTGGTACCGGCGTGAAACGTGGCGGTCATATTATCGTGATCAGTCTGGAAGAGCACAGTCAGCTGGTAGACACGAGATGACCTTGTAGCGCATACCATACCTTGATCAAGCCCTTGACGCCCTCCATCTTTACCAGCCACCCATTTGTCAAGGACAAGTCCGATGGAGAATGCCCCACACCAATGGGGTGAACTCGGGCACCCTCTCGCCTTGCAAGCTCCAGGATCTGCCGACATTGCAAAGGCGTTGTGGGAAGCAATACGCGTTGAGGACGACAGACAAAGGTCTTTGCCCAGTTGGTGAATTGGGCGGAGGGAGCGCCGCGGGGTGCGGTGATGGGGCGGAGAGCTGCCTCGAGGGCGGGGGTGTCTACGCTGCCGAGGTCTGCCATCGCTGGTGATGTGCTGTAAATTGCGCGTAGAGAGAACGACGAGATCGATGGATGGTGTGCTCGCCGTCGGGGTGGCCCGATCGGAGATTCCGGAGTCCAGCCTTGAGCTTTCAAAGTCGATTGAAACTATCTGCACAGTATTGCCTCGAGTCTGACACGAGCCACAAATGCTAGATGGCGGACCAGGATCTCGCCGTAGCCCTATGTGTCGGGCGGCAGAAGCACCAGACTCACATACGTACATCTGTTCTAAATATCACGCGTCGGCCTGCTCCTCGGCGTACGAGACATCTGTCGGGGGGTTTGCCTCTCAAGCGGTATATATATATACAGGGGTACAACAGCAACATCAGCATGAGGTGTATTCTAGGGTGCTCCTTTTCGAGATGCTCCTGGGCCGAAACGAGAGAGAGAAAGACTAGACGGGGCAGAGTATGGCGCATTGAACTAGATGTTTACCGAGTGGGGAGGAATTTGGCGCTATAGTAGTGACATGAGACATCACGAGATCCCTTGTCAGCTCATTGGTAGCAATCCTCCTATTGTAACAACTCACGTCTCAGCATACATTTGATCGTCTGTTCTCTGGACATGGTACGACATCAACCAGTGCATCAACAAACGCATCGCTGCAACTCACTCGGAAAACAATGATCCCAGCAAATATTGCGCTCGTAAACACCAACACATCATAGATAAACCATAGTATGGCCCAAGCTAGAGATAAGCATTAGCATACGCTCAGTCAGCGTGGGAAATCGATGCTTACAGCTTGTGGGCCATCCCAGCAGTTCTGAAAACTGGGCGCAATCAGAGGTGTTGCGTTTGTCGAACAGTCTCTCGTCAATATAGTCCCAAACGACGTAGAATAGATTCATCATGCCGACAAAGATGACTAGTACCAGATAAGAAAGGCTGTAGTATGAACAGTAGGGTAGACATACCATAGAAGCGAAGAGCCTGTGATCCTACTGTGAGCATTCTCGTCCCTCAGTCAAGGATGGCTTACATTTCCGTGGTCACCGAACCATAACCCAACGAGAACGGCCTCGCAGACAACGATGCTGGCAAAGGCTCTGGAAGAAAGCATCAGTTGATGACCGACAAAACCATCGCTGGAACAAACTTACATCCAGTGATCGGCGCGCATGATTGGCACTAGTAAGCCAAAGTGTATGACTAGCACACATGCTTTGGAAGCCACAATGTCGACTGATCATAGTGAGCAAAATTTCATTTCCAGCACGTCTGGCTCAAGCTCACATCCGCAAAACTGCAGCACCGGTCAACACAAGCCATTGTCGGGCAACCGAAGCAGAGTTTGACTCACGACAAATAGAAAACCAATTATGGATGACCCGATATACCCAGAAGACAAGGTAATCAGAGCCGAAGGACTCCAGAACAATTGAGGATATGTCGGCATAGCGTATGGATCTCTCGGAATTCGTGGGGTGGTTCGCATGAGACCCATTACATGAGTAGCGCCTCCGTCGTTCGGATCGATACAGATGCTGACCACTTGCCCACCACATAACAGCCCAGCCGCCAGGTGAAATAGTTCATGGAGGCCAACGGTGAATAGCTGCGAGCGGGAATGGTCAGTATCGTACATGGTGACCAGGCAGGCCACATGCCCCTCACCTTCAGCCCTGCTATTACATCCCTCAGGATGGGGATGTTCCAAGCTATGAGGATGGCCACGAACATTACGCATGCGCCGATGACAGTGTTTGTCTCTGTCTATCAGCTGCAGCCCGGTAGGTGGGACACGCACGAAATGTGTTGGGGACGGAGTCTGCGCGTTTTGTGAGGGCATGGAGGGTGGAGTTTGTGAGAGCATGGAGGAGTGCGGCATGGTCTGGGGATGTACTGGGCGGCATGGTGGATAGAAAGAGAAGAGATGCATTGCGCTGTACTCACTGTAATACGCTGGACATACTGCCTGTGTGCGCGGTTGAACGACCCTTCTATTACGGATCCCGACCAGCGGCGCCCTCCGCCCTCCATTCCCCGCATAACTCCGCTGCTCCGACTTGATCTTCTGACGTCGTCGTCCATCTCCCAGCCGCACCCAAAATGTCTGCCCCCCAAGCCCCCCAAGTCCCCCCCGCCCCCATCGCCGCCCCCGTCCCCTCCGAGGACCAGGTCGCCAGGAAGGTGAGCCGACCGCGCGCTGCTCGCTTCTGACACGCTGACGTCCCGTCTCTCAGTTCGACAACTGCGTGAGTACTTTCCGGTCAGATGCTGCTCGGAATAGCCAACGCAGCACCGTCTATGCGGGCTCTCGGCGGTCGGTCACACACATGTGGACTGTAAGCTCATTATTGGTTCTAGGTTGCCGATCTTCTCGTCAACGCTGGTCTCGGCTTTGGCGTTGGTGTCGTCGCTTCTGTCCTTCTTTTCCGACGTGAGTAGATATATCGACTCTGCATCAGGGCTGACTGTGTATACAGGACGAGGATGGCCCGTTGCTCTTTCCACTGGGTAAGCTCAGAAGCTGGTAAATGGACGTCGTCACTAATCACAAATCTCAACCTTACAGCTTCGGTGCTGGTGTCGCTTACTCAAATGTAAGTCCACCGTGTCTCAGGCATCTGTATATCATGCTTATCATCTGGTCTACAAGTGCAACTACTCTCTCAACCCCTACGTCCTCCCCGGCACCAAGGTCCTGCCCTCCCTCCCCTCCAACCGATCCTAAGTATGCGGACGACATATTGAAGCTTCAATCTGATGCAACATGTTTGGAGCACAAAGAACATCTGTAAGAGCTCTGGGATTGAAGCAAAGAAGCGTGCTAGCAAAATGGCACCGTTTTGAGACTGGTCTAGGTCGCGGGCTGCAGACTCGATTGTCTTTGACGCTTGTTGATCAGAAGCGACTGTGTTGCATTTTCATGAGGGCTTCTTATCTTTTCCTTGCACTTCCCAAGGCACTCCACCGACTTGCCCTATCCGTTCATGCGCAATTTTGGGATCGGACACGTCGCGTGGTATTCTCCGTTGCTCCTCCCCCAGATAAGCTGCAGGGACGACTCCGTCAGCTCTTGCATCGGCGTTGCTTCTAGGTAGATACCTCTTCTATACAGTATGGCAGATGTGACCACCAAAAGTGGAAACGATATGATGATAGTCTGATTGAGCACCAAAGTCAGCGCGCGTACAGGACCTGGAGCCATTGCAGGGCGTCAATGAGGCAGCATTTACCCGTAGTCTCTTGGCGTCAGGGTTCAGAGGCGAGCCCATCTTGCTTGCATATGCTCTGGCGTGGTTACAGGCCTTGAGCAAATGAACACACGGCAACACCAGTCAGCTCTCGGCTGCATCCAGTCGATGGCGCGGCGAAACTTGGAAAGTGGTGAACGCCGCCGCCCGCCGCTGCTTTCTCACTTTTCTGACATGAACGAATGTCGAGCAATTGACATATTCCCACTCTCCAGAAGTCCCCATTTCTTCCTCAAGGCAGTGACCCGCTGGCCATACGTCCATCTCCTGCCCCCCGATCACCTCTCAGCTCTTCTCACAAACTATCTCTCCCCATTGTTCTTGACACTGATAGCCTTCGTGTAGTGTAAGTTCCTTTCTGACACTACTAACGATCTCACTCACCTATATGGTCCCATCAATCTGAGCCCCGGCTGACCTAACACTCATCGTCCAGTGATACTCACAGTTATCCAACATAGACCGCTCGTCATCATCCCATCCGGGGCAGAGTAAGCAATCACCGTCCAACGTTGTCCCTGACTGGAGCTGACGATGTCAGTATGAGCTACTATCCCAGAGACCCCTACAGACCTCTCAATCGAGGATACTCGCCGGGACGATGCACCCCTCCAGACAGTCGGGTATCCGCTCCCGCCCCATACCGCCCTCCCTCTTACCACCGCTCCCATCCCACCTCAAGCGCCTATCAGAACGTCTATCAAGACTCGTTCCCTCCTCCTCCATCTCGCTCGCCATACGGATACAGCTCGTCTCAATCAAGAGGAGGCTACGCCGATTCGTACGACCCTTACCAACCTTCTGCATCTGCATACGACCCCGTCGCGCCCCAGATCACTCTACCTACCAACGGCAGCGCTTATCCACCACATCACTCTCTGTCTCCACACACAGCAGATGTCACTCCGCGCCCGTACCACGCCCCATCTAATCAAGCGCAGTCTTCCCCTTCTGTCGCAGTAGCCACTGAGAATGTCATTCGAACCCCGTCGACTACTGTTCAAATATCTGGCTATGCTGCCAACGTCTACACCTTACCACCTAGTCATCTGCCGCTGGTCAAGTATGTCTCGACATACAAACAGGCTGCCCTCGACTTGCATCAACATCTAACCTCGACAAACAACACCGTGTGGTACTCGGGCTCTTGCACGCGGGCCGGTGAAGCTTGGTCGACAGGTCTAGAGTGGGACCCCAAAGATAAGCAGTCTGGGATCAAGACTCGTGGTGTCATCCCCGGCGGAGATTCGCTCGACGCAGAGCTGGGCGGGATCCTCAAATGCGTTGAAGGTTTTCAGGATGCTCTTCACAAGTCGGTCCTAAATGGGACGACTATCGCCAACGAGCTCGTCATCTTTTGTGACTCACAAGCTGCCATCGTCTCCATAGACTCATCGTCCCGACCTGAGGCCATCAGATTCGACCATTTGTGGCGCGAGATCTGCAACGAGTTTCTCTATGCCCATCTAACTCTTGCCTGGATCCCCCGTGACAGCAACCTCGAAGGCTATGTCCTCTCGAGCAAGATTGCGTCCACTTCTGCGGGCAACTCTTATCTCAAGAAAAGGAAAGAGAAGGTGCTTTCTGAAAAATACGTCCTACCGGGAACGAATGATCCAGAAGCTCCAGGTAGCGCGGTGGGTGGACTTTGGCAGACCGGCAATGCGGACCCTTCCAAACCTCAGATTCCTTATCGACGACCTGAGCCTGTACCCCCGAAAATAAGCGTGTCGCCGCCCGTGAAAGGTTCCGACATTCATCTGTTCGACAATGGGCACGAGACCATGACTCTTCCCTTGATTGATGTGAGCGAAGCCGAGGATGAGGGCATTCAGCCGAAAGAAGGGGCAATCTTCGTGACCCAGTAAGTCTATGGTAAATAGGCAACGGCCTGACTGACAACATATACAGCTTTCCGGTAGAGGCCTCTGCCAAAGATATCGGAATTCTCTTTGCCCAGTATGGTGAAATGTAAGCACGCCAAATGTTCTCGTCAGCCACAAATGCTCATATTATTGTTCAACAGCATTGCCGTCGACATCTTTCACATCTCGACTGACCACCTACGCTTTGCAAACGTCACCTACGCAAGTCCAGACTCGGGGGCGTTAGCGATAGCAGGTCTAGATCGAAAGCCCATCTCGATGGAAAGTTCATTCGCGCGGGAGAATCGCGCCGATCTAGAAATTTGGGAGCGGTGGGGCGGGCAATTGACTGTCGTCAAACATGAACCCCCAAGAGTCGTCCCTGTCAGCGTTGAAGAGTTCTTCCCAAACCTACCTGATTGGGCCAAGACGTATGGCGGCCAACAACAAAGGCAGGAATCCAGGTCAGAGCTGCCGCAAAGCTCGGAAGATGTTAGTGGGAAGCGGGTGCGAGATGTTGAATCCGGAAATAGTAGTCCTAGGAATGGAGGATCTCGCTCGTGGGTTTTGACTGTTTGAAAGCATGCGACTCCTTGTGCTGACGTGTCCCGTAGATCATCCGCTGAACCACAAAACAAAAAGGCACGCCTGGACCAGCAGTCGCCCCAGCACCCTGTACCACATCATCAGCCGCCATCGAATGAACAGAACGGGCAGGTTCGTCGTCCTTCTATCCACCACGAACTGCCCTCTCGTCCTTCTTTCGCCCTCCCTCCCACTCCTCAGACAGCAGAACCTCCCCTTCCGGACGTCGTTTCGAAGCAAGGACGCTCCACGCCTACCACCCATTTCGTCCCCGAAATGCCCGAAGACCCGATTACCGTGAGCGCCGAGACGCTTCGCATCCTAATCAGTACTGTCGTTGGTTCTTTGGTCAATCATGATATCGGCAATTGGGTCGTGCACGTTTGTGTCATTACCCAGAGTATAGACAAAGTTGCGTATCGATTACAGGGCGACCTGGCTGCCATCAAAGAGTATGATGGTGTTTCCCGAGAGCACGAACGCGTATTGGGCAGTCGCGGATTTGTGCCGGCGAGGATAGATGAATTTGTGGAAAAGGTGTTAAAGGTGTTGGATGGAATAGCTGCGGCCGAAGAGACGGCGGCCGAGACCTCTCCCAAAGACACCGTCCAAGCTTTGACCACCAAGCTGAATAAGCTTCTGGAGCCGTTCCCCCTGCCGTCGAAGAATGCTGTGAAGGATGCGGGTAGGCTGTTAGAATACCTTGTGCGAGGCAAAGCTGCCCAAGAAAAGAGACGGCTTGAGATGGAGAGGAGGATCAAGGTCATGGAAGGGATGATCAAGGTCGGCGATGTAGTGGGCGGCGTGGTGAGGTACCTCTTGACTGAAGCTTGAGCAGACATATTGCATGCCATGTGGGCAGCCTCGTGATATAATGTTATGTATGTCATGCATCATTACTTCATCGCAAAAATCGGGTCAAGGGTATCACTATCTATCTGGTACAAATGGTTGGCTTGAATGATTCGAAAGGTTTTTGTCAAGCTACTGAAAGAATATGCTATGAGGTAATGGAACAAAGGTCTTGTTTGGCTTTTCTACTCCTCCATGAGCCTGTCTGCGGACTCATCAGAGTCAAGCCCAGAGTCGTTTTCTGACAGATCGTCAACACGACACGCAATTGCTGTTAAAAGTAAAACTCACCAGAATCGGGTAGAGGAGGCGGCACGTTACACAATTCGCAGTCCCAGTCTTGAGTATGCTGTTCGTTACAAGGTGGGCACATCATGTGTACCCTATCCGGGTGCATTGGACGCTGAAGGGAACAGAGCAGTCTGTCGAGACTGGCAAAGTTTTCGTCGTTCTGAGCAAAGCGCCTGTGCTTCTTGGATGCAATGTGCTTGAAGCAAATCAGCGTCTATCCCGGGTCATCAAGCAACACACTTACCACAGAAAGGTCCGAGTACTTTAATCGACAATTTTCACAATAGCCTGCCGCAGAATCCTGGTCTCTCCCCTTGAGCCCCATCTCGACCTTTTGCCTGTTTGCTATCCTGTCGGCGACTGACACAGCTTCCTCGTCCACGGGTTCTCGCGCCTGCCGCAGCATGCGAATGACCTGGTCTTGACTGAGGAATGCCTTGGGCGTGTCTATTGTCTGGCTCATGCTGCGACGGCGGTCCAAAGACGTGGGCGCGGATGTACCCAAAGACGAAAAGGAGGACTCTATGGGCACGCGGGCAGCAGCCAGTCGCGCATTGCCTTTGAGCACTTGGACACGTTTGGACATTTGCATAATTGCCCTGTCCTTGTTTGAGCCCAAGGTGGGCATGCCGCCCGCGAGAACGGGTGTATTGGGAGTAGAAGTCGAGGCAATGTTGGATGTGATGACGACACTGTTGCCGGAAGCATCCTGATAGGCGTTGGCGTCAGGAAGGTCGGGTAGCCTTGCTGTCGATGACAGGGCACGAAGGGAGGTTGAACGCTGGAGATCTCGGGGCTGCTCTCCCCCGTACGGTCGCCGCTCTGCATAGAGTCTCCATGCCCTCTCCCGTAGCTTGTTAGGCGGCACCGAACTGTGATTGGCAGACGAGATGCGCAAAAAGGTATCGTACAGGCAAGGCCACTCGGGCCCGTCTCGGGCGTTGTAAGTGTACTCTTTGACCATAATGGTGCGGTGCTTGCTTGTAGCATCCTCGATGAGTAGATGTTTATTGCCGGGCTTAAAGTAGTAGTGATCGGGCCGGGGGGCTGTCGCGTCACGTTCCCGCGTACCATGAATGCGCTCATCTTCGAGGAGGGTGGATAGTGAATTGTTGTTGACCACGGGCGATTCAACGGGAGCGACTCTGGAGAGAATGTCGGACAGTTCTGATATGCGTGGTCAGCCTGTGGCCACATCAGACAAACCAACTCACTCTTGACGGACCAGACCTTCATGTGCAGCTCGGCAGCCTTATGAGCGAGGTCTGTGGTGCCTCCAGACTCCAAGAAGGGATTCCTAGCATTATCGCTATTGCGAGCTTGACTGAGCGGTTTCGTCTGTTTTTGTGGCGAGCCAGAATCCTTGACGATGCAATGGGTGACTCGCGTAGAGAAAAATTGCTCCACTTTCTGTAGATCGTATTAGCTTGAGTCCCACTAATCCAATCAAGGCGACTGACCGCTCCCATCTTGATCACCCGGCTCCTCAGCGTCTTGCCCGGACCTTCCTCGGCCCCGATCTCAAAGTAGAATATCAAGGTAGGGAACGCCTTCACCCAGCTACGCGTCCACTTGTCTTCATCCGCCTTGCTGACCTTGCCGTTCGATGCCGATACGCCATCGCGTTCATTATTCAACTTTGTTCGTTTCGCGGCTGCAGGTGTACCACCGGTAGCCGGCGCCTGTCGCTTCTGTGAAGTCACCAATGGCTTGCTAGCATCATCCTTGGCTACGATCTTCTTCTTTGCTTCCGGTGATTGGGCCCTCTTGTTGGTGGTGCTGTGGTGATTCGTCACGGTAGCCAACACCTGCCTGTTAGGCGTCGACGCCTTGGACGCGACCGGGTTGATGCCCTTGCGCCACTGGCTGAAGATGTCTCCCGATTCTTCCTTGCCTGAAAGCACCCTGTGACGAGGCTGCTGTCTGGCGTCGTTGGTCGAGAGCACCGACATGGCGGTGTTGGTGCGTGGCGCGCGGGGAGTGTTGGTACGCGTGACAAGGAAGGGGTCTGAGAATTCTTCTCGGGCGATGAGGGAAGACATACTCCCGGGCCCGTGGGCGAGTGGCTCTGCAAGACAGGAGGCGGGGGAGGGCAGGGGGACGGAGAGAAAGATGAGGGGAAAGACAGAGATGAATGAATAGACAGGGAAATAATCTTATATGCCACAAGGCGCGTCAACACTTCCACGTGCATTTGATCCCGCCCGTTCCTCGACGCGTCTGAAATGTTGAACAACGAACGCTATACAATATGCATCCCTCTAGATATTGAGATACTCTCGCACAGCGTCAGGTAGATACTCGGGATAGTTGGACGGCAGGTCGGTCCTTCGTTCATATATGGCCGCCGAGGCTTCTTGCCCCTCCATGCTCTTCTGGACCGCGTCTACTTCATCCATCACGCGCATGAGGTTGCCTCCAATAAGCCCAATCAGCTCTTCATCCGTCCATCCCCGGGCGTAGAGTTCGGCGATGAGGTCGGGGTATTTGCTAGCGTCTTCAAGTCCTCTGACTGCGTGTTCCATGCCGTCTAGTGTCGTGTCAGCAAGTGCCATAACGCCCGAACATAGCAGCCAAAGATGAGTGAGGGAGGGAACGCACCAAAGTCGGAGGCGATCCCGACGTGGGCTTTGCCGCATTTTTTGGCCAGATACTCGATATGGTCTGCGACCTTGACCAGACAAGGGTCGACGGGGTCGGTGAATTCGGGGTAAAAGACACACTGCCTATGTAGTACCAGGTCAGTGATGGGCGAGAGATGTGGCAAAAGGTGAGCTTACACAACGCCACTGTTCTTTCCGGGCCCGCTTCCGACCATGTCCAACACATCATCCGGTACATTTCGAGGGTGGTCGCACACAGCGCGGGCGTTGGAATGAGAAAAGATGACCGGGGCTTTGGACAATCCGATGGCTTGACGCATAGTCTCGTCCGAGACGTGGGAAATGTCGACCATGACTAGACTCTGTCAGCCATGTACACACCTTGCAGGATGTCACTCACTCCCTAGTCGATTCATCTCCTTGATCAGTTCACCGCCGAGATCAGACAGACCGTTGCCAGGATGGACAGGCTCAAGTGGCTGACCCGATCCCGCAGAAGACGCGAAAGCTGCCGTTCAATTAAGGCTGAGGTGATAAAGAGTGTGGGGACATACCGTTGTGGTACGTGTGCGTAAGGGTCATGTAGCGTACACCCAGTTGGGCCCATATTCTCAGAACCGACAGCGAGTTGCCTAGCATATGGCCTCTGCGCATCAACGTCAGCATCTGGCCAACGGTTGTACTACAACTTGCCCCTCGACTCCGATCATGGTCGCGATTTTGCCCGCTCTGAACGCATCGCGAATATCTTGCGAGCTACGAGCGTATTGAAAGTCCTACATTGCGCGGGTCAGCCCACAATACAAGACAGCAACAGTGAGGCTAACCGATTCCTTCATCAGAAGCTGCACGAGGTCAATGAGCTCGAGGGCATCCCTGACATCGTTGGAAGGGTTCAAAAAGTCGTCCCCGGGGCGAACCGGGAGCCAGCAGCTCATGAAAAGCCCACCCAGTTTGCCTTGTCGCATCCTGGGGACATCTACATGGCCGGGAAACGTCTCTCTGACGAGCTTGACGGTGCGCACGGGTTCTCTATCTGGAGTTGTGGTCAGCTTGAGTAGGGGTTGCAGCGTGCAGCGCAGTACTTGCCCAAGGCTCTCATGACATAGGGCAGATCGACGTGCGAGTCGATGAGGGGATGCTGGGTGAGGAGGCCGAGGGCCCTCTCGCGGTGAAGCTGGGTGCTTTTCTGGGTGGTCATGGTATGCAGATTAAAGGTGAGCACTCTTTGTTGTTTGTACAAGAGTGCGATAAGCAGGCGATAAGCATGCGTGATTTGAGTTCGGCGGCCGGCGCCACACACATGTTGCATTCTCCGCCTCGACTCTTGCTACGTAGTATTGTCGAATCGCGTTACTGCCACGCTGCGCCAAGCTTCCAGGTCCAGCATAGAGATGGACTGGCTGGGCGGCAGATGGAGTCAATCGTATGGCGTACGGCATGCGCTCCACCCATGTCTGAGCTCAACATGCGGTGGGTCGTTATTTAATCGAAGCTTCCAGCAGCAGCATGACGCGCACTCCCTGCATATGACGGATGGCTCGAGGCACTACTCGTATCTGTTGATCCATACGACCCTCCGCTCCTCCGCGCTGATCTGCTGAATCTGTTGGAATCTGCCCTGAATCATGACGTCACAGCCTCCATTGACGTAAACCCTCCACCGGCCCCGATCAGCACAAACAGACGCAGAGGCAAAAAACACGCATATATAAACCCCGCCACTTGTCTTCTTCTCTCCATCCACAACACAACTACCACAACACCATGGGAAACATTATCAGTGCCATCGCCGGCGCCCTCAACGCCATCATCTCTGCCATCGCCTCCTTCTTTATGGCCATCTTTAGCGGTATCGCCTCCGTCCTCATTGCCATCTGGAACTTTAGTGAGTCCCATCCACCCCGTCCGGTGCTTTTGCTGACCCTTCACCAGTCACTTGTGGATGTTGCTCTGGCGGACGAAGAGGAGGAGCCAGGACCATATAGAGGGTGGTGGACACAAGTAAGTAATCTCACTCAACACATCCAACACGAGGCTGACTCCTGCCGCAGAATCCGTCGAGGCGACTCGTCCATCACCCTTTCACATGCCTCCAAATCTCAGGTCACACTCCGCTAGATTGTCTTCGACCCCTCACTCGAACCAAGTATAATACCTGTTATGACCCTTTACGAATGAATCAGTATTCTTCTTGTTTCTTGTCCACGCGCACCATCATTGTCATGCCATCCACTCAACATGCTGCACTGAGCCTCGGCCTGGCTCCTAGACTAGGAGTCAGCACACGCCCACAACGTCGCCGATCACCTTGACACCTTCCCTGATCTGGCCCGATCAAAGCTTCATGTTCAATTGATGCATCATCATCCCTGGGATAGGCTGATTTTTTATGACTCTCTACAATCCACTGCTTAGAGCTCGTCGTGACCACCGAAAGGCATCTCCTCGTCGTAGGCGCTGCCACCACCACTGTACAAGTTGGAAGTGATGGGCTAGAAATGACGGTCAGCTCGATATCCACGACGCTCTTGCAAGTACTCACAGCGACAGTAGCCTGGAGCTCAGAGAGCTGCTCCTCGTAGTCTTCGGCCTCCGCCTGGGGGTGCTCCTCAAGCCACTCAGTCTTCTCCTTGATGGCGGAAAGAACAGTGTCCTTGTCATCCTCGGAAAGCTTGCCACCGAGACCCTCGGCGTCGCCAACCTGAGACTTGAGAGAGAAGATAAAGTCTACCCCGCGTCAGCTCATCACTCGGCGCGCTATCATATCACTCACTCTGGAGACCGTTCTGAGACTCGATCCTCTTCTTGACCGCGGCGTCCTCGTCGGCGAACTCCTCCGCCTCCTGGACCATGCGCTCAATCTCCTCGGGGGAGAGTCGTCGCTGGTCGTTGGTGATGGTAATGGACTCGACCTTGCCAGTGCCCTTGTCGGCGGCAGAAACTCGGAGGATACCGTTGGCTATACCACATAAGCAAACAATCTCAGAGCAGACACCGACACTCACCGTCAATCTCAAAAGTGACCTCAATCTGAGGGACACCTCGGGGAGCAGGAGGGATGTTGTTGAGGTCGAATTCACCAAGCATGTTGTTGTCCTTGGTCATCGATCGCTCACCCTCAAAGACCTGGATCCTGACGGTGGGCTGGTTGTCGGCGGCGGTAGAGAAGATTTGAGACTTCTTGGTGGGCACAACAGAGTTTCGCGCAATCAGCTTGGTCATGACACCACCGGTGGTCTCAATACCAAGAGTCAAAGGGCAGACATCGATGAGGAGGACATCGCTGCTTCCGGCCTCGCCAGAGAGAATACCACCCTGGACAGCGGCACCGTAGGCAACGGCCTCGTCGGGGTTGATACCCTTGGAAGGCTCCTTGCCGTTGAAGTACTCCTTCAAAAGCTGCTGGACCTTGGGGATACGGGTAGAACCACCAACGAGCACAATCTGATAGCGAGTCAGCACATGCCCAGAAAAGAAAGACAAACCACTTACGTCGTCGACCTCGTCCTTCTTGACACCAGCGTCCTTGAGGACCTGCTCGACGGGCTTCATGGTCTTTCTGAAAAGGTCCATGTTGAGCTCCTCAAACTTGGCTCGGGTGAGGGTCTACAAGCACGTCAGCAACGAAACCTCACAACACTAGGATAAACTCGCCTCGGCAAAGTCGTTACCGTTCTCGAAAGCCTCGATTTCAATCTTGGTGCTCATCTGGCTGGACAGAGTTCGCTTGGCCTTTTCGACCTCACGCTTGAGTTTACCCATAGCCCTGTTGTTCTTGGAAACGTCGACGTCGGTCTTCTTCTTGTACTGCTTGACGAGGTACTCAATGACACGGTTGTCAAAGTCTTCACCACCAAGGTGAGTGTCACCGGCAGTAGCCAAGACTTCAAAGACACCGTCCTCGATAGAAAGAAGGGAGACATCGAATGTACCACCTCCGAGGTCGTACACAATGATCTGGGACTCTTTCTTGGTAGATCGGTCAAGACCGTAGGCTGAGATACATCAGTTTGATCTTGGTCTAGATGCAAAAAAGAATACTTACCGATGGCGGCGGCGGTGGGCTCGTTGACGATACGAAGAACAGTAAGACCGGCGATGGTACCAGCGTCCCTGGTAGCAGATCGCTGAGCATCGTTAAAGTAGGCGGGCACAGTCACGACGGCGTGAGTGACCTTGTGGCCAAGGTAGGCCTCGGCAGTCTCCTTCATCTTGGTGAGAACCATGGCAGAAACTTCCTCGGGAGTCTAGAGTTCCCGTTAGCTCAGGAACAATTCGAGTATACCCGTCCACTCACAAAGTCTCGGAGGTCGCCCCTGTGGTTGACCTGGATCATGGGCTTGCCCTCCTTGCTGACAATCTTGAAAGGCCAGTGCTTCCTGTCACGAGTGACATCGGGGTCGCTAAAGTACCGACCGATGAGTCGCTTGGCGTCAAAGACAGTGTTCTCGGGGTTATTGGAAGCCTGGTTCTTGGCGGCGTCACCGATGAGACGTTCCTCTTCGGTGAATGCGACCCATGAGGGGGTGATACGGTTTCCTTGGTCGTTGGCGATGATCTCGACCTTTCCGCCTCGCTGGACACTGTGGAGCGGTCAGCTGTGCCTCGTGACCGCGATCTTTATTTTGGACTTACGCGACACAAGAGTAGGTGGTTCCCAAGTCAATACCGATAACAGTACCTACGTCCTCCTTGTCCTCGGCGCGCACGCCGGCAGGGAGGAAGCAGAGAAGGGCGACGAGGACAAAGGCGATGAGGGTGAGCTTGCTCATGAGGGATGAGGCTGTTGAGGGCCGCTTTGGGCGGGATGCAAGGGAGTAGGCCATGGTGGCGAGATGGAGATGATGACGAGAAGAAAAGAAAGAAGAGTTGGGTAATAACGGCGCGAGGAGTGCCAGCGTGGCAGCAACCTCCACCGCACCTTCCAGCAATTTCCCCGACGCGCTTTTCCTTATTTCGTCCCCCACGTGGCCCGCTCACAGTTCCATGCCGCATCACCGCCCGCCTGCCGTCAGCCACCGCCAGCCAGCATGTATAGCACCGTCCAGAGGCTCAACCACCTCTCCTCCCTTGCCACCACCTACCTCCTCGCCCTCCTCGCCCTCGTCTCCCTCGCCTCCTTCCTCGCCCTGCCCCCAGTCGACGTCGGCACCGTCCATGTCAAAGACCTCATCCTGTCCGTCGCCCGTCTCTTGCTTGCTGCCCGTCTGACGCGTTGATATAGTACCAAGGGCCGGCTCAACCGCTGGGGAGCAAGGCCAGAAGAGCTGGCGTCTCTGCGCTTCGACATCCGTACCGACCTGAACCCTCTTCTCAACTCGTACAATACCAAGCAGCTCTTTGTATACCTCACCGCGACTTACGAAGAAGAGTCGTCTTCAGAGGTCCATGACGTGGTCCTCTGGGATCGGATCATCACGCGGTCTGACACGAGGGACATCAGAGCAGTAGGAAAGCAGCTGCCTCGCAGCAACAGGAAGAAGGGAAGGGGTAATGTGCGAGTGGAAGATGGCAAGAACAAGTACCAATGGCACAACCCATCGCACACTTTCAAGTAAGTCGTTTGTCCATCCCACATTTTTCATGGTGCTCATGCGTCTCACAGGGACATTCCGACAGCAAACTTTACCCTCCACTATTCCCTGATGCCATATGTCGGCGTACTGTCCTCTGGCGTGGCCGCGGTTGCCGAGGGGCCGGTTGCTATTCCCGAGCTTATAAAGAGATGATGATGTGGGTTGCCCCTGGGATGATGACTGGGCTGTGGGGTGATGTCTAACGTAGACATTGTACAAGTAGGCTGCATAGCATGTATAATCGGCACATGGCCATGGCTTTTCAACTTTGTGCTCACAGCTGCTCGATATTCTGCTTCATTCAAATGTTATTCTCGGCCTCATACTCGGCACCAAGAAGTCAACAAAGTGACCCAAGAGTCAAGTGAGAGCGAAAGAGTAAGCAGATGGGCAACCACATTGCTCTAAAGTCCCACGTTGCAACAACCTCACAAGAGTAGTGGGAGTAGCTCAGTGGTAGAGTAGTAGATTGCAATTGATTCGATCGCAAATATCTATTGGTCCTGGGATCAACCCCCAGTTCCCACTTTCTTTTTGCTTTTTGGATCCTGATCTTCTGTACAAACAACCAACGATGGCCTCATTCATGCCAGGACGCAATATACGAATGCATATGACATCGCTCTTACTGTTTTGCTGATATTGGAGCCAGGCGCATTGATCGATGTCAAGAAGATGGCGTGTCATCTTAGAGATAGAGCTGAATGATCCTTGACCAGACTCTCATTGACAAGAAGGAAGCAACCTCACAAGTCCATGATCATGTCGCCTAGGCATGAAGACCCACCACATCGGGGTGATCTGGAACCAAGACAGGTCGCGTATCAAGCAGCATACATTCACCTGACCAAATCGAGGCATGAACCAACTTGCGCCCAGATACTATAGTGTCTCGCTGCTCGGCCATGATCGACCAGCAGTGAGATATTACTTGATGGTTTGTAGACTTCGAGTGGAAGAGTGGAAGATAGCCAAGTCGCTGGAGGTGTGAAGCAAGAAGGAAATCAATACAAAAAGACAAAAAGAAAGTGGGAACTGGGGGTTGATCCCAGGACCAATAGATATTTGCGATCGAATCAATTGCAATCTACTACTCTACCACTGAGCTACTCCCACAACTGATGACATGTTGTTTTTTGCATCATACTTATACATATCATAAATGAGCCCCATTAGACCTCTCACGTCCACACCACAACACCACGCCCTCTTGAAACATCGGGACAGTAGGACGATGCATGCTGCGGTCTATAATACAAAGCTTTCCGCAGGTGGGATATCGAATCTGATATACAATGGGGGTATCGTATCAATGATGCGAATTTTGGCTCGAACCGGCGCTACCGAAAATGCAGGAAATCGTTCTCCCTCGGGGAGGGAAAAGTATTATACTATAGATATTTGATATTATAAAGTCTTGATGAGTATTAGAAGACTATCGGTACAGTTGGTATTTGACGAATCTCAGACTCTGGTAGTTGCGGTCGCGCGCTCAAGAGGACTGAGCACTTTCGATGATGTGATGCTGGGGCCGGTGATGGCTGGAGTAGATCTAGATGTGGAAGCGGATGCGAAGGACCGATTTGATCGTTGGCGATCACGGGCGAGCTGCCACTCTGGTATTTGTCTTGCGACTTGTGCAGAGTCAGCAAAGGTTACACGATGGCCAGCCCACTCACCAGTGACACGCAGCTCCTTGCCGGTAAACTTGGCATTCACGGATCGGAGATTGGCGTCTTCTCCCAATTTGATATCCCATTGCGCGTGGTCTGGTGGCAAACCGTCAGCGACATTGGTGAGAGACGCGGCGAGCCAGCTCACCTCCTTCATCCCATTGATCAGCGACAATATGTATGGTCCTATGACCTCTTGTGGCAATGGTAATGTTGTCTAGTCTGATACGGTCGCGTCAGTTGTGACTTTTGCAAACGACAAGCTACTCACGAGAAACCGGGGAGCCAAACCAAAATCTCGTAAGCAGTGGGAATACTCTTGATGGCGATTCTCCCTTCAGACCCCTTGATGACCTCTATCCATTCATTGTCCACACCTTCGAAAAGCTCGGGATCAAAATCATCAAGATTGACATCGGGACAACCCTCGCCAGAACCCAGGGACATGGCGCGACCGCAATACGTGTTGGTGACCGCAGGAGGTCGGGCCCATCTTGGTGGGGGAGGAGTGGGAGGTGCCTTGGTAGAGTTGGCGCTCTTGCCAGACGATGACGATGCTGTGCTCGCAGAGGATATTGATGGAGGGGCGAGCGCGGAAGAGGACGAATTGCGCCTGCCTCGAGAGTAGAACGACAGAGGGTATCCCACGGGCGGTGAGATGGGTGCAGAGATCTCGCAGCCTGACGCCGGCGAAAGCGAGCGTGTCAGACTGCTACGGCTCTGTGATGATCTGTGCGACTCTGTAGATTGGCGGGGGAAGGCAGCTGAAGGAGGTGCGCTAGGGGCCGATGACCTGGAGGCAGTCGGCTTATGCTCCTTGGGCGAGGACTGGGACAGAGGGGGGACATTGTTGAGGGCGTTAAAGCTAGGAAATGCGTCCTCGGCGCGGGGGGCGTTGGGAGAGGTATCGAGACTGTTGGCAGAGCGAGGCATGTGGTCAGCTGTGGATACTATGCAGCATTGCGAGAAGAGAATATGGCGTCTGGATGCGATACTTGGTGACGGAATGGCCCGCGGTGGATCACGAGCCACGACGCTAATGACAAAGGACGGCCCCATACCGATGACCCTGTGTGCCAGTGGCAAAGTCCAGAACGCGCATCCTCAATGACCAGGATGGCCATCCCTGTTGCACGCCACATGCGGCTGCGAGGGATGGCGGTATGCACCGTTGCACCGTATGAGGGATGGACCCTGGCGCCGCAGATGTGACGCACGCCTGCACTAAACATGGCAGACAGGGACGCGCGGCAACTAGCCACACTCGAGACTCGATCCAGAGGGCGGAAAGAACGGAACCTACCTCGCATGTTTCTTCCTGTAGCTTCCTGCGCGCTTCAACGACGGCGTCCTCGACAGCGTGGAGGGGATCTCGTTGGACCCGTGTCGAGCCATGCTACTGCTCATTGTATACGGCTCGTCGAACAGCTCGTTCCGCCTCGCCACGGCTCCTGCGGCGAGGGGCCACACTGGCGGTCCGACCTCTGCGCGAGGGGTGCTTTCGCCCTTCGAGTGGCCAGTACTGGACGTGGTCGAGCCGGACGGAGAGGTGTTTGCTGGCGGGTGCACGACTTCGGGCAGGCGGTCTGATGGGGGCAGGTCGGGGGTGGAGAGATGGGGTTCTGAGGACGAGGCAGAGGTCGAAGAGGAGGTGCTCTCTGTGGACAGATTGCGCTGGGGGGGGGGGGGGGGGGGCGGGATGGTGGGCTATCGGCGGATGCGGGGGCGGTGTGCCCATGATGGATGGACAGGGAAGAGGGATATCAGGATAACTCGCAACGACTCGCAACAACTTGTACTTGTAAGCACAGCCATCTCGTTCGACAGCTACAACAACGCATCCTCAAATTCCTCCCCTATCCGCGCACCCACTTACACGGTGACGTAGTGTCTCGGGGCGCGGAGAGCCGAAGCGCATTCCCGGCCCGACCCAGGCACGGCACGCGACACGCACGCGATCCCTCTTTCTGTCTCTCTCTGCACTGTATGCGCGATGAAGGCCAGGCTACGAGCGCCCCAGGGGGTGTCCACCCTCGAGCTGGACGCGGAGAGCACCGTGCACGACCTCCAGGCTCTCATATTCGCCGCCACCCAGATCCCACCAGCCGAGCAGGACAGTACGTCCCGACTCCTGCTACCCCCGCTCATCTGTCGCAGTAAAGTACAGCTATCCCCCGAAACCCCTCCCGGTTGATACAGGCCTGCTCTCGTCCATACCCATCACGAACGGCGAGCAGTTCATCGTGTCCGCAGTACCTACGGCTACCCAGACTGCCCCGATGAAATCTGAGCCAGCCCCGCCAACGATACCTGCCCCCTCCACATCTGCCAAAGCCCCTGCCCCCAAGGTAGAAGGCGCAGACAGCGTAGCCTTGCCCGGCAGAGACGCGGGCTATCTCCAACTCAGGGTCGTCCCCGATGACAACTCGTGTCTCTTCTCCGCCATTGCGGTAGTGTTTGAAGGCGGTATCGATGCAGCCCAAAGCCTGCGGACCGTCGTAGCAGAGGCTATCAGGGCGGACCCGGAAACCTATTCCCAAGTCATCCTGGGGTATGTAGAGACTAGATCGTGAGGTATTCGCTCACTATATGGCAGCATGCCTCGAGACGAGTACATCAGGCGCATTCTAAAGCCCGAGACTTGGGGAGGAGCAATCGGTGAGCAGACCAGCCACCACACCATCAATCTGACACTTGTCCACAGAGCTCTCAATCTTTGCAAAACAGCAAGTAGCGAGCACGGCCAGTAGCGTTATACTGACACCAAGTCTAGCTACAAAACCGAAATTGCTTCATTTGATGTCGCTACCGGTAGATGCGACAGGTTTGGCCAGGACCAATACGACTCTCGGTGAGTACTCTATGCCACGTCCCTTCTAACCCTCTCTAGATGTCTTTTGGTCTACTCTGGTATTCGCAAGTCTCGCCCTCCCGTCCCGCCGACTCTGCTGACAAGTACCAGATTATGACGCCATTACCCTCTCCCCACTCCCCGTATCGCCCCCAGACTTTCACACCTCGGTCTTTCCCTCTGTCGACCAGACCATCCTCTTGATTGCCGACAATCTCGTAGCCCAACTCCGTGCCCGACACTATTACACCGACACGTCCAACTTTGATCTGAGATGTCGCGTTTGTAAGCAGGGCTTGAAGGGCGAGAAGGGTGCGACCGAGCATGCTAAAAAGACTGGGCGTGAGTGTGACTCGGGCCAGGTTGATGCTTTGCTAATGGCCGATAGACGTTGAATTTGGAGAGTACTGATGTACCAATGCATCATACTAGCGGATTGAATGCACTCTATCATCTCTACTCGTCAATACACCCAGTTCAATACCCAAAGCCCCAAAATGACCAGCCCCAACTTGACCAATGTACGTCTCTGCGCCAGATCTCCTATATTCCTCGCGACGCTCAAAACAGTCTGGTCTTTCCACGCTCGATCTGATGGCGCATAGCCCTCCGCGGTCCGGTTGGATAAAGAGGCTGCTGTGGCTGCCATCCACTGCAAATCTGTCAGCTTTGGCCGTTCACCGGCAGCATAGTCTACTCACATGAGGCCAACTCTCCCTTCTACTTTCCAACTCCTGCTCTTCCGGATCCCCCGACTCTCCTCCGTCACCCCCCTTCGGACGGTTCATCATCGGTATACTCTCCGGCACGCCACCCTTCGCCCCGTCGATCGGACCTTCTACAATAGCCTCCACCGCTTCGGTCGCTGTACTCGGCCCCGCTTGGCCGCTCGACGGCCCTGGGCCACTCGCAGTCGCCGGAGGGGGTAGGCTCTTCTTTTTGCCTATCAGCCATTCGGTGATCTCGCCGGTCGCGCCCGAGACGCGGTAACTGAGCCATATGAAGCATACTGTCGAGACGACAAGGTTGACAGGTCGCCATTTGGTAGTAGGCACTACGAGGAGAATGGCTTTGGTATCTGAAGCCAGCCAGCCGTGGAACTGCAGGATGAACGTCTCCAACGAGCATTGTCCGATAAAGCAAAAGACGGTGCTGGTGCAAGACCGCAGCGTGGGCGAGGCATTCCGTAAGAATACAAAGGCCAGAATGGGCACAACGCATACCACCGGGTGGTACCCATTGTACACAAACTTGTTGGCAAGATGCAGTTCAAACCAGAAATACCAAACCATGCCCAACGCGCTACCGGCGAGAACGCCCGCGCGAGCATTGTTGAACCAAGGCCGGTCGGCCAGCTGATATTCTTTGAATTTGATATACGCGTAGGCACAGAGCATGCCTGCCCAAACGATAAACAGGTCGAGTGTGACTCGGAAACTCCACTCCTTTGCCGACCATTCGATCTTGAAGACGGCGTTCAGCACTTGAAACACGCTCTCCATGAGCGAAGTGTAGTGCATGAACAACGTCACCGCGCCCGCACAAGCAAATAGCTTGGAAAGCAGGAATGAGGGGCGCTCGTTGTACTGGGAGCCGATGCTCATGGTGGTGTAGATGATCATGTACCACCAGGAGACCAGGGGGGCAAAGTAGTAGAAGACGTAGTCGGTGTTCATGGTGTAGGGCAGGACCACGGAAAGGAGGTTGAGGCGAACGAGAACCATCGCTACTCGTTGGAACCCAAAGTCGGCTTTTTTGTAATCTGCGCAGGGTTAGTGGGATTTCGCGGACAATTTGACCATCTCACAGAAGAAGAAATGTCCGTCTGGGGCAGATGTCAGCTGGGAATATGGTGCGAAACAATTTGGCTCACATCCAGTCATGAAGAGGTAGGAGGCAACCAAAACTCTAATGGGATTGTATATTCCCGAAATCTTGGAAGCACCAAAAAAGTGGTATATCAGAATGGCAACTGTTCCCGCGTCAGCTTGAAGCCGCCAGCCGACTCTCCTCACTCACTTTGCATCCATCCCTTCCACTCATCCGTAATGTCACGGTTCAAAAAGCCCAAGTCTTTTCCACTGTTCTTTAGTGTCCCCAAACCGACAATCAATGCAATCAACGTGATCACCCCAAATACCCAAGCATCAAAGTCCTTCTGTTCCTTCTGGAAGACATGGGTGCGGTCCGCGAGGAAGAGGTAGCCCAAAGCGAGGCCAAAGGTACTGAGGGCGGGGGCAATGTTGGCTGATGGAAGGTAGTTGTGGATGGGAGACTTGGGGTCTGCAAAGGGTTGGCAAAGTCTCACATGATGACAGCAACTTACGAAGTCTCGGGGCAACAAGAATACTCAGCGGAGCATATAGCACCATAATGACTAGGATAAGTCCTTGAACGGGAGTCACCCAGTCATATCTCTTGCAACAAGTGCCGGTTGCCCCTTCATCCCTCATCACATCGTTACACCTCCATCCCAGAAGCAACTCTGCCTGCTTGTTCATGATCCTGTCTGAGAAATGAATGCCATCCTCGGTTTCCTCATCGACCGAAAGCTGGTTGAATACGGACGGGATGATGATGGGAGGCGGGTCGGGATGGGTGAGACGAGCGTAGAGGTCGGCGTTCATGGCTTCGACATCAGTGGGGAAGATGGTCTCCGCTCGAGACGGAGAGAGTTTCTCTTGCACCGGTATGGGGATGGGAACGATGACAATGGCGTCCGAGATTGAAAAGTCGGAAGCGCCAGACGAGCTTGGAGGAAAGGCCCTCGCATCGACATCTCCTTCAAAATCTCTGCCATGATCAGCGACCTTTGGGTTGGGTAGGAGTCCCGGAAGGGTGACCCCTGACCCTAATTGCATATCATCCCATGGGTTTGACAGTGCAGTGCGAGGAGATCCCTGATTCAGTTTGAGATGTTCAAACGTATCATGAATCATGCCTCCCCAGGCAGCGAGACCGCCGGATGACGGGACGTGGAGGTACCATAGTCCAGACCCCATGACCAGCAAGGATGTCGGATTGGTATGGCCGCTGCCAATAAGACTCGCCGTCTTGTTCGAATTGAGGTATGGATCCCTGCGCTAAGTTTAGCGTGCGCTGTAGACGGACAGACAGTGACTGACCACCAGAAATCTAGTTCCAAGGACGGACCTCCCGATGGGTCAGCTACAAGTAACGTCCTGTCTCCATGCGTCTCTCCCTCCGACTCCCAAGCCTTGGACGTCTTTGCAATCTTCCGGGCTACTGCAAAATACAGCTGCCTGACTGTCGAATCGCCGACAAACAGGGCTGTACGCTTCTCACTGTACGAGTCACGGAGAGATGATTGAGTGTAGCGGGCGGGTGATGCAAGGCATTGCTGCCAAGATTGTGCGGAAAGTGGTTGTTGAAAGCATCCTAGCTAGCGATGAGCGACGGTTGGATCTGGGCCTCGTCTGATTCATACCTTCTGGTTGCCAGTTGGTATACGTGCCGTTATCCAGCCATTTTCCAGTGTTGAGCATTGCTGAGCAGTGGTAGGGATCTTGCCATTCTGGTGTAGGTATAAGTATGAGCTCGCCCTGAAAGAATGAAGGACCCACCGAGAAAAGACCATCTCAAGATGTTGCCCAGGACGACAGCCGCAAGGAGGGTGGCCGAGGCGTAGGTGTACCACAGAGGGTTCATACTTGGCGCTGGCCTGCTCTTCGAGGGCTGTGAGTTGCTGCCAGGCATGGGGAGGATTGTGGAGATGCAGTACTGGAATATATCTGGATCCCGGATGTCTTTTGGATGTCTTAAGGGATGACCATAGTAGTATAGTAGATCTACTTTAGATCGTTGCGCTTTACGTAACGGCGCGTCGCGTGAATATCTCTTACTTATAGATCTTGCATTCGTTGTCTGCAGTCTCCGGCCGCCCGCTCAGATGCCCCCGTCCAACGATGCCCCATAGTCGCCCCTCCTCCTCCCCCAGCATCCCCTCTTCCACCCCCTTTCCTCTCGCAACACAGCGCCTCAGGAGGACACGCCAGTCCATCGCAGCAGACGCCCATGTCGCTTCCTCATCTCCAGCCGGCCGCGCAACCCGCTCGGGGAGAAGAAGGCCGAGGGACGAACTCGAGGAGGAGGACGTCGTGCCGCCCAGTGATGACGACGAGTACGAAGAGTGGAGAGACGGACGCGCTGCAAAGAAGGCCAGAGAAGATAGTGTAGGTGCTTTGAGTCCTACTCCTCATGTCAATAGGCATCGGCAGCTGGCTCAAACAAAGTCGTTACCGACCTGTCCACAGCCAAAGAAGCCTGATAAAGACAGCACTGTGAGTCAATCCTCACGTACTGTGCGTGCACTGACGGCGACAAAGCAGGCAGTGCGGGTAACCCCAAGTCGCCCAAGAGTGTATATCAATCTCTTCTCCCCCGATAGACCACCCTCACCCTCTGAATGGGGGCCCTCATCACCGTCATCGGGAGAGACCACTCCCACATTACGCCTAAACTTGGCAGAAAGTGACACTTTTGGTCGTAATCCTGTCAATCGGCCCCCTACAGAACCCCCTGCACCGGTGGCCATGGCGGAGGCATGGGACGGAGATGACGACGAGCTCGACCTTTTGCCTACAAGGCCGAAGCGACCCAATATCAATCGAGGGCGCCCTTCTTTGCCAGACAGAATCGAAGAACTGGAAGCAAAGTCTCCAGCAATCCTCGCGTCCGATAATCGCCTATCGCCAGAGGTTTCTGCGAGATATACAAAGGAGACGGCGGAGGAGGAAGGAATTTCACCTGCTCGGTTTACTGGTACTTTTGGTCGACGTTCGGAATCGCCCAGAGTTGATGCTCTGGGTGTTTTGCGCAACGGGGCTGGGGAGACTATGATCCCCGCACCTTTCCAGAACGTCATGTCACAGACTTCCGTAGATGATCACCAAAGTCTGCTGGGAAATCAAAAGGACATATCTCTTGGAAAGACGCCGAGTACTGCAGCTCGGCATTCACAATCTCCCAGGTCTGCAGCGTCGCCTGGCAGGTCCCGCGAGGACGCAGTCGGAATGCGTGCATTGGGCGAAAAGACTATGGAGTCGCATAGTTCTCGTCGACTCTCCCCCGGACGTGACGACACACTCTCCGAAGAACCTAAAAAACAAGCAATCGCCCCTGTGACACCCTCACCCGTCGAACAGGATGAGTCGCAGCTCACTCCCCTTACTCCCTCGCAACCCAAATCCCAACATTCGCTCCCCGTACATTCAGCGCAGGTGCTCGACTACGATCCTCCTTTCCAGGATTGCCCGAGCCCGAGCCCCGTTGGATCCCCTTTGCAAGAGCGACAGGTAGTACCCTCATACCGGGTACATACGCCGGACTTGCTGCAATCTCAAAGCCAGGTGCACTCTCCGCCCCCTATCCTTCGCGGGTCTTCACCCGAGGCGGATCTGAATACGCTCTTGGGAGAGATTGCTGCTCGCCCGATGCCCGCTCGTGTACCCACCCCCGATCCGACGCCAGCCCCTGCCTCTGCCCCGGTAGACGCGGCCCTCCAGCAATTTCGCACTGCTCGCACATTTCGAACTCGTACAAACGTTCAGCTACATCCTTACACAAAAGAACGCCAAATATACGAAGCTATGCTTCGTAAAGGCGGTATCCGCGCAAAGCAAGACCTCCAAAGAGCCCAAGCAGAGAACCGTCGAAGAGAAGAGCAAGCCAGCCGAGTGGACAAGGACGACGCCCTGGTAAGCCAGGGATCAGAGCCTTCCGTGTCTGAATCCGACGAGGCCGAAGACGCTATAGACAACGGGACAGGTGAGAGAATCGTGATTGGCCCCGGCGCATCTCCTTCACGGCCTCTTCGACCGGGTCGTGCACCATTACCTCTCGTAGACGCCGACCTCGATGAGTATCTCATGACCTTTGGAGTGGTTCCCGATGTCGACGATATGGACGAGACGACCAGTCGAAAGTTGCAAAGCATTGCTAGGCAGAGGATCCGGAAAGCAAAGGATGACGAAAAGAAGCGCCGGCAGGAGGAGAGACTAAATAGACGATTTCAAAAGACGCTCAAGGAGTTGAGTCTGAAAGAGTCTCGGGAAAAACGGAGGTTGGAGAGATTAAGGGAGGAGGAGATGCGGCTAAAGAAGCAGCAAGTGAGAGAAGAACGAAGCCGTAGGCTACAAGTGAGTCTTACATATGATCACTAGGGCCATCCTGACTTTGCTCCCTAGCAAGAGCTGGAGACAAAGCGAATTGCGACCGAACAGAAACGCAAAGAGCGAAAAGAGAAAAGGAGACGAGAAGAGGAGATTGACGGTGATACTGAGAGGTTTTTGAACGGCCTGCGGGGTGATAGCGTTGAGGGTGCTGGAGAAGACGGTGATGCCGACAGTGAGGATGCCCGACGAGACGAAGAGTTTGAGCTCTTCATGGAAGGCTTGAGAGGAGGTGATGAGGCTGAAGTGGTGGTAAGCCTTCGGACATCCCTTCGTTCAGCATGTTCTGACATTCTCCTCCCAGTCCAAGACCAAACGCGCAAAGGCCTCGAAGAACAGCACCAACAAGCGCACCCCTGGCGGCATCAAAACGTATGGTCACCGAGACAAAAGACCTACACGCATACCTTCCAGCTCTGATTTTGACGACATCGCGCTGGAGGCAGGACCTTTGCATGTCCCTCGTCCCCATCGCTCCCATTCGCCCTATCGATCTCCCTCCCCACCAGTGTCATATCGTTCAAATCAAATCGACTTTGACATGGACGCACAAGGGTATGATAGCGATCACGGTCCAGATCTTCCAGCTCTTCCACCATCATACTCCCCCGGTCCTGGATTCGCCGAAACCTTTCGACAATTCTCTCACATCTCCCCTCCTCGTCGACCTGCCCTAGGCGGCGACTCGCCTGTCGACGATGCGAAGGATGATTCAGAGGTTGAAGGATCGGATGGCTCAGATTCAGAAGAAGTCTCACACGATGATCCCCGTCGGAGGATTGCCGGGCGGATGATGCCTGCTCGCATGCTTCGACAGTTGGAGCAAGAGGCCGCCCAAAAAGAAAGGGAAAAACAGGAGCGGAAACGCAGAGATCTGAGAGAACGAGAAATCAGAGAGGCAGACGGGACGCTCTCTGTGGGACCTGGAAGAGCTGTGGTCAGGCGACAGAAGGGACAAGAGGCCTTTGATGATATAGCGGAGCTGTTTTCTCAGGAGCATGAGAGCGATGGGGACGGACAGCCTTCAAACAGGCCGACAGGCGATAGCGGCGATGAGGGTCGCCCCATATTGGTGTACGACAGCGATTCTTCGCAAGCATACGAAGACAACGCAGCCGAGCAGCCCCTGGCACGACTCCATCGAGGTGACTTTGCGGGCATCGTCGCAGGTCGCAGCAGAGTAAAGGCCGCAGCACAGAAAGCGGGGAAGCGGAAAGCAGACGGTCGAAGAAGCAAGGCGCCGGAGCGACCAGCTATCGGTCTGGTGCGCCAAAAAGGTGATAACAATGCGGACCGAGGGGATCGACGTAGCAAAGAGCCAAGGCAGACTCGACTGGACTTTCCCAGTGTTGGTGAAGCGGAGGCTCGCTCGCGCAACAAGCGCAAGCGCCGAAATCAACGTCCTGCCATCCGACTGGACGACGACGTGATCTTTGCAGCCGATGATTTTGCGTTTGACAGTGGCAATGATGACCCAACTCCAACATCACCTCACCCCACGCGAGTAGCGAGGGCAACTGAGCGAGTCAATCCTACTACATCGAACGTGTCCAACACTGCTGCGCCGAGTCTCGATGTCGGGATCGGAAAGGCCAGGTCGTGGGCAAACTTTGATCGATTTTCGACCGACTTTGGCATAAGCCCTCTACCTGCAGGTCTCTTCTGCGACCCTGAGAGTATTCCGGGCAGCGGAAGACTCGCTTCCCTCGTGACCTTCCTCCGGCGATCCGGGAACCAGACAGGCGTCATGCCTGGGACGGTGAAAGAGTTTGGAATTGAGCTTGCGGCGGATATGTCTCCTGCTGCTGTTCAAGAGGTCATTGATATCGTTTTCGACGCGACTCATCGCCAGCTGCTTGCACTTGCCAATCGTAGCACCAGCACGGAGGTACCTCTCGGTCCTTTGATATTCTTGTCCTCATACGTCTCGGCGCATGAGCAGGATAGCGAACTCGTGTCACTGAGGGAAAGTCTTCTGCGCTGTGTTGAGGAAATGCTTGCCAAGCTGGACGGCGTCGATATCGCACAGTCTAGTAACAACCAGCTCGCGAAAGGTTCGCTTCTCAATACCCAGTGGGCTCTCTTTGAGCTGGTCTGTCGCGCATGCGCTGGCACCGCCGAATCCACGGTGAATGCTACCCTTGTGCAGGAGTGTACGTTCGCGTTGTTGCGCCAGCTCTTGCTCAACGGTTTTGACTTGACAATCCGCCCCCTCAAGGCCATCATGGCAGGCGAGTCTGACTCACCAGAGATCAAAGACGCGACCATCACACTTTGGATTTCTATCCTTCACAGCACCTCCGCTTGGGATTCTTGTGCACAAAGCAGTCAAGATACTCTGTTCCTTGGTGCCTTCAACCGCGCTATTGACATTGTCTTCCCACTCGACCGCACGGGCCCGATTGCTGCCGAGCGTATATGGTATCTCGTCTTTGGTCTCTGTGCATTGTCTCAATTCAACGAAAAGGGCGAGATCAACGAGACCTTTAACGCTGTGCCTAGATGGACGCTCGTCAAGCGTGCGGTTTCCCTCATCAAGGTAGTCTTTGACGAGGACGCCGAAAAGAGGGCGCACCCCCAAACTTTGCGAGGTCGAGATAGATACATCAAAGCCATGATGGCCAGATGTGTCAAGCTTTCGGCTGTTTGGAAGTGGTACTTTGAACGGGACAGCTTTTCTCTGGTCAATCGTGACCTTGGGAATATATTTAAAGACCGGCAATACCGCAATCTACCTACTGAGCCGCCAGTGGATTATCCAGAGTTCATCACCCATTACGACATGTCTCTCTCTGCATCCGAGGATACCAGACACGAGACCGCGTTCGATCTTTACCTCCGCCTGGTATGCGTCGCCGCATCCGATATCATATCAGGCGCTGAGTCTCTCGCAGAGGCTCAGCGGGCTGAAAAAGATGTCCAGCGGCTCGCCATGTCCACCATCCCTATCAGCTCTGTCAAGTTCAATCGCATATTGCCACCGGGACCCCGCGAACTTGCCCAGCTTACAAATAGGTACTCGACCATGATTGCCGCCTGTTACTTTTCTCCGTCCCTCCTGAGATACCTCCTGGCCAATTCCAAGAATTGGTCGCCTTTTGCGCAGGCTGATTACGAATCTCGGGAAGTCTGTATCCGTGGTTTGATGTACCTGGCGGTAGCGTGTAGGCATCATGACCAGCCTCTCGATCCTGTAGTCGAGAGATTGGCAGAGATCCTACAGATACTGCAGGAGGAATTGGAGGGCCATGCCAAAGGAATTTTGCCGCCTCAAGCAGCCAAGAAGCCCGAGATCAAGAATACAATGGTCTTGATCGTCGTTTGCTTCAGAGAGATGATCAAGCATCACTCGTTTGATGTTGAGGAACAGTCCAAGCCTGTTTACCCTGACCCGTCCCTTCTGCACGAGAGTGAGTCACAGAGTCGTATGCAGCATGTGGCTAACCATCACTACAGGTTGGACTTTGCGAATCTTTGATTTAGACCTCGCCAATGATCTCAAATGTGGATTTGAAGTCATTTCGACCATCCAAGCATTCCTGGATGCCCGAGCCAAAGTACTTCCCGACTCGGTCCGTCGCCGTCGCGCCGCCAAAGAGTCGGTCCAGCAGCAGGACAGTTTTGACGAGTTTGGGTCCATGGGAATAGACTTTACAGCCGCTGATGTGCTGGCTCTTGGTGGCGAAGAGGCAGAACCTGACCCAAATGAAGAGTCTGATAGAAAGTTTGTCGAGGTAAGCTTGCGTCTACTCTACCAGCACAGAGAGCTGATATTGGGTAGATCATTGAGAATGTCATCTCTCCCAAGATATATCAACTTCTTTCAGACATGTTGCCCTTTGTTGTGGACGGAGAGATTGACAAGCACTGGCCGGAGGAGCGGCAGTTATTCATCGGCAAGCTTACCAAATGCTGGTCTGACTGCGCTGCTGTGTTGGTTGTCGAGCATGTGAAGCTCGTGAGTGGGGGTCCTGGGTAATCATGGTCAGTCGTGTACTGACAGTGCACCGTAGGATTGGAATACTTTTATCTCCTCTCACGGCCGGCAATCATGGACCAGGCTGGGTGACGAGCAGGGACGAGTTCAAGTGGGACTGCATTTCATGCTAAACGTGCTGGAACTGGACCCGTCTTCATTCACTGTGAGTGATGACAATTTAGATCCAGGACGCAGCTGAGTTTGTAGGAGCATGGCGATGACTTTGTAGCCTTGCTTTACCAAAGCATAGGTACAGACAAGCTCACCATCGAACACAAGTATGCCGGTACAATTCTCAACCTTGCTCGGGCATCCGAACACCTTTTATTGATCGACGTGTGCACCAACAATACCCTCGACAAGAACCCAGATAGAACAGAGTTTATGGAAAACAGAGGGCAGATTCTGCAAAGTGAGTCGACAATGAATGGCAGGCATCAGGACTGACTCGTATCAGCATTGTTTATGACCTGTTCCAATCTTTTGGCATCCAGCCATACGCCCGCTTCTACAAAAGCATTCATCTATCGTTGTATCAACACTTTTGTTTCTTCTCTTGTATCTTATGATAAAGTGAGTTGTTGCCCCTTGGTATGCGTATACTGACAACGCCTCAGTCCATCAACGACAATAAAGTCCTCCATAAAGAATCATACCGCGCATTCCTTGATACCACTTTATCTGATCTCCAGCGCTGCGCTGGCACGTACTTCCATCCGATGTCTGTACCGGGCCTGAAATATTTCCCCAAACCATAGCATAGATAGATGTTGTCTCAACTGTTCCATACGGTTTACATCATGCATAATGATATCCATTCCTTTGCTTCTTGACGGGATCCTAAGGCTACAATTCTGAATATTGTGGTACAGGTTGGTACAGTACACTCAGGTCTGGTACTCTTTGCCTGAGGAAGCAAGTCAGTATCTCGGACATGGACGCCAGACATGACCCACGCAAGAATTTGGCAATGGTCTCTAGCTGAATGTTGCTCGTCCCCTCGTAAATGGCTCCGATCTTGGAGTCTCGCCAAAACTTTTCCAATCCGGTCTCCCTGACAAAGCCTTGGCCCCCGGCCCACTCGATAGCAGACCCCGAGACCTTTTGCGCCATTACGGAGGCATAATACTTGGCCATCGCAGCCTCCTTTGTAAACGGCCTACCTTCCTCCTTGAGCCTCGCCGCGTTATAAGTCAAGAGCCTTGCGGCCTCGATTTCTGTGGCGGCTTCGGCAAACTGGAAACCCATGCCTTGAAACTCGCCGACGGCCTTGCCGAATTGTTTTCGCTGGTAGGCGTACTCGAGGGATTTGTCGAATGCGCCCTGCGCGAGGCCGATCATCTGGGCGGCGATGCCGATTCGGCCTTCGTTGAGAATTTCGATAGCGATCTAGCGCCGAGTGTCAGCGAGCTCGGGTGGGAGAGGAGATGGGATACCTTGTAGCCTTTGCCGACTTCGCCGACGATGTTTTCTTTGGGGATTTTGACGTCGTCAAAGTTGAGCACGCAGGTGGAGGAGGCGCGGATACCGAGCTATCAGAGTGTGAGCCCTTTGCATGACTGTACTTGGACATACCTTCTTCTCCTTCTTGGCAATCTCGACGCCCATGTCTTTGCTCATGATGAAGCAGGTGATACCTTTGTAGCCCTTGGAGGGGTCGACGTTTGCAAAGACCTGCATCTCGTCAGCAAATGACTGCAACATAGCTGTGTTAAACGTACAAGGAAAGTGTCGGCCTCTCCAGAGTTGGAGATCCACATCTTGCTCCCATTCAACACGTAAAAGTCCCCGCTCGAGTCCAGCTTGGCAGTCGTCTGCAGGCCGAAAGCGTCCGACCCGGCGTTGGCTTCAGAGAGACAGAAGGAGCCGACCTTGGAGGTGGCGAGGTCCGGAAGCCACTTCTCCTGAATCTCGGGGCTGCCGTAGAGGCGAAGGACGGTGTTGACGAGAGTGTTGTGGACGTCGCAGAGGACGGCGACGGAAGGATCGACCCGGGCGAGCTCCTGCGCGAAACGTCAGTGGGCGCTTCATGTGGCGCATCGACATACCTCGACGGCAATAATGGCGCCGGTGAAAGAGCACTCGGATCCACTGTGGTCGGCAGACGTCTCGATACCCATCAACTGGTCACATGATTGTCAGTCCGGAAGCGTCAACACGGGCCTGTACGCACGCCGTTATCGAACAAGCCCTGGATGATGTCGGGGCTCATGAGCTCGTTCTCGTCCATCTCCTGGACCTTTGGGGCGATGACATCCTGTGCGAAACGCCTGACGGTCTCTCTGAGCATGTACTCTTCCTCTGTAAAGTTCCAAAGGGAGGCGGGGGTGTCTATGGCGGGGCGGGTGAGCTGTGCGCGGGGGGCGGTGGTGGCGAGGGCCCTGGAGAGGCGGGGGAGGTTTCGGGGGCGGGGGGCTTTGAGTGCGAACATGGCGACATAGCAAACAGCTGCATCTACATCTCCATCTATATACCACCCACCGGCTATCCATACCCGCCAGGCACTGGAAGGCCGAGGCGGCCATCTCCGCCATGACCGCACACTCGAAGCACCTCGCAGATGTAGAGGGAATGCGTCTATCTCACCTTCCATCTGCATCTCCACAATGTCTGAATACCTCCTCGCCATCAACTGCGGCTCCTCCTCCATCAAGGGCAAGCTCTTCCAAGTCCCTCAGTTCGACCTCCTCGCACACCTCGCAGTCTCAAACATCAGCTCTGCCGATGAGAAGGTCAAGATCAACGTCGACTGGGAAGAGGGCAAGGGAACGAGCTCAGAGGAAGAGGGCGAGTATGGCGATAGGGTCCATTGTTTGTGGCATCCACGTTTGACTGGGCCGAGCTGACCATCCACCAGACGCATCCCTCGTTCCCACACTACTCGACCATCTCACAGATACATCCAACGAAAGCCACCTCAAGAAGGAGACTATCAAATATGTCTGTCACCGGGTGTATGTCTTGGCATCGTCTTGACGTGTAAGAGCTCACTACTCCGCAGTGTCCATGGGGGAACCCATAAGAAGGGTATCCGCGTATCCAAGGGGCACGAGGACGGTCTGAAGGACATGGATACACTATCCGAATTTGCCCCTCTACACGTGGGTCTCAGCCATGATATCATACCCATACTCACATACTCTAAGAACCACAGAGCAGTTTTGGCAGTCAAGTCTTGCTTGGACGCTTTGCCTGACCACACTTCTCTGCTCCTCTTCGACACCATCTTCCACGTGGGCTACCGATTACTCGCGTTTCGGCTGCGTACTGACTGCGAGCTCAGCAAACTATTCCCGAAGAGGCCTACACATATGCCCTTCCTCCGCCCGACAAACCTTTGGGTATGCCCCTCCGCAAAGTAGGTTCACACTTGCAGTTGAGGCCTAGCTGAACTTTCATAGTACGGATTCCACGGCTTGTCGTACGCTTCCATCGTCAACTCCCTCTCTAAGCACCTCAACAAGCCAGAAGACAAGGTCAACGTTGTCGTCGCGCATCTCGGAAGCGGCGCTTCGGCATGTTGTATCAAGGAGGGCAAATCTATTGACACAAGTGCGTCGCGGTTCACAATCAAGATTGCAAACTGACAAATCATAGGTATGGGTTTGACTCCGCTAGAAGGTCTTATTGGAGGTACCCGCTCTGGTACCATCGACCCCACTGCCATCTTCCACCATACTTCCGATGCCGGCGCCGCAGCTAACGTCGGAGACTATCAAGTCTCACGAGCCGAAGTCGTTCTCAACAAGTCAGTTCCCTCCTTTTCCATTGCCGACTCGGGCTGATACGTGACGTAGGAAATCCGGTCTGCAAGCTTTGGCAGGTACAACAAACTTTGGCCACATCATTCAGAACCTCGACCCCTCATCTGCCTCTTCTGAAGAGGACCACAAGAAGGCTAAACTAGCTTACGGCGTCTACCTTGACCGTCTCCTCAACTACGTCTCCCAGTACCTCTTCAAGCTCCTCTCCACCACGCCCTTGGAAGAGATTGACGGTATCGTCTTTTCCGGTGGTATCGGCGAGAAAGGCGCCAAGTTGAGGGAAGATGTTTTGAAAAAGTTTGAGTGGCTAGGGGTGGAGGTGGATGCGAAAAAGAACGAAGCCAGGGAGGGAGGGACGGTGAGGGAGATTACTGCGGAGAAGAGCAAGCTGCAGGGCTGGGTAGTGGAGACGGATGAGGAAGGCTGGATGGTCAAAATGGCCAAGGACGAGTTTGGCCTGTGAGCGTAAAGGCGCCCATGCTCAACTTTGGAAGATGTACGTGGATGGCTTTGCATCCTCAAATGATGTATTTATTCTGCTTTTGTCGTCGGCTGCACTTGTATCTCTGAACCTGGTGCGAGGGGCCAGGCCGCCGTAGCACGGGATTTATGTTGATGACGAGAGTTCCATTAGATGCAGTTCCCCGTAATGGGTCTATCTTGCAGCCATGGTATCACTGGCCGAGCTGGACTATGAAGTGTATGGAGAAGCTAATCGCGCGGATTGCGTTTCGATGTGGTTGGAGGAGGTCGATGTCACAGGGGATATTTGGACGCACGTAAGATTGATGGGTAGTCTCGGTGGGTTTGTGTTCTGATGACAGTAGTGGGGCTCTACGGTATCTGACGGTGTACATATAGTAGTCTAGTGTAGGGCAACATGGACCAATTACGAGACAGCCCTATCTTTGCCGGTGCTGCCGGGTGACTTACATGAAGCAGGCTGGACTATTATTGTGGAAAGCGAAGAGACAAGCGGTGAGAGTGGAGGTGGAATGACGGCGACTAACGCCGCTCTAGAAGCGCCGGAGATGGCCGCCGGTGTGCTAAGGCAGTCATGTGTTGAGATGTTCTGTTGGATAGCCGGATAGCCGAGATGCAATGCATAAAACGATGCATGAGGCCCTCTTGGATGCGCTGCCCCCCGCCCCCGCCCCCGCCCCCGCCCGGCCACACGCCCTACGCCCTGCACGACGATCCGCCGCCGCCCTACGCCCCGATGCTGCCCCCCTCCGTCTACACCAGCCCCCGCACGGACCCCGCCCTCCCCCGGTCCTCCGTCTTCGACTACCTCTTCCCCAGGGACAACACCTTCCCCTTCTACCCCGCCCCCCGCACAGACCCCCGCCGCAGCGCATTCGTCGATGCCCTCACCGGCAGGAGCGTCACCCGCGCCCAGGTCGGCGAACACGCCCTCGCCCTCGCCGGCGGCCTCAAGAAGCTCGGACTCGAGGCCGGCGATGTCGCCTGCATCTTTGGCATGAACAGCATCGAGTGGGTCAACGCCCTCCTCGGCTGCCAGGCTCGCGGCGTGATCACCTCGCCGGCCAACTATGCCTAGTGAGTATCGACATCTCTCGTGGCCCCATGCTGACGGCATGCAGCACACCCACAGAGCTATTGCATCAGCTCAAAGACTCTACCTCGAAGGCTGTCCTCGTCCAGCCCGGACTCATCCCCATCCTCCACGAGGCTCTCAAGCTGGACCCCGCGTTGGGCATTCCCGACTCCCGCGTCATCCTCATATGCACCAAACAGCAGAAGCCTGCAGACCTCCAAAAGTTCAAGTGCACCGAAGAGATCCGAGAGTATGGCGAGGGCGTCGATGGGCGGCATCAGTGGAAACAAGGGGACGAAGTCAAGACCGCGTACCTCTGCTATTCCAGCGGGACCACCGGAAAGGGCAAGGGTGTGGAGACGAGCCACCATAATATGACGAGCCAGGTGTGTCTGACCGTCGAAAATGTATCTTCTGGACTGACATTGAGGCAGATCCAAGCTGTAAGCTGCAGCTTTGAAAAGATGACAGAACAGGACGTTGTTCTAGGCATCTTGCCTTTCAGCCACATCTATGTGAGCAAATCGTCCAATGCCCGCACCATTGACTAAATTCTGCAGGGTTTGACGATGAACATTCACCACGCGTTGACAGCAGACACCACTGTCATTGTACTTCCCCGCTTTGACGAGATTCCCGTCCTTGAGGCCATCCAAAAGGCAAGCCGCCCCACTGATCCCGCACTTTACTGACAGTCCTGCAGTACAAGATCACGTTCGGCATCGTCGTCCCTCCCATCATCCTCGTCCTCCTTCACTCTGCCAATGTTCCCAAATACGACATTTCCACCATCCGCGGTCTCCAATCCGGCGCCGCTCCCCTCTCTGCCGACCTCATCCAAGCTTTCCAAACCAAGTTCCCTTGGATCGGCGTCACCCAGGGGTATGGCCTGACAGAGACGACGCCAGTGGCGGCCGTCATGACGCTCGACGAAGCAAAGGGGCATCAGGGTAGCACCGGCAAGTTGATACCGACCTACCAGGCCAGGCTCGTCGATGCCGAATCAGGCAAAGACGTGCCCAAGGGCGAGAGGGGAGAATTGTGGTTGAGGGGACCGAGTGTGATGAAGGGGTATTGGAGGAATGCAGAGGCCACGAAAGCAGCTTTCCAAGATGGCTTCTTCAAGACTGGGGATGTGGCTGTGATTGATGAGCAGGGGTATATTTCGTGGGTTTGCATCATCTCGAGCGTACTCGAGCTGATGTTGGGTGAAGAATCGTGGACCGGGTCAAGGAGCTCGTCAAGTACAAGGGATTCCAGGTGCCGCCTGCAGAGTTGGAGGCGCTTCTTTTGACCCACTCTGAGGTAGTGGACGTGGCTGTCATCGGCATCTACTCCAAGGCTCAGGCCACCGAGCTTCCTCGGTAAGCCGCAACTCGTTATCTCGCCTTTTTGCTGACCCTGCATAGCGCCTATGTTGTACCCAAGAAAGGCCTCGCCTCTTTATCGCCTTCGGCCCGGGAACAGCTCTCGAAAGAGATACACGACTGGGCCGCGAGCAAGACGGCCAACCACAAACGTCTGCGCGGGGGAGTCATTTTGATTGATGCCATTCCAAAGAGTCCAAGTGGAAAGATATTGAGAAAGGATTTGAGGGTGTTGGCGGCCAAGGAGGAGGAGCAGGAAGTCGTGGCTGGGAGGAAGGCAAAGCTTTGATATGCTGATGGACTTAGAAGTTGTATTATTGTACTCAATGTCATTCTTGATGTATCTCACGTGTCCACCATCAATACCCTTTACCATGCATTTCATGCGACCAAGGATAAATCTGAGCACTCAATTGAGCATCCTCAGAGCTCCAAACGCAAAGTTGAGCAGCGTTCCGATCACGATACCCATCTGATGACTTGTTAGCTGAACGCTTGAACGATCACAACACGCACCTTCATCCGCTGGCCAAAAACATGCGTAGGGACACTCAAACCCCCCACCGAAAAGTTGGCAGCCACCCTCGCGCTGATCTGTCTCATCTCGTTCACTTGGGCAGCCACTACCTCCTCAGCCGCAGTCGCCGGGGCTATTGTACCCGCCTCGCCCGTGGGTCCACTTCCATCTTCTTCCGCATTCGAAGCGCCTTCAGCATGTCCTGATTCTGCTCGCCGACGGAACTCTGCTATAGCCTCGGCATCGGCGTCGAAAAAGTTGGGCAAGGGACCTTCGCGTAGAAAGAACCACGACAAAAGTGGAAAGAGAAAACCAAAGAGGAGACCGTGTAGGATCGCAGTGTAGAGTCCTTCCGTTGAAGCTGTATTATCGTGAGCCATGGTAAATGAAACCAGGAAATGACATACTGGCAGCAGTCTCTGCAGTCATGTCGCCTTCTATCCACTGCTCTTCCAGGGCCCTGGCATGTTCATCATCTGTACATCGTCAGCCCATGTCTCTATTGTTAGCACTCACTGATATCGCCAGTGTCCATATCATCAGGTACCTCTTCCCCTCTGCTTTCATAAAACTGCCGCCGCATCTGGGCAACATCCTCTCTGGAGAATCCCGTGTCCAGCAAAACATCGAATCCGCGTCTCCGAGGCATCGCCGCCTGCCAATACATTAGCGGTGTCAACCTGGACGAGTGAGGACGTACCGCCTCCACCGTTTCCTGTTGTCGCTGAGGCTCCTCCTTGCCGCCCACTATACAGTGAACATACACCTTTCTCTCCTCCTTCCCCTTCTTCCCGCCACCGCCTTCACCGATCTCTCTGACCCCCCTGACCACGTCTTCCAGCCCCAGACCCCCTTCCGCCTGGCGCTTGACTCTACTTTCCATAGTCTCCACCCAAGGAACGAGCCTCACTCCATCGCTTAGCAGCCTCCCCGAATGGATCAGCCTCAAGCCCCGTTCTTGCAGCTCCGAGACGTGTGATCGGATGAGTGCTTTGAGTTGAGCGATGGAGGTGCTGTGGCTAAGCATGAGCGAAAGATTGGGATGGGGAGCATTGGAGAAGATGATGGTTATCTCGCGTGGTTCTGGAGGGGTATCGGCTGGCGGTGGTGAATCGTCCGTCGGTTTGAGCTCTTCATCCTCGGGCAACGCTCGTCCTTTGCCTTTGTCGAGTCTCTTTCCTATCCGCTGCTCTTCGTCTTCGTCCTCATCTTCTTCGGAGTCGCTTCCATCGCCGTACTCGGCAGCAAGCCTGTTGCGCTGTTCTTCGTCGGACGAAAAGGGCATGTAGCGGCGTGCTTGGAGACCCGAGCCATGACGCCGCCGGGAGGAGGAGGCGGTGGGAGTGGAGGGAGCGTGAAGCGGGAGGAGGGGCTGGGACTCGTTGGGGTCGTTGCTGGGCATAATGACAAGAATGGGTAGAGATGAAGAGGGAACGTGGAGATGGAAAGTGAGAGCGATGACATCGAACCGGGCGCGGCGCGTCGACGTTCGGAACTCCGCGCCGGTGATGGCATAAATGTCCATCCAGCTGCAGCTGTCCTGCTCGCTCTTCGTGTGTCGCTCTACTCTTGTCCGAGTAGGGCAAAGGGATGTGCAGTCCCAGGTGTACAACAAACGCTGAATCATGAATTGCATCAAGTCGGACCAGCCCAGTTGAAAACGAACGTCTGTTGTACACAAGAAGATACCCAAAAGATCAAACGAAGATTAAGAATGAATGGACAGTCCGTGATATGAATGAATGTGGTTTCGTGAAAGAAGTGAGGGGAAGGGACGGGTGCTTATTTGCGGTATGTGCAGCAAGCGATCACGTAGGGCAGACATGAAAGGGCAGTCATGGCGAAAGCGACCCATACGAGATCTATTTCAATGTCAGTTCGTTACTTTTGAATCATACGCGCAACTTACAGAGGGAAGGACCGGCTGTCACGTATATACCGAGCTTATAGCCATGTTGAACAGTGACCTTTTTTAGCCACGCGTCTTTGGCAATGACTGCTGTCCACAAAGCGGCACCACTAATTGCCATGCACGTCAGAATCCACTCGATCCGAGATGGATGAGCACTCACATCATGAGCAAGAATGCACCGACACCCGCACAAACGGACGCGACAAAGAATGTGAGGCGGAACTTGATGACACCAAAGATGAACGCGAGAGCCACACCGACCGATCCGACCTTGTCCAAGGTCAGCCTCGCCCTTTGTACGTCCTCGTGTAGGCCGAGCAATCAAAAACGTGTGACTCACAAAGATCAATGCACTGGCAGCCCTGGTCATAGCATGGTTGTAGCCATTCTGCTTGAAAGTGGACGAGGGAATGATGTCGACAGTCTGGATTCTAAACTTGGAAGGAACATCGCCGATCAAGCTGCCAAGAGGTTCCATGGGGTAGGCGAAAGTGGAAGAGTTGCAGATACCACTGGCGGCATTCTTCTGGTACCCACAGGCGTCTGCATTACCGTTAGAGGCAATCATAAAGAGGAGGGAGAGACCTACTGTACATGCCAAACCTGTAGAACTGTCGCAACCCCTTGAACTTGCCCATATTCTCGTCTTTGCTGTCATAAAGACCGCCAGCGCTTGTATTGGTAGCACCTGCCAGACCGTTCCCATAACTATAATCGCCGGTCAGGGAAACGCGCTTTCGCTTTTGTTTGCGATGTTTGACGCGTCTGGGGCATCCTTGCACGGACATGCAAGCAGCGAGCGCCACAAGGCAGAAGTGGACTCACGCAGCAACGTTGACTTCGGCCATGTAGATGGACTTGACGAGGGGCCCTGAGGAGACCTGGCCGATGTGTGCAAAGATGAGGAGGATGACGGAGACGAAGGTGAGGGCGCTGGCCCCGAGCACGCAGTGTTCTCCTCGCATGGTGAGATGGGGGTAGGGAGGATAGGATAGATGGAAATAGGAGATGGAATAAACTTGGATTAGAGCAACTTTGATCTGTTCTTGGTTGTCCTCCGTTTGCAGCAATTCCACATCACGTGGCGCGTCGATTGTAAACATTATTCCGTGCCTGCCCCGCTCCAGATCGCCCTCTCGTAACCCGTTCCTCTTTTTCCTGGAAATATTCCTCTCGCCCAAACATCCCGTCAATTCGTCAACAGCATCGGCCTGCATAGAACGTACAACCAGCTATATACAAGAAGCCCAATAGAGATAGGAAGGGAGACACAGCAAAGCAAAGATATTGCCCTGTACACATATACCACAGACTTCTCCTGCGCTCAACCCCATAGTAAGAGATCAGCAGGTACTTCCGAGTACCCATTGCTTCCCAACCCTCCTTCTTCATCCATCAGGAAACTAAACACATCAAAGGTCCCGTCATTTTCTCCAAAGGCTGTGCCGTTTCCAGTCCCATTGTTGGGCCTGCCATGGATGATCGCGCTGATCCTCTCGTCCGTTGACTGAGAGCCCGCGGAAGCGGCGGCGGCAGCAGCAGTGTTGGCCAGCGTGTTCAAGCTCGGCCCATCAGAGGCTGGGAAGACTGGCGAGGCGGCAACAGGGCTCATGTTGATATGAGCAGCCATCCCAAATGTACCCATTAACGTATTGGGGTCACCGATAGAAGATACGCCGTTGGTAGATGTCGGCGTGTACGGCGCGTGGTGCCCGTTCTCGACAGAGTAGAAAGCTCGTGGAGGCATACCGCCGGGCGCATGAGAATAGCCGTCCACTCCTACATGAGCCCGCTTGCCGCACTGCTTATTGCTCGTGTAATCAGAGGCCTTGTTATGGGACGCCATGGGGTTTCGGAACAAGTTGTCGAGGAGCGACATCTCGTAAGGCATCGTAACAGGTGGGAGAGGGGCTGGAAAGACCTCATTGGGGAGGGGATCTTCTCGCGAAGATGATATAGGCGCGCTTCTAAAGCTGGTGCTTTGATCGGGGGAGCCAGACGTGTTGGATACAGGTGGCGGGTCCAACTCGCCAAGCTGCTTGAAAATCGCTTGTGAGAGTGTACGCATCGTGTCATGACACGCAGATGCCGAAGGGACCCGCGCTGCTCACGGTCAGTCATTGCAAACCATCGGGTGGATCACACTCACGAGCAAGGAACTCGAGTACGCCCAGACATGACTCGATGGTCATCACCGCATCCTCGATGGTCGGCACGCCCTCGCCTCCTCCCAGACTGTACAAGTTGGAAAAGGCATACAAGAACGAGAGCCCAGCCATGAATGAAAAGTGGCTCTGCCATTGAATTAGCGAATACTCCAAACGACGCGAAAGGACCTACAGTCATCCACAACCACGAAATCCTGTTGTTGAGTTGCATTCTCCTGTAGATTCTGATGTTGTATCCAGAGCTGGAGAGAACAATGGAGAGGGCTTTTCTACCAGGTCGAGGGCAGCCAGGCGAGGGTCGGAACAACAAGAGGCAAGAGTCTAGCGTCGATGAGCAAAGTGCATCGCTTTTGAAACAAACGACTTACTGTGATAGGACAAAGCATATCCCTCCGTCGAAACAGCGCCCCTCGGCTCCGGCGCGTTTTTGAGCCAATCTTGCAGCCTCTCATAACAATCATCCACCCACTCTTGCGATGGCAGTCTTCCAGTGGAGCTGTGCACGCCATAAGTGTTGAACAGCACTTCCGACTGAAGTTGTCGGAGCTTGGTGGTGTGGATGAAGACGGCTTTGTAGGAGCACGGCTCGCCTGTCATGGGGCCATAATGACCGGAGTGAATGTCAATGTCGTGCAGATCAGATGGGAGCTGGCATAAAGTCAGCTGCTGCCTTTATCATGATACAAGTCACATACCGGCACATTGATAAACCCATCGGGTATACTGGGTGGTCTACCCAGCGATTGCGACAATAGTCTATCCATCTTGTAGGTGCACCAGAACAGTCTTCTGCGCATATCCAGCTCCAAAGCATCGAGTTGGTCAACCGGGATGTTGTGTTCATTGTGATAGCCCATGTCCACACATGTTCGTGTGGCGAGACCGATCAGAAACCAGATAGAGCCCTTATCGGGGTTGAGGAGAGAATACCAGACGAGGAGTAGGATAGCCTGAAGGCCGACGTAACTCTGTTCTTCAAAGACGGCGTCGAGATGTTTGATCGCCTCGGCGTGGAATGCTTCAGAGCAGGCTCTCAAGTCGTCAGGAGGGTCGACGAATCTAGATGATGCCATCGTAGACAATGCTATGACAATCAGTCGGAATCACTTAATCGACAACACTACTCACCGAGAACCATCATGACAACAAAAATGTCACTCTCCTCCACGTCTAAGCCTCCCCTGATATTGCTCAACTGCCTTCCCAGAGTCGGTATATGGATGATGGGTCCTGTCACGCCAACAAAGTCGACATAGGCTGCCACAAGTTTCTCGACGGCACCCTGAGGTGGAAGAGGCGGGATCGTGACCTTTCGCTTTGATTTTCCCCCACTCGACACTGAAAGAGTTACCGGCCCGCTGGCCGAAGGCGGCAGTCTGGGTATCGCCGATCTGGGTGTGGGAAGGGTCTCGGGCGAAGTATGATCATCGCGCTCAGCACTGATAGGCGAGTTAATTGTGCCGCCGTGGGTAGAACCCCTGTCACTGCCCGAAGCATTTGAGCCTGAAGTTATCCCACTGTTTGCTGCATGGCCAGTCCTCAGAGCAGCATCATGGACCATCCGGGTGAGAGACGTGGCATGCAGGCTGGCAGGCTGACCGGTGGGATGTGGCCTCGAGGATGTAAAGGGAGATCGAGGCGGGTCAGCCGAGATTGGCGTGGAGGGATATGGAAAGTCCGAGTGTCTTCGCTGTTGGTGGCCGTTGTTTGAGGGAAGAACAGGCGAGGCGAATGGCGGGGATCGTCCATCGCGACTTGGCCCATTCTCCCCCGGAAACTCGGGAAAATAATTGGACCCCGCGTGGTAGGAATTCGCCGCGATGTTCCTCTTTCTCTCCCCGATAGGGTCGACCGAAGACAGGGCACTGACCTGAGCACGCAATGCCGCCACCTCCTCCTCCAATTGATGCAGGTAGCTATGCAATATGTCAGCAGATATAGGTTTCGCGCAGATAGGCGCCGCGCTTGGTGATATGACGAGAGACTTTGATGGCCGAGAATCGACTCACTTTCTCGAGATGTTTGTCTTGCTAATCGCATCAAAGCCAATGCACTCTACACCTGCACGATCGCAAGACGTACAGGCCGGCAGCTTGCCATCGCATTTTTGCTTTCTTGTCCTGCATCTCGTACAGCTCGAGATGGCGCGGGCGACCTTGTAGTGCTGCGCGTCGGAAGCACTTGATGGGGTGGGGGGCTGGGAAGCACGCGAGGACGAGGCGACAGACTGAGTACGGGGGAGAGGGGGCGGTTTTATAGGCTTGTCGTCGGCGGGAGGGTATGGGCTGTAGGATGCGCCTTTGTTGTTCTTTTGGGTGGGAGCCTTCATGTCGGCTTTGGGCGGGGCGTATGAGAAAGGAAGCAAACAGATAGCACGGCCCGGCTGATAGGAGATGCGCGATATCGGCGACGGCCGACGCTGCGTGCTTATTTGCTCCCGTCCACTGTGCTTATGTAACACCTCCATTCGACGACTTGCGCATCTGCGTGTTCATCAGCAGCATCCATCGTCCTCCCTTGCTCTAGCATCACCCAACATGAGCTCCCCGGAACCCCAAGATGCTGCCCAGCCCGCCACCGGCTCCCCCTCTGAATTTCTCCAAAACATTGTCGGCAAGCGGGTCAAGGTCAGAATAGGAAGCGGAGTTGACTACACTGGTATGTTTGAAGCGACTCGAGATCATCTTCACCAGACTGATCATATGTAGGTCTTTTGACGTGTCTGGATGGATACATGAATGTGGCTCTGGAGAACACGGAAGAATGGGCGGGGGGTGTCAAGACGGCAGACTATGGGGACTGCTTTTTGAGAGGCAACAACGGTGAGTTTCATGTCGACAAGGAACGATCGAGAGCTGATGGTTGTGTAGTCCTTTATATCTCTGCTTTGGAGGAGATATGATGATGAGGATCATGTATTATTATGGGCCCATTGACTAATTGACATCAAGACTACATTGAGCATTGTGCGCAGAACGACCCAAAGTGCAGGGAGCTCGCGACATGAACGATGAAGAGGGGAAGAAGAACAACTGAGGCTCGTACGAGTGTCATGATAGGGCAAGCGGCTAGGGCTCTGCCAACGGCATCCCAATCATGATCAGACCGAAAGCCACAGCGGCCACGTAACACTTGGTGCATTGTTTCAGTGACAGTCCGAGCAAATGCGCTGATGTATCGCTGCCAGTTGGGAAAAAGCAATCGACTTTCATCACAAGGCCCTCAAGGCCGGGTATAAAGTCTGCACTCAATGCGATTAATAGAAGAAGGGGGACAAACAGCGGCGGTATAGAAGCAGTTTAGGGACAGAGAAGTATATATTTATGTGTTGATAGACAGGGTTATTCCTGAAAGCCCAGCGAGAAACAGAGAGTGTATGACTTGGTCTCGTATAGACAAACGGTGTCAAAAGTCCCACGAAGAATGAAAAGAGCGATAAAGCAAGTTTTGAATTGTCCGTGGTTATTTGACAGCCCCTCGTTAACGAGGCGCTTAAAGGATAAAGTAGCTCGCGGCACCAACGAAGGTGAGCGCAAGGGCCACAGGAGCTCCGCCCACGCGAGTGAGGGCGGCAGAGGAAGAAGCGGTGGAAGTACTGGTGGAAGAGCTGGTGGAGGAAGACTTGGTGGCGGAAGCGACATCGGCGGCGACAGAGCCAGACACCTGATTTTCATGTCAGTGCGCCCTCTCGAAGTTCAGGTAATGACCTACAGTAGAAGAAGCCTTTACAGAGGAGGATACAGCGGAAGAGGAGGAAGAGGACGCGTCAATGGCAGCCAACACGGTAGCGTTGAAAGAACCAGTCATGGACTTGATAGAGAACATGGAGGAGAACGCCTCGTAGTAGTACTGGGAGTTGGTAGAGTCCTTCAAGGAGAGGGAAGTGAATCGAACAAAGTAGTGGGAATCTGTATAATCACGTGAGCAAGCTGCTTTGTTGTTGACGCCCGGTAGACGAAAGGCATGACAATTGACCCGCCAAGGCTGATCCGCCTGCCTCGTTGAGCGAGATCGGAAACACTTACCATCCTGTCCAATAGAAGGGTCGATGGTAGCAGAGATGCTGCTTGCCTTGGAGACATCGACGCTCGCGGCGAGGTTCTGCAACTTGACCTGGTTGTTGACAGAACCAGTGTAGATGGAGACATCGCAGGGTCCAATGTCGGCGACGGTGGGAGTCTCTCCGTCGTCCGCTGTGCATGGATGGGTCAGTGTCGCGTTCGGCCTATGCAGAGCATGTTGTTTGGGTGATGCCCGGGCGCCAGGGCCCATATCATGGCCGCAGAGAAAGGCCTCAACTCACCCCACTTGACTTCAAGCACCTGGCCACCGATGGCAGCGGTACTATTCACAGGGCTGGTGATGTAGACGCCAGCCATGGCAGACTGGACGGCGGCGGAGGCGGCGAGGACATAAGTAGCGAATCGCATTTTGCTGATGTGATGGGATTGTTGTTGAAAGAAGTCGCTGACGAAAAGTGGTGAAAGAGTGTGGCCTGTAAAAGAGTGTGTAGTAGTTAGCTCGTCAAGAGGTTATAGAAGTGTACGGATGGATGCATCGATACAAAAGATCAGTTGTCAACGCGCAGGGGGCAGAGGGGGAGGAGAGAGGCTTCCAGGCACGAATGCACAAACAATCCCTTAGGTTTCATCCGCAAGCAGCCGAAATGCTCCCGTTCGTGGCACCTCCAGCTGGCGGGCCCCCCCGCCTCGAGTCGATCGTGGCCGGCTGTCACAAAAAGTCGCGGGGGATTCTTGGGACTGCCAACCGCCATGTCTGCCAGAGCGCTCGCCAACAACGCCCGCGTGCTTGCCCGCACCGCCAGCAGCAGGCTCTATGCCACAAAAGCCCCCGTGCCCCCCAAGCCCATCGACGACAGCACCAGCGCTCTCGACTGTGCGTCCCATCTCCCGCATCGGAGCCCGAGCTGATCTCCCACAGACAAGCTTCACAGGCATGGCAAGCGACTGCCGCATCTCGTCACCCAGCACCCCAGATACCCCTCTGCCGAAGAGGCCGTCACCAACATCCTCTACAACACTCCTCCACCCAGCGCCGAACCCTTCAAGCGGTCAGTCGAGTACCCGAAAGTTGCGCAAAAGCTGACGAGATGGTAGACACCGTTTGAACTGTTTGGTGCAGAACGAGCCCGGAGTGCTCTCCAGGGTGTCTGGTATCCTCGCCGGCCGTGGCTTCAACATCGGTGCGCAGTCATCCCATCTCCCATTCAGCTCGAGCTCATTTCTATCTAGACTCTCTCGTGGTCTGTCAAACCGAGATCCGTGACCTCTCCAGAATGTGTATCGTCCTCAAGGGCCAAGACGGCGTTATTGAACAAGCCCGTCGTCAGCTCGAAGACCTCGTACCCGTCTGGGCCGTCTTGGACTACACAAAGACCTCTTGCGTAGAGCGTGAACTCTTGCTCGCCAAGGTCTCTATCCTCGGCCCCGAATTCGCCGAGGCGCAGCTCCTGGGACCCCTCCCCGATGCTAGCTTTGAACACGCCGTGGAAAACCAATCGCACGACCACCCTCCTTCTTTCGTGACTGCCCAAGGCGAGCAGACCGATGGCAAGTACCAACGCGAAGAGGCCCTTGCCCGGTCGTTCGAATCCGGCGGTGCCCCTTCCTCCGGCCCCCTCTACCCCACTCGATCCGGTCAAGGCCAAGACATGTCTGCCAGCGAGGCCCTTATCGCCAAAAACTTGCACTTGACTGCTATCAAGACTCTCGCCGACCAGTTTGGCGGTAGGGTCGTGGATGTTGCGGAGAACAGCTGTATCGTCGAGTTGACCGCCAAGAGCTCGAGAGTTGACTCTTTCCTGAGTCTGATGAGGCCCTTCGGTGTGCTCGAGGCTGCTAGGTCTGGTCAGTGGATACCAACAAGTACATGCATCGTGCTGATTACGTCTAGGTGTGATGGTCCTTCCCCGAACTCCTGTTCCCAGATACAACGAGGAGGATGCCATTGCCGAAAAGGAAGAGATTGACGTTTCCATGCTTCCCCCCGGATAGAGAATCATTATCTTGCCATACTTTTGTACGAAAAACGATGTCATCATCTATACAGCCTTGCATGGTCTATCACAACGGGAATCTACAGCACAGAAGCCACGACGGGGTACGCCTTCTCGTACACGGTAAAGATGATACCGCCGCTCATGACAAGTCGTCCCAGCCGGGGGACGGTACCACCCCAGAATTTGAAGATGCCCTCTTCTTTAAAGATACGCGCAGCGCAGTGAAGGGCGTTGCGGTACTCCTGCTTGGCGTGGATGGACTGCATCCGAGTTTTGACGACACTATACGGTTGTCAGTCTTGTCGCGGGTAAACCATATGGCTCACTCGAATGGCATGGTAGAATCTGCATGGCATCAGCACTGTCAACCGTTATTCATGGATATGACTCACAGACAGTCACAATGCCCGCCGCCGCTCCGATGCCAAAAGTCATCCACCCCGGCATGTCCTCCCCGGGCACCACACTTCCCTGCGCAAGCTGCTTCAAGGTTGAATAACTCGAGAACCGCACAGCAGAGTTGGCTCCTTGTCTCAGCATGACCGGTCCAACACCTCGGTAGATACCGAGATAGCCTTCTTCTTTGATGATGGTCTGGACACCGTGGACAAGACCCCTGTACCGGGGTTGCGCGAGCTTGGAGTCTTCGATCATCTTGGTTCTAAAGCTTGGTTAGTCACAGTCACCTGCCCTATCTGTTGAAATCCCCACTTGATGGTTTCCGAGGGAGTGACCGCAATGACAGCTTCCGACATGCCCGCACCAAGACCAGCCAGCATCGATCTGGGAGCTGTCAATTTGCCCTACAAGCTGGGTGTCAGTTCCAACTTGCAAGCGTGGATACGCCAGCTCACTTCATCGTCCTTCAAGAGACTCTTGAATTGATCATAGGTTGTAAACCTCACACTTGCCTTGGCAGCATTTCCAATGACCACCGCAGAGACACCAGCATACAGACCCTTCACACCTCGTTGTTGTATCGTAGACTTGAGTGCTGTATAGGGTGACATTGGCTACATGTTATCAGACCATATACAAGGGTCGTCTCTCATACACACCTTGTCGCCATTGAGGGCACCGAATTGCAACTGCGTTTTGACGCTCTCGAGGGGAAAAGTGATGAAGGCCTCGACACCTCCCGCAGTCGCTCCCGCGAGGAGAGATGCGATCGGCTTTTCCTTGGACCCCTTGGCGGCGGTGGACATGCTGATGCGTGAGAGGGAGATTATAGAGAGCTAGATGGATTATAGCGTAATAGATGGATCTTTCGGACGAAAATGGAGGCTGGCGATCTTCTTCCATGTCACCGTTTATTTCATCATCTCTGACATTTGTCTTTGTTTATCTCTTGCGCTATACATCACTTGGACAAACCCCGCGCCATGCAAACTGAGACTACGCCACAATCACTATCAAGCGACAACTCGCTCTTGGGTAGAGGCTGGACGCAAGTCGCGTCCTTTGACGAGCTGAACGAGGACGAGTACGAGGAGGAAGAAGAGGTGGGTGCTATACAGATAGCGAGTTTCGTTCTGACTCTGGTTGGAGTTGCTTGTTACATTGGATTTGGGAACTGCTGTCGACGCAAAGTCACTCCAGACAGAGTCGGGCTATCAGATCATCGCAAGTACTGCTCTCGGTCCTATGGGACTAACGCTGATCAGCTCATAGGGAATGGACACGTCTAGCCCATTCCTGCGATTGGGCAACCAGATATTCAAAGGCGATATTACTCCTCTCATTGGTGACGAGATTATTTGTGGCCACGTCCGAAGTGAGTCCTCTCCCCTTTCTTCTTCAACCGCTGACATTCTGTAGACCACGAAGATATACATGCCCCTTCACATCCTCCTGTCATGAGCACGAATAACAGAATAACCTTTCAGCCCATCACTCTCCACGCCAAAAACCGTGCTCCGGCCCACGCCCCCAGTGCCGAAGCGTCAACATCAGACAATGCAGTCGCCGGCCCTGGGCCAAGTACAGCTGCAGCCGCCGAAAGAGGAGCAGTGCCCGCCCCACCAAAGAGAAAAGGGCGACATAGGAGAATAATTGAAAGACCAGAGGACCTGAATACGTTTGACTTGGAGGCTATGGGGAAGCATCAAACTGGTGAGTTTTGCTTACGCCATGGGCACCTAGTGAGCTGAATCTCTATCCAGTCGAGCTCGGACCGGCGGTGATGGAACAGTTGGGTATACCACCTGGAACCGATGGCCGAGGGGCGATATTGAAGAAGAGAGACTTGGAGCGGGTACTGCTGGGCATTCCTGAGAGCAACCGGGGTCGCAAGAAGAAGCAGCCTGTTCCCGAGCCCACGGGTATATGATTTGCGGTGATGTGCACAACGGCAAGCTGGTCATGACGAGTGTTTCCGACTCGGATATGTATGCAATTGTTGTATGGATATGGTTATAACAAACGCCCTTTCACATCCTCTGCATCCTCGTGTTCATCCCCTCCGCATTCTTCCGCCTGTACTCTCTTCTCTCTGCAGTCTTATCTTCTCCCCCGACCTTGCCCCATCCGGCGAGCGGTACTACGACGCAAGTGCAGTTGTCTGACGCGCCGAGGTCTTCGGCAAAGTGGACGATGGTCTTGGCTGCGCGGCTCGGGTCGAGAGAACGGCGAGCGAGATCTATAATCTCTTGGTCCGACATGAGGGCAGTTATGCCGTCTGTTGCCAGTACAATGTAGCAACTTTCGTCGCCTATATCCTATTACCAGGCAAACTCTGTCCAATTCGTTGCTACGTACCATCAATGACCTTAGTCGAAACCTCTGGCTCTGCAGTCACCCCCGAAGGCTTCCATTGCCCATCCCCGAATCCTCTCGTGTTTTCCACCGCTCCCATCCACCTCGATTCGCCATATGAATCACTGACAAGCAGCCCAGCACCCATGCGCCGGAGGCGGGAGGCCTCAACGCGGGATTCAGCGTGGTGCTTTTCGGTGAGGGCAACAACTTGGCCAGTGGCACGGGTACAGAGAAGGGCACGAGTATCTCTGTAGTCGTATCAGTAGCGTCTGGTGGGAGCGAGATCAACGTACCCGCAGTGTCCAATCGTCACGGCCACCTTCTTTGCACCCCAATAAGGCTGCGCCGGCCCATCCAACGAATGCAGCAATACCACACTCGCCGTCGATCCGCATCTTTCAGATCCGTTCACGTCTTCCAGTATCTCCTTGTCCGCTTGCAAAAAGGCCAGTGTTAAACGCTCTTCCAAAGTCATCTTGTCTCCATTCTCTACACTCGCCGCTTGCCCTTCCTGGGCGAATCTGGTCCACCGCCCCAGGGCACCACCCCGCCATCTCTTAAAGTATCCACCGTGTTTCTCTTTCGTCCAGTCCACGACAGAGGCTATCGACGAAGGCTCTGCGGATTCAATGAGGGATTGAAGTTTGCTGGCGACGTATGATGAGACTTGGGGGCCTCCATGACTACCACGATCAGTTTGCTGTTGACGCACGCATGAGGACGTACCCGTCAAAGATGCCAAAATATCCAGCTTGAGATGCCAAGAAAACAGATCCAGCCACTTCAGGGTTCCAATCCACCGGTTTCTTGCTTTTCGCCAGTGATTGTTGCAGTTCTGCAGGGTCCAGCTGCAGCGCATGAACCGAGGACGCATCTTCCTGATACCTGCCCCATCATCATTAGCGTGGCTCCCCAAGTTGTAGAGTGGAAAGACTTGCTCGCGATACCCGCGTGAAGAGTATGATCCCACGATCTTGGGAGACGAGAGCGGTACTTTGTAGGTACCTAATGGGAGATCAGTAGCCGTCCAAACAGAGGTGGGCGACGCACCCTTGTCCATGGGACCTCTAATAAAGTCGTGGACTGCTCTCGCTCTCGCTGGGCGGCGGTTGCAAAGGCGGGCGAGGGGCGGGCGTGTTCTTATGGAGGCGAGCATTGATGCTATAAGGGCATTGTCGGCATGGAGTGACAAACCAGGCGCTGCAAGATTTGATACGCAGCGAGGACGGCGCGGACGGGACGCCGAGCGCCGACAGGCGACAGAGACTGCATTTCTGCTGGTGACTGGGTGCTGGGAATCTTTTGAACACGGCTATGGGGCGCAAGAGGCATGCAGTGCAATACATAGGAAGTGTATTGGGACTCCTTTCGTGCAGGGCTCTGTCTTCTTGTGTATATACCTTGCAACCACAGCTTACACTCGGCCTGCTTGCCACCTCGAGAAGAACCTACACACAGCCCAAGGAAAGACGGCCATACGGGTCATATAATAACATACACTAATACTACATCTCACGAGCCCATAACATACCATCCCTAACTCCTACCGTATCTCCGTGCCGAATCCTCTACTCAAGCTTCTCCAGGTAGTCCAACCTATCCAAGACTACTTGCTTGCTCGTCTCTTCTATTTCTCCAGCGAGGAACACCTCGTCTAGGATTGCATATACCTATATATGATCAGCAATTATCTCACAGAGAGGAAGACCAAAGTAGCTGACTTTGTAGAAGGAGAAAACGAGGTCGAGTTCACAGACGTTCTGGAAGAACGCATCTACACATTGTCAGCTTCGTATGCTTTTGGAAATTTGAGAATACTTGCCAAGTACCTCGACAAAGAGGTGAATTGCTTCAAGATAGGCAAGCTCATTGTCGTTGGAGTCGACACAGACGCAGAAGAAAAGACCAGCGTATCGTCGGTAGATGACCTTGTCGTCACGAAACTGTGTATGTTGTGGTAGCCCCAGGGGTAGTGGGTGGAGAGGCAGGTTCCAGTCAAGCCGAAAGCAAGTGATACAGACAAGAGACAGACGTCGGTCAGCATACGCACTCTCCAGATAACTAGAACGCACCTCGACAAAGTTGGATTGGTATTTTTGATCTCGGGGGGCAATCAGACGGTGAACCTCTCCTCTCAGGCGAACCTAGACAAGTACATCGAGTAGTCAGCATCCTCCAGAACACGGACAGTACCCGAGGAAGATCATTGGGGCACGTCAAGAGCTCGGACACGCACCTTTTCGTCGTCGTCGTAAGGAGCATACCACTTTGACAGCCTGGTTTTTCCTTGTCTGTTCTGTATGCTTGTGTGAGTTGGATCCAGATGGTGGCTGACCGAGGGCGTACTTGAACGAGGATGAACTTGATCATAGCGAGCGATAGATGGTAAAGAGAGATGGGGAATTAACGAGGGCCAGTCGGGGTACGTATGTCTGAAAGCTCTCCAGTGTGCGGTTATTCGAGCTGAGCGTCGGCGTTTGAAGGGATCGCAGGAGGGACGGTATTGGTGTCGATGGCAGAATGAAATGAGAAAGCAAGAAAGCGAACGCGCGCGTTCGTTTGTTGTTCTCCATCATCACCCTCCGCCGCCATGGCACCCCAATACGCACATCTGCCCTCAGGCAACCCCCCACCCGCATCCCATTCCCCTCGCTCATCATCCTCCACAGAGTTCCAGGATACCCTCGACCAGGAGCCCTTTGATGAAGAAAAGGGGCAGCCATTCAGAGACGATCCCCTCATAGAAGGCTCGGGGGAGGACTATGATGACGGGCGGGGTTTCGCCACAGATGCGAGGAGGGTGCGTACATGCCCCTGGGCGCCTAGGAGATTATAGCTGACGTGCTACAGTCGCGGCCAAGGAGAAAGTCGCGCAAAATCATGGCCGTGCTGATCACCATCATCGTCTTTGCTGGTGCTATCGGCGGCCTGGCAGCCGCTGGATACTCTGCGCCCTCCTTCTCTGTCAAGGGCGGTATCAAGCAGATCACCATGGATCATGTATTCAACGGGACCTTTGCCGCCTATAGCAAACAGGTGGACTGGGTCAAAGAGGGTATGTTCGAGTCACCATGCCTAGCAACCATCTCACACTCGCACAGCTGAAGACGGCACCTTCTCGCATATCAATAAGGAAGGGAACATTGTCCTCAACACTGTGAGGGACATGACTGAAGACACCCTCCTTGTGGACTCTTCTCTTGTGCTCGACACTGAAGGCAACAAGCTTCACTGGCAATCCTGGGCACTGTCCGCCGACATGGAATATGTTCTCTTCCAGACGGACCATGTCAAGCAATGGCGTCACTCGTCGTTTGGAAACTACTGGGTTCATCGACGTAGTGACTCTGTCACGTTCCCCGTCGCCGCCCCCACGAAAAAGCCCACCATCTCGCACTGCACTTGGTCGCCTGTCGGTCATGCGCTCGCCTTTGTCAGTAAGAATGACGTTTATCTCATCACTGAAAGCGAAATGGCGTCTTCTGCTCCTGAATCCATCCGCATAACCGACGATGGCAGTCATACCGTCTTTAACGGTGTCCCAGATTGGGTTTACGAAGAAGAGGTGTTTGAATCGGATACCGCTCTTTGGTGGAGTCCGGACGCAAAGACCATCGCATTCTTGAGAAGTGATGAGAGCAAAGTCAAGGATTACAAGCTCCAGTATTACAACCCCTCTAATGACGCCTTCGAAGTGCATCAATACCAGACAGAGCTGGATATGAAGTAAGAGACGCCCTCGCTGTCATAGTTGATCCTGACGGATCGCAGGTACCCCAAGCCGGGCACTCCCAATCCCACAGTGTCTGTTTACACCTATACAATCTCGACTCGCTCCAAGCAGCACCTCTCTTGGGCCGGCGAGATGCCTCTGGATGACCGTATCCTCGTCGAGATTGGTTGGGTTGCAGACAACGCCTTGTTGGTCAAGGAAATCGACAGGTCGGCGAGACAGGGAAATGTAATAGTGTTCGAGGACGGAGAGACCAAGGGAACTATCGTGCGACTTCTAGGCAAGGACGGAGAAGAAGGAGACGATGGATGGATTGATCATGTGAGTTACAAAGCCATCTGGTGGCCGACTGACGTCTTATAGGGACAAAATGTGGTGCCAGTCAAGGGCTCATTGCCGGGATATCTTGATATCGTACCCAATGAGGGATACAACCATATCGCTTTCTTTGCTCCTGTAAACGCTAGTGAACCGATCTGGATCACTTCGGGTGAATGGGAGGTCACCCAGATCTCCGGGGTCAATTTAGAGAAGGGTCTAATGTAAGCCTGTCTTGCTTCTTTTTTGCATCATGCTGACCTGTCCAGTTATTTCACCGCGGCGACTCCATCCATTGACAGGCACTTGTACTCTGCCCCTCTCCCCACGTCTGCCACAGGCGAATACCAAGAGACATTGACAGCTTTGACCGATACCAAGTCTTCAGGATATTTCGAGGCGTCCTTTTCTCCAAAAGCCGGGTACTATGTGCTTGGATACAGGGGACCAGAGGTGCCTTGGCAGCGGCTGATAGAGGCTGGATCTGGGGAAGAGAGTGAGTGATTGGCTTTGGTGCAAGCAGGACTAACAGCCATCAGACGCGAACGTTTTGCTCGAGGGCAACGCCGAGCTCAACAAGACCATCTCTGAATACCTCAAGCCCATTGTGACTAGGACGACCATCAACAGTGATGGCTACGGTATGTCAATCTGCGTATTTCCCGGCTGACTCGCGGCAGAACTCAACATGCTCGAAATCCTTCCGCCCAACCTCGACATCACCGGCAGGCGCAAGTATCCTGTTCTCGTTCGCGTATACGGCGGCCCAGGATCGCAAATGGTCTCAAACCGTTTCGAACGTGACTGGCATTCTTATCTTGCAGCCTCCCAGCGATACATCATTGTCATGATCGATGGCAGAGGGACGGGAAACAAAGGTCGGGCGTTGAGAAACCCAGTGAGGGACAATTTGGGAAACTATGAGGTGGCGGATCAGACTGCTGCAGCAAAGGAAATGCTCAAGCGGCCGTACGTAGACAGGTCAAGGATTGGTATCTGGGGCTGGGTTCGTGTATATACGGCGGCTCTGCTTTGTATGCTGACGTTTTTTCAGAGCTATGGAGGCTATATGACTTGCAAGACTCTCGAAGCAGAGACCGGTGTCTTCACCCTGGGCAGTAAGTTGCCCTTGCGGTGTGTCTGTATATCATCTGACGTCGTGTAGTGGCTGTAGCTCCAGTGACTTCATGGCTCTACTATGACTCCATTTACACCGAGCGATATATGTCCACTCCCGCGCTCAACGAGGAAGGCTACGTCTCCTCCGCCGTCAACAACGTCTCGGCCTTTTCCGGTGACAAGGTTGACTTTATTTGGGCGCATGGAAGTGGCGATGACAACGTTCACTACGCAAACAGCGCATCCCTGCTGGACAAGTTGACGCAAGAGCAAGTGAGAGGATGGCGGTTCAGGATGTTTACAGACTCGTGAGTCGATCCACCTGATTGGGTGATGAGATTGCTGACAACGCTCAGTAACCACTCTATGGATAAACGCAATGCCTACAGGGAGGTGTATGAGTGGATGAACGATTTCCTGAGTGAAAAATGGGGTAAAGGCGGGACAATACATCATTGAACGTATCTTGATAGAAGAATATCTATTGTTGTATCTTTACTGAACAATCTCTCACTGTGGCAACAGATTCGGTTTGGTGCAAGCCAGTCAGTTGCGCCTTGCGTCGTAAATCTGCCGACAAAGTCGCCTGACGCAATGAGACTCACATAAGTATCGCCCAAACTACCCTTGTCCTGCCTGCCATCAAGCCAGACCGTCTCCGACTTTAAGCAAGCTTGACTTTTGTTACGAGTATGTCGCGACTTGACTTGGCACAGTCCATGTCTTACACGATCAGCTACCGTATGCTCAGGCCAAATGTACTTACAATCATCCAAAAACAGGTTCTGACACCTCATGGCATACATGACGCTATCTATATGAGTGTTCTCATAAGGTAGGCATGCTGACTGTCCAGCAATGGGGCCAACAGCCTCGTTCGCTCACTTCTCGCTACAGATTGTCGTCAGCAGTGTACGTATACATATTTGTGTCGCTGACGAGATGACTCACTCTCAGGATGTCGCCTTGGGACCAATAATTCCTCGCCTGACTGTTCTTGTCAACTTTGATCGAGGTCATCAACCTGAAGGTGGAGGAAATCCGAACACGCCCTACAGAAGTCAATCACGCGTCAGCCACTCGTAGTTTCCAGACATCAGCCGCGATACTCACTCGCCAGCCCCTCCTGCTACATTTCCTAGCCGACCAGCCTCCCCCCACCAAGTAAGGTGTCCACCCTAGAGACTTGGTGTGAAGCCTCGTAAACTCGAGGACGAGCCTTGGAACACCCTCTGGTGGATGGGCGAGCCGGGAATGCTATGGTGTCCCTCATTATCGATCTCCTCAAAACCTCGTTCTCTTCCTGCTCCTCCGACAGATCATCCTCCCTTCAATCCCAGAGAGGCTAGCTGGCCCTCCCACGAGGCCTTCAGCGTAATCGCTTGGGCCCAAACTCGTCACCTCCCTTGGGCCGCACAATCAAGGGCTGTTTGGAGGCGTTTATAGGAAGGGCGATGTCACAACTGTGAAAGAGGAGTGTCATGAAAATCTGTGAGGAGGAGAGACGATCAAAGGGGTACGCAATATCAAGACCACAAAAAGAAAACGTTGCATCTGTGGCAGATGATGGTCGCGAGGGTCACGCATGAAAACAGCTGGTCATGAAGGCAGTGCCATCCTTCCGGAGGCAACCAATCATATCTCGCGTCGCGCATTCTCAATCAGTGTATAAAAAAAATCCAGGGTATAGATAAGAAGGAGAGCTATCGAGCAGTACCAACATCGATGATGCATGCATGGGCAAAGATGACACACAAAAAAATTCAAAAAAACACTGCTCCGGTGAGGGTCGAACTCACGATCTTCCGATTATTACGCAAGCACGCAAAGAAGTGTGGAATTTAACAGTCGGACGCCGTAACCAACTTAGCCACAGAGCACTCGATGTTTGCAAGAAGCAATGTACCCACATATCCCAGTCCCGGCTGGTGTCATCATCGTATCCAGCCTCCTCTTCGATCCTCTCTGCAGAAAGACAACACGCATCAGAAACAGTTCAAAACTGTACATGCACGGACGTCGATACTGATTACAGACAAACAAATTTCGAAAACACAAGATGAGACCAAAATGGCACAATGCAGGAGATTTTCAGAAACCGGCCTCTCCCCTTCACTCTCTTCATACCTCGTGAGACCCTGGAGTATGTGCCCTATCCAGAGGGATCGCCTCGTACTCTGCAGTGGATACTGCGCTTCCCCTTCTGCCACCAAGGATGGGGAGCTTGTTGCCGGCGAATTGAACGATACCATCGACCGCGTTGAGGACAGCGTCTTTAGCGTCAAGAATGAGACTGGTATATCCGCTTTGGGCACCCTGATAAGAGCTTTTGGGCGAAATGGAGGAGATGGGTCGTGTCCACCACTAACAATGGTCAGCATCATTCACTGTCTAGAAGCAAAGGCTCACCCTCAGAGTAAGACTCGACATGACCACCGACACACTACTACTGGCCATGGCCGCCGCCGCCATCATGGGATGCAGATGGATTCCCCAAGGTAGCAAAACTCCCATCGCCAGCGGGATCATCAAGACATTGTAGCAACACGCCCACACGAGGTTGGCCTTGATTTTTTTGAAAATCTGTTGCCCCAAGTCTATGGCTGCGACAACGTCGAGAAGATCCGATCGCATAAGGACCACGTCGGCCGCTTCCATGGCTATGGAGGTACCCGAGGCAAGAGCAATACCGAGAGAAGCAGCGACGAGGGCGGGAGAGTCGTTGATACCATCTCCGACCATTGCCACACCTCCACCCATTTCACCGAGATCCTTTACAATCCTGGCCTTGCCCTGCGGACTCACGCCAGAGTAGACTTCATCCTCATCGATCCCGACTTGCCTAGCAATGGCTTGAGCAGTAGCAGTAGCGTCACCGGTAAGCATGGTGACCTTGATTCCCATAGCTTTGAAGGCACGGATTGCCTGTGCGGAAGTCGCTTTTGGAGAGTCGGACAGAGCAAGGGCGAGCACAGGAACAGAGCCGGTAGGCCGAACGATAGAGACAAAGATGACGGTCCGGGCGAGGTTCATTTGTTCTTGCTCAAACTCGAGAATCTCCTCGGGCATTGTAGGTTGCTTTTCGGTGAAAGCCTCGGAAGACTTGGAGTCCGAGTCGAGCACAAAGCCGGCCTTGCCAACCCTGATGCGTTCTTGAACCGCGCCACCAGAAAGTTTCACCAACGCTTCGAGGCCCTGACCCGTGTGACTCTCGAACTCGACGACTTCACCGTTGGGTGGAGACAAGCCAGCTTTGGAGAGCACTTCCCGGCCATCGGCAGCCACAGCCACACCAAGCGGATGCTCGGACCTGGCCTCGGCGAGAGCGAGGAGAGAGAGGACGGTGTGACGTTGAAGGGGCGAGGCAGCGGTGGTCATGGAAAGGGTAGCAGCAGTGTCAAGGGCAGACTGGCCCAAGACATCCTTGCTAACCCAAGCTACCGCTGTTAACGCCATCTTGCCTTCTGTCACTGTACCAGTCTTGTCCAAGACCACCCTCTTTACATCCTTGCACGCTTCCAGAGCCTTGCCGCCCTTGATGAGGATACCGTTCTTGGCACCAACGCCAGTCCCGACCATCACCGCCGTGGGCGTACTCAGACCTAAAGCACAGGGACAAGCGACGACGACAACAGAGATACAGAGTTTGAGGCAAACACCGAATTTGCCGACTCCAGGAGAGTGAAACACCCCTGGCAGTTTGTCGGACGACGTGCACAAAGAGATGACCATCCATCCCGCAAAGGTGAGAAGACTGAGGGTCATGACGATAGGCACAAAGATACCCGCGATCCTATCGGCGAATGCCTGGATAGGTGCCTTGGAAGTTTGAGCATCTTCGACGAGTTTGACAATCTGCGAAAGAGCCGTGTCGGCACCCGCTCGGGTGACTCGGAAAGTGATGGTGCCGAGGCCGTTGACGGTACCACCGATGACCTGCGAGTTGGCTTTCTTTGTAATGGGCAAGGCTTCGCCGGTGACCATGGACTCGTCGACAGATGTCGAGCCAGTTAGGACAGTGCCGTCGGCTGGAATCTTTTCTCCGGGGACGAGTAGAACGACATCTCCAACTTCGACGAGCTCGGTTGGGATCTTTCTCGTGGGGTCTGTAGCGTTGGGCAGTTCACCTTCGGCGGGGGGGTCGACGTAGATCGTGGCAGACGACGGAGTGAGGGACAAAAGGTCGGTCAGGGCTGCGGAAGTCTTGCCCTTGGCGACATTCTCCATGAATCGGCCGAGGGACACAAAGGTGATGAGCATGGTGGAGGTGTCAAAGAACGTCTGGGGGCGATAGTCGTCGTCGTCGGAGAACATGGCGAAGAACATGGCACAGACAGAGTAGGAGAAGGCTGAGGATGTACCAAGGACGACCAGAACATCCCTACAGTAGTGTTAGTCATCATTTCGATCCAGGGTCGAGACGTACATTGTGGCAGACCCGTGCTTGACACTCTTCCACGCATTCGTGTAGAATCTCCGCGCCAACCAGCATTGCACCGGTATTGTCAGACTCAAGCAAACCAGATCGCCCAGATACACGCCCGTCACAATCTTCCACATTGTCCATCCCATCAACCACGTCGGCAGATACATTGCCAGCATCCCGATCACAAACACGGGCACCGCAAAGAAGAGCGACGTAAAGAATGTCCGCCGCCAGAGGGCTGCTTCTTTGTGTTTTTGCAAGGAAGCGATCTGCGAGTCGTCATTGCTAGAGACTGGGAGAAAGTTGAGGGCTGGAAAGGCTGCTGATAAAGTGTCGACGATGACCCGAAGAGAGGCGAGGAGCGGGGAATGTGACAGGGCTAAGTGCGTGTAGGGGGGCGGGCAGATGGCTGAATGGACACCCGCTATTGAGCCTGCCCGTTCCAGCAGGTTGGTGACGACGCTGGGGTTCTCCAAGCTATGCGTTCCATCAGCACCGCTCAGGAGTGACTAAGGTGACTAAGCTCACCCATAAACCCGCAGTTCCACTTCTTCCACTTCGCTCTTCTCGACGACTGTGGCTTCAAATCCGATGTCTTCTACTTCCTCTGCTATCAGGTCGTCTGTCCATGTCTGGCCGTTGTCCCGGATGAAGCTGGGGTCGTATTCGACGACTCCGCGCTCGGCGAGCAGTGATATTTGAACCGTGTGTATGCCGGGCTGTTTCAATGATGATTCTATAGAGGCGACACATGCACCGCACTATGGCCCATCAGTACTGCCCTGCTGCTGCTGCATGTATATCGTCTACTCACAGTCATGCCTCCAACACGCAGCTCCACCCTCTTCAGAACCAGTCCGCCATCAAGACCCTTGCCCTCGCCAAATGGGCTCTCGTCGCCTTCTAGCAGGACTGTGCCTACTTTGGGAGAGGTGAACAGGGAGGTGATGGGGGTGGGGATGGTGTCGATGATGCTATGGAGGAGACCGCCGTTGGAGGATGATCTTTGCCTCCGCGGTGGCGAGTTGACCGGGGCGGGCATGGCTGGCGGGGAGGGGTTCTCTGTGGGCGGGGCGGAGAGGGGTAGAGGGTTGAGAGAAGAGGGAAGAAAGAAGAAAGAAGTTGCGTAGAATATATGCAAAAGACAGCTGAGGACGGAAAAATGAATGGAGGAAGACGTCGGCCGGTCGCAATGGCCGCATCAGGAAAATTGCCTCAATCAACATCATCGACGAGCAGCTATGTATCCCCGCGACCACTGCCCCTCGGTGCTTCGGTAGCGACAGCATAACGTACAGCTGCATCCTATGTATCCAACACACACCGCAGTCCAAGTAGCATAGCCACCGAGCACAGCGCTCGTCGGTCGGGCGACCGCGTCCAGGAGAGCCTTCTCCGTATCATTCGAAATCTCTTCCCTTGACCCTGTCTTCTCTCCGTTGAGCCATCTGGGGCGGGGTCAGCGTCGTCTATGCACTGCAGTATGCAGACCCACCCAGTTGGACTTGCAGTTCTTGTACGCGGTGAAAAAGTCGAGACACTATTCGCAGCGTCAGCTTGGCCTCTTGCCTTGTAACTGCTCCTTACTTCGGAACGATTGTAGTGTGTCTTTTCGAGACACAGGAGCGAGGCTTTTCTGGCTTCCTCACATGGATCGGCAAACTAGGTAGCATACAGGTCAGCCCGATCTCTCGATGGCAGCTGGCGACCAACCTTGCTGACGATTTTCCTGTCCTGCATAACACTGTCAGCCTTGAGTAGATCTATACGGGCCTGAGGACCGGGATACACATCCACATCGCAGAACCCAAATCGTACCATGCATATCAGAAACCACTCACTCTGAAAGTCTTTTTGTAATCGGCGGGTGTTTCCAAGCTTGCGGTCGGAGGCGCAGGCATCTCGTGCATCGGCGTGGGGGTGGTTCGTGGGGGTACTTGGGACATGCTGGCTGTATCTCTTGCAGTTGTGGACACTCGAGGGAAAAAGCAAGATGTATAGCCGGCGGACTTGCAAGATGACAAGGAACGCGCGGGGCCTCATTTGACAGAAAACTTCGCAGAATCGTCAACAAATCTATTCACCTCTTGCATTCTACAACAACCGCCATACGCTATGCCAGCCGATAAGAAGATAGTCAAGAAGGGCGCCCACCCGTACCGCAAACCCCGCGACCCCGCTGCCCAGTCAGACAGACCGAATAACGGCCACAAGGTGCTTCCCACCGAAGCTCGAGATGCTGCTGGTTTGCCAGGTATGAGCAAGCTGAAGGGAAGCATCAGGCAGACAAAGAGGCTCCTGGCCAAGGTTTGTGGCATCCCAATGTAAAGTGTAATCAAACACTGATAAAATTGTAGGACAACTTGGACCCGGGACTAAGAGTGAACACTCAGCGACGACTGGCGTCCCTCGAAGCCGACTTGGCTGCTGCCGAGCGAAGAGAACTGGAAAAGAAGAATGGCGCCAAGTACCACAAGGTAACTTTTACGGCAATGGTATGGACTTTAAACTGATCAGTAACAAAGGTCAAGTTCTTTGAACGCCAAAAGCTCCTTCGCCTGATCAAACGCTTTGAAAAGAAGCTTTCAGGCGGAGAAGACGAAAAGCAGCTCAAGGAGAAGAAGAGAAAGAGGCTGGAAGAAGAGCTGCTGGATAGCAGGATCATGCTGAACTATATCCTGCACTACCCGTAAGTCCGTGCATGATGCCGCTCACATGGGACTGACAGACGTTGCAGGAATACGCAAAAGTACATTGCCATATTCCCGTCCGCCCAACCTCCCGAATCTGATGACGAGTCTGAGCCCAAACTCACCCTCCCTCCCCTCCTGCATCCCGTTCCCTCCCCATCAGACATCGAGTCTCTCGACAAACCAGCCAGACGGCGATACGACCTCCTGCTCGAGACCGCCAAGTTGATGGAGGAAGGCAAACTCAAGAGTGAGCCAGAGAAGGATCTGAAGAAGGGTCAACAGGATGGTGTCGTTGTGGGTCTTGGAGCAGGCGTCGAGATTGGGGTTGGCAAGGGCGAGGTGGCGGCAAAGGAAGTAGAGGAAGACGATTTCTTCGAGTCTGGAGACGACGAGTGATCTGGACGTGTATGCAAGTCTTATGTGTATACCGCAATGTCTTGATGATCTATAACCGAGCAGGTCACTCAGATGTCTCTATGGATTCGACACGGTACTAGTGACCCAAAGCTTATAATCCAAGCATATGGATCAGATACATCATATAATTATCAAAATGTGGTATGATGGCTCGTGTACGATCTAGATGCCAGCATCCTTCTACGGCTACACTGTATGGCTTGAAAGTCTGGAAAATAGGAGAAACAAATGTGCACAGGAAACTAAGGGTATTCTAGATTTGACAAAACGCAAGCAAAGAGTCAGGGTATAGAGCCGAAGCAACGAAGGGATACAAGGCAGTCGGAGGCGGGAAACCAGGTCTGCCGCTCAGAGCTTGATGGAGCCAGCGTTATAATTGTAATTGTAGATCCCATTCTTTTCAATCCATCAGCAACAGCCTGTCGTGAAGAGAGAGACTCACCCAACACTCGTCAGTGACCGTGACGTTACTGGTGGTCCTACCAAAGCCACCCTTGAAAGTGACAAACTCAAAGCTTTGGGCTCCAGTTGCCATGGGTACTTCCACCATCTGCACTCCCTGCTCGACATATCGGATCACCGGCGAACTGTTTCCAGACGTCACCTTGATAATCCCGCCCCACTGTGTCATGGTAGACACAAAGACGGTATCCTCGAGATAGTCCCAACCAGTGGGCTTGCCAAGACAATTGTCAGTGTCGTCACAAGACGCAGACTTGAGATGGGGACGGTGCCAGTAGACGAGCATTTCTTGCTCGATGACGGGTTCCGACTTGCCAGCCTTGAATGCTTTGATATAAGGAATAGCAAAGTCAATCATGGCGGTGTGGTCGAGACCGGATGCCCAGAGGGAAGAAGAGTCGTCGGTGTGGGGAGTGTCGTAGGGGCCGATGTGGTGAGACTCTCCATAGTCATTCCAAGTGACAACTGTATGGCGTAAGCAGAGTCTTTTGGCGGATGCGATACTCACTTTCAACGAAATTGACTCTGTTGCCAATCTCCAGGACTTGATCCCATCGATCCTTCCAAAGGGTCTCGCCCTTGAACACCCAATTCTTGGAATACGATACCTCTGTGCCGAAGTGGGTCGAGAACCAGCTGCTGACCGGCATCATATAGGTTTTGTTGGAGGCTTCGAGGAGATCGAGGTATGCAATGTCGCGCGAGGTGGACATATCCTCGTTGACGGGGACGTTGTCGAGCTGTCCTGGCCAGGCAGCCCTACCGAAAGTGTCAGCAAATGGCTGTCCAGACATGATTCAACATACCAAGAGAAGAGACCGGATACACCAGCGTTATTGACATTGTCCTCCGTAGCCTGGAAATATGGCACAGCATAGAGCTCTTCTCCAACTTGAGAAGCGACAGACGACCAGTCAAAGCCATCCCCAATAAAGCTCGAAACGAAAGGCTTGCCATCGACTCGATACTGCGCAGAAGAGTCTTTAAAGAGCTTGAGCATATCGGCGACACCAGTGACATTGGCGGTAGTGTACCAGTTGAAATCAAACGAGATGAAGACGTTAAAGTCTGAGAGAGTCTCGCAAGCAGCATAGGCGAGGTCAAGTTGGCTCTCAGAGTAAGAGTCGACTTTTGTCATTGGTCAGCTGTGGCTCGCAGGGAAACAAGAGGACGTACCACCAATGTTGAGCGCAAAGCCATCGATACCAGCGTCCATTGCGAGCTGCATATCCGCCAACCAGTCACTCTGCGTATACGTAGAGACGATTCCAACCATAAAGTGCGCAAACACCTTCTTCTCCCCTCCCACAATTGTACCGTTCGATCCTGTCGCAGTACTGGACGTGGTCGTAGTGGCCGACGCAGTGGTGGAGCCAGAAGTGGCGGTAGGCCCTTCGACGGTGAACCCGAGAGAAAGTTCGGCATCAAAGGAGATGGTATAGCCGAGAGCGAGGAGCTCGTTCTGGAGCTGGGCAGTGGCGAGAGAGGTGGTGGCAGAGACGGCGGCGAGCTCGACGATATCGCCCGAGACGGTGCCCGTGGGGGCGTCAGTGATCGAGGCAGAGGCGGCAGAAGAGTTGCTTTGGGTTGCTGAGGCAGCGGCAGAAGAGTTGGTCTGGGTTGCTGAGGCAGCGAGGGAAGAGTTGGACACGGCGAGGGATGAGCCGGACACGGCAAGAGAAGAAGAGTCGGAAACGGCGAGGGCAACAGCTTCCAGAGCGCTCGAAGAGGCGGTCTGGCTGACGGAGCTGGCAGAGGTCGATCCCGTTGCGCCAGTAATGTCATCATCATACACATACTCTGTCACCCACACAGTCTCGGAACCCTGGGTAGTAGGGGTGGCAGCTGCATTGTCCGCTGAAATGCAAATCAGCTTGACATTCCGAACGTGAGAAAAATACTGACCGATCCAGGTGCTTGTTTCGTACACCGACCAGCGGCCGCTTGAAGCCACCTCTTCCCTCTTGGCTCTACGCATGTGTCTGCTCCGAGAGCGAGAGTCGTGGGGGTGGGCATATACGAGACTTGATCCCAGGAGAAGGGCTGGGACAAGGGATGAAGTGCGCATTGTGGGTGATCCTTGGCGGTGTGATAGGCGGAGTGATGGGCGGTGTGCGACACGAGGTGAGGGCAGCGGGCGAGAGGATGGGGCGAGGGGGCTATAGGAGTAGTAGGAGTAGAGAAAGAGTGGAAGAGCGCAAGGTCAACTTGGCTGTGGGCAAGATACTCGGGAGATGAGAAGAAGAGGGGAAAGGAAGATAGAATGGGGCTTTATATACAGGACAATGGGTGAAACGCGTCACTCAACGCGTCCCCGTGCCTGGCTCGAACAATAGGCCATCCGTCCGTGCGCTGCCACCCAGGGGGGCCCTTTCTCGCACGGGGCGCCATTCAATCGTCTGTCCCGTTGGCAGACACCTGAGGGGGCCTTCAAGGGATGCTGCTCGGAATAGCAGATAGTAGCGGATGAGGGAGGAGCGGCGGGATGAGTGCATGCTGAAGGGACAGGCAAAAGCTGAAGGGAGCTGCATCAATCACCCCTTGCTCTGTTTCGAGGTCCAATCAGTATTCCTATCGTCAGTGTCCGCATGGGACAGCATGCAGCCCCCCGATCGTCCACCGTTTCTGATCAGCCATGTTGTCATTGACAGGGCAGACAGTGCGCTGACCATCCCCCCTGGCGCTATGCCCGCTGGCTCGACCTTTCCGGAATCGCTTCCTACTCACCATCTACACAATGCATCCGGGTCTCTACTCGCTCTCCACATCCGCTCCCCTCCTCGTCACAATCTTGTCCACAATCCCAAACTCGACAGCCTCTTCTGCCGTCATGAAATAGTCCCTCTCCAGCGCCTTTTCGAATCTCTCCCTCGCGGCTGCCTTCTCCTCGCCAGCAAGGGTACAGTGATCAGCATAGATATCAGTCAAGGAGGCGCGGATACGGAGGATCTCTTTAGCATGAAGGGCTATGTCGGTCGCTTGACCTTGGGCACCGCCGGATGGTTCTGAGACATGTCAGTCTGGTCCAGGTGAAGAGTATGGAAGCATACGGTGAATCATGACACTACTGTTTTTGAGCGCATACCGGTGTCCAGGAGCACCACCTCCGAGAAGAAGGGATCCCATACTAGCAGCTTGGCCGAGGCAAAAAGTATGAACCGGGGGAGAGATGTACTGCATCGTGTCGTAGATTGCCAGCCCTGCCCCGCATCAGCTGGGTCACTCATTGTGTCACTGACTCACCTGATGTGACAACACCGCCGGGAGAGTTGATGTACATCTTGATAGGACGTTTGGGATCTTCAGCCTCGAGGAAGAGAAGCTGGGCGGTGAGGAGTGTAGAGTCTTGCGAATTTACCTGTGCAGTGTTAGCTCCATATCAAGCTTGAAATAGAAGCGTACAGGTCCAAGAAAGATGACTCGTTCTCTCAATAACCTCGAGTAGATATCATAACTCCTCTCTCCTCTAGCCTGCGGAATCATCAGCGCCTATTTTGGGTCGTCTGCGTATGAACCCACTGTTTGTTCAACGACAATCGGCACCAAAGCGTCCCGGATGACAGGATTGGCGGCTTCGTCTCCAAAGCCCATTCCTGGAAGAGAAGATGCCATGCCGAAAGCCCTCCGAGGGATGGTCCTAGATGGGCCGGCAGTAGCAAGAGAGGCGAGGGGCCGAAGAGGGGCGAAGCGAGACATGATGCGGGTATCTTGTAACGTCAGCTATATCCATGTGTGACTGCAGAGATGCTCACGATAGATCTGGGATGATAGCCACACTTTCAAGACGCATTTCAGCCGATTGGAAGCGTTGCGAAAGGTGCCAGCCACGTGGCTTGGCTGCTCGGCGGCCGGCCCCGCCCGACGGTTTCAACAATCGCACCGAGCTACATATGAATGTTGTTGTTGTTGCCTCTTGACATCTCTCGCACCACTCCTGAATCTTTCCAGCATGTCTATCAACTCTGTAAAGTTTGGGCCAGGTGAAAGGCCCGTATCTTCCCAAGGTATCTATTTTGCCACTCTCCCTTCGACCCAGCAGACGCTGACCATGGCCTTCTCAACGCACTCTACCCCTGTCCCTCCAGGCGAAGGCCTCATGCCACCTTCAGTCGACGCTACCGTGACCCTCTCCATCCCTCCCACTCGTCAAGGTCCCAAGCGCGCCGAAATCGTCCAAGGACGTCTCTGGGTCACCGAGTGCCGCGTACGCCCTTTACACCTGTTCTGCGGCTCCACACTGACGCATCACAAGGTCATATTCGCTGCACACAGCATGTTCTCTACGACCCAATCTTCAGCCGCATCAAGCGATCCACCGGGATATGATGTCACGCCGGCTCTTACCTCTTTTGAGATCCGACATGTAAGTACTTAGTGTACTCTTCAGTCGTCGTCCAACTCTTACGTGCACCACAGACGTCCATCCAATCATGCACATACAACCTTCCAACCTTTTCTGCCAACTATATACTCCTCACGTTTCTTCCTGCTCCCGGTTCTTCCTTGCCTGACCCGGGCACAGGACAGAGTCTCGAGCTCAAGATTGTCGTTGGGCAGGGGAGCGGGCATAGGTTGTGGAAGATCATCGAGGGTGAGCGGAACCGGGCTGAAGAGAGGAGAACGGAAGCAGACAATGAAGCTTTACGTGAGTCTGTCAGTATATGGTTGGATCATAGCTGATTCCAAGTCAAAGCCGTCTATGAACCAATTGGAGGCGTTCCTCGACCATTGTAATGTAGCAAAAATTCACAAACGGAAACGACCGCCAGCATGTCAATAATATATACAACACACATTTGTAGTTCTATGTCACATCTTCTCAAGCCCTCCTGGGATACCACCAGACCCCATCTCTTTCCTTGACCACTCTAACAAACTTGACCACCAATTTGTCTCTCTCCTTCTTATCTCCGTCTCTTGTCAGGCCCTTCAAGAATGGGGTCATTTCGTCCGGGCGCCAACGTGTGCGAGTGAGGAATAATTCAGAGAAACGGGGCGCAGGCTGGAGAGGGAGGGAGGAGATGGGGAAGTATGTGAGGAGTGGACAGCGGGTACCGACGGCCAGGGCGGAGGCAGGGGGCGGGTTTGCAAGGTATTCGCCCTGACAACGTCAGCTATTTTGCCGTGCAAGAGACGGGGGCTCACTTCAAGCAACTTCATATCAACCAGATCCTCCCAGCTATCCCCAACTTCCTTCTTCCACTCGTCCACAAACTCGTCCTGCTTTTTGTTTCTCCCAATTCTCGTGAGGATACCCATCCCCACTTCCTTGACAATCTTTCTCATATCCCCTCTCCACATTTCTCCCTCCACATGACCAAACAGTCCGAGGACAGGCGAAGAGAGGGAAGGAAGAATGTCGTATTCTTTCTCGAGTGTCTCGATAAGAGTCTTGGTAGGAGCTGTAGTATCTGACCCTTTCGAGTTGATATGGAGCAGGCTTATCAGAAGCACCAACAAGTCTTTGAGGTTGGCTGCCGGGAGCAACATCAATTTGCCGTCTACTTCCACAACATTCCTCTCTCTCAGCCCGTCTTCCAGCTCTCGATCACTCGCTTGCACCACACTCTTGAGCTGCTCTTTCGTCCACCTCTTGACCACCTTTCCATTCTTCTCGTCCCTCTTTCTCTTGCCAAGACTCGAGTCCATGCCCTCCCAAGCAGACGGCCTCAGGACAGCCCGGATCCGCTCCAGGTTGGGTGCTATAGGCAAGCACTCAAATACTTGATGGCATGTGTCACTGATGTGCAGTGTCTCCTTTGCTTCCTCTCCGACATGCCTCCGGAGAAAGACGTCGGTGTCCTCGGCAGCGGAACGGCAGACGAGGAGCGAATTTGAGATGCCGATGGTGCGGAGTTGGAACGTCGCATTGGGGGTACAGATCGTCGCGTCGTCTGAGGGCCGGCCTTTGATTGTGAGGCTATCATCTTGTCAGTCAGTCTCATGATACCGAAGGGAGAGACGTACGGAAAAGGCTCAGCACCGTCCAAGGCTTCGACCTGCTTGAGAATCTCTGGCGGCAGCTCGAGCAGCTGGTAGGTCTCTTCTACGTCCAGCGGCTCTGCAGCTCCCGCGCCCGGGGGGTACCTGAGGACGACATGCTTGTCTGGCAAGGCGTTGCTCATGCTGCTTGTGGACGCGTAATAAAAGCAAGAGACGCGTTGAATTGACGCGTAGTGCCACACGCTCAAAGGCCGGCAATCGCCGCTTTCCGCTCTCTACCAGGCCTACCACTCATCGAGCCCTCTTTTGCAGCCACCGTCACCACCACCGCCATGTCCATCCTCGCCCGCTCCACCCTCACCGCCGCCAGGTCCGTCAGGGCTGCCCCTCGCCAGGTCCGCGCCGCCCACTTCGAGAACGTCGTTGATCAGTACGTCCTATCGCACAATCACGAAATTAGCCGGATCTGGATTGGCTGCGATTCGAGGAGGGAGAGGATGTTCGAGGGAATTCAAATGGGAATATCGGAAGCTGACTGGATCCGCGTAGCACCCTCCCCACCAGCGTCAACAAGTACTCGCTCGCCGCCAAGATGGTCGTTTTCGCCATTGCCGGTTTCGGTACTCCCTTCCTCGGTGCTTGGTGGCAACTGTGAGTTGGTATCTCTATGATGGGCGTGGGATTGTCGTGAGAAAGAGGGAAAGATTTGGGTTGGAGAATGCGACAATTGCAAAAGCTGACAGTTATATAGCGTCGGAAAGAAGTAATCGCCATATGATATCTGTTGTATGGGCATAGGCGATATGCATCTCTTTCTTTGGCTTTTCAACTACATGTGACAATCCTTCGGCAGTAGAGCAAGGCCGAAAGAGATACGGAAAAGGAATTGGGACAGAAAAAGAGGGACGGGCTTGCTCTGGTGTCAATCGAAGCGAGATCTGTTTGCCCCGCTAAGTAAGTCGCTAGCAGACAGCAACCCTCCTCCGGCTGCCCGGTGGCCGTCACCCGGTATCATATGTCCGACAAAAATCAACAGCGTATGCCGCACTGAACGACCCCCTCTTGTCCCATCACAAGGCTGACCAAAGGGAATGGCCCCTTAATATGAGGTTTTCCGTCGATAACATACGACGTCCGACAATGCTGAGCGAAGGGTGAAGACGACGGACGCAGAGTCTGGTACTGGTCGACACACATGGCGCAAACAATTCCTGGTGGTGCAGTCTCAAAGTGTTGGATACGTACAGAGATCTTGCGGCCTCCAGACTGAGGCGTCTCTTGATAATCCCGCTTTGACTGGCAAGTCACTTCCTTAGATATTGGGCATGGGGGGGGGGGGAGGAGGGCTACAACAGAGAATAATATCTGAGAGTGATGACGTACTCGTTCAGTACGAGTTGGGGCTTGGGCACTATAGACCGACTAAACAGCACGTCCCTTTTGTATCTCAGTCCAAGGGACATATGCATGTGAACATTCAGTATTCACATGGCCATTCATCTTCGGTGTGGTCGAAGCTGCATGCCACCCTGGACCATAGTCCATAACAGTTGATAACAATCGCATACTTGTGATGTGCCTCCACTTTTTGCGCGCCGGGTTTCTGTCGTGGACACTGCAGCCGACTATTATCTCTTTCTTCAAAGTCAAGTCGTACACCCCGCAATGTTCTCACGTACCCTCCTCAACGCCTCCCGCATCGCTCGAGTGGCGAGGATCCCCCCCCGGCCAATCGCTTTCACCCGCACTCATGCTGCTCCCTCGTTCTCTCGATGTATGTATCTGTTCCTTCTTGAAATTCAGTCAGCTGATTCCTATTGATCTAGCCTATGCCACTCCCTCATCATCCCCTTCGTCATCCACCGACCCCAACCTTACCAAAGCTCAGGAGCTGATTGAGTCTGGCACTCGAGCGTTGGAAGACCAGGACTTGTCTGCTGCTCGCGAATTCTACCAGCAGAGTGTCGATGTGAAGGAGACTCCTGAGGGTTGGTATAACCTTGCTGTGAGTCATTACACGAGAGGATGACGCAGTCGCTGATTATTTCAGAATTGCGAGTACCACTTGCGTAAGTCCAGCTCATTGTATCTTTTGATCCGAGCTAATTGCCTGAAACAGAAAACAAGGAAGGTGCCATTGCAGCTTGGGAGAGGTCTATCGCCCTCCAACCTTTCCCTGATGCTCACACCAGTTGGTCCACATCATGCGGAATGGTATAGTGCTGATATGCTGACCTTTGACAGACCTGGCTTCTGCGTACATCTTTGACAAACCCCCCAAGCCTGCGCTTGCTATCAAGCACTTGACGTGAGTATTTCTCGCCTCGGGGGACTGTGTAGCTTACATCCGTGCAGAGCTGCTTTGGCGCTGGCCCCGGAAGATCCTGAAGTAAGTCCTGCCCTGATATGATGGACACCCCTTGCTGATCCGTACAGATCGCTTTCAACCTTGCTGCTGTTTTGGAATCGGGTGAGCTTCCTATATAACCATGGGACCTGCAACTGACATGCCATTAGCCGGCAAACTTGACACTGCCCTGACACTATACCAAAAAGCTGAAGCTGGCGGTATCGACCGTGCCGCTCAGAACGTCAGGAATGTCAGTGCAAAGCTTATCGGAGAAAAGGCCAAGCAACAAGGGCCCCAATGAACGAGACCTGACAATGCTACAATGCCATATGCATAGTGAGGGATCACCCAAATGCCCAAATAATCAGATGATGTGTGCCAATGGACACGTGAATGCTAACAGCTTCAATGTTTACCGCTTTCCCAAACTCTCTGCCCAACTGCCCCGTCTGTCAGACCAGTGACGGCCTTCTCTGTGTGGAAGCTCATCCTTCCCAACGCCTTCAGAGCTCTTTCTGAATATGCCTCGCCGCAGACGGGCAAAGGCACCCACTCCCAGACTACCTCTCCGTGGCATCTCGCCCTCGACCTCCGATCCTCCTCCCAGACCCGAATGCCCCGAGTCTGTACTCGTCACAGAAGCTCCTCTACTCGGATGATAACCATCTCCCGCCCCCTGGCTCGGCACACTCAGCCTCGTCCCTCCACCTCCTGGCATGAGCGGCAGAGCTGAATCTATCGACTCGACTCTGTCTCTTCCTCGGAAGGAAAACTCGGAGAACGAGTCAATAAGGTGTGCGTGGTGTGCGTTATGTATGGCGAGAGAACGCTCAGAGTCAATGGAGGTGATGGACCCGCGGGATGGGGCAAGGACTTTGGGAGCAGCAGTAGGACTGACGCCTGATGAAGCTTCCGAAGGGGGAGCTGGTGGTCTGGGGAAAGATCCTAGGGGAACTGGAGCAGCCGAAGGCGACAAGGCCACCGTGGCGGCCACAGGGTCAATAAAGTCGACCTCGGCCCAGTGGCCAACGACGACAGTACTCATTCTCCTGTCGCCCATCTCGTCGGTCGCACTCCCTCGACGGCTGTTGGCGTCCCCGGTGGCCTCTGCCTGCTGCACGAGGGTGAGATTGAGACCAAGACCAGAAGAGCGAGCAGGGGAAGATTTGTAACGCGTGATCCGAGGACGAGGAGGAGGACTAATAGTGACCGGAGTTCCCCCTGGCGATTGTCCCAGGGATGCAAGCTCAGTCCCCTGCTTGGATGAAGTGCTGGCCAAAGATGACTTTCGAGACTTGAGCGCTTGGTTTTCCGGCGACCCCACAGAGACAGGCTGGAGGCGAGAGGCAAGATTGATTGATTGTCGAGGAGTGTACCCGGCCGAGTTTGCCCTCGCACTTCCAGCCAGAGACACAGGCATACTAGGTCTTCTGCTGTTGTTTCCTTCCAGGGTCGGTGAAACGGGGGCTTCCGACATTCGTCTATGGTTGTAGGTGGGAGAGTAGTGGTAGTCTGCTGAAGTGGCAATGGGAATGAAAGCCTGCGTGTTATTGACCCCGGATCGGGAAGAAAACGGGTCGCTAAAGCTGGGAGAGGTCATAGCTCCCAAGATAGGTCTTTGGGATACGGGCCCTTGAGGGAGCTTGTCCCTGCGAATAGATGCATCAGTATCGACCAACTTTGAGATAGAGCCTACGCACACTTCATTGCCGTGTTCATCAACTTTCACTTCTCTCGACACCCAAGCCCAGTGACCACCCCTCTGGATACCGAGTTCTCCGTCCTTGTCTATCAGAGCTTCCAACTCTCGCAGTGTCAGCACTGGCAACGAATTGAATCTTGACATGGCCACCGTGGTGGGCATCACTTGCGGTTCACAATGTTCTATCGCACGTTTCCCGCTCGTTGCACTGTGTCTGTAAGGCGTAGAAGCGCTAGCCTTTCTGTGTCGAGCCATGTCTACCTCATCGCGTGACATGAACGCAGAGCTGCTTGTTCCTCTCTCCTCCTGTGATTGACTTTCGCCGGACGATCCTTGAGACGTAATTGTAGCCATGGGCGCAGAGGCTAGAGGAGAGTGATGGGTGACGCTCCCGACAGCACCCAATGACTGTCGCACTCTTGGAGGTAGATTGGCTAGTGGTGCCACGGGGACGTCCCTGCCCAGATTCACAGCTCCCGCCCCAACACCTACGCCTGTGCCGCTACTCCGACTCCCCTGACTACTTCTTCCTTCTCTTCTCGGGTGAAGCCCGGGTGGTACAGAGGGACGTTCACTGCGACTTCCCGACCTCGACACCCCTTCGGCTGTGCCCATGCTCGAAGAGCCCCTTGACATACCAGCGCCTCCTCGGTTCAAAGGCAACCCCGGGAGAGTCCCCATTGGTACTTGCCCTCCGAAGGGAGTCAAAAGGAGCATTTGATGCGAAGACAGGCGTCGGCTAGGCGGCTGGATCTCGTGAAGATGAGGTGAAGGCCGCCGAGGACGCTCGCTCAGTGCCCTGTCGACAGAGACCCGGGCGAAAGGAGCACTCTGCGAGGCATTGGATCCCATGTGTGACAATGACTGAGAAATGGTCCTTGACATCGATTGAGACCCGGCCCTCGACATGGATGGAGCAGCCGAGTTCACAAAGTCACTTGAAGGGCCAGCACGAGAAGGGCCGGGACGGCAATCTGGGACAGGGGGCGTTGTGCGTCTCTTCTGATGATGAATGTTCTTGTGTGGGGCGAAAGTAGGCGTAGAGTCGTCGTCAGGGGGTTGTACGATGGGAAAGGTTCGCGGTACTTGGAGGCTGTACTCTGCAAGACTTGCGAACAGCTGAGGATGCTGGGGATGCGTGTCCAGTTGCCTGATAGTTCGGTGAGCTCTAGGACTGCGCACCCACAAGCTCGACTGACGACTTGACCACTTCCATGGGATCAGTTTCTTCAACCCTAAACGAGGGCTCCTCTTCTTGACTGTACGATTCGACGTCCATGTCTGATACTTTTGTCAACGAGATAGGAGTGGTTCACCACAACGCCAGGGTTCTCTTTCTGACTGGTTCGCCTAGCTCCTTAGTAGGATGTCGTGAAATGACACTACTGGGGGCTGGGCGGGTTGACTACCGAAGAGAATAGTCAGGCTCGCGCCGGCCGATGTTCTTTGGCAAGATGGACAGTTGGCGGCTTCCTGTCGAGGCTTCCGTCGTCGCGTCCGACGCGCTCTCTTGTCGGTGAAAAGAAATTTGTAGTCGATCACCGGGGAATGCGTTCCGTAATGATGATGAAAGTGGTGGTGATAGATGGATTGGAGGGAGGGGGTGGTAACCAAAGTTGACCTTGCGGTGACTCAGCCTATGTATATGTATAAGCGGTTGGAGTGGGCAACTGGCCCTCCACCGTCCATGGCATTGCTGCACTCCGCTCGCGGAGAAGGGGGAAGAAAAGTAATAAAGGAGAAGCGGCAAATAGCAAAAGGGTCCGCCAAGATAGCTTAACCTTGAAGCTTTCGCTTAAGAAGCTTTCGGGATTGAATCTTGCTGCAATTTCGGTTTTCGGTCTCTTTACATATGCATTCAGGTCGGCCCCCGGCTTCTGGTACTCGGACTCGCAGGGTTTCTCGTTATGACTCCTCGGTGTGCTGCACGTCTCCGCGGAATAAGGCATCAAGCACACAGACGACGTTCACTTTTGACAACAGTCGACTGATTCTATTCCAAGCAGACTTCTCCTCTCCCCCTCTCCCTATTATTTTTCATGCGCGACCTTGTTGGCATTGTTTCACGCCTGAACCCAGTTTGCGTTCCTGCGCATGTGCTTCTGCCGGTTCCTGCAGGGTGTTCTGGCTTCTGGCCCTTCTTGAACTTCTGGCCTTTGGTCAATGGGTGTAGTTGTGGGGGCTGAGCGGGTTCAAGGTTCTTGCTCCAATCATCTGGGTCACTGGAGCCTCGAGAGGCCCGAGAGGATGACCTTAGCCAAATTCAGGTGTACAACTGCACAATCTGGTACAGGGCATGCAGGTACATTTCCCCTTGTAGCCATATGTATGTAGCCGTACGCCGTCAGCCGCCAGTATTATTGCGTTGTGGTGCTATCCGAGACTGTGGACCAGGTACTGTAAGGCTTACAGGCCCTGTGGCTTGCAAGCAATTGAGAAACGAGACACATCAACAACAAGAAGCCCAGCGCGCCGCCCAATGCCCAACCTGCTCATGAAGTGCAGGATGCTGAACAGGGAGGCAAGGCTGTGGGCTCTTGGGTTGCGTGGCCTGCGTACTGCGTCTTTCAACATCCACAAAATTATTTTTGTATGTCTCGGAGATTGCAAGCGGCGAGCGGCATGGCGTTTTTTGGAAGTCGGAAGACGTCGCGTCCAGTATCAAAGAGGGTCTATCAGCCAAGGGCCCCGGGTCATAATTGATACAGGATCTTCGCAGGCATTGTCGCAGGGCAGAAAGTAGATCTCAAAGACGACTTGGTGATCTTGTGTGCAGTGCTCTTCAGCCCATGGGATAATAAAATGCTCTCTGCGAGTTGTGTTCCCATAACGATGGACGTAGCCATCGCCGATCGGCTCATCCACCTCTTCGCCCGACGCGCCCGAGGCCCCCGAGGCTCGAAGCTCAAAGTCTGGTCTGGCAAAATTGTGTCCAATCTATGGCAACGACTGATCGGGGCGAAAAGGTTATCACTACCGCTCGTGACTAATCTCCTGATAACCGATTGCATTTGCATGTTTATTTCGTCGATTTCAAGCATTTCCAGGGCCGGTAGTGCACAGTGTCCAACGTCCAGCGCGATCTTGGATATAGGGTCTTGTTGCCCTTTGCCAAACCCTCAGGACGTCATAGAGGGTTATCTTCTTATCCATCTTTGACCAATCAAGATGGTATCAACAAGGCACTGCATCCGCAAGATCAGACATACGATGACTGTACATGAATTGTGATAGCGGGGAAGCTCGGAAAGCATACGACACCTACTTCTCTCCGTTACAACAACCCCTCATCTTGTCACCACCCCCATCTCCATCCCATGGCCCTCCCCACTTACCCCCTCCTTACCTTTCCCCACAAGCTTGGAGATGTATTTGCTCACATCACTCGCATACCTAAATAGCAACACGACGATCGCGCTTGCCGCTAGACTTGCAGCAACAAGACCGACCAATCCTGGAGAGCCTGCCGAGCCCCATCTGTTTGACGGTGATGTCGGGAGCCTGTAGAGGGCTGAGCCAACTGAGGGACCGACAATGCCGCCTACACCTCTTGCCAAAGACCAACCTAGTAATCAAGTTAGAGCCAGGGCGAATCAACAGAGGTAAGATCGAGGTACATACCGACAGACAATAGACTCTGTCGCCCCTGATCAGGCCCAGCAATGTCGTGTGCACTTTGGAACCACATGGAGGTGAAGCCACCGGTCGCCAGGCCAAAGAGAATCGCGAAAGGGGCCAGCAGAGAGATACCCTTACTGCCACCGATTCCCCAGAACGTCAGGGTCAAGATTGTGCCCAACACAGAGCTGATCGCCATCGCCTGGGCAGGTCTCATTTTCTGCCATGATACGATGAGTGTCATACCAATGGAATGTGACGTGACTTACGTCTGTGATCAATCCCCAAATCAGCTGGGCTCCAATACAACTGACGTTGAAAGCCGCCAACAGACCTGCACCCGCAGCGCCGCCAAGAGAGTCTGAGAATCTTGGCAAGAAAAGTCCAACGTTGCTATTAAAATCAGCCGTGTCCAAACGCGCCTGTTTGGCGACCCACAAATAACCAAATCCTTGCAGAAGACAACAGAAAAAGGTACCAAAGAAACCCCATCGCATGAAAGTGTCAAAGAATGGCGGCATGGGCATGCGAACAACGTGCGCTCGGGGGGATATGGGAACTCGCGGGTTAACAAAGAATATGGCGACACCCTGTGGAAACCCCTATCAGCGAACGCCTGAAGAGACTTGATGTTTTACACCAAGGACAGCGGTCAGTATAGCGGTGATTCGCAAAGACCATTTGTAACCCAAGTGATTGATGAGAGCCTCCTCCAGAAACGGCATATACTTTGAGAAGTGGGCCTGTCAGACAAATGTTCTTGTTTACGAGACAGACAGCTCACAACACCACCCACACCACCCCCAGCGAAAATGATACCCCCCGCAGTCCCTTTACGCAGGTCAAACCAACTGCGTTTCATCAGCATTGGACAGCTACGTGCATTAACCGCTCACTCGGGAAGCCATCGGATTATGGGGAAAGCTACCAAAGCAGCAGCGATACCTAGATCATCGTGAGCTTGATATGACGCCCTTGGCAAGGCAAAGGCAAACCTGGTCCGACCCCCTGGAAGAGAATCAAGAGCTTCATGTTTGAGACAAAGCTGGCAGCCAGCATCGATACCGTGAAGAGTGCTAGACCGACCCAGATTGACGGCTTCATGGCCCGGGGAAAATGATTGTAGAAATAGAGCAAAGGAAGACCGAGTGAATCTGAAGCGCCATCAGCGTTGGACGTTTCTGCAGCTCATAATCTCACAACCAAAGAGTATGGGCAGCGTTCCGACGAAAGCAATCTGAGTCTCGGATGAAGAAGCAAATTGCTGCCAGCCAGTCAATTATTGGAGCCCTGTTAGTAGAAACTGACTTACCGGAAGTGCTGCATAATGCTTCAGATACACGGCTGAAGCAAAGATGGGTCCCCAGAGGAGCATTTCCATGACAAAAGCCGCTGCGACATAAGCCCAGGCTTCCTTACTCGTGTCTACGGCGGGCAGAGAAGAGAGCTCCCTCTCCGTTCCGAGCTGGTCCGCATACTCGCCAGAACCGTCGTTGGGGTGGGCTCGGGCTGCAGACATTGTCGGGATATATGTAACGGAGGACAATCGCAGGAAGACAGCTTTTTAAGAATGATCTATCCTCGACTCCACGCAAGCGCTTGGCAAGCGCAGTCCGGCTGCCATGGCCCATGACAGTTCTGAACTTCTGGCTGAGCAGCTTCGGCGATGCCCGCTGTTTATGCTAACCCGCTGACCGCATGAGCTGATTGTCTTTGCAAGTCTACAAGCTGTCCGAGTTGAACCCTATCAAACCGCCCGATGTGATAGAGAAGAAGAAGGTAGCGGTGGTGAGCACCATTGCCGTCAAGAATGTAATCTAGGGCATCACATATTCATTTCTGTATGTACTCGCATAAGCTCGGAGAGTATGTACGACACCTACTTCTCTCCGTCACAACAACCCCTCATCTTGTCACCACCCCCATCTCCATCCCATGGCCCTCCCCACTTACCCCCTCCTTACCTTTCCCCACAAGCTTGGAGATGTATTTGCTCACATCACTCGCATACCTAAATAGCAACACGACGATCGCGCTTGCCGCTAGACTTGCAGCAACAAGACCGACCAATCCTGGAGAGCCTGCCGAGCCCCATCTGTTTGACGGTGATGTCGGGAGCCTGTAGAGGGCTGAGCCAACTGAGGGACCGACAATGCCGCCTACACCTCTTGCCAAAGACCAACCTAGTAATCAAGTTAGAGCCAGGGCGAATCAACAGAGGTAAGATCGAGGTACATACCGACAGACAATAGACTCTGTCGCCCCTGATCAGGCCCAGCAATGTCGTGTGCACTTTGGAACCACATGGAGGTGAAGCCACCGGTCGCCAGGCCAAAGAGAATCGCGAAAGGGGCCAGCAGAGAGATACCCTTACTGCCACCGATTCCCCAGAACGTCAGGGTCAAGATTGTGCCCAACACAGAGCTGATCGCCATCGCCTGGGCAGGTCTCATTTTCTGCCATGATACGATGAGTGTCATACCAATGGAATGTGACGTGACTTACGTCTGTGATCAATCCCCAAATCAGCTGGGCTCCAATACAACTGACGTTGAAAGCCGCCAACAGACCTGCACCCGCAGCGCCGCCAAGAGAGTCTGAGAATCTTGGCAAGAAAAGTCCAACGTTGCTATTAAAATCAGCCGTGTCCAAACGCGCCTGTTTGGCGACCCACAAATAACCAAATCCTTGCAGAAGACAACAGAAAAAGGTACCAAAGAAACCCCATCGCATGAAAGTGTCAAAGAATGGCGGCATGGGCATGCGAACAACGTGCGCTCGGGGGGATATGGGAACTCGCGGGTTAACAAAGAATATGGCGACACCCTGTGGAAACCCCTATCAGCGAACGCCTGAAGAGACTTGATGTTTTACACCAAGGACAGCGGTCAGTATAGCGGTGATTCGCAAAGACCATTTGTAACCCAAGTGATTGATGAGAGCCTCCTCCAGAAACGGCATATACTCTGAGAAGGGCCTGTCAGACAAATGTTCTTGTTCACGAGACAGACAGCAGAAGAGCATTTCCATGACAAAAGCCGCTGCGACATAAGCCCAGGCTTCCTTACTCGTGTCTACGGCGGGCAGAGAAGAGAGCTCCCTCTCCGTTCCGAGCTGGTCCGCATACTCGCCAGAACCGTCGTTGGGGTGGGCTCGGGCTGCAGACATTGTCGGGATAGATGTAGCGGAGGACAATCGCAGGAAGACAGCTTTATAAAAATGATCTATCCTTCACTCCAAGCAAGCGCCGCCTTCCGGCTGCCAGCTCGGAGATTTCCAATGTGACCGGTGTCCAGATCGGCCGGATGAGTACCCGAGCCCATGGTTAATAACAGCAGCATTATTAACCATGGCCGGGGTACGTGCCATGACAATTCAGCCCGCGTCCATTGGCTGGGCAGGGCGATGCCGCTTTTTATCTCGGGCCAATGGGAGGAGGTGCATTACGCTGCGGTGCCTGGGATGTCCATAACATCCCGACCTGCTCCCGACGCGCCGGCATATAAATACTGCCCGCTGTCTCCCCCTTCGCCACACCACCAATCCATACTACACCCGCCCCCACAACTCCCACCACAATGTCTTCTTGCTCTGGTAACCCCGCCAACTGTGGCTTCTGTGGCGTAGGTCGGCCCCCTCCCGTCCTTGCCCACCCGCTGACTCTATCTCGCAGACCACCCAGGCCGACTGTGCCAAGACTGAAGTCCAGGGCTGCACCACCAAGTCTGCCGATTGCACTGTCTGCAACGGCCACGGATGTGCCGCTGTCCAATGCACTGGGTAGGTCTTGCTGTGAAGAGTCGCAAGCTGACGCATGACGTAGTAACACTGCGACCTGCCCTACTTGCAAGGACTCTTTCTCCTCCTGCAGGAAGGCTCAGTTCTCTGCCACTGAGGGTATTGAGCCCGCCAGGCGACCTGCCCCTTCTGCCTAATTTACTATATACATAGCATCACCTCACATCAGCATTCAACAATCAACTTTGCATAAAAAGGTATCATATCTCGTGTATGTAACATATTAATGATGACCAGTGGTTTGTGGTGTCGCAAGAGTCAGATGCCTCATGACAGAGCTGCATCTTGTATTCAAGTATCATCAATACTCTGAGAAGGGCCTGTCAGACAAATGTTCTTGTTCACGAGACAGACAGCAGAAGAGCATTTCCATGACAAAAGCCGCTGCGACATAAGCCCAGGCTTCCTTACTCGTGTCTACGGCGGGCAGAGAAGAGAGCTCCCTCTCCGTTCCGAGCTGGTCCGCATACTCGCCAGAACCGTCGTTGGGGTGGGCTCGGGCTGCAGACATTGTCGGGATAGATGTAGCGGAGGACAATCGCAGGAAGACAGCTTTATAAAAATGATCTATCCTTCACTCCAAGCAAGCGCCGCCTTCCGGCTGCCAGCTCGGAGATTTCCAATGTGACCGGTGTCCAGATCGGCCGGATGAGTACCCGAGCCCATGGTTAATAACAGCAGCATTATTAACCATGGCCGGGGTACGTGCCATGACAATTCAGCCCGCGTCCATTGGCTGGGCAGGGCGATGCCGCTTTTTATCTCGGGCCAATGGGAGGAGGTGCATTACGCTGCGGTGCCTGGGATGTCCATAACATCCCGACCTGCTCCCGACGCGCCGGCATATAAATACTGCCCGCTGTCTCCCCCTTCGCCACACCACCAATCCATACTACACCCGCCCCCACAACTCCCACCACAATGTCTTCTTGCTCTGGTAACCCCGCCAACTGTGGCTTCTGTGGCGTAGGTCGGCCCCCTCCCGTCCTTGCCCACCCGCTGACTCTATCTCGCAGACCACCCAGGCCGACTGTGCCAAGACTGAAGTCCAGGGCTGCACCACCAAGTCTGCCGATTGCACTGTCTGCAACGGCCACGGATGTGCCGCTGTCCAATGCACTGGGTAGGTCTTGCTGTGAAGAGTCGCAAGCTGACGCATGACGTAGTAACACTGCGACCTGCCCTACTTGCAAGGACTCTTTCTCCTCCTGCAGGAAGGCTCAGTTCTCTGCCACTGAGGGTATTGAGCCCGCCAGGCGACCTGCCCCTTCTGCCTAATTTACTATATACATAGCATCACCTCACATCAGCATTCAACAATCAACTTTGCATAAAAAGGTATCATATCTCGTGTATGTAACATATTAATGATGACCAGTGGTTTGTGGTGTCGCAAGAGTCAGATGCCTCATGACAGAGCTGCATCTTGTATTCAAGTATCATCAACATATTGAATGTCATCACATACGAACGCCCATCTGATACTACAACTAACAAAGACGACTAATATACAATAGAGCATAATGCGGGAGGGTATAGAATGAAGCACAGCACTCCCTTCTTCTTGCTCTTGATCACAAGCTGATATGAATATTGGGTAGAGACAGGTGATTCCCTTCAAACAACTTTTCTTTCCTATCTTCGCGTGCCCCTCTGCAAAGGACGCTTATACAATTATGGGGAAACGTGGTATTACACAGATGGATGGCCGGGGTATAGTCATGAGGTCGGCGAGAGGGGTATTACACGACGACGAGATCGTTGGCAGGAGAGTCGGTGCGGCGACCGAGCATGCCGAGGTTGCGTACAGCTTGCGAGCGGATTCTAGACACCCAATCAGCGACAATATCACTCGAGCAAACGTTACTCACCTGGCCTGAAAGTTCTTGTCTCCCAAGTCCTTGACATCTCCAGGAGGTCCAGTAGGCTGGCGCGCCACAGTGACTACCACCCTCTTCACCTGTCCAGCAGGCAAACTCGCCGACCTGCCCTCCGCCTGCGCCCCTCGGCCGCCCAGAGCACCCTGGGGCAAGCTGAATGCTCTCGGAGTATACTTTTCGCCCGAATAAATAATTTTGGGGGGCGCCACGACGGGACGACCAATTCCGAGGGCGATGGGGATGCGTTCAGAGATGGGGGAGGCGGGGGTGGTGTGGGAGCCATCGGCAGGGGGGATGGAAACCTCGGCGGGTGCAGAGGTGTGGTCCTCGGACGAGGAGCGCTTGGAAAGGGCCGCGCTCAAAGTCCCGTACGAACTCTTTCCATCTGCCTCCAGGGCTGCACGAGCTCGGGCAAATCGGCCCCCAGGCTTGACAGCAGGGACAGGGCCCTCAGCAGAAACCGATTTGGTAGGGGACGAAGATTCGGACGAGCGCCAGGAGGGGGAAGTAGGGCTGCCGCTGACAGCAGAAGGTGCCTCATAACCAGAGTAGTAGGCGGCAGACTCGAAGCGACCACGGTCCTCGCTCGTAGGACTGATGGCAGACTGCGGGGCAGACTCGAATCTCGACTGCAAGTCGGCCGAGTCCATACCCATGGCCCAACACCCTTGGGCGGCCCTGTCCTGTCTCGCCTGTAGATTGGCAGTCATTTGAGCGCCCAATGCTGATCTCTGACGCTGAGCCTGGACCTGGGCTTGATAGGCGTCGGTCTGAAGCGCAGCAAGTTGTTGTTGGAGATGGAGCTGCTGAAGACGTTGGTCTCTGAGCTTGAGCATTTGCTGCTCTTGCTGTTGTTGCAAGAACTGCCTCTTGGTCGCTTCACGCTGAATGGCCAATCGCTCCATCTCTCGCTTCTGAGCCTGTTGCTGAATGTACAAGTCGCGCTGGTACTCTTCCGCTTGCCTTTGGGCGGCAGAACGGGCATGTTGTTGCGCTAGCATCTGAGTTTGGTAGTGACGGTCGGTGGCAGCATGCTGGGCTTGCTGCAACTCGAGCAAGGCCATGGCTTCGCGAATATGGGAGGGACTGGCCTGCTGAGACAGGAGGTTGATGAGGACCTGCTGCTGCTGATAGTTGACGGGCTCGTGATTTCGGGACACGACTGGCGTCCTAGAACGTCTTTCTTTGGGTGCACGTGTGGCCTGCGTGTCGCATCAGCACTCTCCTATGATCAGACATGATCAAACATGATACTTACACCCGAATAGCCATTCTGGTTGTAGGGGTTTCCGTTGGGATCCAAACCCAGTGCCGCCATCTTGGCCGCGATAAACGCCGAGTCGTCCCCATCCTCTTCCTCGCTAAAAGTCGGACCCAACGTATGGTCTGCGCCAGCATACCTTATCTGCCTCTCTGGCCCCGGAACATGCCGGTGAGAGGACATGTGGAGTGGCGGGGGCGGTGGAGCCGCGAGAGGGGTGGTGACACGGCCATCTTGTCCCTGCAAGGGAGGCGACACAGAGGATGTGTAGCCGTAGTCGAGCGGGCTGGTAGATGATGCGAGGGGAGGATAGGCCGATGCAGAAGTCACGGCAGCCATAATTCCAAGGCGTCGGGGTATGCGGTATAGTGGGGTATAGCAAGGTCGAAAATTGGTGTCTTTGGTATCAGGGAGGCCCGAGCGCGAGTGGGTAGGTTTTTGTGATCGTGTCTGTACGGGGCCGGGGATGGCAAGGGGTACACTCGGGGCGGGGAGAGGGGGCGGGGTGGCGGGGGACGAGATGGAGATGCAGTTAAGGGATGAGGATAAAATCACTTCATGAATTCGTCCCCACAAGGACAACACACCAAATCCCGATTCTCCGCCCTCTTACGTACTCTCTAGATATCAACGTGCCTGTCCAACTTTAGATAATCCCACTCTTGTCTTGCATCCAACCCTCCTCTTCCATCGGGCTATGCCTGCCGTCCGCTAGTCTTCGCGACGCCTTGGTGCCATACTGTGATGACCACAGCCCCATGATGCTGCAGGCTTTCAAAGGCCAGAGCCCCCACTCCAGCCCCGAGCCGCTGTGTCCCTCACGACGAGTATCGATCCTTCCGATGTCTCTTGACCAGGCTAAACGGAACGACCCGGTGAGCGACGCACCGTATGTATCGGATCTTCCGCTGCCCGCTGTGAAACACTGCCTTCGTGATTCACCGCTTGTACCTCTATCGCCATGTGCTCCGCGACAACGGTTGTGCGCTATGAATGAGGGAGGACAACGGTTGATCTTTCAGTGCCTTCCAGAGCTTCCATGGATATGCACTGATGTCGCTGACGCCATCGCTAGATTTGACTCTGGAGGAATGTCCTAGTCCCTTCCATGTCAACATGACCTCCGCTAAGCTGTAAAAGCTATGCTCAGAGAGCACTACCCCTCGTCACTCGGCAACCGCATGTCTGCACTTCAAGTATAGCCCTTGTTCCCAACCTCCACCTTCCAGGTCTGGCAGTATGCCTTTCTTTCGAGATCGTGGCCAATGTTGACGCCTTGACAACTCCTGTATGGGACTGTCTCAACGCAACACCTATGGTCGACAACCCAACAATGCAACGGGGTACAGCCCATTCAATCTAGCTCTGGTGAGATCCAATTTTAGAGTGGCCTCTGTGAGCCCAGCTTCGACATATAAATACAGGCTTCCTGATGATGGACTTTTCCTCAAGCAATTGACTTGCTCAGCAACGACAACTCCTCTTCTTCTTCGTCTCTTCACTTCTTGTGCTGGTCACACCGTTTCACAACTCTATCACTTGTTCATTCCTTCTACACTACCTTCTTCAACTCCCTTATACTTTCCAAAAATGACCAAGATCACCCAGCTCCTTGCTTGTGCTCCCCTCCTCCCCGCCTTGGTTCAAGGTCTTGCCATCCCCGAGGGTCAGGCTGTGAGTGCTTTTCGACTTGGCTTGGTTATTTGCTGAGTTGTTCTTGCAGGGTCTCAAGCGTGCCAACGATAAAGTGGAATACGTCCGCAACTTCAACGCAGGTGTCGAAGTTGTAAGTACTCTTTGTCTTTTACTGGCATCTGCTGACCTCGACTAGGCCCACAAGCGTGACATTTTGGTTCGACCCTTCTCTTTTCCTGCCAGGTCTCGCTCATCCTGATATAGGCTCGTCACAAGAACAAGGACAAGACTGCCACGGACACTGCTGCATCTGCCACGGACACTGCTGCAGCTGCCGTCGACACCGCCGCGGCGGCGAGCGCCAACACCACCGATGTGGCAGCAGTCGCAAGCACTAACTCGACTTCTACAGACGTGGCTGGTAACGCCGCGGCCGCCTCTGCAAGTGTTGGCACGGAAGGCAAGTCTTTCTCATCTTTGAGTGCTTTGCTGACTAGTCTTTAGCTGGCCTTTCAGCGGCGACAGCGTCGGCCAAGAATGCACAAGCTCAGGCTACCACTGCCACTGGGGCTGCCGTGAGTATCAATTCGCCGTCAACGACGGAATACGCGATTTACTTTCCACCTCAGGCCGATAGCGACACTTCTACCACAGGGGACGCCGCCAACGACAAGGCCGCCAAGAAAGCTGCCAAGGCCGCTGCCCAAGCCGCTGCTCAGGAGTCCACTGCTGCAGGAGACGGTGCAGCTGTCAGTCAATGACATTTTGCCATTGGGACAACTTGCTGATGTGTTCTATAGGCTGCTGCCGCCGGTACGGATTCTGCTGCTGCTGTGAGTTTTCTTACTTTTCATGTGAGAGCGCGCTGACAATCTTGTCTTCCTCCTCCTTTCCACTTATGGCCTTGACTCCACCAAATTTCCCTCATTCCCTCCACTCCAACAGGCTGCGGCTACCGACTCCTCTGCCGCTGCTGGGACTGACGCTAGCGGGGCAACTTCCACTGCCTCTTCCGGCGGGGATCTCCTCAGCCAGCTCACTGCGCAAGTATTGTCCTTAAACTTTGCAATCATCACACTGACTCCTTTTAGCCTTCTCCAGGGTGGTGACGATGAGGCTGGCGGTGCGGCCGGAGGGGCTGGTGCCGCCGTGGGAGATGTTGCCAACGATGTCGAGGGTTTGCTGGGATCTCTCTAAATGTAGGAGAACGCGCGCTCATTCATCAAAGCAGACTGATCGTTCTGCCTAGAATCCGACTTCCCTGTAGTCTATAGAAGCCATCAACAGTATCGAGTTGGTAAACGTTGCGTAGAAGTGTAAGATGTACTATACTATAAACTTTCTATTGGCGCTCTATTCACAATATTGTTCGCGTCTTGATGGTCGGGGTCATGGATTTAAGCCAAAGCCAAACTCGGCGGAGATCATCCTCTATGGTAGTTGACTCGTCAAGTCAAACGTACGAGCTTTCTTACAAGCACCAGATATGAACGACTTGAAGAGCATTCGCCAACGACGTCAAGAGCATGGCTCCACCAGAAGCCAAGGCTAGCACTTGGAGGCGCTTGTCGTGGCGTCTACACCGAGGCGATCATTCAAGTATACTCTGCTCGACATTCCAAGAAGGGCATATGCAAAAAGATAAATCAATGTTGTACGGAGAGGTACGTTGCCAGAAATTGAATGCCATATCTTGCGATAGACATTACGTGTAGGATATTTTTTGCAATCAGCAATTGCTTCGACTCGGATTTCTCCTCACTGTCAGAAGCTCTAACCCTAGCACAAGGACTAGGCGGGGGCCGGGCACGCAGGGGGGGTCTTGTCCATTTTCGCGGACCGGGAAAAGCACCTGCTCCCATTTGATCCCGTGTGTGGCGGTCTCGGTGGTGGAGGGTTGCGCGTCGCGGTGATGATGAGCAGCGTTGTTGGGTCCAGCTCATTCATCGCACCATGTCGGAACAAGCCAAGACAACACAGAACGCTGCCGCTGGACCCTCGAATGGCGCTGCCCCCCAAGAGAAAAAGCAGCTTCCCAAGCTCGGTGCTTTGGAAGACGACGACGAGTTTGAGGTAAGTCCTTTCTCTTGTGCGTGTCCAAGTGCTGATTCGGTGTAGGATTTCCCTGCCACAGGTTAGCACCACAGGTCAAAACAAGGAGGCCTTGCTGATATGTGTAAGACTACGGAGGGAACGTTCAAGATGCCCTGAAGAAGTCTGGTGCTGGCCCCAATGACAAGCTGTGGGAGGACAACTGGGACGACGACGATGTGGACGATGATTTCACGAAGCAACTGAGGTGAGCAATCTTGCTACTAGTGATTATTGCTGACTGCTGCTTAGAACGGCGATCCAGGAGCGCACAAACGCACCCGGGGATGAGGCCATGAAGGAATAGAAGCATCGATTGTACAGTATGAATTTCAAGTCGTCATATCACAGCCAAACTCAAGACATAATTATACTGGCAGCTAATCGCACTTTTCTAAGACCGCCCAATGCGCTGCTTGTACTGCTGGATCTCCCTCAGCGCCTCTGTCTCATCTCTCTGTCCCTGCTCTTCCTGCTTTCTGCGCTCCGCCTCGTCATCCTTATCCTGCCACGCTTCCAGCTCGCCCTTCTCCAGCTTGTCCCGCATGATGTCCTGGATCCCCTTTGCCTGTCCTCCGCCCGACTTCATACTGATCACAGGGTTCCGCTCCATCCTGTCAAACAGCGCAAATAGCCTCTCCGCTTCTCGCTCCTTTTCCTCATCCGACATCTCGTTCATGTCTTGCCTATCATCGCGATCTCGGAGGCCAGTGATCGGATGACGAGGCTCGATAGGTGTGGCTGGCTGAATGGTGATGGGTGAACTGGCATCGGGAGGATGAGAGACGGGCTGGCCCGACATTGATATGGGCCTGAGGCTAGACTCGTCCCAGAGCTCGGTGATCTTGGCCGGAGGTGGGCCTGAGAAGCCCTTCTCCAAGAGGACCCCCGCAGCATTGCCATACCCAATCTCTGCCGAGAGGTCTGAGGCTGTCTAGGTGTTAGCGAGTCCTATGTGTTTGACATGCACTCACCGTCTCCATTGCAGACGGCCCACATGAGCTCTCCGGCGGACACTTTGCTGAGTGTGTGTCCGCCGCAGCCCATAAGCCTAAGGATATCACCCAGCAGGCCTTTTCGTTTCTCGATCGGTCCCGCTTCTGGCGTTCGGTCCCTGAACATTGTCAGCTCATGTTCGACAGAGAGCCTACTCACAAAGTTGGTGGCAATAGTGTCCCCTTCAACCACACTCGCATGGTGTCGCATCCGACTGCTGCCCTGGTTAGCAGCAGCAGTACGGGGGGTAGCACTTCATCCAAAACCAGCCCCTGCGGCAACTTGTCGTCTGGCTTCTTCGGGTACGGCAAATACGTGCTGAAGAATGTATCCAGGACTTTGAGTAGTCTGGCGGGAAATGCGGTCTTGTGCTGTGAGCTGCCCGAGCCAAATGGCCTGCCTCCCGATAGACTGGCCCGAGGGGAGCTGGACGCTGAGTTAGAGTCTCCAAGGGCAGGCGATCTTGATCGAGGGGGCGCAAGCTGCTTGCTTGGGCTCGAAGGGGAAGCGAGGTTACCCAACTTATGGAGGAGGGTTCGGACAGTAGAGGTAGGACTTGAAAGAGGCTCTATGGTCGTATCGGGGACACACGTCCATGTAACGAGCAGGCGGGGCAAGAAGGGGACGGATAGAAGGGCATTGATAACGTGCGTGAGAGGTGGAGACAGTTCGACGGTGGGAATCTCGTAAAAGAGATGGAGAAGAGGATAGAGAATGCTGAATCATGTCAATGAGTGTCAGGATGCCATGCACTTACATGTCGAATTGTTCATCCCAAGGGTCTTTATCACTTTTGTCCACACCCTTGTACGGGTACACTGAGAGCAACGCGTTTGTCAATTTGAGGAGCTCTGAGAGGGCCATGTAATGGGTGGGCACCACAGGTAGCGTCATCAAGTGCTTCGTCCCGGGTCAGTGACGCCTTTATCCTGGCATGGTACTCACCTGGACAAGCGCGTCAATCACGTCTGCCTCTACCATTTCCTTGGCCGCATCTGGCCGTTCCAAGCACACCAAGAAGCCCAAGCGTCCTAGCAGGAATATCCTTTCCACATGTGCTGCCTCATCCTTCTCATCCCTATTGGGCTGCGCGAGGGCTTTGGATACGGCATGCGCTCCTCCGTTTCTGAAAAACTTTGTCCGTCCAGCAGCAGACAGAACCAGCAGATTGGCTAAAATCTTGAGGGCTTCGCGGGCGGTGGTCGAACAGGGCGACGGCGAGGCTGGGGTCTGAGCAAGTGGTTCCGGCACGGGGAGGCAAGAGTGATAGACGAGAATGGAGATGTGCTGGGCGGAGAGGAGGGTTTCTGATCCCACAGGGTTGCGCCCCAAGAACTTGATGGCGGTGAGTGCCAGGAGGTGGACTGAGGGCGAAATCAGGCCTCGCTCGTTTGACCTGATCATGACCTACCATCTTCAGGCCAGCTGTTCCAAGCAGCCTCGGGCTCTACCTCGAGGTCGTGCAGGATGGCATCTAGGAATGCCTCTCGCTCTGTGGGCTGAATCTGGGTAGGCAAAGCTTGACTGTACATGAGCAAATGCGACAAAGAATGATATACACTGACCATTCACCACTGCGTTGAGCTCCCTCCTCACCGTGTCCAGGCTGGTTTGGCGGTCTGCCTCTATGTATCTTTTTGCCGTCAAGTACGGTACAGACATGTCGGGGTGCACAACCGGAAGACCGAGGGTGTCGGTGTAGAAGGGCTATTGCAGCTAAATGTCCCGATGGAAGTGCGGGAGTTATAAGAGAGACGTTGTCGAGAAGTAGAACGAACTAGGGGTTATAGGACGAGAATGGTTGAGGGACATGGACGAAGCTGATGGGAGGGGCACGACCGGAAAGATGAAACAAGGAGCTGTTTTGTTGTTTCGGTGGAGGCAGACCCTGTCCCTGGCTGGTGCATCGTTTCATCCTCCTTCTGTTCGTGGGCAGGCTGCATCTCAATTCTCAACAGATGTCCGGAGGTCCTGATTGCCCCAGTAAAGATGTATCCATATTTCCAAGTATGCAAAGCCGTCAGCAAGGCCCAGCGACTCCGAGCGAGGACTTCAAACGAGCGTTGCGCGAAATATAGCATTGCGGCCGAAGGCTATCGTCGGTTACCTTCAACATTTCCTTCAGCCACACACTTATGCATCGCTCGGCCCGGGTTTATGTCCACGGCAGGCTTTTGGGACAAATGCGAGAGGCGAAAGGCAAAATGCAACACTGATTTAGTTAGTCAAGTGGGGTGGCGATGGTTATGCGAGCCGAACCGGCCGAACTACTGTCCACCAGACAGACGACTCTAATCTGTCCAAGGCTCACTGTATAGCATAGGACAACTGTCGCCAGTTTCCTATGTATGTGAGAATCAAGCTTTCTCCGCCGGAGACTATTAAGGGTGCGTCGTGTTTGGGTGAGACTCGACTGTACTTTCAGCCTTCCAGATTTCACAACCTAGTAAATTCCCTCTCTTCTCTTTGATGCAAGGAGGTATCATCACGAGTATGGAGGAACCTTCCGACACTCCTATCGATGTGTGAAGCGCCCTCGATCTGATCAAAAGCATGGAAAGCGCTCAGAGATTATATAGCGTATCCGTGTTCATCTCATCTGCGACAAGACCGTCTTTTCCCAATTCGACTCCTCCCTATCGCTGCCCCACCCCTCCATGACCAAACAAGCCCATCTCGAGACATGAGGGAATGTTGCACGGCAATCGTCCTCCGATCACATAGGCGCTGAATCCTGAAAGGCAAAAGCGTGTGTCGAGAGTGGCGGACCATGAAGTAAAGCCGACTTGATTTGCAGCAAAGCAGGGAGTCAGAGCCAAAGAGGCTGGTGGGTGATCGGAGTGGCCAGAGAGGTGACTACTGTAAGCGACTCTTGAATTTGAGTGTCTACCCAGTACTCCATCCAATGTCTGATAGTCAGGTGTCTATGAGAGGTTGCCGTGGCTTTTGCATACCCTTGCGAGAATACTATCGGTTTGAGATCTGTACCAAGTCGTAGAGTTTGGGGGAAAGAAGAAGGTTGGCGCAACGAAGGTGGCTGTGAAGGACGATCAAGAGTTTCAAATAAGCTGATGAGCCTCAACTCTCGGAAACTGCCCAAGCTCTTTATTACTGTTACTGACCACGGAACCACACGACCACTGAAAACCCCTCGTAAAAGAATCATCACCCTCATGTGCACATCTATCACACCACCACTTGGCCACACCAATCGACCCTCTTGACCTCGAGCGTGCAAAGTTCAGCCCGTGATGCTTGTGTTTGATATGCGGATTGGCTTCAAGTGATGTGTGTTGTTGTGATAGGACGAGGTGTCTCCCTGGCCGAAGGGCGACTGTAGGAGACAAACAATGAGCTGATGAAAGGGGTAGCAACCAGAACGGAAAGCAAAAGTACAAACAATCAGGGGCATCGAGAATGATATTCTACAGCAACACGTATCGTCGCCAGATAAAGTACATACTCAATTGCTTCGTGACGAGACTTGCTGAGCTTGCTTGTTGTTGTCAGTACGATACGCGGGAGCAAGATGATCTGCCCTGGTACCTGGGATCTCGATGGCCGGCCGGTATCGCTCCCTGGTCAGCAGTTCCGGTCAAAGACAGTGAATAGGTGGGTGGCGCTGAGGGGGTTAAGCCAAACGTCGATGAAAAAGCAAATATAGAGCGACCTGCGTCTGCAAACGGTCAACTGTGTCAACGGTCAACGGTTAACGGTCGGCGGAGACACATCGTGCGCGGGCGACGGCCGCGGTCAGAGCCAGGTCAATGGCCGACGAACGCCGGCATTCATGGCCCGTTTCTTATCTGCGTGCGTACGTACCACAGGCAACGCGGCGATACCACGGGTCCGAGACGTCGAGGGTCGGTTATTGGACGGTGTACGATGAGCAACGGCCATGTCCGACGAAAAAAAGACAGACATCTGTGTGCCGATGCCGTGCCGAGATGGAGGGCAGGAATGTGAAAACTGAGATTGCAAGGGGCCTCGCATGGCACTAAAAGAGCTAAATCCGGCAGCGCGCTTGGGGCCAAACCGAGTTTTGGCCCGTTTGTCCCTTCATTTTCAATATTCTGGGGTATTCGAAAAAAGCCAGTTTTCACCTCGTGCTGGTCTCGGTCGGTATAAGCCGAACGACTGTCAGGCGTCCACTTTTCTGGACTGATTGCGAGCACAGGTGGCAGGTTCAAGTTGAGTGAACGCTTTTGGCTGAGGATCAAAGGGTGTCCTGCGCGGGCGGCCATGGCAGAACAGCGGAGAAAGCGGACGACGACAGCGGAAAGAAGAGAGAGGGACACGCGATGACCGCATGCATCACATATCAGCAGAAGGAAGGTTGGAAAGGGGTAAGAGGAAAGACGCATTGGGCATTATTATTATACGGCTTATGGCGTATGACAGTCCCCGTTGCCTCGGCCGTCGTTCGGTACATCCGCGAGCCGCGAGCCATGCATGCCATGGTACGACACTAGGAAGGTCTATGTAATGAGATACGCAGCGTGCGGATGCATGGCAGACTGGCCTGTGCCAAGGAACAGTCACAAAAGCAAAACAAGACGAGTACGACGGGAGCTGCTAGTGATCACAGAACGGTGCAAACAAGCAGGGTACATGACGGAACCGTGCAAACAAAGCACGAGACATGCAGCAGGTTGTCGCAAAGGGGGCCTGCTGGCGTGGCGCAGTGGTCGAGTGGGTGGGGGTTGGGGGCCAGGCGACGGGGCACTACGCTGGTGCATGCGTGCAGCCAGAAGCCAGCGAGGGTGGGATCCCAGCGACGATGTCCCAATGCATAGGCTGTGATTCGTGGACAGAAAACTGACTATGTCATCCAGATTATGCGGCAGGGGCTCAGGGTCAAACCCTTTGCAAAATACCCCATTCGTTTACCGAGGGTCGATTTCCGCGGTCCCTTAGCTCCTCGGCCTTTCGCTGTGGCACAAACATCCAGCCGTCGCCTTAACTACCGTTTCCCATCTCATTTCTCTTTTCTCCATCTCCCTTCTACTTAAACCCTCACCGCTTCTCCTCTTTCCGCTTTCGAACAGCGCGACGATCTCTAGGTTTCTGGTACCTCTTTTTTCCACTCAGACTCCTCGGTCCGCTTCTTGGCGCATAGCCTTGTATCCACCCTTATAGCCCACCCGACAACAGCTAAACACATCTGGCTGGGGCGACCTTTTTAATATCCAACTCTTTTTAAATTTCCCTCCTTCCCACTCCCCACTCTACCAACAATGTCTGAACACGAGAAAGTAGGCAACACGGAGGAGATTCCCACCAAGTGAGTCCTTTTTCTACAGGGTCTTGGCTGCGGGTGATGTGCCCAGCGCCAGCCTGTTATCTCTTCCCCCCGTCCATTCCGCTGACCCATCTTTGCAGGGAATCTTCCCTCGAGAACAAGGTCGAAGGCGAGGCTCCTGCCGCTGCCAGTGAGTGGCCCTTCCGCATCTTGGCAAAAGAAAAAACAGCACTAACATCCCGCCCAGCCGCCGAAGCGCCCAAGAAGAAGAGAGAGTACAAGGAGATGAACCACGAGAACACTGGCGACCTCCACGCCAAGGTCGACATGAACACTGTAAGTCTTTTACCACCATCCCCACTGTTTCCGGCTTTTTTCGCAGTGGAGCCAATGAAATTGCTCCCCTTCCCGCGTCACAATTTGCTTCCGCTAACATCCATTCCCAGATCACCTTTACCTCTGCCGACTTGTACGACAAGGACAAGGTCGACATTGAGCACGTTGTCATGGAGGAGGTCCTCCAGCTCCTCCAATGTACCGAGTCTGGTCTAACCCAGGCCGAGGCTACCGACCGTATCGGTATCTTTGGTCCCAACAAGCTCGAGGAAAAGTCTGAAAAGTGAGCATCTTGCCTCTTCCGTTCGAGCGCCACTGACATAATTTTAGCGCTTTCCTCCAGTTCCTCTCCTTCATGTGGAACCCTCTGTCTTGGGTCATGGAAGGCGCTGCCCTCGTCGCCATCGCTCTTTCTAACGGTGGTGGTGACCCCCCTGACTGGCAAGACTTTGTCGGTATCGTCCTCCTTCTTTTCATCAACTCTACTATCGGTTTCATCGAGGAGCGTAACGCTGGTAACGCTGTCAAGGCTCTTATGGACTCTCTTGCCCCCAAGGCTCGAGTTAAGCGTGACGGTAACTGGGCCGAGATTGAATCTGCCGAGCTCGTTCCCGGAGACTTGATCGCTTTCAAGCACGGTGACATCTGTGCCGCCGATTGCCGATTGGTTGACGCTATCGATGTCTCGTAAGTTGCCTACCTTTTTTCTAGTATTCTGCTAACGCTGTCTCAGTATGGACCAGGCTGCCCTTACCGGTGAATCTCTCCCCGTCGGCAAGAAGCTCGGTGACGAGTGTTTCTCTGGTTCCACCTGTAAGCAGGGTGAGGCCGAGGGTATTGTCATTGCCACCGGTCCCAACACCTTCTTCGGTCGAGCTGCCACCCTTGTCGGTCAGGACAACGACCAGACTGGTCACTTGCAGATGGTCCTTGCCCGAATCGGTACTTTCTGTCTCGTCTCCATCGGTATCTTTGTCCTCCTCGAGATCCTCATTCTCTACGCCGACTTCCGATACTCTTACCGACGTGGTCTCAACAACATCCTTGTCTTGCTCATTGGTGGTATCCCCATTGCCATGCCTACTGTCTTGTCTGTCACTCTTGCCGTCGGTGCCCAGCAGCTCGCCAAGCACAAGGCTATCGTCACCCGTATCACTGCCATCGAGGAGTTGGCCGGTGTGACCATCCTCTGTTCCGACAAGACCGGTACCCTTACCACCAACAAGCTTACCATCGACAAGGAGAACGTCAAGTGCTACTCCAAGTGGGATGTCGAGGGTGTCTGTCTCTTGGCTGCCTACGCTTCCCGAGTTGAGAACCAGGACGCCATCGACGGCTGTGTCGTTGGTACTCTTCCCGACCCTGCTTCTGCCCGTGCCGGTATCGAGCTCCTCGACTTCAAGCCTTTCAACCCTGTTGACAAGCGTACCGAGATCACCTACCGAGACAACCACGACGGCGGCAAGCTCAAGCGAGCCACCAAGGGTATGACTGGTATCATCATTGAGCTTTGTTCCCGAGGAAAGACCAACGAGCTTGAGGACCAGCTCGAAGCCGATGTCGAGGAGTTTGCCCGACGTGGTCTCCGAGCCCTCGCTGTCGCCTACGAGGATGTCAACGGTTCTTCCCACGAGGACGAGGGTAACGGTTTCGAGCTTGTCGGTCTCCTTTCCATCTTTGACCCCCCTAGGTCCGACACCAAGCAGACCATCGACGACGCCATGGCTCTCGGTGTCAAGGTCAAGATGGTCACTGGTGACCAGCTCGCTATTGCCAAGGAGACCGGTCGACGACTTGGTCTTGGTGACCACATGTACCCCGCCAAGGTTTTGAAGGACGGTCCCGAGGCTGGTGGCAAGCACGCCAACCTCGACGAGATGATCATGGACGCCGACGGTTTCGCTGGTGTATTCCCCGAGCACAAATTTGAGATTGTCAAGCGTATCCAGAACCTCGGTCACCTTTGTGCCATGACTGGTGACGGTGCCAACGATGCCCCCGCTCTTTCTCGTGCCAACGTCGGTATCGCCGTCGAGGGTGCCACCGACGCTGCCCGAGGTGCTGCCGATATCGTTCTTACCGAGCCCGGACTTTCCACCATCGTCCACGCTATCCACGGTTCTCGAGTCATCTTCCAGCGTATGAGGAACTACGCCATCTACGCTTGTGCCGTTACTATCCGTATCGTTGTCTGCTTTGCTATCATGGCCTTTGTCTGGAAGTTTGACTTCCCCTCCTTCATGGTCCTTATCATTGCTGTGCTCAACGACGGTACCATCATGACCCTCTCCCTCGACCGAGTCCTTCCTTCTACCACCCCCGACTCTTGGGATCTTGCTGAGGTCTTTGCCTACGGTATCGGTTACGGTCTCTACCTCTCCGCCTCTACCATTGCTCTCTTCGCTGTCATGAACGAGACCACCTGGTTCGAGGACCGATTCGGTGTCGAGGCCTACAAGGACAACTCTTACGGTGGTCACATGGTCATCTACCTCCAGGTCGCCATCATCTCTCAGGCTCTTATCTTTGTCACCCGATCTCACGGTCCCTCTTGGACTGAGCGACCCTCTTTCGCCCTCATGGGTGCCTTCTGTCTCGCTCAGCTCGTTTCCTCCATCATTGCCGGTTTCGGTGACTGGGGCTTCACTCAGGTCCACTCTATCTCTGGTGGCTGGATCGGTATCGTCTGGGTCTGGAACATTGTGTGGTACTTCCCCCTCGACTTGGTCAAGTTTGCCATGAAGAAGACCATCATTGCCGCTCTCCAGAAGAGGAAGGCAAGGCAGGCCCACGTCGCCACTCCCGACGAGGCCCTCCACCGAACTCCTTCTCGACACGAATCTCTCTACTCCAACCGAACCAACTTCCTTTCTCGTGCCGCCAACCGTCTTAAGGGTGGTAACAAGATCTCCATGTCCCAGACTGAGCTTCAGCGGTGAGTCCATCTTTCAAGCGTCCGTGCAATACTGATTCCTGTCGCAGATTCTCTTCCATCCAGGCTCAGCAATCTGGTGCTGCCCTTACCCGTGCCCACTCCAGGCCCGCGGCTGCCGCTTAAGCGATTTTCGGGCTTTTAGTGTTGGAGTATTTGTATCCAGACTGTCTCCTCTTCTTATCTCCCTCAACATGTAGCAGCTCTGGTGGTTATTCAAACCAAAACTCCCCTTCTTCTCTCACACCGTCACACCATCTACCCATCGCATACATCTTTTACCTCATCCTCTTTCACAATTCTTTCGAACCCTTCTTTGTCGAGCCGCCGTCCTCGTTCATAGATCGCCTTTGTCTATTCCTTAATCCCATTAAAAGATTTTGTCCTTTCTCGTTTTCGCATAGCGTGCATTCGAATGCAAGTCTGGATTATAGATAACCATCATGTAATGTAGGACATGTATCAAAGGTTAATAATAGAGCCCAAAACGGTCTTCAGTTGCAAGTTGCAAGGCACGCCCATAGGAGTGGTGACGTCGCGCGGCGCGTCTCATTCTGTTCGTTCGTTGTTTCTCATATTCTGTATCCAAACCTATATTCCACAATGCAGTCCAAATTCGGCAGCTTTGTCAACAAGGCCCAGAACGCTCTCAGGGTATGTATCCCATCTCCCCTGCTCCCGCATAGTCGCGTCACCCGCGATCCGTCATCTGTTACTGACTCTACTCTGCAGGAAGGGCAGTCACTGGCGACAGAGGGAAGTTCGCAGTTTGTCCAGTCGTTCACTCTTCCCGGAGAGTCTGAAAAGGCCGCCAAGATCCTGCGAGGATTCCTGGGCAAGTGTCTTTCATCTATCGAGGGCCATGGGCTGATAGAGATCTAGCCGACCCCTTACACCCCGCCACCGCCCTCAACTCTATCCCCAAAGCAGTCCTCCAAAGAGCCAAAGGTATGCTCTATCTCGCTTGGATGGCTGCTGATGCACTCTACAGGCCTCGCCGTCTTTACAATCATCAAGGCCGGTTTCGTCTTTTCCGGCAAGGCTGGTTCGGGTATCGTAGTCGCCAAGCTTCCAGATGGAAGCTGGAGTGCGCCTAGCTGTATCGCTACGGCGGGTGTTGGATGGGGCTTGCAGATTGGCGCTGGTGGGTCACTTTCTGTCCTTGCTCGGATGCTAATGGGAGGCAGATCTGACGGAAGTGGTCATGGTGCTCAACTCGGACGAGGCGGTCAAGGCGTTTGCTCGTGGGGGCAATGTGACTGTTGGAGGTGAGTCCTGGGAATATCTGGAGAGCATAGCTGACATGGGCAGGTGGTATATCGGCGGCTGCTGGACCGTTGGGTACTGGTGGCCAAGTTGCCTCTTCGCTGGCCAACCCCGCCCCCGTCTTTAGCTACAGCCGATCCAAGGGTGAGCTCTTTCCATCCTGGTTACTTTTTCTGCTGACTTGGCTCAGGGCTTTTCGCTGGTCTGACCCTGGACGGTACCATCCTTGTGGAGAGAAAGGATGCCAACAAGAAATTCTATGGAAGTAGCATCTCTGCTACAGACATCCTTGCGTGAGTGCACGACGATGGTACCATGAGCTGACGTAGTGTAGTGGCCGAGTGCCAGCTCCAGAGATCGCCTCTACCATGTACGACATCATCGAGGGTGAGTGTAATACATCTTGCAGATATCTGAAGGCTGACTTTGATAGCCGCCGAGGGCATCGACGAAACTGGTCTCCCAGAGGGCGGCTACGTGCCCACTGCTACAGGTGAACACGCCCCCGTCCCGAGCCCTACCACAGGGTACACCACGGGTCCCGGCACTGCGGCGGATGCTGCTTCCACGACGTCTTCGGCCACCGGCAACAAGACGGTGTTCGATGCGTCTTCCACTCATCAGTAGAGATCGGAGCGCGTATGTCCCATGATAATATATGTGCTCTTTTGAGAATGTAATGTCTGTCCGAGAAGAATGCAATGTTTGTCTGAGAAGAATGCAAAGTATAAGCAGAGTGGCAATCCTCGGGCTTCCGGGACACCCGGGGCAAGTCGGAGTGATTGACAAGCAAAGTGACTCGTCGTTGTATTGTGCTGACAATTTACATTTCTCTCTCTGATACAGTATCCTTCCTCCCCACTATGGTCAAACTATCTCAGGGGGGCTCCTCGTTTCTTGCAATAGTCCTAGCATCCGGTCTAGGGGTCTATACCTACTCACGACACCTCTTCAACCTGTACCCTTCTCCTCCCATTGGGCTACATGACAGTACCGTCGCCCGTGTACCGCTCACAACCCTCCCCGAATACACCTCCGCCTTTTACAAAACATGGACCCTTCGTCTTGAAGGCTTTGCCGCGCAACTTGCTGGCAACCCAGTACCACCCGACTCGTTCCTCAACGGCCTTTTTGTGGTCAAGCACCGCTCCGCTCAAGCTGTCGAAGTGGAATGGAGCATGCCAAAGCCTGTCACGCGTCTATTCAAGGCGCTTGGGGTAGGGATGGTTCAGGGAGGCAGCCAGATTCTGAGCGTTCAAGACAAGGATGGGGAGACGGAGATTCGATATACTTGTGAAGAGTACCTCGGGGTACGTCCCGAGCGATGGGAAGACGTCGAGTATAGAAGGGCGAGTGGGATTGGCATAAACGGCAAGCCTTTCGGGGCATTTGGGGTTCAGCTACACCGATTATATATGCGCTTTTTGATTGAGCAGGCAAAGAACCGTTTGGTTCAGGGAGCTCGACGACATCCATGAGTCGTAAGTGTAGAGGCATAGGCGGGATTATTCTGACAAGCTGTAGGAAAAATGTGAAAGAGCTCGGTGAGAGGTCTCAACGAAACCTCTGAAAGAAGACACAACAGCGGATTGGTATATCTAGTGTAGAATTCATGTATCAAATACAGACCCGATATGCCAAATTCGTCGGCGACGGAAGCGCGAGGTAACCGTCGGCTACCCGGCGGCCCAGCAACGTAACTTTTGGCGTCTTCCACATCAGTACCTACACCTACATACATATCCTTAGCAATATAAGCAAACACAATAGACATAACTGATATAACGTCTATACCTCGTAATGCTTCGACTATCCCAAGGAAGCGCCTCTCTCCTCGCACTCGTGACTGGATCGGGCCTCGGGCTCTATGCCTACTCACAACACCTCTTCAGGCTGTACCCCTCTCCTCCCATCGGTCTACATGACAGTCTCGTCGCCCGAGTGTCGCCCACAACCCTCCCCGAATACACCTCTGCCTTTTACAAAGCATGGACCCTCCGTCTTGAAGGCTTGGGTGCCCGGCTGGCTGGTTATCCGGTACCACCCGACTCGTTTGCCGATGGCATCTTCGTGGTCTAGCGCCGCACCTCGCAAGCTGTCGAGGTGGAATGGGAAATGCCTAAACCCGTTTTGAGTGTATTTGAGGCGCTTGGGGTGGGAATGGTTCAGGGAGGCAGCCAGACTTTGTGCGTCCAAGATGAGGACGGAGAGTCAGAGATACGGTATACATCTGAAGAGTACCTTGGATCACGCCCGGAGCGCTGGGGGGATGTCGAGTATAGGAGGACAAGTGGGATCGGGATGGAGGGGAAACCTCCTGGGGCGTTTGGCATCCATCTTCACAGATTCTATGTGCGCTTCCTGTTTGAGCAGGCCAGAAAACGTTTGGTTGGGGAAAAGGGGGCTAACCGATGATATGGTCGTGAGTGTACTTTCTCAACCCGTGCAACATTGCGACAAGCTGACCATGTGGCAAAGAGAGGAAGGATTATGGCGTCACGTTTCAGGATCGTCACAAGTGGTATCAATGAATCCCTTGCACATGGCCTCCCCTACTCCGCTGCACATCAGTGGCTTGCTATGCTCTACTTGCTACTCCCCCACACGTCCAGCCGTTGTGCTATTTCTCACGACATGTTGAGTGACAGTGACGGCCACGTGGCCCAGAAGGGGACGCCGGCCTGGAACCAGACCCGGGGTCCTTTGGGTGGTGTTCGATGTTCTCATGGCGTCACGGGGTGTCTGTGCTGAGCGGGGAGCAACGGTATATAAGAGCCCCCGATTTGAGAAATCCCCACCATCCGCATCTATCACCCAAAACTCGCATAACTTGTGACCCCACCTTCTTTCATACAAACCAACATACATACCATGCGCTCTCCTATCGTCAGCCTCGCCCTCTTGGCGTCTCTCGTCTCGTCTGTTGCTGCCCTCCAGGCCGGCACCGCCCCCAGGGCCGAGATCAACCTCATCTCTCGACAAGACGGTGTGCACTATCTGCTTTCCTTTGCCACCGCTAATCTCCCTCTTAGACGCATCTACCGGCGACGGATCTGACGACACTGGATCCACCGATGATGGCTCGAACGACGACGATTCTTTTGATGACGGTTCTGATGACGACGATGGTTCCGAGGATGTGGACAGCGCCGTCGAGTCGGCCACCTCCTCCTTTGCAACCGGTATCGAGTCGATTACCTCCTCCTTTGCAACCGGTATTGAGTCGATCACCTCTGATGTTGAAAGCTTCGGGACCGCTGGGGCTAGCAGTGCGGTCTCTGCTGCCTCGGCATTGACTTCGGAGGCTGCCAGCGGTGCTTCTTCCATCACCTCTGGAGCTACCTCGGCAGCGTCTGTAGCTCGGGGTGCCGGCAGCTCTATCTCGAGCGTCGCTACCAGTGTTGCTTCTCAGGTGAGTCTGATTGATCTCTTTCACGTCAGCTAACGAGAGCAGGCTATTAGCAAGGCGACCAGCGCAGCCTCTTCGGCGCACTCGGTTGCTACGAGTTTGGCTTCCAGGTATGTCTTTCGGCGAGATGTTGGGCAATGGCTGACGAGCGATTCTAGCGCATCTGCCAGTGCATCCGAAATTGCTTCTTCCAGCTCGGCCAACTCTATCCAGGCGGGCAGGCTCGAGATGGCCATGGGTGTTGGAGCTGCTGTCATCCTTGGTGCTGGTATCGTCTTTGTCTAGAGAGGTATATCAAGTGTGGTGAGGATTATTACTCTTATGAGAATGGACCTTGTAACCTAGCAAAGGGTGGGCATGCATCATCTACTCACCAAGATCAAGAGACAGCACTCGGCGATCCGACATCAGGTATGACGAGATCCCATGTCGGGCAGCCCTTCCGTTGCGATCTCGCGATGCACATAGCTCTGTGAGCTTGTCGACTCCCAGGCATGCCCGCTTCGAGCCATGAAGCATTATAGCACGGGGGGCGAGACACGGGAGACTTGTCGAGGCTAGTGGTGACTGCCGCCCACGTGGCAAGGCGCGTTCTGGCCCAGTGCAAGCCCTTTGGAGTGAGATATATAAGAGGCTGAGATGCTGGGAAATCCCCCCTCTGCATCCTCACCCTGTAACCATGCGCTCCTCCACCCTCTGCCTTGCCGTCCTGGCTTCCCTCTCCTCCGCCTCGGCCCTCAACACCTTTAGAGCCCCCGCCGACATCGTGGTCGTTGTCCGCCAAGACGGTCAGTACCACACCCTACACTTCTCACCCTGCTGACCATTCTCACAGATGATGTGGCCCATGGCGACCAGGCTGACGACGATGCCTGGAAGGCAGAGAGTGACCTCCTAGGGCCCGAGGAGATCGATCGCCGTTTCGACTTTGGCGGTTTTGCTTCCAGTGTCAAAGACAGGGCGACTTCATTCGCCACAGGAGTAAAATCGCAGGCCACCGATGCGGCGTCCTCTTTCAAGAGTGCTGGTACATCAGTGGCCTCGGACGTAAAGAGTGACGCGACTTCAGCTGCCACTGATTTCCAAAGTGCTGGTACGGATATAGCCTCTTCTGTAAAGAGCGCTGCCACGTCTGGCGCTTCATCTGTCCAGAGCGCCGCGACTTCTGAGGCATCGGATATCAAGAGTGCCGCAACCTCTGGCGCATCCGACGTGAAGAGCGACGCGACATCGGCCGCCTCTGATTTCCAGAGCGCTGGGACAGCCATCGCCTCTTCCTTCCAAAGCGCGGGCACAGCTTTCGCGAGCTCTCTCGTTTCTGGTGATAATGCAGTGCGCGACGATTCCTCCTCTGTGACGAGCAGTGCAGGGAATATTGGAAGTGAAGTGGGTATCGTATCTCTTATGGCTCGTACAATCAATAACGTCATTGTAGATCAAGAGTCTTGCAACCAGCGCCGCTTCTCAGGTGAGTGTCACCTCTCTTCTTGCACAAGAGCTGACGTCGATATAGGCCGTCAGCGTAGCTACGAGCGCCGCCTCATCAGTTCAATCTGGTGCCCAGAGTCTCGCTTCTAGGTGAGGTGTGTTTGAGCTGTCGCGTCCGGGGGCTAATCATTTATAGCGTCTCATCCGGTTCGGGATTTGCTTCTCCCAGCTCTGCAGCGTCGATTAGCCGAGGTGTCCAGGCGGGAATGATGGGCTTGGTGATGAGTGTGGGTGCGGCTGTTGTTGGTGCTGGCTATGTGCTTGCGTAGAGAGGTTCTGGAAGTCTGCAAGTGAGGGATACGAATTTGATACGAGACAAGTCAATAATGGGTACCATGTATTAACGAGAATATGGCTGATGGTCAAAGCTCTTCAGAGCCTCTGAGAATCATGGATACTAACAGGGTGGACTATTAAGAGAAAAAGAGCACAGAAGACCAAGCGCTAAAGTCTGATGGTTAGTCGTCACCGGTGACAGCCCGTTGCTGCTGGATGCTGGTTTTGTCACCGGCGGTAACAAGCAATGCAGAGCCATGCTCAGCTCGCCGGGCCAGGCAATCTTTTTCGACCTATGATCTCGGACGCTGCATAGCCAAATGAATACAGGAGATCTCGGACGCTACATAGCTAAATGGATACAGGAGATCCAGGAGAAAGTGACGGTCTGATCTGGTTCGTTACGTACGTTATCCACGGGCGCGATGATGCATACCGGCAAGAAGTGATCTAATTATCACCACTTCCGGTGCCATACGAACACATGGCGTGCATCGGCGACTGAGACGGGAAGCTACAAGCTCTCGTATCGGTATCATGTCGGTCCGGTCGGATGATGACTGAAAGAAAAAAAATGGAGGGCAGCGTTTGACAAGAGACATACTTGACGGATCGTTACGTCATTGCGCTCGTGGCTCGCGCCATTGGTCATGTCGCAAGTCAACTTCCGCTTGTGGTAATCCTTCCTGGATTACTTCCTGCTCAGATTATGCAATTGCTCACCTGCCCCCACCATCCCACATATATGTATATATATATCCACTCCAATTCTGCATCCCCTTCATCTCCTTCCAACTCCTTTTTCCACTCAACCTTTTAGAATCTCACAACATTCCACAATGAAGGTCTACGCTCTCCTCGCCCTCCTCCCGGCCCTGGCTGTCGTTGCTGAGCCCGTTCCCGCTCCCGAAGCCCCCGTCTTTCAGTTTGGCAAGCCTGCTGTGGGCAGGGCCAACATTGCCGAGATTGACCCCCGTCAATGTAAGTACTTCAGTCTTCAATTGCCATTTCTGACGATACGTTTAGTGAGCTCTTTGACTAGTGCTGCTGGGGCTGCTGGGTCTTTGACCTCCAAGGCGGGCTCTGCTATCAACAGTGCTACAGGCGGATCGGCCTCCGATTCTTCCTCTGGGTCGGCAACAGACAGCGCCTCGTCTGGAAGTGCTACCGACTCGGCTTCATCTGGAAGTGCTACTAACTCGGCTTCGTCTGGATCGGAATCTGCTAGCTCGGCAGCCTCCTCTGCTTCGTCTGGAGCGTCTTCCGGATCTAGCAGCGCCGCCTCTGACGCCTCTTCCGGAGCTTCATCTGCTACCTCGAGCGGTGGTGGAATTATAAACTCTTTGACCAGCCAGGCGTAGGTTATCATTATACATTGCGAGTGGGAGCTGACGATATTGTTTAAAGTGGAAGTGCTACAAGTGCTGCTGGATCTGCCGCGTGAGTAAACGTCATATTTGAGGGCTATAACTGACAATACCATAGCGGAGGTGCCACGTCATCGGCTGCAAGCGCTGCGTAAGTGTAGCAAATCATGCGTTGTACATCTTTACTGACCTTTCTCTAGCACTGGATCCGCCGCCAACCCCGTTGCCCTCGTTGGCCAGGCTGGTGTCTGGACTGGCGTTATGGCCGGTGTCGGTCTTGTTATCGGTGCTGGTACTGTCTGGGCTTAAGACGTTTGTAGGCTCGGGGATGCTTGTCAGAAGTCAAAGATGTTGTGTTAAAATATCGATAATGCAGCCAAACATGCAGCTTGTAATCAGGATCAGACTTTCATATCAGACACAGTTTGGTATCATTCCGTGCGCATAGCAGTCTAGAACTAGATGACCATGAGTCATCTGCTAGAGACAAATCCTAGGAGGGCTTCTGTTCTCAGTGCAACGAGGTGCTCCAAGCAATTGAAGGAGAAGGTAAAGTTGGTTCATCCGTGGATATAGCGTCTTGTATTGCGCAGTAGCTACTTGATCTCAATGTCATCGCACAGAGGCACTCGGGGATCATCTTGGTAGACCTGAAGCAGCCCTTTGGAGTATGAAGCGCGCTAGGTCATACAATTGATACCTCTGCTGCGCGACTGCAGACAACGTTCACTCGCGCGGACACGACTGTGTTGTACTCGAGCAGGAATGACAAGGGACGAGGATGCCAAGCGTATACGTTGAACTTTCACACATCAGATCGCACACATCAGATCGCTTCAATGATAGCTCACTTACATACCCTGTGTACACCACAGCGGGACGGGATCAAATGAGCCCTTCGGCCATCCCCACCTCATACTCAGCTCATACTCCAGGACGCTCAAGACAGGAATTGATACAATTCCACCCTCTCAATTCCCATGTTCAAGCTCATCAAGGACCTCACACGCCCCCCCGAGGCCCTGACGCCTCCCCCGGTAGATACCCCTCCTCTGCAAGGGGCGCGTCAACGCGCTCGTTCACGCTCACGGTCGGTTTCTAGAGCTGGACGCAGTAGCTCTCCGGCGGTACTGGGGGGACGGGCCAAGAGCCCTGGATCATCAGGGATAAACCCTAGAATTAGCCATGACTTGAATGCGGGCGAAAGTGGGTGGTCAATGGCCCCAGAGTTTGGCCAAGAGATAGAGGAGGATGAAGACGAGACGGAGCCGGATGCCTTGAGAGTCGTCGAGCTTATACGAGCTCTAAGGAGTGAAGAGGATGCTATAATGAGCTACATTATGGTGAGATCTATGCATACTCGGGAGACCCGGAAGCTGACCACATGTCCAGACATTCTCAGAGTTGTTGTCCGTCCCAGGAAGCTTTCACTCTCGAAGAGCCTTCCGCCGGCATACAGGCTTCAGGACACTGTTTATTGTACTGGACGAGAATCTCGCATGGAAAGCCATGCCGATCGAAGCGAACTATGAGGAGTGGGAGGTCCGAGAGGTGCAAAGAAAGGAAGCCATAAGACTCGCATTCGAGGTTTTGGGTTGGGCTCTGGGAGATCGGCTGGGGGAGGCCCATTTCGAGGTGAGTGTCCCCTGTATAGTGCTCGCTAATCGTATTCCAGAGGCAAAGCGGGTATCTCACCGTTCTTCCTGTCCTGTACCACCTTGCCCCAGCTTCAACGGGAGCCGATGCTGATATCATTGCGGTACTATTGGCCCACATCTGTTCCAACAACTATTCTTTCTCAAACCTTTTCCAATCCCCTACCTTGTCTTCCACCAAAGATGTCTCTGGGCGTCTGGGGGAGCTCATCGTTCGACCATCTACCAGTGGTGCCCTGAAGCTGCTCTGGGCATATCTCAATCAAGAAGGTGCCAAGGGGAAAGACAAAGCGACTTTGGGGGAAGAAGAATTGGCCAGGATTGTTCAGCTGGCATTCCAATCGCTGCTGTCCATTGTCCAGGCATCTACTCCCAACCTCTTTACCGTCGCCTCACAATTGCCCCAGCTAGCCGAGTTTCTCATCACTCGGTTGTACGGCCCTGGGAAGAAGCGAAAGTATGGGTCAACATTCAAGATGGATGTACCTCAGAGTGATCAGGAGGGCGTTGCAGAATGGAGCGAACCGAATCCTGCTATGAGGGGCGTTTACCTTGCGCTCTTAAGAAGGATGCTAGATGCTGGAGTCGACCAGCGCGTCACTTGGCGGCTTTTCGGTCTGGTGCGGGATACAGAGACTTTTTCCGAAAGTCCAAGACAATCACCCTCGCATCTCGTTTCCTCGCCCGACCCGCTTGACACTCCCGTTCCTTCGCCGTTACCAACATCTAGGCCACGCGATCGAGGGAAATCCAATCTGCACATCAACACGGAAACTACCGAGGAAGAGGAAGACTGCCTCAATATGGAAGTCTTGGGACTGATCAAGCAAGCGCTGAAATCGAAATGGCCAAATGTATTCGTCTTCAAGGGCGGAGTCAATGATAGGTTGGGCGGTCTAGAGCTACCAGAGCTAGGAAGACCTTGGGTCAATGGCCACAAAGGGTTCAACTTTTCTGTGAGCATGTCCTTCTGGCCTCTGTCATCTTGCTCAATGTTCAACAGTGTTGGCTGCACATTACCAAACTCAATCAACCTATGACTCTCTTTCATCTCTCTCAAAAAGACGCCAAATGTCCCTTGTTTCGCGTACGCATCCTTGAAAACTCTCAAATTGCTATAACCACATCTCTTCAAGGGGCGGCCCCCATATCGCCCATCGGCTCTTCCAGCCCTCCTCCCGATGGCGAGGTCATCTGCGACGCCCCAGACGCGCTAGTACCTCACTTCCAATGGGTGCATTTTGCTGTTGGAGTTCGGAAACCTCGCGGTCATGAGCATGGAGAGGTCAGGATATTTGTGAACGGTACACGGGTTGGCGCTTTGCGGATGCCTTATCCGCTGCCTATACCCCAGGCTCCGCCAGCCCCCGTGCAATCTCGACCGGTGGCTGGCACCCCAGCCGATTCTATTCGTGTATCCGTCGGCAAAGAGTATCAAGACGAAGAGGAGAAGACGAATCAAGGGGTGGGGAGAGAGGAAGAGAACGAATGGATGCTTGGGAGGCTGCTTCTGCTCGAGGAAGCTGTCCCCGAAGATCTCGTGTTACTAATGCACCACCTGGGGCCTAGATATACAGGTAATCTGCAAGAGGCCATGGGAAAGTTCTTGACATGTAAGTCTTGTTGATCAAGAAAGCCTGGCTAACGTAGCAACAGATGAAGGTGCTACCTCGATCAACATCTACCTCCATCGCCTCGCCCAATCTGCCTCAAACAAGCGACTGTTCACAACGCCTAGCAATTCTATACTTGTTCGCGCTATACGGTCTGGCCATGTTCTTCCCGAAGAGTTAATCATTGTCTCTTTGTCTGCTCGAGACTACGATCCTACACAGGACACATGCGTCAACGCCGCTATACCACATCCCTACCGGGCCAGACAACTCCCATATGGTACCGCCAAGCTCACAGGTAATGTTCGGGCTTTCAGGTCTACCAGCCTAGATGAAAGTGTGCAAGATGTAGGCGGTGGGCTTGTCATCTTGAAAATGGTGTCTATGAGTCGCACCAGTGAAGAACTTTTGGATACTCTGAGTGTTTTGAGGGATACAATCAAGGATAGTTGGTTGGCCAGCGAAGAAATGGAGCGAATACGTGAGTCAGACGGGTGAGAGAATCTTGTTGACAGAAGTTTTCAGACGGATTCGATCTCCTGGCAGCGATTTTGCGCCCCAAAGCTGCGACTCTGCTAGACATTCCTTGCACCAAGGTCATTCTGGCCATGCTGGGTATAAACATGGACAAGCCTCAGTGAGCAGCATCCGTCGCTTTGAGAACGTAGCTCATATCTACCAGGCTGGCCACCGTCCACAACTCTGTTGCCTATCGAGCTATTGGCGTGGAATTTGAACTCTGGTCCTACGCCTCCGATGAGGTCGTCAGGTTCTATCTCGAGCATTTCCAGCATCTACTGTGCACATCCAAGCACAAGCGAGTCAACATCCTGAGGACTTTCCAAAAGTCTTCATTGGTCAAGAAATTGCTATATGCTCTGAGATCCGGTTTGTTCAACCTAGAAGTAGTACCCGATGTTGCCGGTAAGTTGTCAAAGCAAGCATTTGGGGATAAACTGACGCGCTTCCAGAAAAGTTGAAATTGGGACTGGAGGCACGGTGGAGTGGTGAAGACGCGTAAGTCTTCATATAGGAAGACTATCACTGACAATTTCAAAGTATCAAGCCCGTATTCTCCTACTTGATATCGTCCCTCTGTCAGAGTGCGTAAAGGTGCACTCGGAGGGCTGTACGCTGACCTCGGTTGCAGACAACATGACCTTCTCTACCGGGTTCGATACACCACCACCTTACCAGCTACCTGCAGCTTTGATCCTGACAGCGGTCGCCGAACTGAGTCAGGATATCACTCGTCTCCATAAACTGAATCGATCTGTGGCTTTGCATCGCCTCCTCGTCATACTGCTCTCCTCCAACACCTCAACCTACGTCGTCCGACCTTGTCTCGCATTGCTCGAGCAGGCCATGACCACTCGAGGCTTAGAGACGTTTTCAAAATCATTCGAATCGGAAGGCGGTTTCGCCCTCTTGTCAAGGACATTGCCCGCCTTGTGGGACAATGACATCCAAGCCGTGGTGACACGGATGGTACTCGGAGACGATCCAGGCAAAAAATTGCGGTCACCACAGATGGTGGGATGCTTGCTATCTGCTATGGATTGGTTGTTGCAGGCAGCGGGGGATTCTGGAGAAAGCGCGGAAAGACCTTCCACCATCCGGGCGAGATCGGGTACTGGGTCGTCCATCCACTCTTTGAGTGCTTCACAAATTAAGGGTGGGTCATTGTAAATGTGTAACCTGGGCTGACTTTGAACCAGCCTCCTCACCGGCTGAAGATTCCCATGCTCGTCTCACGACGCTGTTGTGCCATATCACATCTCTCTATAAAGAGTATAGTCCCATCAGGAAGTACTTGACATACAAGAGAATCGAGCTTGCCCTCCCTAATTTCGCAGACTTTGCAGCTCTGTCAGGGAATGCGAATGTGGACTCTATCAAAGACTCTAGAAATGCCGCCATTGACTTGTTGGCTGCTTTTATCGATCTGGGTAAACTTCCAAAGACCATGTCGACTCAGGTACACATCTTTTTACGCGTTTGCGTCTGAGCTCATGTGTCGCAGATCGATCTCATCATTGAACAATTGCGGACCACTCCACCTTCACCCAAGGTCGCGACATCTCTTGCCATGTCTTCGTCAACGCCTCAAGTCTCGTCCTACTTTGGACAGTCATATTCCAGTAAACTTGCGACGTCTCCGGGCATCCCCTCATCCCCGATCAGACGTAGACCTTCCTCAGACGGTACCAGCGGGCTACAAGGATTTACCAAGTCGAGGCCACCAACGGTTGAGAAAAGAGCACCGCTCAAAAGAGTCGTCACGGGCGAGTCTATCTTGGAGGGTGGAAAGGATAAGAATTCTGCTTGGAAAATGATCATTATCCAGACTGTAAGCCTTCAGGCACTTGTTGAGATGATGCTGACGCCGTGTGGAAGGAATTTCAAAGCCACGCAAAGCTGACTTTGGACAGGTAAGCAAAGCAAACGTTGGAGGGAACTGACCAAGAGTAGGAAAGAGCATTGGCAGAAGCTGTCTCTTGTTGAGTGGCCTCGACAAGCAGCGGTACTACGTTCCGAACATGGGCTGTGGCCAAATGACAATCAAGAAGTTACTTGGCGTCTCGACGGAAGCGAAGGGCCTCTTCGTATGAGGTGAGTAGACAGTGATGATCTACATGATCTGACGTGGTCACCCAGGGCTCGCCTTGAGCGCGTTGATAATCTTCCCGAAAGTGGGATCAGTCGGACTCTCCACAAATTGCGCGACGCCATTCCGTCCGTCGATGAGCTGTCATCAGCTGTTTCACGATTGAATGCTGCTCCCTGGGAAGACCCGTTTGCACTCGCTCTCGGCGATGTCGCCCCCCCTCTAGAGGAAGAGCCTACGCAAACCACCTCGACTGCTCCAACGTCCTTGGACAAGGCCAGTGGATCACATCATGCCGTCAACGATTCAATGTCCTCGCAAACTTCTGCTCAACAGGCCAGCGAGACTTTCTCCGAAAACGGAGAAGGTGACTCATTCATTGATGTTGAGGAGAGCGGCGGCGACAAGATGAGAAAGATTGCCAAAACCTTGCAGACCGGGGACGTTGTCGAGGAAGCACATGTGCGTAATCATTGCCGGGCGAATGCTAGTTACTCACTTGATTTGCAGAACATTGTCAGAATTGTGGGCGTAGACGCATGTCGTGCGTATCTCACACGCTAGCTCTTATATGTACTGATGCTCTTCTAGCTGGTCTGCTCATCTTGGGAAAGAAGAATCTGTATCTCATCGACGGGCTAGTACAGACAGGCGACGGGGAGGTCATTGACGCCAGAGATGCCCAGAAGGATGTCCTTTCGATTCCTTCTGGGACGCTCGCGGAACTCGATGCTGCTGACCAGCAGAGCTACAGATGGTGAGCGCTAAATTCCACAACATTATACTGAGTAGGCAATCAGGTCTTACAACGACATCATTGAAAACAACAAGCGCGCCTTCCTCTTTCGAGATGTGGCTCTTGAACTCTACTTTTCGGACAAGCGCAACTTCCTTGTGGTTTTCCGGGACAAGAAAGAGCGTCAAGCGGTGGTCCAGAAGATTGGTACGAAGAACGACAATCGAGATGCCATCTCCAAGAGTATCATTGGCAATTTCGTCCTCGACACGGTCGCCAAAGCTATGGATAGAAGTGAACAGCAATTGGAGGCTTTACAAAGGAAATGGCAGAGCAGAGAAATCAGCAACGTACGTCCTCCCAGAGATGATTCTGCAATGTAGCTGACAATGTCACAGTTCGCTTACCTACAGCTCCTTAATCAATATGCCAATAGAACTCCAAATGGTATACTTGTCTCCAATGACGAGGCAAAATCTTGGCTGACGCTGACACAGATGTGACTCAATACCCCGTCTTCCCTTGGGTCCTAGCCGACTACTCGTCGGAGAAACTCGACTTGTCTTCTGCATCTTCATATAGAGATCTTCATTTCCCAATGGGGGCTCTTACGCAGGCTAGGCGTGAAGAAGCAGTCGAGCGATACTCTGCCACCGAGAGTGTGGGAGAAACACCTTTGTAAGAGTAGTGCCTGTAAATCGAGCTATTCTGACGATTGTTGTAAGCCATTATGGTACCCACTACAGCTCGTCAATGATTGTATGCGGCTATATGATTCGGATGTCACCGTTCACGGAGATATTCCTGGCTTTGCAGGTGTGTATTCTCGTGTTCCATGGGCATTGTTGACACTGTCCAGGGTGGAAATTTCGATCTGGCAGATAGGTTATTCTCGAGTATCCCTAAAGCTTGGGACTCGGCCTCATCGGATAATCGTGGAGATGTGCGAGAGCTGGTCCCCGAATTCTACTACTCTCCGGCGTTTTTGGTCAACCTGGTGGGCAATTTTTCTATGAAATGCTTAGGGTACTGACTTTTCTAGAATCACCACGACTTTGGTCGCAAGCAGGCAACCGGTGACATCGTTGATGACGTCGCTCTACCACCCTGGGCTCTTGGAGATCCTCATCTATTCGTGCATCGTCACCGGGAGGCGCTCGAATCTGAATACGTCTCAAGACACTTGGCCCACTGGATCGATTTGACGTTTGGGTATAAACAAAGGGACCCTTCATCTTTCAACTGCTTCCACCCGCTCTCCTATAGGGGCGCAGTAGATCTGGAAAACATTGAAAACGAAGAAGAAAAGGCAGCTTCAACGGCAATCATCCACAACTTTGGTCAGACCCCGCTCCAGATTTTCAAAATGCCGCATCCTCATCGTTTCATGGCCGGTCGGAGTGACCTCCCTCTTGGCGTCAAATTCGGGGTGGCTGAACACTGGCAACTTATGTTCAGGAGTATACTTCCCATCTCTGAGACTGCAACCCCTATCGATGATATCAGTCCGCCTTCTGGACCGGACTCGAAACCCAAGGTCACTCAGAAGCAGAGGCTCCCGGTGCCCAGTTCCTCCCATCTAAGCGTACAGTATGGGTTCACCGATGGATCTATCAGGGTATACTATCAAGATGCTACGGCGAAAGTGAGTGCCGAATGATCAAATAGTATCTGAGCTTACACGAAACCAGCTGGCTGCTCTGGTCGAAGGCATCTATCCTGAACATGCCATTTTTGCGTCTCCAACGCTCCTCGTTACTGTTTCTCATCAAGGTGTCATATCAGCTTGGCGACTCACCATCAGCGGAGTAGGATACCGCAAAGGGGACGTCAAAGTCCAGCGAGAAGCCACTCTCCGGGGCCATCCAGAGCGGGTGACCTGCTTGACCAGCAACAAGTCATGGAGCTTTTTAGTTAGCGGCTCAGAAGTGAGTATGCTGCAAATGATCAAATACCTGCTAATGACCATGATCAGGATGGCACTGCCGTGGTTTGGGATACGAATCGCCTGCGATACACCAGAACGCTTTGTACGGGCAAAAATGAGCCGATTGAGTTTTGCGCGACCGATGAGGCAGATGTGAGTAGCTTTTGACATGTTTCCGATGGCGGCTGACGACAGACAGGGAAATATTGTCTTGGCTTCCAGGCACCACGTCTACCTCTTCTCCCTCAACGGCTACCCCATAGCTTCAATGAGCCTGGCAGATTGCATCACCTCTTTGGATGGCGACGACGCTTCCGTGACATCAGGCGAGGATATCAGTGATGTTAATTTCACTGGCGGCATATCCTTCCTCAACAGAGAGTTCCTCAAGTACGGACCGCTCTTTGTGATCGGTGTGGGAGCTCGCGTGGTGCTTGTCCGCTGCGCGCCTGGTATCAAGAATTCGTTTAACGAGAACGACGACGTCAAGCCGTGGCAATTGATTGCACAAGGCTCAATGCACCGGTCAGATGACCACCCTGGTGGCGACTGCTGTATGGTCAAGTTTATCGGGTAAGTTCTATTCTGTGACCTCGGTGACTGGCACTGATGAGAATAGTGAAATCCTGTATGCCGCTTTCGGTATTACTGATGAGAAGAAAAAGTACGCGCTCTACCAGTGGTCTTTGCCGGATGGATCAGCAAGGCATGTTGCCGAGTCAGTTTCCCATACGTGTATGGCGGACAGGTGTGGAAGAAACTTTGGGCTCTTGGGTAAGCATACCGATAGTCCTGAAGCGTTGTTTGACTGACCGATATCCCAGAACCCAAACGTCACTGTGGTGGATGTGGCGGTAGTTTCTGCGGGTGAGTTGGGCTTTTGACTATTGTTGTGAGACTTGTTCTCATATGACTGCAGCACACATGCCCTTCACGTTGAAACATTCACCATGCGATACTGCGATAGCTGCCGACAACATCTAGCTATCGCCTCTGCGCAAGGAATACTAAACTCCCGCCGGGATACTCTCGTACCCCCGTCGGTAGCTGCATCCAGACGAGGCTCCGTCACTCAAGACTCGCGCGTTCTCCGCGGCAGCCCTGCAGCTGCAAGTCCTAGTCGTGTTGGGTCTCGAAGAGGGTCGACCGAATGAATCTGTGTCTCTTCTGTAAAAACAGACTTGTCTAAGCGTTGTAACTTTAGCCATCACGTAGTGTACGAATAGATCATGACATGCATCATCCACAACAATTGTAAGACCGATTACCAGCCCAGTCCTGGCCGACTCTGGTATCCCTCGATTTACGCCCATTTCCCGAGTACACTCATAGCGATCAGACCGGCTGTCAGAGCAGCAAGGGCCACCATGATCTTGGAAGCCTTTGCATCCCTCAGCGGCCCGCCTGTAAAGTCGGTGGACAAGAGTTTAAAAGCCGTATAGAGCTGTGTGAGTCAGCTTGCCAGCCATACATGGGTAAGAGAAGAGCTGACCAGTATACCTGCAGAGATCGAGTTGAGGATCCCAACAGAGAGGAGAGAGGCTTTGCCATTCTGGGAAAACGACTTGCGGACTCCGATACCGATAGCAATGCCGATAGGGGTGATAAACTAGGAGACGGTGTCAGCTGGCAGCCTTTGGTGCAGTATTACTAGTGATAGTCCCGTAGGGTAGACGAGAACTCACGGTGAAGGCAAGTCCCATAATGATGGCACGGGTTTTAGACATCCAATCCAGAAGAGCTATGCGAGCTCCAAGTCTAACACCAGAGTGCGCTGTCAGTGACTGTCTACTCGTAGAAAACAAAACGTACGCCAGGCCCTCGAACATTTGATGGAAAATGATGACAATAAAAAGGGTGGTCCACCCATTACCCCCTCCAGCGCCCTTTTACATCTCGTCAGCAGGCAACTCATGGATTGAGGAGGGAAACAGCCACGTACCAAGGTTACGCCAATCATGATACTATGGAAGATGATACCAGCTTCCAACAAGAGTACCTGATGATTTTGCTCCGCTTTAAACGCTGCATCGAAGCGGTTACCACAGGCGTCCCCATGTAAGTGCTCATGCTCATGTTGAGCATCTGGAGAAGGGGGCAGTTTGTGCTCCATACCTTCTTCGATGGCAAGATCACCGTCCCTTTTTCTGTGAGCGTATCGGGTACCAAGAAGATCGAGCAGGAACGTGATGAAGGCGGCTGCCATAGCGATAGCCGGGGCTGTAGACTCGTAGGCAAGCTCGCCGATACACTCGTTGGCAAACATCACAAAGCCATGGTAAAGAAGGTGCTGTTATCTCGTCAACATTACACTCTATAAAACACGAGGCACTCACGATAAATGCGGTGGAGATGATGATACCCGTCCCGAAATGACGTGCAATGAAAAACAAATTACCCCACCACCCCACACCGCGCCCGAAAGCCGCACTGCCCTCGTACACCTCCATCTCCCGTCTCATAGTCTCTTGTCGAGAGGCATCACCCTCTTTGAGCCACTTGGATATCAATGGAATCAGTACCCCCAGTCCGGATGTGACCAAAATGATGAATAAGGCTGCGATATGGAGTCCCATGTTGTAATTGTCGAGGATGACGGCGCCACATGCTAGATCCTGGGCTGAGCAGTCTCCGTGAGTATGACCGACTGGTAGGTATAAGAATAGGACAGCAAAATCTGAGAGTCAAAGACTTGCCGTGAATGATGCATTCCCCGCTCTCCTCTGATGACTGGGCAGCTTCGAGCTCATCTTGACTGTCAAAACAGTCCCAGTGCGTTTCATCTGTAGAGTAAATCAGCATCGTGATCCATTTCACATGGAAAAGACCTTACGCCAGAAGCAATTGGAACTCTCGGTAGGCGACGGTATCGAGGTAGATTCTGATGTCGCTGTTGCAGTGTAGCCCTCGGCAGGCCCCTCGCAATGGTAATGATCGACATGAAGAGCACATCCAGTACTCTCAGATGGAGCCGCTGGTACGGTAGAAGAAGCGGTCGAACCTTCTACGGGTCCCTCGCAATGGTAGTGGTCGCCATGAAGCACACATCCGGTGCTTTCTGCTGGAGGTGTTGGTACGGCTGAGGAGGCGGCTGTATTGCCCAGCACGCTCGAGGTGGACGACGTAGCCTGGAAGGCCAGAGTCGAAGATGATCTTGAAGTTGACCCAGTGGAGGACGCGGGTGCAAATTGAGCGTTGGTGGCAAGGGCCAGGAGGAGGGCAGCAGCGCAAATGAGCCGCATTCTGCGAGATTGTCTGTGGGGGCTGACATCTGGCTGACATCTGGCTTTATACTGATGGATGCATGGAAAAATACGCCAAGAAGCCAAGGAGAGAAGGATGGATGGACCGTGCGGGCCAAAAGATGAGATCCTGCTCTGAAAGAGGACTGAACGGTCACAGCCGTTTGATCCCGCCCCTCCTGCCCACTGCATCCTGCAGAGCGCCTATCCGACTTCCTGCCAAGGCCCTCCTCCTGCACTAGATGTCTTCTGAATATCCTGCTGCTCGGCAATCATCCGGGGGTGTTTTCCATATCGCCGATCGCTCCCCGGGGCTTTCTCCATGCTGATGACACCGTCCACGTTTTCATTCAACCTTACTGCCAAGCAGAGGACTTCTGGGTCGAATTCATTCTGCCGAGAAATAATGATTGTCCGTCCATAGAGGGTGAGGTATAAATTGAATCCTCCCAGACATGATCTTCCCACAATATCGTTAATCTCCCCACAGATTCATCATGCTCTTTTCCGATCTGCTCGCTACGGCCCTCCTCACCGGGTCCGCCCTGAGCATCCCCCTCGTCCCCCGCGAGCTCAGCCCCTACACCAGTGACATTGAGGTTCACTCCAGCTGTAACGCTACCCAACGGCGTATGCTTCAAAAGGCCCTCTCGTTAGTCATCTTACCTTCTTTGTGCGTCGCAGCTGACCTTTTTCCTAGTGACACATACGAAGTAGCCTCCTTCGCTAAAGAATACATCACCACCAACGGCGGGGACGATCCCATCTTTCAACAGTACTTTGGCACAGACACTGGTTCATACACCCAAGTCATCGGTATCTGGGATGCTTTCCTCACGTCCAACAAAGAAGGCGTGCTTTTGCGATGTGATAACCCTGACGGCGTTGGTATCTTTCTCTTTGCTCAAGCACGGGCTGACGTTATGTGTCAGAATTGTGGTCAAGACGGCTGGCGCGGACATTGGCGAGGCGACAATGCCACATCCGAAACTGTCATCTGCGATCTTTCTTACACTGACAGGCTGTTTAACGAAAACTTTTGCATGTTTGGGTACGAGCTCGTTAGCCAGAAACCTTCGACTTTTTGGTCTATCGATCTCATGCGAGTCCTCTTTTCATATTCCATCTCCAGGACACCAGCTGACTGACATACAGTCACCGATTCTTCCATGTTCCAGCGGTGACGAACGGCAAAGTCGACCACTATGCTGAAGACTATACTGGCATTCTCGAGCTCGCCGAGCACAACAGCACCTATGCCGCTGTAGACTCGAACGCCCTCCAGTACTTTGCTGCTCGCAAGTCGCTCCTCCTCTTTATCGAGGCTCGTGGCTGATGTCATTCTCAGATGTCTATGCGCTTGAGGTTGCCAAGGGTGGAGATGCTTGTATCGGCAAGGTTGCGGAATCGAGCAGCAGCGAAGCATCGTCTCTCGCCACATCTGCCTCTTCGACCGGTTCATCCGTGCCCGACGCCTCCAGCTCTTCCACTCCAGCTGCCTCCTCTACAGCCGCCACTTCGAGTGACAACGCCGGCAAGGACTGTCACACTCACGCTGACGGTGGTGAGTGCGCCTGTTGCCCCTTCTTTTAGCAGAGCATCAAAGCTTATTCGGCACGCTCTAGCTGTCCATTGCGTGTGATTCATCGCCAAACGATTCAAAGATCATGAAAGATGTGCCAAAGCTTCCTGAACCCCACTAATAGAGCTTCATCGTCGGACAAATATAATAACGTAGATGCCTTTCCTATACATGTGATATTCTTCCAGAGCTTTTATATTCCATGAAATGCAACAAAAGAGTCTGATTGCGATCTTGAAGCCTGAGCTCTGCTTGTGACACGTGTATGTGTATACATCTCAACAATAGTCCACACTCTCCGTTTACCGAATTGACAAGCTAACCATACAACTGCCAATCAAACGGCACACTGTCCCCCCAGAACCCAGCCGGACAAGCGCCCGATAGTTGTTCATCCCCTCCCAACGCAAAGACATCGGATTCGGAAGTGTATTGGGACCATTTGGAGGTGGCGGTTGATCTGGCGGCGGAAGAGGGGGATGTTGATGTGGGGGATGTAGAAGAAGATGACGAGTATGCGCGGGAAGAAGAGTGAAGAGAAGAACGGGAGGAGGAAGAAGAACGGGAGGAAGAAGAGGGGGACGAAGAAGAGGGGGACGAAGAAGAGTGGGACGAAGAAGAACCAGGAGACAGCGCAAAGTCGCTACTTCCCCCGGCCTCCTGCCCGTTCGAGCTCCAGTCCCACCACGAGCTCCAAGTAAATGAGAATGACCTCTTCTTGGCAGCTGAAGAAGGGTTGGGGTCGAGAGTAGTGATAAATGCAACCCAATGGGAAAAGATGGTACTTCCCTGTATGCAGTGTCAGCTCGTAGAGGTATACTGCACGGGGAGGCTTACAAGAGTAGAAGCGTTGCTCAAAGAATCAGAGGCGGTCCCGAAAGTCGGGTAGATATCATCCTAAGTCCAGTCAGTTCGACGTCGCACTTGTACGACAAAAGACCAACCTCGTGGCAGACGATCCCATCCCCGGTACAATACCCCGACTCATTATCGGGATACGTCACACCCTCCCTCCACTCCCCTACCCACACTTTACCTCCGGCAGACGCCCACTTGTTGGCAACATCTACGTTCGCACACTTCCATATCCCATCCGTCACTGCCCTTTCAAACGTTTCTCGGAAAGTGTCTCCCGAGGGACCGTATGCGGCGGTAGAGGAGGAAGACTTGATAGCAGGTAGAGAATAGTACTCTGAGCTGACTAGACTAGCAGCGCGGGATGTGCCTATGAGAGCAGAAGCTGTAGAGTAGTAGGTATCGTTGGACAACGGTACGTGGGTGGAAAAGATGGAAGAGATGGCGGTACCGCCTTCATTCTTGACGGTGGTGAGCAAGATGGGGAGCGAGGCGGGGGTAAAGGTGAGTGAGAAGGGCGAGTTTGTGAGGGTGGAAGAAGGGTCGGAGGGGAGAGCGGTAGTGTTGTATGTCGGTCTCAGCGCTGTGTAACAGTAAGCTTGTGTATGTGTAGAGTGTGGGGCGTACGCTCGGAGATGGGGACGCCGGTGATGGTGTATGGTACGGTGGAGATGAGTGTATCTTGAGCGGTGACGAGTGCGGATGTGGAAATGTTTTTGAGGCAGTCAAGAGTCGTGCAAGAAGACATGGGCGACATGGCGTAGAATGTGGACTGGATCTGTGTGGTGATATCGGAAGACGCAAATCCAAAGCTCTACGAGGGTATGTCAGGTCAAGCCGAGAAACAGAGGAAGGATGCTCACCATGGGGTCAGACTGGAGGATGGCAGCTCTAAACAAGCCGGAAGCGGCAGGGGCACCCCAGAGAGCTAGTGCTGTCAGCACTAGTACGCTTCGAGACCAATGAGACTCACCTCGAATCATCGATGCCCCCGAGCTCTGGCCACCTACAGTAATCTGTCCCTTGTTCCCTCCAACATACTCGATATACTGATTGACGCCCTTCAAACCCAAGATGATATCCTTCAACCCGAGGCTCGGATCAGAAGACGTTGAAGCAAGCGTTGGCGGCAAGAGACCAAGGACACCGAGACGGTACTGGAGCATGATGACAATCATGTTGCCGTTCTTAGCTAGGAGTGATCCATCGAGGCCTGGGGCAGAGGTGGAACCCCGGACGAAGGAACCGCCGTGGATCCTTGATGATGTTTGATCAGTGAACAATGAGTGGCGATAGATAATTTACACACCAGACGAAAACGGGCCAGCCGGTGGAAGGTGCAGTGCTTTTTGGGGCATAGACGGTGGCGTAGAGGCAGTCTTCAGACTGAGAGCTGCCGACGGTATATGTCCCAGAGTCCTGAGGACAAGAAGGAGGTTCAGAGGCATAGCTCTGGTTGCTATGATTCGTCAGTCGAGTTTGCATCGAGGTAGAAGGACTTGCCCAATATCTGACGGAGCGACCGACTCTGCCCATCTCTCCGCAATGCCATACTTTATTGTATAGCGACAAGCACCATCGCTAGTCTCGTAGCCAGTGGCAGTGTGGCCGTAAGCAGTGAAAGTACACCCGGAAAAAGTTGCGCGGTTGATGGGGGACGCGTGGGAAGCGAGGAGGTTGAAGAAGAGGAGGAGGGCGGTGAGAAGGATCATGGGGAGTATGCAGAGCAAGGAGCGTGGGTGTGGGCTGGCCCTGGTGCAGTGGAGGGGGAGGTAGGGTGGGTGGGTGTGCGGCGGGAGTATATATATGCTCGTTTGTGGCCAGGGGCGACGCGAGCTGGGATAGAGTTGATGGGGCTGCAGGAGGGGTGTTCCTGCTTGTCCTGGTGCGGCATCGTGTGCCGTGTCCCGAGTTTCGTCAACAATGGCGGGGGTGTGATGCGCACAGGCGGTGGCACGCGGGGTGTGTGCCGAGTGACCCAGCAAAGAAGGCCCCTGCACGTCAGCCAGTCTGCGTGTCAGGTAGAGGGTGGAGGGTGGAGGGTGCATCTGGATGTGCATGATGACACTCAGGGGGCCCTCGAGGCACTGCTGTTTCACTGAACAATAGGAATTCAACACCCACTGAAACTCAGGGGCCAGGTACACGGCCACCCGAACGGAACTATTTCGCTGGAGGGCTTATGTAACAGCTGGCGGCCTTCGCCGTCGACCGGACCTCGAGCATCATCAAAGAAGTCAAGAGCAACAAGTTGCTCACCTGCACCGAGCACGAGCGGGTCAGGATGCCCCCGAGAATAGGAACACCCATCCGGCGCACACCGCCGCCGCCGCCCCCGTCACTACCCTCCACCCTCCCCCCGCCGCCGCTCATCCCCACAGCCCTCCTCGCCCCCAACGAACAACGCCTCTTCCTCGTCGCACTCGTAGGGCTCGTGGAAATCACAAAACTCTGGGACACTTTCCTCCCCCTCTTTGTCACAGATCCAGACCCCACATGGACCAGCTCACTACGCATCAGTGGGCCTGTCACCGTCCTCGCATGGACAGGCTTTGAAGTCCTTGCTCTCTACTTTATATCGCTCTTGCGGATACCGCTCTTATCCCCGAGCTTTAGACAGACGACATTACTGGGAGCTATCTGTTTGGCAATCAATGGGCTGTGCTGGCTCATCGTAGAGCCGAGTACAATGCTCGGGTACGTCAATGTGGTCGGCACGGCGGCCTTGGGCGGAGAGTGGTATTGGAACTGGTTCTACGCCGCTCGAAAGTGGTCCGAACCGAAACATATCGAAGGTGTACACAAGATTCGACTGCTCCCCTATTCGTAAGTACCGTCACTGGTAGAAGCTCCGCGCTGACATCTTGCAGGACGGCGACTCTGAACCCTCTACAGTTGACATACTGCATCCCTCCAGACAGCCACCAGCCTCTTCACGTCCCCATTGTATTCAACAACTCTGTTCCCGAATTGCTCGACATTGTCATCCACCCCCTCTCTGGCGGTGCACCTCAGACCAAAACTATCTACGGCTCAAGCCTCACCCGTTCTCCCGCAAGAGCAGTCAAGCTCAGGATCACAGACGGCACTGGGGACGATGACGATGAAGCGGAAGAGCTCGAGCCAGAGATCGACCCCCTGAGCGCGCTGGTGCTGCAATCGGGCAAAAAGATCGTGGGGCACCCGAGAGATATCGACCCGGCCTCTGTGCCGAGTGTCAAACCTGCCGACTCGCTCGCCCTCATCCCGCGCAACCTCGCCCCGACCGAAAACGTCCTGTTCCTCAAAGTCGACCAGCCGTCCGTCATTACCCTCCGAAACGTCGTCGACAAGCGCGGCGACCGCTTCCACCTCACCCCGCGTCGAGAGGCCGTCATCGTCAGCTGCCCCAGCGGAGGTAGATTCGTCGAACAAGCCAAAGGCGGCAAGCTGGTGCTCAAAAAGGACAAGGACCAGGCCCCCGAGCTGCGCTGTGTTGGCGATGAGGATGTGGTGACATTCGAGGCTACGGGTGTCTCCCCGCTCCAAGTCAAGTGGGAGAAGAAGCGAACCGACTCGAATGGAAACACTGCAGTGGAAAAGACTGGCACCGTCGAGGGCATTGAAGACACCCTCTTCTCCGACTCTGCCGATCCTACCACCCGCACCAGGGTGTCCAAATCCCACCACGTCCCCCTCCGCGTCTCCCACGATACCCCCGGGCAGTCCACGGTCCAGCTTTTATCTGTCAAGGACGCTTTGCACAATACCTATACCCCCTCTGGGTATTCGGCGCAAAAGGCATGGAAGGTTGAGACGAAAAAGTCGGTCAAATTCAATTGCCAGGCGCCGTATCAGCTGCTGCAGAATCAGAGCGTGTCGATCCCTATCGAAATCCTGGCGCCTGATCTCAACCACCCTTCGCAAAAACTCGAGCGGCCTCTCAAGTTGACATACACCTTTACACCTACATCCGGGGGTGAGGCGCAAGAGAGGGTGATGGAAGTCAAGAGCAAGAAGGAAGAGCTCGTAGTGACAGAGGCGGGAAGTTATGCTCTGGCGGCGATTGAAGGGGATTGTGTTGGGGGCGTGATGGAGCCCAGTCGATGTGAAGTGCAGGTCGTGCCCCTGCCGACTTTGGACATGAGCGTGACTACTCTGCACGAATGGTGAGTCTTGTTCTGGAGTTGGCTCAATTGTCTGACACAAATGAAGCGCGATGGATGTGGGTTCTACAGCACACCTCGACTTTACTGGCGCCCCACCTTTCAAGCTGGAATATATCGAACAGCGAAAAGGTGGTCGGCCCAGGACGATCTCTCAGCAATTCTCAGGTCACCACGGGAGCATCGTTCTCCGACCCGAGCAGGAAGGGGCATACACCTATGTAAGCTTGATTCAAAACCTGCAGGATGTCGCTAATCTTTCTCAAGACGTTCACGGCTCTCAGCGACAGAAGGTATAGGAATATCCAAGTCACTCAACCACCTATCAAGCAGACCGTACACCCTCTTGCCAATGCCGAGTTGACGGGCAAGCTCATCAAGCCGACACTGTATTCGTGTTCAGGCGATGTTGTCGGGGTCGACGTCGAGGCTCGGGTAAGTATCCTGATTTAGTTATTAGGGATTCGCACTGATAAACCTTGTAGGGTATCCCGCCACTCAAACTGACATACCTCACTTCCCACGGCACCCACTCATCCAACACCACAATCACCCTCTCTCTTGGCCGTACCAACCTCCAAATCCCCGTCCCCGACGCCCTCTCCTCATCCAACCCCTCCGCCAGCGGCAAGTTGCACATCAACTTGCTGAGTATCGAGGATGGAAACGGGTGTGTAAGAAAGTTGGAAAGCGCAAAGAGTGTGGAGGTGAATGTGAAACGGGAGAAGCCGAGTGCGAGGTTGGCCAGTGGGGGTAGTAAGCAAGTCAGGGAGGGCGAGATCGTCAAGGTGCCTCTGAGGTTGACTGGAGAGAGGGTGAGTCGCCCTTTGCAATGTCTGAAGTGAAACTGATGGGAGTAGCCTTGGAAGGTGGTTTACGAGGTGGACGGAAAGCAGCAAAAGGTCACGTTGAACGACCCCAATGCGGCTATCCAGCTCAAGAGCGAGGGCATACACAAACTCGTCAAGGTATGCCACCCCATCAGCTCCCTGATGACGCTGACCCTAGCACAGGTCAACGACGCTACGTGCCCCGGCGAGATCCTCGATCCCTCCTCCACTTTCACCATCTCCTACCTCCCGCGTCCTTCCCTCGCCATCCTCCCATCGTCCGCTTTGGTACCCGCCAAGAAGAGCTGGAACCACCAAGGTCTATGCGCTGGGCAAGAAGACCAAGTTGGGCTCACATTCGAGGGTCAAGCGCCTTTCGAGTTGACGTACCGTCTGGGCAAGGACGGCAAGGATCTGGGGACCAGATACCTCAAATCCGCGCAAGACGCTGGTGTACTTCATCTCGAGACGGACCCTGGGACTTATACGTACCAGTTCATCACTCTGTCCGATGGCAACTACCCTAGCAACGGCCTCGATCAAAAGATCTCGCACCAGGTCTTTGCTCGTCCCGGCGGTGGATGGATCAAGGGCGGTTCTAGCGGGCCACTGTGTTTGGACGGCAAGCTGGAAAGCGGGGCGGTTTTGGGTTTGAGGGGCAAGGGCCCTTGGCAAGTCACTCTCGGCGTGCGCAAACCCGCTTCTGCCAAGGTCGATCTCTACACCATCAACACTGCCAAACCTGAATGGTCTCTTTCTCTTCCCGATGTCCTCTTGAACGACATTGGTCGGTACGAAATCACCCTGCACGACATTGTCGACTCTTCCTCCTGTCCCATGGAGCTCTTGGATGGCGGAGAAGATGGCACTGGGTTCAGAGATGAAACACGGATCAGCGTCGAAGTTGTGGAGAGCGCGAGAATTGTGGAAGTGGATGCTCGAAAGCAAGTTTGTGTGGGAGACCACCTCGAATTCTTACTCCAGGGCAAAGCACCTTGGACGATCGAATATGCTTGGCTGGGCAAGGAGCATAGGGTGACTTCTGGCGGATCGAGGTTTTCGAGGTTCGCAGAGAAGGCGGGCGAGTTTGAAGTCAAGAGCGTGGCATTGAGGGGTGATCAGTGCAAGAGGCAAGTGGAGGGAATGGTGAGGACTGTTCATCCGTTGCCGAGTGCTAGGATTAAGAGCGGCGAGGATGATTTGCGTGAAGGTGTGTCTTCTGTCTTGCGTCCGCGTCCGCGTCCGCGGAGACGAATTGCTGACGGGCACTAGGTGACGAACCGGCCGTCTTCCGAGTATACTTTACCGGTACAGCACCATTTTCGTTCACATACACCAGAAGCGAACAGTCGGGCTCAAAGTGGAAGGTGGTCGAGACTCAGGTACGTAGCCTCTGAGCACCTCAAGCTTACAATGCTGATGTCTTTCAGACTGTAACCGACATCATGGAGGACAGTTATGCCATCTCGAGCTCACTGCCAGGGGATTACGAAGTGACAAGCATTAGCGACAAGTACTGTCGGTATCCGAGGTTGAACTAGGGCAAGAGAGTGTATATGTACAGTAATGCATTTTGACATGGGAAACCCTGTTACAGGATCCGTGAACTGGATCATCAGCATCGTGCCCATGGTGTGGGCTATATAACAAGCCACCCGCCGTTATCTCGGATGATCATGCTTATGCGAGTACATACAGAAATGATATGTGATGCCCTAGATTACATTTTTGACGGCAACGGTGCTCACCACCGCTGCCTTCTTCTTCTCTATCACATCGGGTGTTTTGAGAGCGTTCAGCTCGGACAGCTTGTAGACCTGCAAACACAATCAGCTCATGCCAGCTCGAAAAGAGACGCGACACACCTTGTCGACCTTGCCCCAATCTACACCTTCGCCGACTCGCTCCAGCCCCACCAACTCCCCATCCACAACGTCCTCCATCGCCTTCCATACTTCTTCCGACGATTGTCCCCTCTTTCCAAACTTGACCACAGCCAGCCTCGTAGTCTTTTCCGATAACCCGTGCCGTCTGATGGAATCTGATATATTGTTGTTGGGAGAAAGCAAAAGAAGGATTTCAGAGTGAAGATTATGCGAACGGGTCTTTGGTACCCGATCTTGTTCGCTATTCAATGCGAGAGAGGATATGTCGGGGGGGGAGAGCGAAGGTGGGTCGGTAGGGGCTGGAGAAGTAGAAGGATAGGCATAGAGTAGTGTGGCAAGGAGAGCAGAAAGCAAGTGTTCCTTGGACACCAGCTGTCAAGAACGGTCAGCCTCTATCACCCATGGCCAATACTCCAACATACCAGGTCGCCCTCAACAAAGCCAAAATCAACATCTGCTCTAGCTTTATCCCCTTCTTCTCCTGGGGGATATTGCGAAGCTTTTATCAGGCGCTGTCTTATCTGCGGGGCGTTCGTGACATTGTGGAATAGGGCGACGTGGATGGTGGAGTGTGCCGGGGGAAAGTTCTGGAGAGCGTAAGACTCCATGGCGTCGGGAGGGTTTATAGTGCGTCGGTGACTTGCAACTGAGGTTTGCGACTTTTGGCTCGTCAGCCTTCGACTAGATTTGATCCCGTCCTTGTGTGGTTCCAGCTGCTGGCATTGTATTTTTTCGAATGAAACGTAGGGAACCTGAGCATGCCAAAGTCCTGGTTGCCTGCAGGTGAATGACCTTATGCTTTCATATCGCTCATGGTGCTGCAGAGTACACACATGCGATACAAATTGTTTGGTCCCATGGCGCGAGTACGGAAGCAAATGCCGCCCGTCAAATCGTCTGGCAGTCCTTACAAAGACCATGACTTTTCGTTCAGCCTCTCTGCAAACGAATCGCCAATATGTCATGGGTAAGTACCGCATCAAGTGATATCCACAACTCTCACAAGCTTTAGCTCGTGCCCTCACTGCCAAGCTGGTCTCGTGGCGCCGCTCCAGCCCAGGTCGAGAAGGCGACGGCGAATAACGATGTCGAAGAAGACGACATTGATGCCCCGCCCCCCTTCCCCATGCTCAATTCTCATCAGAGATCCCAGGCTCCCGCCCCTGAAGCACCCAAACCCCCGATACCCCCCACTACTGCGCCAATCCCGACGTTATCATTCGCCATCGCCCCTCCGTCACCTACCAAGTCGACGCACGGTGACGATGAGCCTCCTTCAGATCTAAACATCGCCATCATACCCGACAACATACCTATAGGGAACATGGCCCCACCGCCGAGTACGGTGAAGAAACCGTCTTTCGGTATACAAAATGGTGGACATGATAGAGGAGGGTTGAAAGTGGCAGAGAAACCCAAGCCCAAAGAGAAGAAGAAGGGCAAGGTAGCCCTTGCGCCGGGACATTCTCCTCTAGACTGGGCGAGGTTGACATCAAGTGGACAAAACTTGAGGGGTGTGAATACATTCCAGAGAGTCACGCTTGCAGAGCTGAAGGAGGTCAGTGTGTCTTTACTGCTGGCGCAGAGCTGATACACTATCATAGCACAACACTCCGGACGATGCATGGTCGGTATTCAACGGGATGGTGTACAATATCACGCCTTACCTTCCATTCCACCCAGGAGGAGAGGACGAGATGATGAGGGTTGCGGGGCGAGATGGGACGCGTCTCTTTAGTGAGTCCCTTTCTACAACGTTTTTCTCGGCAAGACCATGACTGACGACAATTGCCAGTGCTCACGCATTCTTGGGTCAATATGGACTTTATGTTAAAGGAGTGTTTGGTGGGAGTCTTGATCAAATGAGAGGATCTTTGTTGCCCCATTTCTCGCGCGCAAAAGACTCTTTTGGCGTATCCTCACGATCATCATTGGTACTCATACTGTACTCTACATTGTATACTCAGCATCATCATAGCATTTCATAGATACATGTACCATCTTATACGCACACGAGCATGTCCGTGTTTATGCCTATGAGTCGCAGATCGCAGACAGAATGTCCAACCAATCATTCCGAGATCATATAGACAGTCATCGTCGATCGCAGTCTCCTAGTCAATTCTATGCGAATGCGGTAGAGAACGTCGAGAGAAGAAGCCACAACGAAGCTGGGAGGCGCACAGCCCGACGGTGACGGCGTCGCGCGGAGTCATCGTTGTGGCAGTCATGTCTCTTTCCCTCTTTCAGAGATTTACCAATGCCCAGTCTCTTCCCGAACACAACAAATCCAAAACGAGGGAATCAGATATGTCGACCCTAGCCCCCAAGGACGACCCCGATCCATCTCCCTCTTCCCCGCCTTCAGCCATCCCAGCCCGCCTGAAAAGCAAGCAGAACCAACAACCTACCAACTCTCCCAATACTGCTGCCTCCAACCGCCGTAGATTAGGCGGCCTCTTCACTGAACTGGGCATCAGCGTCTCCCCAGCTCGAGCAAGGGCTGTTTCAGAGAGCCCGGCTGGTACGCCGTCTCGAAAAACAACGAATGCTGGCTCGGAGCTGGTATCGAGTGTCGCCTCGTCCATAACGTCCTTTGCTGATCGTATGGCTGCTCTATCTATGGTGGCCAGCGGCGGCAAAGCAAAGACCATATCAAGCCCGGTCAAAGAAGGGACAATGGAGGGTCAACTGAGTGATGAGGGGTGCTTTGTGGACGCCTGTTCGGTAACAAGCCTCGAGGCGGACACAAGAGAGCATTCAGACCTCGAAGTCTTGTCAGATGATCTGTGAGTTCACGCTGGCACTTTGAGAACTGTGCTCATTGCCTACTGTAGGCTATTGGAGATCTTCTTGCACCTCGACACCGCCGATAATCTACACGTCGTCTCGCAAGTATCAAAGAGATTTTACAACCTTTCGCGAGCACCCATACTCTGGATGAGGATCTGTGACTCAGCTGGCTACCGCGATGATCTCAGGGCCGAGGTGGGCGAGCGAGCGCTAGGAGTCTGGGAGCCTCCCGAGGCTGGGGAGGCTTCCACGACCGAGACAGAAGACAGCTCAATACCAATCCACTATCCAACATTCTACCACACCATGTCTTCCCTACCCCAACACATACGGTCCCTAAAACCCACTCACCATCCTGTCCTGACGACCATCCCTGGGCACACCGACAGCATCTATGCCCTTCAAATGCTGGGGCAGTGGCTATTTACAGGCTCAAGAGATAGATCTATTCGACTTTGGCGACTCCCTGCCCCGTCTCTTGCAAAGACGAGCCAGGGTGCAGAGCTCGCTGCTTCCGTGGAGGACGCGCATGGTGGAAGCGTGCTAAGCCTTGTCTTTGAGTGTGACCTGCAAGGTAGGGGGCTACTCGTCACTTCTTCCTCGGACGAAACCGCCTCCATCTGGTCGATATTTCTCCCTCAGCGATCCTCTGACGGTGAGGCCACAATCGAAAAGATCCAAGCACTACCTCACCCTGCAGCGGTTCTCGATGCTACATTGACGCCATCCCATGTCGTGACAGCTTGTAAAGACCGGCACCTCCGGGTCTTTTCACGCACAACACTGGAGCAGGTATGGGAGTTGAAAGAGCACCGGGGACCTATCAACTGCGTCACGGTGCACGGCACAAATGGCAAGCTGGAGGGAGACAATCATGAAGAGGTGATCTCTGCAAGTGGGGACGGGAGCTGGATCATATGGGATGTGAAAATAGGCAAGCAGGTTCGGCGGGGTGCTGGGGATGGACGAGGTTTGGCCTGTGTTGCTTGGGAGGTAAGTTGTCCTTTGCATGATGGCTTTGACTGACACTGGCAGAGGGACTATATTGTCACTGGCGATAACGAATGCCTCATCAAGCTTTATGATGCTGCGACGTGCGATCTCATCAGGGTCTTTCAAGGCCACACCAACTTGGTGCGCGCTGTTGCCTTGCGTCCAAGAGAGGGACTGGTGGTCAGCGGAAGCTACGACCACAGTGTCATGGTATGTGCACGGATACGGTGCAGGTTTGGACGCTAAATCTGTGATCATAGATTTGGGACATGCACACAGGCCTTCTGATCAAACGACCCTCTCTGCCACACACTTCGCTGGTACTTGACATTCACATGAGCGCAAATCGCCTCGCATCGTGAGTCTACAATGTCTGGAAGACGGATGGGCTGATCAGGCAACAGGGCTGGGCATGATAATTCGGTGATGGTGCTGACTTGGGGAGGAGATCTGCTCTATACTGATCTGCTGGTGTGATCGCTACATCAACTGTATATAATCACTTGATCATTGCATGTGCATCTTGAAACGCAAGCCCACACTGCGTCTATTACGAAACAGTACACCGGGCGCAGAATAATCACTACGAGCCTAGCATTGGGCATGGCGTTACATGCGCTGCGTGCTGCCGTGAGTATCGTATTATAGCGCGGCAAATGCTCAGAGATAAGAATGCGATGGGCGGCCATCCTCGTGGCGTGTAAGGCTGAAACAACAAAACTTTAGATTTGAAGCGGGCGATCCGGTTAACGGCATCTCGGCTTCTGAATGAGATTCAATTTATCTGGTTATCGGCTGGCTGCTTTGCATGATGCGCTCGCGTCTGGCCCCGTAATAGTAGGGCGCTGCCCAGAGCCCAGAGCAGCAGCACTCGCAGTACCGAGCAGCCGAGCTATCTCCAAAATTCCATATCTCATCTCAGGCCAAGAGTCATTAAGAGCAATTGGTCTTGCTTCCTTCCCTATCGTCTTTGCGAGTGTGGTAAATTGCCCTACTCGTGTACCCGTGCATGATGCAGAGCAGTGGCATTGCGCGCTGCAGCTGATCCGTCGCACTACTCCATCATCTAGATCAACTAGCATCATCATCGAGTCGCAGCTGGGACCGGCTCTCCCCTCTCCCCTCTCCCGCTCTCTGCCCTCGCCCAGGGCGGTGCCGAACCCAGAAGCCATGGAAGCTGGGAGAACCTGGTTGGGATCTTTGGCTTTGGCGATTTGGCGATTAGAGCCTGGGGAAGTGCCACATGCGGCTGTTTGGCTGCGACGGGAGCAAATTGGTGACGGCATGTCCTGAGCTAGATAGAGTCGCTACGTCACCGGTCGAAATTCAGGGAGCTTAGCGTCATCAAATTTCTCAGTGCGATCAATGAATAAATAAAAACAACCCTCGCCAGCTTGGATCATCCATGGCTGCCCATTTCTCTTTCTCTTTCCCATCACACATAGCTTGCCACTTATAATCCCTCTACATCCGCCCTCAGCCACACCCAGGTAAGCCCGTCCCCTCTGCCCATCACCCACCTCATTCACCCATCCCATTTTGTTGCTCCCGTCATCCCGCCCCAGGCTGATGCTCATCTCCACAAATAGCCTCAAGAAACCTCCTCTTCACTGGTATAGGCAACACAGGAAACACACTCCGCCATGTCTGCCACAGGCGAGGACACTTCCACCGCCTCCACCTCTTCCTTCGTCACAGCCCTTGTTGCGGCTTGTATCACCGTCGGAGCCTTCTCATTGGTATGGCTTGTGCTTCACGGTCGCAAGAACCTGAGGGGTGTTTTCTCTCCTCGAACATACCTCGCGCCTGAGGGGTAAGTCTTTTTTTCCCGGTTTGTTTGTCTCAAATTCTGATGTTAACGTGATCCCGCAGTAAGAGGCCCGAGCCCTTACCGGCAGGGATAATCGCGTTCTGGAAAGCGCTGTTTTCAACACCAGACAAGGAGCTCATCGTCTCCAACGGTCCCGATGCCTACTTCTACATCCGATACCTCAAGGTCTTTGGTCTCCAGATGCTGCTCCCCTACGTCGTTCTTACATGCGCCGTCTGTATCCCGGTCTCTGTCATCACCCCCAACTCTGGCAAGGATGGTCTCAATATGTTGACTTTCGGTAACGTCGCCGACACCAAGCAGATTCGCCATGTAGCCCACTTTCTTGTCGCCATTATCCTGATCGTCTGGACAATCTTCCTAATCTTTAGGGAGTACAACCACCTGGTCCAGGTCCGACAAGCTTGGATGACCTCTCCCCAGCACTTGACTCTTGCTCGTGCCCGAACTGTCGCCATTACCAACGTCCCTGACGCCATCAACAATGTTGCTGGCATCAAGGAGCTTGCTGGTACTGTTGCCCACATTGACAGCACTGGCGGCTCTGGCACCAACCTTTTGGCCAATGTCAACCCCTTTGGCCGTCAGTCTACTGCTACCGAGGGCACCGCTGTCAACGAGACCGATGGTGTCAGGCAGGTTTGGCTTGTCCGCAAGTGCAAGGACGCTGAGAAGATCTGGAGCGAGCGTGACGCCGAGTGTGCTAGACTCGAAGGTGGTGTTTCCAAGCTTCAGAAGCTTGCTGCCAAGAACGTTCGAAAGCACAAGACTCCCGAAGAGACTGGTAAGTTATGCTCAGCTGGCTGTTACCAAGTTGCTGACGTCTTACAGGCAAGCTTGACACTGAAAACTCTGCTGGCGACCTCATCGACAAGTATATCCTCCCCAAGAAGCGTCCATCCTGGAAGCAGGGTCTCCTCGGCCTCATCGGCAAAAAGCAGACTCTTGAAACCTCTCCCGAATACATCAACGAGCACAACATCAAGCTTGACGAGCTTCGAAGCGACATTGCCTCTCTTCCCCAGGGTAACACCGTCTTTGTTCGATTCGCTTCTCAACACGAGGCCCACACCTTTGCCAGGCTCGCTGGCAAGACTGGCAAGAGCAACCAGCACATCCGTGGTGGTGTCGAGGTTGTTCCCGAGGACATTGAATGGGGCAACACTTCCATGAGCCCTTGGCAGCGATACGGTCGAAGCGTCGTCTCTTGGGCCCTCACCATTGGGTTGATCATTGTCTGGGCTATCCCTGTTGCTTTCGTTGGTATGGTTTCAAATGTCGACGCTCTTTGTCAGACAGCTTCCTGGCTGGCTTGGATCTGTGATCTTCCCGACCCCGCTCTCGGTATCATCAAGGGTGTCCTCCCCCCTGCTTTGCTTGCTGTGCTCTTTATGCTCTTGCCCATTGTCCTCCGATTAATGGTCAAGATGCAGGGTGAAGTCCGAAAGACGTGAGTGACAATAAGATATCGTCGAGCAACGCTAATGATGCCACAGCGACATCGAACTGAAGCTTTTCACTCGATTCTGGCTTTTCCAGGTCATCCACGGTTTCCTCATCGTCACTCTTGCCTCCGGTCTCATCACCGCCCTCAGTACAATCAATGGCGACACCGTCAAGGAACTTCCTACCCTGCTTTCCACCAAGCTTCCCGACGCTTCCATCTTCTTCCTCACCTACATTCTTACCGCAACCTTCACTGGTGCTGCCAAGACCTACGCTCGAGTCGTGCCCGTCATCATGTACGCTCTTCGAGGTATCTTGGCTGGTAACACCCCCCGAAAGGTTTACGCCAAGAAGTTCAAGATGGACAGCTTGGCTTGGGCTACCGCTTTCCCTCCCACCTGTCTCCTTATCTGTATCACAATTGTCTACTCTGTGATCCAGCCCATCATCACTGTCCTTGCTTTCTTCGCCATGATCCTCCTTTACCTCGCCAACAAGTTTATTCTTCATTGGTGTGCCGACCAGGCCGACGCCTCTGAGACTGGTGGTTTGTTCTACGTCAGGGCTCTCAGGACTGTCTTTGTGTCTCTCTACATTGAGGAGATCTGCTTGATGGGTCTCTTCTTCTTGTCTAGCGATGAGAACGGTGACCGATCGACTACTGGTTTGGTTTGCGGTGCCATCATGGTGAGTATAGTGACTGCATTCAACAAACTCTGCTGACATTACACTCCAGGCTGCTACCCTTGCCCTCACCGCCATCTTCCAGGCCTACATTGACCACTTCCGATTCAAGAAGGACTTTGTCTACTACGTCCACTCCACCGAGACCTCCTCCAAGTCCGAGTTCATCGAGCCCAAGGTCGGCGCTGTCAAGGCTTCTCCTTCCGAGGAGTACGCCAACGCCGGCCCCGAGTTTGGCAACACCTCTGGCTTCCACGCCAACGCCTTTGACAACCCCGCTCTTTGGAAGAAGCAGCCCACTATCTGGGTTGCCGAGGACCCTCTTGGTCTGGGTGCGCAACAGGTGCAGCAGATCCAGTCCAAGGGTGTGGACGCCAGTCTGGACTTTGCTGTCATGAATGAGAAGGGTGTTATCGAGGTCGACAGGAGTGCTCCTGATGAGGCTTGGTACGGTGGCCACAGCAACTAAGGGTTTAGTTGATGTGCTCTTAATCATATAATACACGGTAGATACCCTAAACGGAGATATACCCAGTAGAGTCAGATGGATCGAGAGAGAAGAAGTTCACATTTCATACACGGTATCTAATAGGACTTATGAGTCCTATGTTTTATATTACATCTTTATAGCTTGCTTCGGTATGAATATCAATCTCTATCGCATGCCTGTGTCTAGCTCATTATACTTCCACTTGCTTGCGATAATACCACGACTCTTGTCTATGGTAAAGTGACTGTCCGAACGCCCTCATGCCCAGATGCCCTCCACCACGGCCCGCTTCTTCCAAGCGCCCCAGCTCGCCACGAGCCCATACACATCCGCCTAAAATCCGACCGGCTCCTTCATCCCATACTCTCTCTCCCTCTGAACTCTATCCATCGATATCTTATCGTCCCTCAGAGGCACCGTCTGTCGCTCCGGACCCTGAGGGAACTGGTTTCTGAACTTGGTCGACAGCGCGATGCGAGAGTAGCATGCACAGACGATGGCGAAACGGATGATCACCCAGCAGGATGCAGAGTAGGGGTGGTTTTGCTTGAATGTGCGCGAAATGTCGAGGGTGGTGATGATGACAGAGGAAAGGATGTACAGGTTCCTGAAGATCTCTGTGCGGACAAAGGCGACATCCGCTCTGATGGGGGGCCTGTCAGCTTCGGACTCGTGTTGTGGATCAGAAGCAGACGTACTCGGCAAGGGTAGACACCCAGAAGAGAGAGTTGGCCTCTAGATACATCTCGCGGAGGGCGATGGCGTTCAAGACCATGGCAGCGGTGGCGATGTTGAAACAAGTGGTGGTGGTGAGAGGAGGCAGCCAGTGTGAGGTGAGGGCAGTGAGGGAGGAGAAATAGCCAGACATGTGCACGACGGAACTGAATGCAGCGGTGGATGACATGGTGGGAGGGAGTTCTGGGTTTTGACTGGTAAGGGGTGAGCGAGCGACCTGCAGGGCCAGGGCCAGGCTTACAAGTTGCTTGAAAGCGACTGGGCGAGTGTGGGTATGTTGTGGAAGGGATTCGCTCACAGTAGATTATGAACAAACGTGGGAGAGGATGACTTTGAAGGACGGATTTTATGCGTTATGGAAACAGATCAGATGAATTATACAGAAAAGTTGTCGGATACAAAATGGCAGATATCTGGTGTTCCGACCGCGTCATGTGTGACTTATGGCGTTGGCACCGCGGCGATTCTCCAGCTGTGGGAATGCATGTCAGCCTAGAAGTGAGCATAACGTGATGCTCATGCCCCATATAATGTACAACAATGCTACATACAGATGACCGCGCCCTAGAAACCTCCCCTCAAATAGTTCTGTCTTTGCTTCACAAAGTCTGTGATAGCTGGCTTGGTGTGAGGTTCAATAAACAAGAGTTTATTCGAGGCGGAGGAGTGCTGAAGAGCAGCGTTCGCCTTGGCCTCATTGACAGTGTCATCAAAAAGCTCTTTACTGAAGAACTCGTACATGACCGCTGTCCATGGTCAATGGTGGTCATAAATCTCCAGGAAAACACTCACTTTCTTCCATTTGAAGCCTATGTCTCTCGCTATCCCACAGATGCAGTTGATCTACAATAGTAGGATGCAGTAACGGAGGGGGCGAGTTGTACATCTGGGGGTGCGCGTGGCTTCCGAGGTAGGCGATGATCTGATGCGCCGAGATACCCTTGTCCATCGCCGCCTTGACGTGCTGTCGGTCGAGCTTGCCGACGACGAGATTGGGGTAGCGGATGCGAATGTCGACAAAGAGGTTGAGGATTGCAATCTCGAGCTCATTTGCTGCAAAGTGGGTCAGCTGAAGCTCGGCAGGCAAAAGGAGGCGACTTGCAAGTGTACGCGTAGATCTTGTAATTCGTCTCCAGGATGAGGAACCGCTTGTCATCCGCTGTCTGGGTATTGATCGCCGCAGAGTCGCCAGAGCACAGCGAGGTGGCCAAATGCGTAGGCCAAAACTGGTCGCTTTCTGGGGACCGCTTAAAGATGAAGCCGTATTCGGCCAAGTCGTTGAGCGCGGTCTGTGACCGGGGGAAGGATTCTGAGGCACTGTAGTCTTGGCCAAGGTCCATGCACCCGAGAGAAAAGAACATGGAGAGCACCTCGGCGGAGCGTTCAGAGTTGGCCTGGCGAGATGTCAGCAAAGTTTTCAAAGATACAAAATGGGTCCCACCTCTTTTGCGCTGAGATAGTACATTAAAATCTCCCACAACTGCGTCTGCCTCTCTTCTAGTAAGAATTGGAAGCCTTTCGAAGTGATGGTCAGGCGATTGATGTTGGGATTTCTTCCACTGGGATCCCCTCTGACAGAAAGATCAGTGACAAAGACTCGACTCGCAGTAAAACCTACGGATCAGTCATCAGACCACTCGTATGCAAGAGATGAAGCACCTGCGGCCGAGGACGTTCCCCAACAAATGCTGTGCCCAGACCGGAAGATACCATATACTTTGATATGGCCTCAAACTTCTTTTCTCCTTCTGCGATCAGCTCGTCTTCTGGAGGCGTGTCGAAGCCGGCATATTCGGGCTTGTCGAATGGCACTCCAAATGAATTGGATCTTCCTCTATGCTGTTTGTCAGTGAAGCGCAGTACATACTGGCTTGCAGATACTGACAGACCAGTCAACGCATTCCGCAGACCCTTCTTGAAGCTATCGTTGAGAGGCCAGCTCTGGGTGTGTCCCTTGTGAACCATCGGATGGAGGACTCTTCGGTTGATTGCTGGGCGCAGGATCTCGTCTACTCTATAAGGAGTCAGCGCTGATTTAAGGTGTTTGGGCATATTTACTGTTCCAGCGAGACATCAACCTTGATCTGCAGTTGTTGCTTGACATCTACACTGCGTAACGGAGCATGCGACCAGAGGCCATGTAATATGAGTTGCCGACACACGGGAGGTAGCAGTCTTCATATCGTCAGCGCTGAAGATATTACATTCAAAGACATACCTCAAGATACAAAGGCAGACAGCCTCCGATTTATAGAGCTCCTCGAAGTAAGCCTGATTCTGGTTGTCGAGAAAGACATCGAGAGCGTTTGTGGGTGATGTGGATGCTGCCGCTGGGTTCTTTTTCGGATGGTTGAATGAAGGCTGCACCATCGTACTGTGGGGTTAGGAGCAATGTTCAGAGTGGGAAGCAGGGAGCAAGGGAGATATGGCGAGAAGAGTACTTCAGATACGAGCAGACGCTCATGGGCGGACATGTCCGGACCCGTTTTACTTTAGTGTCCCGTTCCTGAGATACACCTGCAATAATGTCGCCTGTTTCTGCGACAACACCAATATTACCGCCCCCAAAGAGTCCTCCATTCCCTTTCCACCGCCCGCCTCCCTGCCCATTTTTCCTGTATATTGTCTATATCGGCCACCTTTACCTCATCCGACTGCTTGGGACTTTCGATCGCCCTTTTACGCGTGACTTTGGGCACGCGACTACATCGTATCAGCCACTGCGTTTAGCTATACTCCTTTGAGGGTTATTCTCCCCATCGCGGGTATCAAACCAGCGCGAATCTTGTTCCGACAGCTGTGCGAGCATGTCGCGAGCGCGAGGAGGCACGGCCAAGCTGGCTGCTGGCGATATCGAAGGTTTGTGGCACTTTTCTCTGTCCTCCCCTCAGCGCGCACTCTCGGCATGCTCGGGGAATTAGTCACCGGCTGCTGCCGATTTTGGTGTGTGTTGGCAGTTGAAGGACCAAATGCTGATCACATCTCCATGTTGCTTTATCTTTTCTTCCCATTTCTTCAAATTCGTTTATGCTTGCATCCGCCTCCATCACAATGTTTCCCGACACAGCCATGACCCAGATCTGGCACTCGCTAGTAGACACCGTCCGCGTGCTACCGACCATCCCGACAGACCATGTCGACCAAGAAAAACAAACGGTCAATGCCGCTTTGGAGAAACTCAATGTGCTCATGGCTCTTCGCCGAGGCGAACGCTCTACCCCCGACCCGAATCCCCATCCTCGGCTCCCAACGGCCATCCTGCCTTCTGCCGCCGTGCAAGGGGCTACCCCTGGCTCGGGCGGAGGCGCCAAGAGGAAGCGTAAAGGCTCTTTCTCGGCGTCGCCGGCGCCCATGACGTTAGACTTGACGGGTACAGCAATGGGGATGCACCCTTCGCCTTTACCTACTGCATCAGCAGCAGGTACGAAACCCAGTACGCCAATGTCGCGAGAAGCGACCGGCAAACATAGGCGCGAGTTGTATGCGGACCAGCTGCCGTTACAACCGGGGCGAAAAGTCGCTTTCAAGCTGCCTGCCAAGAGTACGAGAGATGGGGAGGATAGCCAAGGTGGGGCGGGGGATGATTGGATTCTTGCTACAGTCAAGCGGTGCATACTGCAAGACCGGATGAGGTATGAAGTGCAAGATGTGGACGATGGAAAGTGAGTTGCAATCGTTTGCCGTGACACCGCTGACTCTCAAAAGCACATACAACACGACCCTTCGCTCCATCATCCCCCTTCCCGACCCCGCCTCCCCGACTCAACTCACCTCCAATCCCGCCAACATCGAAGACTACCCCCGCGATTCAATTGTCCTCGCCCTGTACCCCGATACTACGTCCTTTTACCGCGCGACTGTCGTGGCTGCGCCGTATCCTGGCTCTGGGAACGGTCTGGGGGTCCGAGGGCAGGGCCATGGACTGAAACCGGATCCAGGGGCGAAGAGGGGGGTGTATAGACTAATGTTTGTGGATGACGATGGGCATGTGCAGGAGGTGCAGAAGGATTATGTCGTGCCGGTGAGTCGGACTGAAAGGAACATTGATTGATTATTCTGACACTCGACAGTACCCTGGGTGATGATACCTTGGGATGAGATCTTGTTGGATACTGTTGATGTTGTTTCTTTGATGCATCTTCATTTGTATGACCTCACAAAAGGGCCGTCGATATTCCTTTGTCCTGGTATAATGTATAAGAAACGCTCCCCTTGCCCCGGAACGCTCCCCTTGCCCTTTCCCGGTATCACAGCTCACAATGTTTGGTCTCCACCCCCTTACATCTACCTACCCCGGCGCCTCCTTCCACCCCAATGGCAACCTCAACGGCCCACACCTTGCTATGCAATCCGGCGGGCCCTCTCAAGGCTACTGGGGCTTCGTGCCATGGGAAGTACCCGAGATGCCGCAATGGGACTTGCCGCCTGCCATCAAGGCTATGCAGGAGGGGCGTGGGTCGGGGATGTATGGTATTACGCCGGAAGGCGGTGGACAGGGGCAGCCGTTCAATTATGGATGGCCGCGGTATGGGCCTATGCCCTTGCGACCTCAACTGGGAGGGTTTGGTAAGGATTACATCCAGGTATCAGAGGCAGAGCTGATGATGGTCTAGTCGGCAAGTGCAACCCTTACGGCCGAAGTTGGCCTCATGGCTACTACAAGACGACCTACTAGAGCAGAGCTCGAAGCGGCATTGTGTGGATATGTATACTATGCAACAAATACATGCAGTGGTGATTGTAATCCCAAAATTTCAGCCTTCGTTTCCATTACGCCTTGTCCCCCGACGCCGTCTCGCCGTTCTCTTGTCGAGGCTTGGTATGTGCTGCCAGCATACCTTCAAACTTCTCTGCAACCCCTTCAAATCCGCCATAGAAGCCTCCTTCGAACGCCTTGAGCGCTTGCACTATCTCTGCCCCTTCCTTTCCCCCCTGCTTGCTCCTAAACTCTGCCGACCGCCGCGCTTTGGAAGGGTTGCGCGAAGGGGCTGGGGCAGCCTCGATCTTGAACTGCAGAGGCCTGTCTTTCCGCCCGTTACTCGGTGATCTCTGCACAGAGGTAGAAATGACAGGATCTGAATCCAGAGCCTTTGCGACATCTTCCAGACAGAGCCCCCCCAGAAAATTGGATTCGGGAGAGAGGATGGGTGAGGGGATCTCGAGTAGCAGCTGCTTCTCGAGGTTTACCGGACGCAGGGTCTCGATATAGATGCTCGGGCCGAGCTTGAGCGAGTCCATTGATTTTGGTATTCTCACATGGAGAGCCTTTGCGCCGAGCTTGTTTTCGGCTGCGCGAAGGATGGCATAGGCGTGGGCGAGGGAAGGGATGGACTCGAATGCTCTGAGGGCGAAGCGGGTGTGGCCGCTGGCGGCTGCGAGGTCCGGGTGGGGGAAGGCGAGGGTGGAGAGGGCGCGGGCTGCTCGGAGGGAGGGGAGCATCGTGGTCTGGCGGGGAGAGACAACTTTTGTGTTGCTTTCCAGTCGTTTGTGCATTCACTCAGTTCGAACTTTTCGGTAACGAGCGGAAGCAGATGCGGGCATCGCCGCCCACTGTCTGCCTCTCCTCGTCTGTCATTGATCTCAAACCCATCCTGCATATCCCATTCTATCCCTCCCGCCATGTCTCCATCCTGGGTAGAACCCACAAAGACACAAGCACCCCCAAAGTACGCAACAATCCACCCCCCGCACCCTCCATCCCCGTCCGCGACTGCCCACCGCCGGGCGTCATCCCTTGCGACCACCGACCACTGCAGGATGCTTGCTGACGTGCATTCCACAGGGATGCCGAGCTTAGAGTCGCATGGGGTTTCCTGTCCGATGGTGTCGAACACATCATGACGAGGTGTGTATTCTTTCTATCACAATTCCGCTGCCTCCCGAGATGGCGCGCTTGAGGAAGGGGTGTCGGCGGGACGCACATTCGACCCCTCTGGACATATGCCCCCGACCCCAGAGATGATATCCAGTGTGCGCCTTCCTGGCGCTCCAAAGCTGTCCAAGAAAGATCCCGCACGGGAGGCGGAACCCACGTATTGTATTGCTGACTCTATGGCAGATTGAACCTGGGCATGTCCTACTCTTACTATATCCTTCTCTACACCACCATCTACAACTACTGTACCCTTCCCGGCAAGTCGGGCGTCCCCAACTTTTCCGCCCAGCGAGGAGGTGCCAATTTGCAGGGTGCGGATTTGCATAGAAATCTTCATAGCTGGCTGTCTTCGCACTGCAAGAATATGCGAGAGGTGTGTATCCAGTCTATCATAACTAGCGGCATACTCATATCTTTGCAGGAAGCGGAAAAGCTCCCGGACCAGGAGCTCCTCAAGTACTATGCCCGACAATGGGATCGGTACACCCGCGGAGCCATGTACGTCAACAAGCTCTTCAACTATCTCAACAAGCATTGGGTCAAGAGAGAGAAGGACGAAGGACGGAAGGAGGTGTACACTGTCTACACTGTGAGTACAATTCTCGTCGGAAAGTAGCGCAAGCTGACGCCACTAACGCTCGCCCTGGTCTCTTGGAAGAACAACTTTTTCAAGCACTTTGCCGACCAAGGCGAGACCAGTCGACTCACCCAGGCTTTGCTCCGCCAAATCCAGGCTCAGCGAAACGGCGAAGACGTCGACAACAGTCTTCTCAAAAAGGTCGTCGATAGCTACGTCTCCCTCGGTCTCGACGATGCCGACGCTCAGCGAGTCAACTTGACAGAATACAACAAGCACTTTGAGCAGCAGTTCCTCAACGCTACCGACTCTTACTACCGAGCCGAGTCTGCTGCCTTTGTCGCGTCCAACTCTGTTTCCGACTATATGAAGAAGGGCGAGACCAGGCTCCAGGAGGAGGCTGACAGGATCAACCTGTACTTGCACGACTCTACCAAGAACGCTGTAAGTACTTCCAAAAAGACCCCAGATCCCTGCTGACATTCATATAGTTGAGGACCAGGTGCGAAAAGACGCTTATCGAAGAGCACCAAGGCATCATGTGGGACGAGTTCCAGGCTCTGCTCGACGCCGACCGAGTCGACGATCTCGCCAGGATGTACGCCCTCCTTTCCCGCGTCCTCAACGGTCTCGATCCCCTCCGAGCCAAATTCGAAGAGCACGTCAAGCGCTCCGGTAAAGCTGCTGTGGAAAAGGTCCTGCCCGCTCCCGGTGCCACCAACGAGGCCGGCAAGGCCGCCGCGCTCGACCCCAAGGCCTACATCGGTGCTCTCCTGGAGGTTCATTCAAAGTACACTGCAATGGTTGACGGTCCGTTCCGTGGTGAAGTCGGTTTCAACCGATCTCTCGACCAGGCGTGCCGAGACTTTTGCAACTACAACGCCGCTTGTCCCGCCGCTACCAAGTCGCCTGAACTCTTGGCCAGTCACTGCGATATGCTTCTCAGGAAGAGCAACAAGGAGACCCAGGACGCCGAGGGTTTGGAGGAGGCTTTGAACAAGGCTATGATCATTTTCAAATTCATCGACGACAAGGATGTCTTCCACAAATTCTATCAGAAGAAACTTGCCCAACGTCTCGTTGCAAGTCTTTCTGCTTCCGATGATGCGGAGAGTAGCATGATCACCAAGCTCAAGGAGCTGTCTGGATTCGAGTTTACCAACAAGCTGTCGAGGATGTTTACCGGTGAGTCTTGCAGTCTGGTCCAGAAAAATGTGCTGATGATTGTAGACGTCAACCTTTCCAGGGATCTTGCCGAAAGGTTCAGGGAGAAGGAGAGGGAGCAGAACATTGATTCCGGTAGTAGGTGATTTGCCTTTTGTGGAGTGGCCCCGACTGACATTCATCAAGTCGATTTCAACCCCTTGGTACTCGGTTCCAACTGCTGGCCTATGACTGCCGCCCAAACCGACTTTGCCGTCCCCCGTGAAGTCAAGGGCACTTACGACAAGTTTAACGCCTTCCACGCCGAGATCCACCAAGGTCGAACCCTCAACTGGCTGTGGCATCTGTCCAAAAACGAGCTCCGAACCACCTATCTCAATCAAAAGTACATTTTCATGGTCAGCTCCTATCAGATGGCTATCCTCACACAGTTCAATCGTCAAGATTCGGTGACGTTCAAGGAGATGCAGGCTGCTACCAAGCTGGCGGATGAGACCCTCAAGGGTCAGCTCGGTTTGCTCGTCAAGCAAAAAGTGTTGTTGCTGCAGGACGACACCTATGAGCTCAACACTGGGTACAAGTCGAAAAAGATTAGGGTGTCGCTCAACATGACCATCAAGTCGGAGGCCAAGGCAGAGACGAAGGATGTGTTGGCGGCGGTTGATGATGACCGAAAGTTTGTCTACCAGGCGACTATCGTGCGATTGATGAAGGGTCGAAAGGTGCGTACTCTTTTGGCATCTTCTAAAAATCCACTAACAAGCGACGCAGACCATGCAACACCACGCTTTGATCCAAGAAGTCACCGCGCAAATCTCTTCCAGATTCACCCCCAAGGTTCCCGAGATCAAGAAGGCTATCGACTATCTCATCGAGAAGGAGTACTTGGAGCGAGCGGCCGACTCCAACAACACTTAGTAAGTATCATCGAGTATCATGGTCGCTTCTCCTGAATTAGCTGACGCATTGTGTAGCAACTACTTGGCTTAGAAGCTGGGCGAGAAAGAGGGCCAAGTCGTAGAGCTACTTGGAGGGCGTGAAAAGGAGAGCATGCCGTGTATACGAGAGACGGCCCACACGCAATTAGGGAGCTATAATGGTCCAGGTGTGCCGTGTAGCCCTCGTAGGATTTGCTAGACGCAATTGTACTGTATATGTAAACAAGGATGGTTTTTATGACAAAAGATGATTCGGGTCGGCATCTCGCTGGTAAAGTTTAAGGCGTCCAGATAAAGTTGATCATCTAATAGACATTCTTGCGAATTCGAGGTATGATTCAATCCGATAGAATGCATCCAACAGGCCCGCTTCTTCACTTCTAAGCTTACTTGGGGATAGCAGCAATCTCAACACCGCCAGTGGCGTTGAGAGCCTTCTTGATGTCACCGTAGATCAAGACTAGAAATCGCAATGAGCAAATACCACATAAACAGATACAAAAATGACTTACATTGACCAGCGGTAAGGGTACCGATCATGACAAGACGAGTGGTCATACCAGTGAAGAGACCCTTGGCACCGAGGGTACCGGCCATCTGGACGAGTCGGGAGGTGGTGGACTGACCGGGGGCACCCTTGGTCTTGTTGATCTTGGACAAAAGGGTGTCGGCGGGCTGAGAGATGACGGCGGCGGCCATACCAGCGATGAGACCAGCACTGAGGTTAAGGCTGGTCTGCTGACCACCGGAAAGAGAGTCCTTGGACTTGCCAGTAGCCTTGAGGATCTTCTCGACGGCGACCTCGAAGCTGATTGATTATCAGACCGGATACCAAACTAAGTCAACGAAATATTACTCACACACCAAACTTGGCCATGGTGTAAGGGACCTGCTTGAAGAGGATGGGACCGAAACCGGCGTAGAAAGCACCGGGACCCTCCTCCTTCAAGATCCTAGCGAAACCACCAACGAGACCGTTAGCGAAGGTGGGCTGGGACACGAGTCGGATTCGGGTGGCCTCAAGAGGACAGAGGGCAATGTCGGCGAAGAACTCGGCGATGGCAGAGGCACCAAGGTAGATGACCTGTCGGTTCTCTCGGGCAGTGTCGATACCGACGAGGTCGATAGCCTGCTTCTTCCAGAACTCGTAACCACCGAACTTGAAAGCACCCTGGATCGCGTAACCAACAGCAGTGGGCCCAAGTCCCGTAAGCAGGGCACCGGCACCCTCACCAGCAATGATCTGTCGGAAAGAACCGATCATACCCTATGGAATAACGTCAGAAAAACATCCCCTGTGAAAATCCGCAGATTGAGAAAAAGGTGTAGACGCACCCTGTTGTAGACCTCGGGCTCGAGCTGAATTCGGGTCTTGACGACATCAACGGGAGTAAGGGCACCGTGGGTGACAGCACAACCGAGGGCACCAGCAAGGGCGAAACTGCGTATCCCGTCAATAACCCTTTTCGAGCCATATTATTTGCTTCAGTCGTGCACTCACCGAGCGTAAAGGTCGACACCAGTGGGGGCGCCAGAAGCAGAGACTTTGGCGGCCTCCTTGGCGTCCTGGATCTTGAGGTCGGCCTTGCCGGCGAGCTCGTTGGCCCTGGCCTGGGCGTCCTCACCGAGGGCCTTGCCCTGGGCGATGGCGTTGTCGACCTTGTCGCCGACGGAGGGGGCCATGAAGGAGCTGGTGGCAGCGAAGAAGGGGTTGGGCCTGTAGGACATTTTGAGTGGGGTGTCTGATTGTCTAGAAGAAAGAGGAAATAAGAGGCAGATAAAAGAGGCTCAGGGTGGCAGTCGCGGGCGGAGGAATGACGGAATCTCTTGCGTCGGCATTTCGGAGTTAGCTGGCTGTAACCGTGGCGCGCGGGGGGCTGGTCTAATGTCTTTTGAGCGCAACTGGACATCATGCATATATATATATCCCTCGGCCAGCCATTAAGCTACACTTGTTGGCGACCATAGTGGAGCTCAGACACAGAAGCGACGAAAGGAAATAGCTCATACTATAGGAAAGAGAAAGATGGGGCAGAAAACGCAGTATAGACGGAAGGCGACTATGAGCCCAGATATAAACGCATAGTACATACATGAAGACCTGGAGAAAAGCCCGAAACACCCACGAGGTGTGGCCCGCACCGTCGTCCCGTAGGATCTGGAAGTAAATTGAGGGTGAAAACAGGAAACCATTGGTGGTACAGCGCCAGACAAAAAAGTAGTTGCCAATCATGATATGGACAATGATGAACGATCCATTCATAGTGTGTAGCCTTTCCCTTCATACCGCCCCACTATAAACTTGGTGGCGGGCTGCTCATCTTGCTCTCTTTGCTGCATGGTGGAATTCCGGATCTTCAGACTCGTCAGACTCATCCGCATCCCTTGACACGCCTTCCTTCCGAGCTGCTTCCGAGTGTTAGAAGGACCTGCAACGGCTTCCGCTGGAGCTGACGCCGAAAAGCCATGTCCAATGAGCAGATGTTCGACGAAAGCACACAGGTCGTCATGGACTGGACGACAGACGATCAAAGGACACTCGAAAGAAGCCTCATGAGGAGCCAGGTGTGACCCAAGGTGGCATCGTGGTGTCTGGTATGGGGTCAGTACCTTTTCGGTCAAACAGTATCATCTTACTGCTGGAGGACCGAATCGAATCCATAGATGGCCGGGTCCTGATTGATGCACCATGGACAGATGCCACCTCGCACTCGGGCAAGACGCATGTTCCTACACGTTTTGATGAGCTGGAATCTTCTTGATGAAAAAAGGGACATGCAAGAGGCTCCTGCAACATGGGCAGATAGATGCTGTCGTAGTGCATCAGCAGGTGGTCCATCCACAGGAAATGGTCGACAAAGCTACATGCGGGGGTCAGCAGTCAAATCTGTCGTGATTGCTGGAACCATGGGACGACTTACAATGTACCACACCAGTAGCAATATTCGGGACGATCAGCATTCTCAAAAGAGGAATGTGACCTCTACACAGGAGGCCGTATCAAATACTGTGACGACTCATTCGATCTCCATATACTGGAGGAGCAACTCTGGAGCCATGATGACCTGGAGAACGCGGGCTTGCCATCAGAGCACGTGAGTCGTTCTGTCAATCTAGCGATTCTTTTGTCGTCAAGTTCGTACTGACTTCTTCCACAGAGACTCACCTTGTCGTTTGGCATGGAGTTTCACGCGATTTCAGGCTCGCGACCAGGCGCCATGTATCAGACGGACCAAGGCAAATCAGGGTCACGCGAGTGTTGATGGATCCGTTGGCGAGGACGTACATCTCTATGTCCTATGCCAGTTAAGTCGAAATAGAGAGAGTAGTTTGGTAGAGCAGTTTGGTACTCACTTGGTAGAGGATACGTGCTCGGGGGTTTGCATTGGTTGCCTGGTCGCGAGCCTGAAATCGCGGGAAACTTCATGGCAAACGACAAGGCGAGTCTCTGTGAAAGAGGTCAGTATGAACTTGACGACAAAAGAATCACTAGATTGACAGGACTACTCACGTGCTCTGATGGCAAGCTCGCGTTCTCCAGGTCATCATGGCTCCAGAGTTGCTCCTCCAGTATATGGAGATCGAATGAGTTGTCACAGTATTTGATACGGCCTCCTGTGTAGAGGTCACATTCCTCTTTCAAGGAGCTCATGATGAACTGCGTCAACTGCCAGCGATCTTCGGGGCTCAAAGCCGTCTTCTGGCCACGACGCTGGCGATAGAGTGTCCTGACCAAAGAGACGTAGTTGAGGATGCTGGTGACGCTGGCCCCCCTGGCCTTGGCGGACGGGTCCCTACTCTTGGAAGGCTCGGCCGTCTTCGCAAGGTACCAGGCGATTTCCTTGAACTCAGCTATGGAAGTGGGTCAGCTCTCTGATTCGGCTCTGTGGCAGAACAGTAGTATGTACCCAGAGACAAAGGCTTCCCGCTTCGCTTGAAGATGTCAGCGCGGACAAAAGGTCGAGAGGACCTCGCGCTCTTCGCCTCGAGTGGTTGCCAGCGCTGGTATACCTGCTCCAGAGTTTTCTCGATGGTAGTAGAGAGCCGCTTGCCGTGAGACCTTTCCCCTTCTTGATAATTTTGTTGAGTCGCTTGTTTTAGCGAGGCATGGTGGTGGAGCGAGCGGTGCGGAAGAGAATGAGGTGGGAAGAGAAGTAGAAGAAGAAGAACAATGCGGCTTTTCGCCATCCCAGAAGTTTTTCGCTATCGCCAGGTACAATCAACATGGAACATCGGCGAGGAACAGCTAGCGGTTGTAAAGGTGACCTTGGGAGCATCAAGCGCATGTGTGTCACGAGACTGTACATGTACTCTAGATGCTGATCAGACACCAGGACAAGCTTGGGAGCGAAGGGCAGAAGTGCATCGTCGGTTCTCGCGCTCCGCACATGATGTTCATTTTTCCTTTTGCATGCTTGCTATCTCTCGGCATCCCACCACGACAAGGCCGGTGACCACAATCAGAGGCCAAGCGTTTCACTGTATGGTGGCGATACTTCTCTGACAGTCCACCCATACGAGATATCAGTCACGGCGGCATTGGCTCTTGCAACGAAACAAGTGTTCATGTAATGTACTCGTGTTGCAGTTGAGAAACGGCCTGATGGCGTCAGCAATTTTCATTCGTCAAATTCTCGGTACCCTCGCCACAGCTCGACCATCCTAGCTGAACCTATCCCAACTTTACAAGGTTTGTCTGTCTCCGAATAAGTTCAACGAACGCCTGGGTGGCGTCGCGTCGCGTTGCTCCAACACCCCCGGCGGCCGGCGCGTCGGCGCGTCGGTCCAGTCAACCACTTCTTTTAATCTCCTTGCGTTTATCTCATTTCTCTTTCGCCTCTCACCTTTCTCTCCCCCAAGTCTGAAACATTCGTCTAAATGAAAGCTCTCTCCCGGTGCATCTCACCCTGGACGACGCCTCTCGCATAGTGAGTATATACGTTCTCTCCATCCTCCTGCCCATGCCGGGCCTTCTTCACCTTCTTCTTCCCTCCTTTGACTCCCACACGCCTCACCCTCGGCGGCGCCAGCCTTGGGTAGAGTACAGCCAGTCTCAACACTCTCAGGTTCACGAAGGGGTTCCCCCTCCTGATTTCCTGACTGCAATGATCTCAGGCGCCATGGATTATCATCCTCCTGCTTCTTCTCCGCCGCGCTCTCCAAAATAACATCCCGGTATCTTCCATTGGGAACCTGTGATATGGGTGCCGCGCCCATACTAGCGTCTCCATCAAGTCTCTGATTACTACTGATGCTCATATAGGACTCTCCAGGTACCTCATGCCCCGCAACGAGATCCATACAATGGCCAACTCGAGAAGAAGCTAGCATCATCTTCACAAGTCGCCCTGTCCCCCGCAACACGCACAACTCCCTCCACCCCCGCTCCCGCGGCTCGATCAGACCTGGCGAGTTTCTTCTTTCCTTTCGGATATCTGGCGCACCCCCTGAAGAGATAGATGGCTGACGTTGGTAGATAGCAGACACCACGTCGTCTATCCTTTGCGGTTCACTACACAACGATCTCCTATTCCCCAGCCTGCGAGCTCTCAGTGAATACACTGCACCTACCCTTTCATTCAATAGTATACGCAACAATACTCGCCTCCAGAAACTTCTTCAAGAGACAGACGGAGACTCCTTCTGGGAGAATAGTCTGGAAGAGGGGCAAGAGGTGCACACCAAGAATTTCCCGCCTCTGACCCTATCACATCTCGAACACGAATATGAAGCATTAGCGGCACATGAGGCGCTCAGCGAGAACTCGGCAAAGCCTTTCGTAGGGAAGATATCATCAGGCCCGGGGGCCGCGAGCTCAGCTTCCGTCGGTGAGTATCTGGCGTGATCTCTTTTTTTCGGTTGACCGGTGCTGATTGACGATAGCCGAGTCCAAGGCGATTGCGCGCTTTTTTGCCGAAACTTCGAAAGCAAAATCTCCTCACAAAAGGGATTCTTCGCAACCGCAAAGCAGCGCCAGCGTTGTTACAGTCCATCACCATACCGAAAGTGTATTGAGTCTGTACGCTCACCGACGCGGAATCAAAACGGCCCTACTCCCCGACGAGCGATTGCAGTTGACCAACTACATCAACAATGCACTCGTCGAGGAATTCGATTTGTTTACTGGCGAGCAGGCTAAATTTGTTGCCGACTCCCACGACCTCTCAATCCTACTCCGGCAGCTCTGAATTGTGGATGATGAGATTGGTGAAGGCCTCGCTTTGGAAAGGGTAAGAGAGCGAACTTGTAGCTCTCTCGCCAGTAAACAAATCGAATTCCTCGACGAGTGCATTGTTGATGTAGTTGGTCAACTGTAATCGCTCGTCGGGGAGTAGGGCCGTTTTGATTCCGCGTCGGTGAGCGTACAGACTCAATACACTTTCGGTATGGTGATGGACTGTAACAACGCTGGCGCTGCTTTGCGGTTGCGAAGAATCCCTTTTGTGAGGAGATTTTGCTTTCGAAGTTTCGGCACGAGATTCTCCCGGCCCCTCGTTCACTCCGAAAGATCAGCAACACGCATCAGCAGAGTTAGCTTTCTCGTATAGGGTGGCTTCAGACCAATTGGTATCTCTCGGGTTGAGAGCTGGGTATCTAGGTACGAGAAGACGATCCAAGTATGCTACTTCTGATGTGTTGCCCAGATCCACTGACCGCCTATTGCTTCCGATACAATTTTGCGAATGTTATTATTTGAAGGGGCAGCAGAGGACAGTTCTCTACACCGCGTAGGGGTTGCCCACTCCTACTGTGGCAGGGCGGCACGGAGGGATGACGGAATTACCCTCGGGAGTTAGCTGGGCCTACGCGGCGCGGGGGGGACTTTGTCTGCGACTTGAGAGAAGGACTGCATATGACCCACAATGCCCACATGGTGTGAGGAGAATGGCCAGGGAGTAATGCTTCATTCTATACATGACGATGTACATCAATTGTAAAGTCCAAATGGTAATTTGATGACGCCGCAGACCAACACGCCACCATAGTCCGTTTTCTTCTTATTACCGGCTACACCTCCCCGTCCAACACTTCTCCCTCCCTCCCGAATAGCCCCCTTCCATAGGCATCAGCCACCACCCCAAATCCATCTTCAGCGCTGTGCACCTCCTCCAAAAACAAATCATGCCTGTCGGCGAGGCGGAGCTGGTTGCGCCGGATCTCTTTGATGACCGAGTGTTGTCGAGCGCACAGAGGACACTCTGGGTCAGAGTCGGGTAGACAGCTGTGTCCTTATGAGCACGTGTCTATCGCAAGGCTGGTGCACTGACCGCTGATGATAACTGTGTTTGCACATGAAATGCACGCTCGGCAGATCCAGCTGGCCTCCACAAGAAGCACACTTTGTAACCTGGAAGACCTCGGGTTGAGATGGGTTGGTTCTATCGAGCATTGCCTTTCGTTTTGTAGCGGTATCCGCCCTATACGAATCATACAGGTGCTTATTCTTGGAAACATCAGCTTGAACTCTGCCCACAAGATAGCCCACTCACAGACTCAATCTCTGCTTCGTTATCCTCCACCTTGCCCTTTAACCAATCTTTCATATTACCCACACTCACTACCCCGTTCCTACTAAGCACTTGTACCACAGCCAGCGGGGGCATGATCTGGTACTCGTCAATCTTGGCAAGGATATTTCCCAGTTCTTTAGGATGACGTGAAAGAATTGCAGGGGAAGAAGTGAGGTAGCGCAGGACCAGGGGATACAGTTGAGGGTGGGTAGGGCCGTAAAGGTCGAGGTGGCTAAAGACCTTGGCAGAAGCGTCCACTTCGTCCCCGTCATCTTCTCCAGCTTCCATGTAGTAACGCAGCACATCCTCGTACATTCCCATTCCTTCCCAGAGCCTCACCATGCCTGCTCTAAATCCAACCGTGGAGCAGAGTACCAAGGCATGTAAGGGGTCGTACGGCGTATCCTTGCTGCTGATCAGCGCCAGAGCCTTTTCTCGTGACTGACTGGCAACAGTCGAGTCGGGGGATTTCGTCGCCGACAGGTACAGCTCCATCAATGTATTCCAGACCGCCCTCTGGTCAACGCCCGTGGGATCGTCCGGCGGCGGAATGTCCGCGTCTCTAGTCGAAATAGGCGACGGAGCTGATGAGGGGACTGATAGATCAACTTTTTGATCCCAGAGGTTCAAGGCGACTGCTTCGAGAAAATGGACAAAGAGATCCAGGTGATCAACAAAGTGCGCAAAGTATTGCCTCGGCGAAGGAGGAACATAGTCGGGGCCTTCGCTCTCAAAGGCCAGCTTTTCCAAAGCACTCGTTTCCTCGCGATCTACTCGTTGGGGCTCGTTCTTGTCAGTAGGCGTGGCTGTCCCCGTCGCCTCCCCGGTAAACAGACCAGAAACCTTGTTGTACCCAAGATACGACAGCATAGCTGGACCTGTAGCGCCATTGGTCCCATTGCTGGTCCCATTGAGCTGGTCAACGATCTGAGGCGGCGTTGACGCCTTCTTTTTCCCAAGATTGCCAGAGCAGAGGTCAACCAGCAAGGCGGTTGTTGCGGCAGGCTCTTGGTGCAAAAGCGTCCTGCCGTACCTGACCATATTCTCATCACACTAGACTGTGATCAGTCTGGCATCCACTTTGGTATCTCAAGACTTACAGCCTTAGGACCCAAGCTTCTCAAATACCTCAACGCCTCTCCGACCTTTCCAGCATTCTCTATCTGTATCCTTAGATAATCCTCATGCCTTCCAAACTTCTTTGCAAGATACGTCGCATGCTCATAGAACCCAGCCTGGCGACAAACTCTGATGGCCGTATCCAGATCGAACGGGAGTTCTTCTGCGCCAGTATCCGTCCGGTGGGATTCAGTCTTGATGAATTGGTCAAGACGAGTACGGTCCGAGGTTTTGGTGTAACAGTTGAGGAGGAGGGTGGTGTGGTCTGGGTTTGCGAGGCCGCGAGAGTGGAGTTCTTGGAGATACGTTGTGAGGTTGTGGATTCTTTGGGCATCCAGGAACTGCACAGGGTAAGCCTCGGCTCTGAATCCCCGTGTCACACTCACTTTGCGAATAACATAACTTGGTTGGAGATTCCCAAGAGTTTTCACAAACTGGCTCATGGCCCCTTCAAAGTCACCTTTGTTGTAGAGATAGTCACCATATCGTCGATGGATATCCGAGACCCCGGCATCCCCGAGACCCTGCTGACGGGCCAGACTGATAGCGAGAGTGAACAGATTCCGCCGATAGAGGACGTCCAGCTTTGCCTGCGTAGAGTGTTCTTCCAGACGAGCGAGCTAGACATGATGAGTGGTTGTCCACCATGGGAATCTGCTTACCTTTCCATTTCCCCCATGTACATAGATCCCTCCCCATTGACAGTATACGTCCCTCACGCCATCTTTGTACGTACCCGAGTACCCCACCAGCTTGTTTTGCAGATCAAAGACTGTAATCTTGGCAATGTCCACCGAAGGCGAGTCGCCATTGGGGTTCGCCTTGACATGATGTCGGACAGTGGCAGACTTTGAAGACGCCGAGGGATGGAAGGGCGGAGAAGTGATGACGAGGTTGTGATTGAATACCGCTATGGACGACTTTGGTCCTTCGTAGGCGAATGACGCACCACGTCCTTCGGGGCTGTACAAGTAGATTGCCTCGTCTCGAGCGACGATCATGTCGTTCCTCTCCCAGTCCATTACTGCGCATCCAAGGCCGCACCCGAGCTCGTCTATCGTCCGAGCTTCCCCTTTACCGCTGACAGGCGCGCATAATACCCTATTTGTGGTGACAATGAAGAGACTCGTAGAGCTTGATTGCTCGCTGAACCCAAGGCCAGTGACAGGCTCGTGGGATTGATGCACGACCCTGGCTTTGGGTAAAGACGTCAGGGCAGTCGGGGAGGTGGTGAGGGATTGCAGGAAATGACGATATAGCAACACTGTACCGTCGCCCAAGCCAATTGCGAGATGTGATAGAGTCGTGGTCAAGGCGACAGAAGATACCTAGCAGACGTTAGCATGTCATCTTGTCACTGTCCTGCTGCTCACTGGGTGCGGTCTCTGTCCATGCTGGATTCTGACATTTCTCAACAGCACCGGTCGTCTCTCTGGATGTTTCTTATCTTCCTTGGTCAGGTCCCACACTTTCAGAACTGGCCATAGACTTCCATCTTCCTCTCCTATCCCTACAAGCAGACCTCCCGCTTCAAGGAGCGCTGTCGCACGCCCATTCCGCTCCCAAGCGGTGAAGGATCGCTCAGGCGTAAAGTAGCGATCTAGCTGGGTGATGGTCTGTCCCGATGACACTATGAGAGACGGTGGTAGTGGTGATTGGGAGGAGATCGCAGTGACCGCAAGGGGCGGGGTGAGTTCCTGCGAGTGTCAGCGATGGCTTGATATGAATACTCGGTGCGCACTCTGATCGCTCTCGGGGACTGGGCGAGGTCGTGGGTGTCCTTTACGTCGTGCACGTCGAAGAAGGTGAACTGCCTCCACTGTGGGGCGGATGTCCCCGCATGCGACGGGGGGATGGCCATGTCTGCTCGCTGTTGCTCTTGCTCATACGAACACCTCGAGCTTGTCCTCCTCGTCACCGCTCACCACCCACAGAACGCTTACGTAAACCCACTCGGCCCGGCCGTCGGTCAGCAGGAGAGCTGCTGCGAGAGCTTAAACTTGTCGATCGACCTTTGCTTTCACAAATTTCGATCGTGTTTCGACCGCATTCGGGCATGCATTTTGTCTATTGAAAGCCCATCTCGGGGTGTGATTCATCTTTGTCTTCAACAAACACCTGGACACCATGATCATCTGGCTCATCACTCTCTTCTACGACCGACGCCACCAACGCCAGCGACAGAAGAGGTCGCGTGAATCGCTCTTCCCCACAAAAAAGGTGGATGCTTCCAGCACGGTGACGGGTTACTCTCGCCCATCTACCACCGCCCCTCTTAGATAGCTACCCCCAGTTCTTGCCCTCGATCGTGACTCGGCGAAGGGGCGCTAGGCAGAGTGGGCGGCGTAGTGGCCAGTGGGCTGTCTGTAGAGACGCCTCTCTTGGGTAGTAACAGAGGAGAAAACTGGACCCTGGGTCCGAGCTTAGGGCTCGGTATGGCGGCCATGCTCTGCCTGGTAGTGGGCAAAGGGGGAGTCCCCAAAGGAGAAGGAACCAGCGGAGATGTGCCCGTCGAGCGCGATCGTACGTGCACAGGCGATGGGGCGTAGATGACCTGGGATGTGTTTGGAGAAGCGGTCGTCAGGTTGGGCGTGCTTTCCGAGTAGCTATGATGGGATCTCCCTATGGTGGGTTTGTTTATTGGAGGAGTGTACGTCTGCTGACGGAACACAGACCTGGAACTCGGCAGGGATGATGTCGATGAACCACTGTCATACGAGCCACTGGGCGCCCAAGACTGTCCGTCCATTCTGCTTTGAGGGGTATGAAACATCTCAAGACGGTCGGACCCACTTGGGATACTCGTCTGGGTCCCATTCGCTTGCCTCTGCAGCGGAGGCCGTGTCCCCGTATCCATCATCGACGCTGGATGCCCAGACGACGAGATTGTCCCCGCCCGACTCGCAGTCCCTCCCGCTCTGCGCCCAATTTCGCCCTTCTGCCTTTCCGTCGACGTTGGATTTGGCGTTTGTTGATTCTTCCTATCATTCAGAAACCCCGGAGGTGGTTTCTTGTGAAGGGTATGTGCCGCGCGCCGTACATCTGTCAAGTATACCTTCTGCCCAGCACTCTGACCGACACCTTGCTCCCTTTCTGGAGATGCTGTTAGAGCTTTCTTGTTCTTTTTCCGGCGACATAAAAGGGCATCGAGAGGGAGAAAGGCGCGCTGCGGACCTCGCCAGAGAGCGTAGAGGCAGAACAAGAGGACAGCGGCACAAACCCCTCCAAGTATCACATACGACCATGCTACAGATCAGGTGAGTTTACAAGTCAGGCAGCGAAGCGTCAAGCGGCTTACGGGAATGTTTATCCATAAAGCTCGCATTAGGATCTGAGCCGCCGTCGGAAGTGTGCGCGCCGTCGGCTCTGGGGATGTGTGGTGACATGGTCTTGGTGGGGCTGGGATAAGAGACAGAGATGAGGACGGTCAATAGCCTTAAGTCTTGTTCCCCCGTCGCATATACAAGTATACAATATGATCCTTTGGCAGTATGGGGTTAGCGGAAGTGGAAGTGGGACAAAGGAAGCAGGGATAGACGCCACTTTCAACCGCTTTCCATTTCGAGAGCGACACTCGCAGATAGATGCAATGCATTCTACGATTCGAGTAGCATTTCTCTGCTAGATTCTGGCCCGCCAAGGGATACATGGCTGATACCAGACCAATACAAGTCGTTGTTGTATCTTATTCAGAGGGAGGGAAGGGGCATTTGGGTTAGGTCTTTTGGTCCAGTTGGTTTTTGCGTTGGTAGTTTAGAAAGACAAGGTTGTTTTACAAATGGTGTAGCAGTAGAGAGGCATGCAGGTCGTGAAAAGAAGGTTGCGGCATTGTTGTACCGGGAAGGATTGTCAGGTTTACCACTCGAATTCGCTGGACAGGTATCAGACTTCCGCACGCCTTGACATTATCCACTTACCCATTACACTTGGCGAACAGGTAGTCCTTGCCATTCAGATGTATCATGCCATCTTTGAACACCGTCTTCCACTTGTTCTTAACCCGTTGCACCTACACCAATCAGATAAAGACACACTTGAGCTCGACTAGACTCACCTTGTCATATACACAAAACACGATATCCACATCATCCTCATCCTCCGCCTCGACATCTCCCCTGTTCTCATCGTCCGAATCGTCAAGGTCTGAATCTATAACGTCGTCACCCGGCAGCAAACCCGCTGCGTTCGGTTCTGGTTTATTCCCGTCCTCAGCCTGCTTCACGTCAGCTCGGAAAAGACAGTGGCTGAATGCTATACTCACAGCGCCGCCTCTCAGCCGTAAAGGATCATCCTCCCCATCATACCTCGGCTCCGCCTTTACTCTCACCTCTTGCTGCTGAACCCCTCCATTTCTATAGATATTCGCCATTGTCCCAGGCCCTCCTGCTACTTGCTGCGGCACACCTGGGCGAGAAAAGGGATACATGTCGGGTTGGTGATGGGATGGTCCTGTGGGTGCAGAGTGGAGTTCGGCTTTGGCGCGTTGCAAGTTGAGAGAGTCGGCACCTGTTTGCGCGAAATCCGCTACACGAGTTTCTAAAAGTTTGGCTTCCCATTTCTGTAGAAAGTGTAGTGGTCAGCCATCCACAGATAGCCATGCGTCTATTCTGAATACGAACGGCTTGGAGATTCTGCAAGACGTCCTCTTCCATTCCATACTCTTCGAAATCCACCTTGACACTCGAGATGACATCGTCAATGACAGCTCGATATGTTTCAGGCTGCGGGAGAGGATCAGTTGTACAGGAGAGCATCGGAGAACGGCAGCAGATAGGTTGAGTAATCTTGTCAGTCAAGATCACGACGTCACATTGGAAGAATACTAACGACAATCTTGTTCGACCTTTATACGGAGAAAGGCAGACAAACCATAGTCAGCACACAGTTCGAGCCACAGTCATACAGTACAGAATATCCATCGTTCTCTTCAGTCGTCACTGGCAGCATCTCCCAACATTCCACTCTGGCATCACTCGGCCACCCGGGCCGGACCGTTCTGATCGCTCACGCACATTTTTTGCGGGTATGCTTGGGATGCGCCGGGGCGTGAGACTGTAGCGTTGAGGCCGGGTGGCGATCAGGGGAGAATTGATGTGAAGGGGGGAATGGGCGGTGGGTTAGACACGCGGCTTATATACTCGTCTGCCCATATAAATCTCTTGTTTATTTTCCTTTTATCCCATAATTTCAGTCCTCCACTTTCAATGAACGTTTTCAGAAGTACACCATACAAAGTCGACTATACGCCATGAGAAAGCAGCTCGACCCCCGCATTCCCGCCCTCATCAACAATGGTGTCAAGTCGAACCACAGAAGCTTCTTCGTCATGGTCGGCGACAAGGGGAGGGACCAGGTGAGCTTGTAGCGCTCTTACTGCGACAATATCTGACGATACATCAGGTCGTAAATTTGCACTTTCTCTTGTCCCAAGCACGAGTCTCATCCAGACCGAACGTCTTGTGGTGTTACAAGAAGGAGCTTGGATTCACTTCCCACCGAAAGAAGCGAGAGGCCAAGATCAAGCGAGATGTGAAGCGTGGGATCAGGGAGGCCAACGACCAGGACCCATTCGAGCTGTTTGTGACCGTCACCGATATTCGATATACCTACTACAAGGACAGCGCAAAGGTTCTTGGTCAGACATTCGGCATGCTGGTCCTCCAGGATTACGAAGCCATCACCCCGAATCTGTTAGCGAGGACAATTGAGACTGTGGAGGGTGGCGGTATTGTCGTGTTGTTGCTGAAGACAATGACCAGTTTGAAGCAGCTCTATGCTATGTCAATGGTGAGTCAAGTCGAGCGAAACTTGACTCGACTGACTTGAGATAGGATGTCCACGCGAGATATCGTACTAACGCCCACCAATTCGTTCAACCCCGATTCAACGAGCGATTCATCCTCTCTCTCGGCAATTGTGCCGACTGCCTCGTCCTCGACGACGAGCTCAACGTTCTGCCCCTCTCCAAAGGCAAAGATATTCAGATTGGCAAGGCTGGGGAGGAAGATGACAGAGGGCGAAAGAGGAAGGCTGAGGAGCTGAAGGAGATGAAGGAGAGTCTGGAAGGCGTGGATATCGTCGGAAGTCTGTCCAAACTGGCCAAAACGGTGGATCAAGCAAAGGCGCTTTTGACTTTTGTGGAAGCCATCTCAGAAAAGACTCTGTCTTCCACAGTGGCACTCACTGCCGCCCGTGGTCGTGGTAAATCTGCTGCTCTTGGTCTTGCGATCGGTGCTGCCCTTGCCCACGATTATTCCAACATCTTTGTCACGTCCCCAGACCCCGAAAACCTGAAAACTCTCTTTGAATTCGTCTTCAAGGCGCTCGACGCCTTGGGCTACGAAGAGCATATCGACTATGATGTTGTCCAGAGCACCAACCCCGACTTCAAGAAGGCTATTGTGAGGGTCAACATCTTCCGAGGTCACCGACAGACCATCCAATACATCTCCCCTGAAGACCACCACGTTTTGGGCCAGGCTGAGCTTGTTATCATTGACGAGGCGGCCGCTATCCCTCTGCCTTTGGTGCGAAAGCTTATCGGTCCCTACCTTGTGTTCATGGCTTCCACCATCAATGGTTACGAGGGTACTGGTCGATCTTTGTCCATCAAGCTCATCCAGCAACTTCGAGAACAAACCCGGCCCACCATTACCAAAGACAACGACACCACCACTGGCGCTGGAAACGGCGGTTCGTCAAAGTCCGCTTCAGCTGGGCCTTCAGGTGCGGGTTTGGCTCGTTCGTTGCGCGAGATCAAGCTTGACGAGCCTATTCGATACTCCCCCGGAGACAACGTCGAAAAGTGGCTTAACAACTTGCTCTGTCTCGATGCGTCCATCGTGTCCAAGTCTATTCAAGGCTGCCCTCACCCTTCCAAGTGTGATCTCTACTATGTCGGACGAGACACGCTCTTCTCCTACCACCCCGCGTCTGAGGTGTTTTTGCAGAGGATGATGGCTCTCTATGTCGCATCCCACTACAAAAACTCTCCCAATGACCTTCAAATGTTGTCCGACGCCCCTGCCCACCATCTCTTTGTCCTGCTCCCTCCTATCGATGAGAACGACAACACCCTCCCTGACCCTCTCTGTGTACTCCAAGTCGCGCTCGAAGGCAACATCAGCCGTGATGCCATCTTGAAGGAGATGTCTCAATCTGGCATGCGCTCGTCGGGTGACATGATCCCTTGGATTGTTTCGCAGCAGTACCAGGACAATGACTTTGCCACCCTGTCGGGCGCCCGTATCGTCAGGATTGCCACCCACCCCGACTATGCACGGATGGGCTACGGCTCTAGGGCCATCGAGGCTTTGACGTCGTTCTATAACGGCGAGTTGTACAACTTTGAGGACGCTACCAACGACTCTGGCGAGAGTTTTGCCGATGCTGCCAAGGTTGGACCAAACGCCTCTCTGCAGAACGATACCATCGCCATCCGTGACCCTACGCGAATGCCACCCCTTCTTCAACGCCTCTCAGAGCGCAAGCCCGAGCCACTCGACTACCTCGGTGTCTCGTTCGGTCTCACTCGTGATCTGATGAAGTTCTGGAAGAAGGCTGGGTTCACACCTTTGTATGCCAGTCAAAAGGAGAACACCTTGACTGGAGAGTACACGTTCGTGATGTTGAAGACGTTGCTCGGAGCAGGCAACGGGGAATGGCTTGGCGCTTTTGCTCAAGGTAAGCTTCTAGGCTTCTATAGGGGGGAGCATGAGCTAACCATCGAGAACAGACTTTAGACAACGATTTATGAACCTGCTATCGTTCGAGTCTTTCAAGAAATTCGAAGCCTCTCAGTCACTGTCTATCCTTGAATCCACCGTCCCCCGCAACTCTCCATCTCCCCAACCTAAACCCCTTACCGCTTCCGAACTCTCCACTCTCCTGACACCCTTCGATCTCAAACGACTCGAGTCTTACACCGACAGCATGGTTGATTACCACGTCGTGCTCGACCTGGTGCCCACCATCGCCAACCTCTTCTTCGCCAGACGTCTCGATGTCTCGCTTGCTCCCGCGCAACAAGCTATCCTCTTGGCGCTTGGTTTGCAGAGGAAGAATGTGGAAGCGTTGGAGACTGAATTGGGTCTGACAGCTACCCAAACGCTGGCGCTCTTTGGAAAGATTCTTAGAAAGATTGCCAAGGCGTTGGAAGATGTGCAGAAGGAGGGCATCGTGTCTGAGCTTCCTGCCGAGTCTGCTCCCCGCGGGAAACAAAACTTTGTTGCCTTGCAGCAAACCGTTGAGCAGGAACTCGCCGACTCTCTACCTCGCATCAACCAAGGCGCGGAGACAGAAGAAGAGAAGCAGTCCAAGAAAGAGCAGCGAGAGTTGCTGGATTCTCTCGACATGTCAGAATTCGCGGTAAACCAAGGTGGAGACTGGTCAGCAGCGGAGAAGCAGGTGGAGAAATTAGCGGAGGGCGGGAACGCGAGGTTGTCCAACACTGTCAGCGTCAAGTTTGACAAGGTGACGGATGCGGAGGAAAAGAAGGGCGGAAAGGGCAAGGAGGCTGTCAAAGACGGGAAGAAGAAGAAGAGAGATAGCTTGGGAGACAAGGGAGGCAAGAAGAAGATGAGGAGAGAGTAGATCAGAGCATGTGGCGCTCCCTGTTGTGGCATCTTTAGCTTTAGGTTCCAGATAATGTACAATCCTTGCATGATAATATTGAGATGGTATGCTGGGTATACAACTACAAACAAGTGTCACATGATGAAGCGAGGATATAAGACCCCTATGACGGCTGTTTCCCAGCCTCACTCTCCCCAATTCGTGTTTCCAGCCCCATTGTCTTGCGCTCTTCAGGGGTCAAAGTGAAGAAAGACTGCTTTGTTCTGATGTATTCTCTTCTCACCTACGGGAAACGTCAGTTGGGGTGGACGATAGGCCCGTGAGGCCGTGCTTACAGGGCTAAAGACGTGTTCTCTGTCACCAAAGTCTGCAAACAAAACCATATATACAGCAGCAACTATTGGTCTGAAGTCAGGTCCACCATCTCACTTTGCTTTCCAAGATGAACGAGCTGATATGATGGGACTTACCACCTCCAAAGAACCAGCCCCCAAAGCCAATGGCCTTGCTCACTCTCTTGGGCAATATCGTTTCGTGCGCTCCTTTCGCAAAATACTGTTCCGCCTGACTCTTACTGCGTGGACCAGATAGTGTGGATGGGTCGGGGCCGGTATATGTCTTGTATGCAGGGATTTTGCGAGAGCGGTCGGGAATACCAGCGGGTGGGGGAATGGGCGACTGAGCGGGCATTTTTGGTGGCGTGCAGGTGTAGTACGAATAACAATATCTCGGGGTATACTGAACTTGGTGCGGTATCGTATTGTGGGATAGTGGTCGAGTGGACACAGGCCGAGCCAACGAACAGTGAACCTGAAATTTCATCTCCTAGTAGAGACCGGCGGCGACCACCGTGGTTGACGCGACTCTGCTTTCATGACGCGCGTTCAAATATCCGTCCATAAAGTCATTTCTCGAGCGGAAGGCCAGCAAGGGACATCTGTACCGGATATGTGAGTGTCTGACGAGATGGTATGTATCTCCTACTCACGCTGAGCAGGGCTTCCCTCAACAAACTGGCCATTCGGGGCATCCGTTCCTTCGACGACAAGCATGTCCAGGTCATTGAATTCTACTCGCCTCTGACCGTCATAGTCGGGCACAATGGTAGTGGAAAGACTGTGAGTCCGTCATGGAATTCGACTATTCATGAGCCTTATTGGTGCATCAGACTATCATTGAATGCCTCAAATATGCGACGACCGGGGACATGCCGCCCAATACCAAGGGTGGTGCTTTTGTCCATGATCCCAAGGTCAGTGCCCTCAGCCGTTAGCGAATAAGCGAAGCTGATAGTCACTACAGATGGCGGGTGAGAAAGAAGTCAAAGCACAAGTCCGTCTTCGTTTCTGGAACGCCAAGCGTGAACGTATGACTGCTACCCGAAACCTCCAAGTGACCACCAAAAAGACCGGTGCGCTGACTATGAAGACCCTGGAGGGTATATTGGCGAAGAACGATGTTGGAGATGGAGATGGGAAGGTGAGTTCTTCTACGTGTGTAATGCTCGGAGCGTCTAACGAGAAGCATAGAAAAATACAATCTCGACCCGATGTTCCGAGATGGATGAAGAAGTCCCATACCTGATGGGCGTCTCCAAAGCCATCCTTGAAAACGTCATCTTCTGCCACCAAGAGGAGTCCAACTGGCCCCTTTCCGAACCAGCAGCTCTCAAGAAGAAGTTTGACGACATATTCGAAGCGACAAAGTACACAAAGGCGCTAGATAATATCAAGACGCTCAGGAAGGAAAGGACGCAGGAGCTCAAGGTCGATAGGGAGAGACTAAAGTTCTTGGAGGTGGACAAAAAGAAGGCTGAGCGAGTGCGTATCTTGCGATACTATCTGATGAAGCGGCTGACAAAGCCAAAATCACAGATGCGCAAAGAGTTGGCCGACTCCAAGAGAGCCGAAGTGGACAAAGCCGACGAGCTCGAACGGCTCAAAGAAGACTACGAGCGCATCAAAGTCCGAAATGCCAACTTTTACGAGGAAGCTACCCAGTTCAGGCAGATCTACGAAGCATCTAAAGCGCTGAAGGAGAAGAAGAGAATGTACGAAGAGAATCAGAGGGCCACGGAGGACAACATGCAGCCGATGGATGGTGAGCTTCAAGCCTTCATTCTGGAAATGTCACTTACAAGGTATAGAATCGACTGAGGAACTTATACAGATGCTTGACAACTTCAAATCCCACCTCGATGAGCTTCAGGACGACAAGTTGAGGAAGGAGGACGAGAAGGATAGGGTGGAGACAGAGATTGAAGAGATGCGCGCAAAGGAGAGAAATTGTGCTAGCAAACAAGGCGGGTTTCAAGCCCAGCGGCAGGTGCGTTCCTGATACGATTCAAGCTCTGACAGTGCTGACGGTAGCCGGTAGGCGTACGAACGCAATCTCAGAGAGCGCGAGGCCGTCATTCGTCATGTCGCCAGGAACCATGGTCTGACGGGGTACAACAACTCTCCCTTGGAAGACTGGAAAGTGGACGAGTTTGTCAATAAGATTTCAGAGATGGTACGAGGCGCCGAGCATGATCTGAAAATGATGCAGGCAGACCATGGGAAGAAGGAGCTGAAATTACAAGAAGAACTGGATCAGCTGTCTACCACCAAGGCGGCTGCTACGGCTACGAAGAAGAGTAAACAGGACCAGATCGTGCGTCGGCGATTGTCCTCGAGCTCACCAGCTGACCCGTCCACAGTACAAGCTCCAAGACAAAATCCGCACAAGCCGCACTACCCATGACTCGGTCTCCAGCTCTGTCGAACTCAATATACAACAATCCAAACTCTCCGAACAACAAGCTACTCTCGAACGCCTCCAGACTGAGATTGCGAACGCCAGATTTGATGATCGTCTGCGCGATATCCAGCGGACGGTGAAGAACAAGGAAATGGAGAGGGAAGGTATCAGTGGAGAGCTAGCTGTACTGAATAGAAAGGCGGATTCGAGAGCGAAGCTCGATTTGCAAAGTCGAGAGTACAGGGGAAAGGATGAGCAGGTCAAGCAGCAGTGAGTCGAATGATGACAGGAGAACTGCCCGTGTCTGACAGATTACAGGATGCAGTTGCATGAGGCGTCATTCAACAAGCTGATTGGTTCAGATATCAATACGATCAGCGCTGAGAAGATCGAGGCCACAGTCATCGACGTTATGGAGTAAGCACTCCCACTCCATGCTCTACCAGGTAACTTACACCTGTCGTAGCCGAAAGGAACGAGCCTTGTCCAAAGCCGACCTTGAACTTTCAAACTTGAAAAACGAACGTGCCCAGGCCACATCAACTTACAACCACGCTAATGCCGATTTCCACGCCAGGGAAGCTGATCTCCAAAGTGAGTCCCCCTTCACCAGTATTGTGTGTGGCCCTTTCGGCCAGAACTGACGAAAACGATCGTCAGGACTCATACAGGAGGTAGACGATGCGATGGTCAACAACAATGGCCTTCTCGAGCTGGAAGAAGAGCCGGTGTACAATGATGTAGTGTCAAAAGTTCGCCAAAAGCTCATTGAATCCTCAAAGTATGTTGGTCGCTTGCTTTAGACACAGGAGCCGTCTGATTCGCGAATAGCCGAGTGATGGACCTTGCAGGAGTGGACAAGTTCTGGGATCAACTGTTGTCGACTGTCAAGTCTGAGAAGAGGTGCGATGCTTGCGATAGAGTTATTGAGCCCCATGATCTCAAGCATGTGACTTCGCACGTGAGTCAAGTCCCTGCTGCAACACCGGAGATGACAGCTTACCAGAGCTGGGAAGATGACGAAACGCATCCGAGCCCTGCAAGGGGCCGACCGTGACTCCCTTGAGAATGCTCAACAGACAGAAGACGAGTGGAAAGACTACCTCGACCGTCTTTTGCGAGTCGAGCCAAACGACAAGAGAGCGGAAGACCTCGATAGTAACATCATTCCCGACCTCCAAGGGCAGATGTCAGCTATCCAAGAGAAGCTCAACAAAATCGATGTCCAGATCGAAGAGGTAGAGGACAAAGTTCAAGGGATCAAAAGAGAAATCAAAGAGTTACAGAGCCTCAAGTCGGCGGGGATGGTTATCAACAGACTGCACAATGAGTCACTGGAGCTTCAGGACGCTGTAGGGAGGCTGAAGAGAGAGTTGGAGAGCTCGGGATCGATGAAGACTGTCGATGAGGTTCAGAAAGAGATTGACGCGATCAGCTACGAAATGTAAGCGGGCTTTTCATCATAAGACAATCTTTGGTTTACTGGATGATAGCAAACAACTCTCTGCCGAACAGCAAGGTCTTTTCCGCGAAAAGGAGGACAAAGTGGAGAGACGACGAGAAGTGCAAGACGACATCTCCAGAGCCAATGTGCGAATCGGCGAGCTCAAGAGTAAAGAAGAAAAAAGAAAGATGGAAGCAGAGGCTCTGAAGGACATGCAGGAAAACCTTGTTGTCTTGCAGCAAGAGCTTGAAGTGAGTCGCTACCGGAATGAGAAGCGCATTCTCGCTAACAGAAGCTGTAGGACCTTGACAAAACCGTGGAGGCGGCAGAAGCACCCTGGAAAGAGAAGAATGATGCTTTGACTCGATTCAGGATAGAGCGCTCAAGCAAGGAGAAGGAAGCAAGTTCTGAGATCACAGCCTTCCGAACCAGCGCCGGGGAGATAGAAGGCAAACATAAAGCATGTCAAGAGTGAGTCTTTTGCCAAGATGCGAACCAACGTTAACGAAAGGCCCAGCTATCTGTCGCAGGACAATGACACGAAGATGCAAGAGAACGAGGCCACCATGACCGACATCAGACGTCGAATCGCTTCCGCCAATGAGAAGCGTGTCTCCCTGGAAACTGAGATTCAGAATGTACACGAGAACCTCTCCAAATCCGAAACCTTGCGATCCAACATCAACAATAACCTGCGATTTAGAGAAGGGATCAAGAGAATTGATACTGTGCAAGAAGAGCTGGATGGACTGGATTTGGCGAGTGCAGCTAAGAGCCGAGAGACGTTCAATAAGGAGTATAGGCCGATGCTCGATGAGGAGACGGATGTCCAGGGCAGGGTATGTCATCTCTTGCAAGACTGAGTGTGGCTGAAGTACACCATAGATGTCTCTCTCTCAAGGTCAGTTGATGGAGATGGCGGGCAACCGAAAGAAGTTGGAAAAGACACTCCAGATGGACTACAAGAGTATCGATAAAGAGTTCAAAGAGCAGATGATCAAGACGGAGGTCAGTGAGCAAGCCAACCGCGATCTTGAGAAGTATGGAAAGGCTCTCGACAAGTAAGGTTGTTGCTCGGGTCTGGCTGTGAGCTGACAACTCAAACAGTGCTATCTTGAAATACCACTCGATCAAGATGGACGAGATTAACGATACTATCAGCCACCTCTGGAGCAAGACCTATCAAGGTCCTGACATTGACAGTATCCGAATTGTTTCTGACCATGACGAAGCATCGACGGCTGCCCGTAAGTCATACAACTATCGGGTCGTCATGGTCAAGAACGAGGTTGAGCTGGATATGCGAGGTCGGTGCTCGGCTGGTCAGAAGGTGCTGGCTAGTATCATCATCAGGCTTGCACTGGCGGAGAGTTTCGGGCAAGGGTGTGGTGTCTTGGCGCTGGATGAGTACGCTTCTTTTTGCCATTGATTGTTTGATGCTGACCATACCAGGCCGACTACTAATCTGGACCAAGAGAATATCAACTCTTTGGCTTCAGCACTCGCCGAGTAAGTCGCCCTCACTCGCGCATCTGAAACCGTGAGCTAACATCATGTCCAGGATCATTCGTGAACGTCGTCAGCAAGCCAACTTTCAACTCATCGTCATCACCCACGACGAAAACTTCCTCCAGACTCTTGCGCAGCAGGATGTGGTGGAATACTACTGGCGAGTATCCAGGGATGCGGCGCAGAAGAGCATCTTGGAGAGGCAAAGAGTCGGTATTTGAGCGAGTCGAACATGACCATCTTGGGATTATTAGCGGGAACAGGCTGTACTTCTATGCCATGTATATAACTGCATTGACGCTGGTAGTATGCGCATCCCATCGCCAGTCGAAAGTCACACGAGATGCCTCCCTTTGCAGCGTCCAATAAATGCATCTAAGTCTATTGCCAGTCACAATCTCTGGCAAGGGCATCCGCAACTTTCTCCAGTCCTAATCTGTCTTCCTCTCCGAAAGTATCCAGCTTGGTCGAATCCAAATCCAACACCCCGATAACCTTCCCTTCACCATTTCTCAGCGGCACGACCACTTCCGACTTTGTGTCTCCATCACAAGCAATGTGTCCTGGGTATGCTTCGACATCTGGTACAATAAGGGTCTTTTGGGTAAGGAAGGCGTCGGCGCATACGCCTTTGCCCGGGGTTGGCGTGATGGACAAGCAGGCTGGGCGGCCGTGGTATGGGCCGAGAAGGAGAGGGGAGTCTGCTGAAATGTTGGGGTGGGATGGAGGATGAAGGTAAAATCCTGCAGAGTACCATGAGCTTCTTATCGCATCGAATGATGCCTCAAAGTACCTGTCCAGTTCACAACCGGCGTGAGGGCATCACCTCCGTACAGAGGAGATGCCAGGAAGGAGTGGTAGAGAATGGCAGACGCTTGAGCGAGGTTGGTAACCTGGTTATATCAGCCCATAGATCCGGTTTGTTTATTCATCGTAACTCACCCAATATCGTTCTCCTTCCAGCAGAGCCTCCAAATGAGCCACGACGTGGTCGTAGAATTCCTTCTTTCTGCGATGGTGTGTAAGCTGAGTATACTCCGGTCTGGAGGCCATAGACTTACGTTTTGATATCGTCTGGAACGTAGCTGGAGTCGGCGTGGGGCATTGCAGGGGGACTGGTTGGCGAGGTTCAATTCATCGACATAACACCATCTCGGACAACTTCTGTTGACACTTTCGGACCTCCACTCGCTTACGTAAATCAACCATGACCGCTGGTCGCCACCACCATGATGAAGCACCTTTTGGATCGTCCTCTGCATTCTCGTCAACAAACAGGAGACAGCATGGTACGTGAGACTCTATACCTCGATGAACCCTTACTGACTTTCGTAGCACGGAGTGAAACGAACCCGCCTCACATCACAAGCCGCCGCTGCCAAACGCGCAAAGGAGCAAGTCAAGGTGGACGCGTACCTTGCCCTACAAAAGGAGGTTCTCGAGCTTGTGAGTGGCTCTTGGCACACTGATCAGCTTTGGAAGCCCGACTGATTCTTACCTAAATAGAAACAAGCCGGCGATTACTCTGAAGGGGCTCTTGGAAAGACGAATCAATTACTTGATCTGAATCCAGAGTTCTATACTATCTGGAACTACCGCAGAAATATACTACTGGCTCTCTTTCCTTCATTGTAGGCTCTATGTTGTGGCGCAAGTAGTCTAGTCTGACTTCCCCAGAACGTCCGAAGATATTGTGACGTACCTCGCCAACGACCTTCGCCTCACGACGTCTTACCTCCTCGTCCATCCGAAGGTCTACTGGATATGGACACACCGCAAATGGTGCCTTCAGTCTGTGCCAGCTGGGCCAGGGGATAGCCAAGAGTGGCGAAAGAAGTTTTGGGATGGCGAGATGAAGCTTGTGGACAAGATGTTGGACGCTGATGCGCGGAACTGTAAGACAATTCATGGGACTGGCGTTCATTTGGATGACCTCTGTATTAGTCCACGCCTGGGGCTACAGAAAATATGTCTTGGAATCCCTCCCTACCAAACGCCCCCTCTCCGCTGAGCTAAACTATACCCAGTCCAAAATTGAGTCCAACTTTTCCAACTTTTCTGCTTGGCACTATAGAACCAAAACCTTGGCCGCCATGTGGGAAGAATCGGGTGCGACAGAGGATGAAATCAACAAGACAAAGGATGAAGAATTTGAACTGGTGGCACAGGCGCTTTGGACAGACCCCGGAGATCAGAGTGGGTGGCTGTACCATCGATGGTTAGTAGGGCCGAGTAAGTGAATGCGCTCTGTCGTGTAATACCCAGCACTTATCCGACACAGCGCCACCTAAGGAGGTACTTGAGCGTGAACTCAAGAATATTCAAGACCTCTTTGAAGCGGAACCTGACTCTAAATGTAAGCAGCTGTCAATGTCATATGGCTTATCTGACATGAATTGTAGGGTGTATGAATGCCCTTGCTCATTACACTCTTCTTCTGGCGCAGCAACCATCAACATCAGAAGAAGAGGCTATCAGCATTAGACAAAGGGCCAAGGGACTGTATGAAAAATTGATTGACGTTGATTCGGATCGAAAGGAAAGGTATAAAGATATGGGTAAGTCGCGCATGTTGCAAACTTCTACGAGATATACTAACTTGTCATGTAGCTGCTTCTTGTGTTGAGGAATGAGTAACATAGAAATAGTGAATCTATGTATAATATGGATGCATGTTATTGTGCAAGCCATGTCAGTAGTCAGTCGTGTGGTCGCGTAGGCGCGTTGCGGTCTGGATGGTAATATTGTGTGACTCAAGACGCCTCGACGGCATTCAAACGGCACCATCTACTCTATTCAGTCTACATTGGCATTCTCACAATGCCATGTATGATATGTACTGTGCATGCAAGTGATAACCTGCAAAGTAGAACTTCGAAATTCGTACGGCGCGTACGGTAATCAAGTCAAGTCACGTGATACGCAGCGTCGTCAAAAGTTGAATCTCTAAATCTCTTCAAGACGAGTCTCTGTTCCTTACCTCAATCACAATTCCGTGAACAAACACCAATATGGGCAGGAAGAAGTCTGGAAAGTCATCGCTGTCCTCTTCGAATCCCACTGCGGCCCCAGGCGCGCGCATCAACAGAATGGAAAATTACGAGGACACCCTCGAGCCAGGAAGCGTCGACGATTGTGAGTCGCCCTGCGCTATGCTGTATACATTTTAACCTGTCTGTAGTCATGTTCAAGAGGGATCAGATTAGCTTCAACCCCCAGGACGAATCGGAAGACGAGGACATCAACGAAGACGAGGGCGAAGAAGTTTTGAGCTTGGAGGGCGCCCGCCGCCGTGCCCGTGAGGAACAGGAAGAAGAGTATGACGAGGATGAAGAGGAGCAGCCGGCTCCTGTCAAGAAGGGTAGAAAGGAGAAAGTCAAGGTCGACGCCTCCACTCAGGGTCGATACGGCAAGCCCATCGTCTCCTCCGATGAAGAAGAAGATGAATCGTCCGGCTCGTCGGATTCCGAAGATGAGAACTGGGGCAGACAGTATTACTCAAAGCCAAGCAACAGGCGTGAGAAGGAGAAGGAGGGTGACTTTGGGGATGAGAAGAGGGAGGAGGAGAGGGACATGGAGGAGAGAGAAGTCAAGAGATTGCAGAAGAAGCAGAGAGAGGTCTTGGGTGGTGATGATTTCGGTATGGAAGACCTTGAAGAGCAGCCTTTGTAAGTCTTTGATTTCGTCCGTCTTTGATAAGTGTCTGACATTTCTGTAGGGTCAGCGAGGTGTCTCAAGACGTCCTTGACAGTCTCTCTGTGGCCGCCCCCGCCGCACCCAAAACTACCGATGGCCCTGCTCTTCTCCGACATTTGCAAGCCCATGAGCCTCTCAAACTTGCCCTCACCAGAGATTTCCCCCTCGTTGTGCAGAAGCTTGAGAAAACTGCTCGAGGTATCAAAAAGATGGAGGAGACGCCAGAACACGAAGCTGAGCTGCACAAGGGCCTTGGATGGTTGCATTATCGTAAGTGCTTGCCATTGCTCGCGATCGGCCAAAGACTGATAAATATCTAGAAACACTTTTGACATACGCCACTACCCTCGCCTTCTACATCCACCTCGAGTCTCTCCCTGCGTCCGACCGCCCCGACATCCCCATCATCCCTCGTCTCTTTCAACTTAAACAAGGCGTCACCATGCTCGAAGACCTCGACTTTGACGCTGCCTCTTCCTCTGGCGAATCCCTTGTCCTCTTTGACCGATTCGGAGATCTGGATAATTGGCTGGAAAGCGGTGATGACGAGCTGAAGGAGGGCAAGCTGGAGTTGATCAAGAGGATGCAGGCTGTCAATGGGGACGGCGAACTTGTGGGTCTGGAAGATGACGAGGAGGCTGAGGATGACCTGTGGCAGAACGAAGGTCTGGATGAAGATGAGCTCGCGGAGCTTCTTCAGGACGCTGGCGAGGATGCCGAGGACATCAAGGCTTTGGCTGCCAAGTCCTCGAAGAAGAAGGAGAAGAAGAGCAAGAGGAGCAAGAAGGGTGCCGAGGAAGTCGACTTTGCGGCCCTGCTCGAAGAAGGCGAAAAGCCAAAGAAGTCCAAAAAGTCCAAAAAGACCAAAGACCCCGAGGTCTCTTCTTCGACCCCCGCTTTCGCTCCCCTTGCCGAACCTGACTTCTTCCCCTCCAAGAAATCCAAATCCAAATCCAACAGCGACAACTCCGACGTCCTTGGAGACCCCACTGCCCTCACAGATGCCGACTACACCGATAAGCAGAGCAGAAAGCGATCTCTTGCATTCCACACCTCCAAGATCAACTCCACTCTCGCTCGCCGTGCCGAAGGTCGTGCAAAAAGGATGGGAGGCGATGATGATTTGCCTTATAGGGACAAGAGGAAGGCGAGGGACGCTGCTTTGAGAAAGAACGGACCGAGTGCGGAGGGCGAGGATCTAGAGGATATCAGTGCTGGGGCAGATAAAACAAAGAAGCGGGCGAGGGACGAGGCAGCCGGAGATGGCGAAGGAGACGGGGAAGCGAATGAGGCGGATGGCTATTACGAGCTGGTCAAGAGACGGAGAAGGGAAGAGAAGGATGCCAAGCAAGCAGAGCATGATGCTGCAGAGGCCGAGCTTCTTGCAGAGCGGGCAGCTTACGATGACGAGTCCGCCGATGGTCCTCGCACCATTACCCGTGCCATCGAGAAAAACCGTGGGCTCACACCACGTCGTACCAAGACGGGCCGTAACCCTCGTGTCAAGAAGAGACAGGCGTACGACAAGGCGCAGAAGAAGGTGGCGAGTCAGCGTAGTGTGTACAAGGGTGGTCAGTCTGCGTACGGAGGAGAGTACAAGGGAGAAAAGACGGGTATCACTCAGGTGGTCAAGTCGAGAAAGTTCTGAGTGCTTTCATATGTGTCCAGGTACCATGTATATCGGTCTTTGGTTGATGCCCTTGTCTGTGTGCGTTCATTGAGTCACGTACTGATACATACGCCAATCTACTTCTTGCGATTAGATGGTGGTGGTCGTCGCTTCTTGAACATGCCGCCTCCGGAAGCTGCTGTTGACTCTGGCACGGATGAAAGCTCAACTTCCGGTTCTGATTTCACTGTCTCCTGCCTAGCAGGTACAGCAGCTTGCTCCGGGGTTGCTTTTGCAACCTCTCCTCTGACGTCTGCCTCCTCTTTCACCTCCTTCGACGTCCCAGTCTCTTTCATGACCGTATTCCATTCAAGCTTTCCACTCCACCCTTCTCTCTTGAGCCCCCTCTCTTCAATCTCTGCGGCTTCCTTCTCGTATTTGACACGAGGCACCTCTGTTGCCGTCTCTTCTGCTGCTACTTTGGCGTCTTCTGATGAGGCACCTTCCTTCCGCTTGACTTTCAGGCTCTTCAAGGAAGAAGGATCCCAATCGTCATCATACGGGTCGAATACCGGTTTCTTTCCCTTGTGCTCAAACCTCCATCCTTCTCCCTCTTCATCTTCCTCTCTCGGTCTCTTCTCGCCAATTGTGACTTCAGCAGCCTCGACGATGGGGGCGGGAGGCGGAAGTATCACCTCCTCCCACTGGCCAGCTTCTCCCGCCTGCCCCTTGATCTCCAGCTCTATTTCATACGCAGTCTTCTTTGCGTCCTCCTCATCCACAAAGCCAAGTTGAGCAGCCGTAGAATAGTTGGACCACTTGTCTGTAGGCTTCTCTCGGGTTTTGGGCGCAGGGGCGGCAACAGCAGTTGATGAAGGGGTGGAAGATGAGGCTTTCAAGTACCCTGAAGCTGTATCTTGGGCATGAGCGGCAGAGGCAGCCTGATAAAGTGTCAAATCTGATCACCGCACTTGCCAGCGGACCTACAGCTTCGATACGAGCCATCTCTCTTGCTTCCTCGGCCTTTTCTTTCTTAGCCTTCTCCCCTCCCCGATATAGATCTCGGATAAATCTCTCCTTATTCCCTTGGTGCTTGAGGCCGCTCTCATGCTGTCTACGTGACTATGGTGGAGTGGATGAGCTGGCTGTACGCGGTAAGCAACAATATGCACTCACAGGAGCGTCATCTCTAATGTAGATGCTGCAAAACTTGCACCAGTATTGTTTTTTGGAGATCCAGTATCTACAGAGTGGTCAGTATAGACACCATCAGTCCCGACGGGCACTCACTCTGTCATTGCGTGCCGGTTGTGGATATATAGGGAAGAGGAAAGAGTTCTGTAATTCGCCGTGGTCGGAGGCCGTATCTGGGCCGCTGAAGTCTAGGTCCAAATAATTACCGTTGCGGAGCTTAGAAAGTATTACCTGTATTAGAAAATGTGGTCGCGGGGGGCTTCAAACACAAATGGCATTCAAACAGGTCGCATGTTCATGCATAAGGAGATTTAAAAACACAGTTCTGTAGTGACGGAGGCACTGATGGGGGCGGGGGTATTGGCTAAGCTGTATGATGAATGTGACGAAAGATGTAGGTAAATGAGTGATCCAACAATTTGGGGCCAAGTGAGCGCCCTCGACGCGACCAGCCTAAGTATATTCCGTGCGGAGCACGGAATTATGTAACGAAGGCAAGGTCGTTGAACAACAATTAATCAATTGCACAATTGCAACAACTCGACGACAACGGCATGAAGCCGGTCGTTGATTGGAATCAAGCTCCTGGGTACAAACATCACCGCACATGTCTATGCGATTGACAGATATCGATGGGTAGACCTCTTCATCAAGGAGGGGGTTTGTAAGAATCTGACGTTACCTTCAGAACGGTGCGAGTATGCTGAGGGGTACGTCGAGTACCTCATACTGTACCAGCTTGGCCTTTGGCGATACATGCAATTGAGCGTACAAACAAAATCACTACGCAACCTGCTACAGACTGTTTCACCTATTCAGGACTTGTATCCGTTCTGTCGCTAGGAGATCCTCCCTCAGCTGCTTCAACACAGCAGCAGTGTTCACCATGACATTGCTACCAAGGCCAAGAGTTCCCGCCTTTTCAAGCACTAGACCAGCCTTCTGCATCTTTGCGGTCGTGGCCATCCCTTGGGAGTCTTGGTACTTGGCTAGCATCGCCAGGGTCACGGTCAACGCCTCGCCGTGGCGTATCAATATCGGGGACTGAACAGCATCGAGGAACACCAGGAGATCCAGGAACACGGAATGAGTTACAGATCTGAGAGCCTGATAGCAACTGTTAGTCCATTTGCAAGTTTGAGAACATGGCGACTCACTCCGTTGATGCACTTCGGGTCGAAAGATAGTGCAAATAAACGGTTCCAATCGGGCCAGACCCTCGCCCAAAACTCGTCCAGAACATCATCCTTCTGTGATTCAAAGATACCGTTCGCGTCCATCGCGACCTTATCTGTCACTGCCAGGAAAGCTACCCGCAAGGTCATGAAAACTAATGAGAGGATAGAAGCACCTGTGCCCTCGGCGTCCTGGATGGACATGTAGTCGGCAGAAGCCCGGAGAGAAAGTGAGGTGGCTCGCGCGAGGAGTGGGTATAGAGCGAAAAGGCGTGACCTGGAAGTTCCCATGGAAACATTGGTAGACGCCAAAAGCAGAAACAACAGGGATCGTAGTTGGATAGATGCGGCCTGAGTAGCGTATCCCAATGAGCACATGCCATGTATTTCCACTTTCACTTACGTTCATCGTCAACTGAGTCAGGTTTCTGCCAATGGTGCCCGGTATGATGATTTCTCCTTGGCACAACAAAGTTCCTGCTTCCACCAATATATCGAGCAGCAGCTCTGCAGTCAACAGCGTAGATGTCATCGTTTGATGCCCACGGAACAGTATGTTGACGCAGCCAGAGCCGCTTTCGGCCAAGACACGGTGATGCTCCGGGCCAGCTTTGCTAGTGGGCGACAGGTGTGGGAAGAGGTCGGTGTTGAGAAGCTGGGATACATCAGCCTCATCACTCAATCACGACCAACAAGGCCCCACATACCTTGAGCAGCGCATGAAGAGACACAGGCGGCACAGCAAGCCCATCCACGGCGGTACTCGCAACGTTCAGCAGCACAGACTTGATCTGATTCTCAACTCCAGCTCTCGCACCTGCGCGTTGGCCGGCTTCTAGTAGTTTCAGAGTAGTCTGCCTTGTCACTCCAAAGTGGCAGAGACATTGGTTCAGGATGGTTGCTATCTGGCTCAATAGTGGCTATACCCGAGATCAGTCGATTGCTTTCTATCCGTAGGACGATGACGTACGACTAAGGTGCTAGATGGTGAAAGGTCCAGTACTTTGGCACAGCTCTGTAACATGGGATTGGGATCATAGTCGTAGCCCCATTCTGCAATATGCTTGCTCAGTCGACTGATGAAAGATCCAAAGTCTTGATCCCGGTCTCGTCAGCACGATTTTGACAGACCTGAAGCCATAGCTTACCGTTGGCGGCCTCAACACTCAAGTCTATGCACAACTCGGCAACCAATCGCGCAAAAGACCCGAGAATCTGTATAACTTGATCTCGCGGTCTCCTTGTGAGGTCAAGGCTACGCAAGCAGTGTCAGCTGTCGATTCTCTACAAGAGGGGGTTATACACACAGGTCGTGGAAGAGGTTGTCGAAGATACCAACTTGCGCAAGACTCTCGGCTTGCTCGGCTGCGTAAAGGATCTGCAACGCCTTGCACAGATTTGACTCTGTGGCGGGCTTGGGCGAGAGCCATTGGCGTTCCGACTCATTCTGCAGATGAGTCAGCATTATCTACATTGAGCATCCGACGACTTGCCCTGAACAATTGTAGATATAGCCCGGATCGTCCGAAGCTGTCACAAGTCAGCATCGGGTATACAATGAGCCACGACGAGCATGATCACCTTTTGATTATGCTTCTCAAAAACACTTTACCTGATCATTGGATCAGTATCAGGCCCCAACGATGAACAATATGTAATCACTTTGATCGGTTACTGCAGAATCACAGTACTCCGCGCTGATCTCGTTGGCTATGACCAGAGCAAGAGTGTTGAAGATCGGACTATGCCAAAACAATCAGCGAAAAGGTGCAGATAGAGACATTCCTACTGACGGAACGGCACGTATGATCTTATCTCGGTCCACTTTCTCTACAGCTGTTTGCAAGATTTGTATACCAAGAAGTCGGTTTTCTGAGCAATCGTTGAGAGACACAAAGTCGGCCACCTGTTGTACACAAGTCAAGGCGGCAAGTTCAACTCGGTTGACATTTTGCTGCAAAGACGTAAGCTGGGATTGCGGTTTTTATACAAAGTAATCACCTTGAAAAAGACCACCATGAGTACATCCAAGAGGAGCCTCTGCGTGAAATGATCGTAGGCGTTCAAATCATCAACGAGGTCGATGGCCACCGGAACAAATAAGCTACCGACTGATGCGGTATTCCTTGTCTTGGTCTCAAAAGTATGACCCGTGATAAGAATCTTCGCAGGACTGTCTAGTACAGCGCGTAGAGCCGGAAGCATCGTTGAAGTAAAAGCAGAAGGGCTGGCCGAGGATGCTGAGGCGAGTGCCACGACACGTTGCTGAAACCGTTGAGCAGTAACCCAGGATACAGCGACTCCAGAGGCGAGCATCTCGAGACCAAGAGCAGCAAGAGCGTATGTCACGTCTTGAGAGTCTGTCAGGCCCGTTTCCACTGAAGACTGTGATGGCGTCAATTATGCTACATTTGAAGATAAATAAGACCCTACCTTTCGTGCCGGCTGAAATTGGCTCATACTAGTCACCTCTTCGGCTAGTATTTCCTCGATAGTCTCCCAAGAGATGACGGCCCACTGCGGAAGCGCAAGCCTCAGTCTTCTCAGACGAGTCAAAAGGACGAGCCGGTTTTCGTCGCTGTTCTTGACGAGGTACTCTTCAAAGCATAGGGATATTGCTTTCAGATGGGTAGGTAAAAGGGATTTGTGGACCACAAGGTTGTCAGGGATGACTTCTTTGTTATCAAGGAGAACATCAAAGAAGACCAAGATCAATGCCACTGCAGAGGATCGCCAATTGACAAGGTCATGGTTGATTGAGGAATCGGCAAGCTCGAGAATAAGAGTGAGTAGTCGTTCGCGAACGATTGTACTAAAGCGCAATCGTCAGTTGATAGTTCATGACTCTGAGATGTGACAAATGTACCGTTCTTCGCGGCTAACGTCCGATTGAGCGTGGATTAGCTTGACCAGAGGAGTCGAATTGACACTCAAGAGTCTCAACAAGACTCGGGCTCGCGATCGGCGGCTGACCGAGCGCGCTATGAGTGGCCAAAAGCTACGGAACATCAGTTGCAGTCCGAGCCCCCGAGGCGTAGGACTCACATCACGTAGAATCTCTCACAAGTGTGGTGCAGCTATAACTCGCTCAATAAGCATGTCACTTTCCGAGGGTCATTTGGAGACTTACAAATCCGACTGGATCATCGACGTTGATTGCCTTTGTGGACAAAAGCCAGATGAAGTCGAGCACGATTTCACATGGGCAAGTAGTACGTTCCAGCAAATTGGCGGCCGCCAGTGTCATTCTTGCGTCGAGGGGAAAGCGAACAAAAGAGAACTTTGTCCCTCGTCGCTTTCCCATACTAGTCTATGTCAGCAAGCCCGTGTGCCGATGGCGTGGGAATGGCTCACCTCATGGACTGCTTCATTTGCTGCCCTGTTCCCCCCAGAACGGTATCCGAGACATCTTCTGAGATTACACCGTACGCTTTGAGAACCAACACCATTGTGCGTTTGATGAGCTCAAATCTAATGTTCAATTCAGTACACGGTTCAGCGGTCGCGAACAAGTAACTCACTCCAATCGGTTCAAAGCACCCGGTCCTGGACCAATGTTATCAAACACAGTAGTGGCCATGATGCTGCACAGGCCGGCAAACGTCTTGGGTTCAAGTGGAGCTCCGTTGGCGCTAACAGCAATCACAACGTCCAGACTGGCCTCCGGAGGTACGTCTACTCCGAATTCTACCTGCTGGTCGATGAGGACCTGCAACAACTCCCAGGGTATCTCAGCACCTGAAAAGGACAAGACTCGCATCCATCTGCAGACTCGCGCGAAATCGGACGCATTTGACATGGTCGTGGATGCTGAAAGAGCAAAGATATCGGGCGAGTCGGAAGGTTGGTGACTGAGTAGTCGAGGCAACGAGCGATAAGCAACGTCCTACAAGAAGATCAGTGGTTGGCTCAAGGGTTGCGAGGCCCGCTCACATGATCAGCAAGAGGACCAAGATCCTCTAGCCAGGCAGTCAACAGCTCCATAACTGTCGAGAACAATACACCTGCTTCCGCCATCACCGCCATCTTGTTGGCCGCTATACCAGCAATCTTGGACGCCATCTATAGACGAAAGTCAGTCCAGCCTTCATCTCAGCGATGACTCACCTGCTGCTGATTCGCGCCGCCAGAGTCTTCCGCCGCAGCATTCACAGCAGCCAGCTTGCACTGGTCATACACGATATGCGCGTACATCTCCGGATCCTGATCATGTAAATCCTTGCACCAATCCCGCACGTAGGTTGATCTGATCTGCTGCCTGTCGTTCTTGTAGGCATCTATGGAGCCTTTAAGAGAACCAGGACTTGGGCGAACGCCTGGTATCCGCCGGTGCTTGGAGGCGTAGGAGGTGATGAGCTCTCGCAAACAATCCTCCTATACGGGCGTATCAGCGGGAACACGTGAGAGGACGAGAGCACTTACTTCAGCCATGATCCACCCGACTGCGGCTTTACCAAGCCTTTCAAGCGCATAAGGAGCACACAGCAAACTCGGCCAAGCCCGGTCCACCATCAGCCTCAATCCCTGCTCATTCATCGTCAAATCCAGATCATCCAACAACGACTCGATTGCCAAGACCAAAATTTCAGTGGTGGGTGCTGAATCCATCAAGAGCGGCAGGGAAAAGGAAGCTTGGTTTTGCTGTGACTGTAAGAGGTTGTCATGTTGAAGAGGGGAATGAGGGGGGAGTGAGATGAGGCCTGTCATAATCAATTGGTTGACAAAAGCCGCCAAGCTGTAGGGGCTCGTCAAGAACAAGTCACCCTTGAGGGTTTCGTAGATGAAAGACAAAGGTAATCTTTCATAGCAATTCCCAGCCTCCTCTGCAAACACGTCATTGTTTGGTGCCGGAAGCCCTTGAGGTGTCAAGAGTCCTTCTCCAAGATTGCCGTGCGAGTGGGGCGATTCTGACGAAGGCGCCCGGATAAGAGCCGTACAATACGCCAGAAACTTTTCTGAAAAGAGATACCCTGTCCCCAACGGCTTCTCGAGCTTCGCCACATGTTTGAAATCACGCATCGCCCCAGATACTTTTTCCTCCTGAACTTGAAGATAGTCTTCGTACATCTTCAGCACCGGTCTGAGATTCAGAGGATCTGCCGTCTTCGTTTTACCATCCGAGCTCGAGGCTTCGCCTGCAATGCGCAAGGAGCCAGTGCTGAGCCCGTTTTTCACGAGCTGGTATTGTAACCAGAGGGCACCGAAAAGGACTGCCACTTCGTCAAAAGAGACGCTTTCCATTTCTGATTGACTCAGAAGCAAGCCTTGGCAGTGCTTGCTAAAGTCCTGGCCGAGAGATTCCGGGGTGATGGTGAATGGGTTGCTGCTCTCGCCTGATATCTCGTCAACCACGACTTCTTTGCCATGCCGGCATTGGGAGTTGTCCATATGGCCGAGGCATTCAGCATGGTAGAGCCGCTGACACCCCGATTCACAAGCATACGCCTGTCGGGTTGTGCCCCATAAAGGCAGTCGGCACTCTCCACACAGAGACAAGGTAAATAGATTGATAAGCCGCAGCGTATGCTGGCCGGCTTTTCTCACTGCAGCAAACCGCGGTGAGAGGAGCTCCTCCTCCAAAGTCGGCGCGCTATATCCAAACTTGACGTGGACGAGATGAGAAGAGGAGGAAGTAGGGGTGATGATCATCACATCATACGTGAACCCCACTGGCCCTCTGCTTGATCGTGTCGTCGTATAACACCTCAAATGACGATGTTCTCGACACATCGTACACCTGATGCCGAAGCCATGAATTTCACCCTCACATACCAGACATTTGATGGATTCCAGAGACAAATGCTCCTTCGAGCTGATGCGCCAAGGCACGAAATGGTGCCCTTCCGTGTCGTCCTCGCCCAAAGCGCTGAATTGGCCTGTCTCCCATTTCGTCCGCTGGGAAGCATAAGTGGTAGACGCCAGACGGCGCGCTATCGTATTATGACCCATAACGTTGGGGTAGAAGGTCGCCAGGAGCTCTGTGGCGGTGCGACGAGGGGCGGGCGGAGCATAAGCAATGATGGAAAGCAAATCAAGGGGAGAGTCTGGTTTGGCCGAGAGGATGATGGTCAACAGACGATGTACACGGTGGATCATTGTCAACTTGGAGCCAGCCAGGTCGATCGTGGACGAGATGGCCATCAAGATACGGGGCACCAGCGCAGCAATCTGGACTGCTGTGGGAGAAGCATCTCTCATGGCTTGGATAGACAGGAGGCCGGGGAGTTGGTCGGGGAAAAATGAGAATTGTGGACTGGTGGGAGAGAATTGCTTCCAGCCCGGACCCGTAGATTTAGGATTCTCCATATCCGGAGACTCTGTCGAGATGGCAAATGTCGGAAGATGGTTGTCTGTGGTTGCTGGAGGCGGTTTCGAGAAGGGATCTGGTACAAGTTAGCTTTATTAAACACGTATGAGACAAAACACACCGGTCCAGTCGACATTCGCTTCCTTCTTTTCAGACACCCCGCCGCGTTCTTTCGCCAGAATCCTCAAGAGATTTTCCATTCGTCCTTCCAACCACTCGTAGACCTTCTCGCCCATCCCTTCCCCCATCCCGTACAGGCCATCAACCACCATCCCGACAACCTTGACCTTTGTTTCCACATCACACTTCATATACAGGTAGCTCGCTATATCCAGACAAGCGGCCTGCAGCGCGTTGGGAGGGCAGAGGGGATGGAAGAGATGGGTACGGTGAAGGCAGTCGATGGAGATGAGGGAATGAAGAGCGGACAGGGCTCTCGCGAGGAGGTATGACCCAGACATGGACGGAATGGTAGACGTTGAGGCTCGAGGCACAGAGGTGGAAGTCATGGATGTATTCGCTTCGTAGCTCGTGGCGTTACTGCCCTTGAAGGTAGATGGCGAGACTGACGAAAACCTTCCCGTTCGGCCCTTCTTGTTCTTCACGGGCGTAGCGTCAAGTATAGGTCTATCTGCTTCACCATTGTCAGCAAACAGGTCGAGGTCTTGTCGTTCAGCGAGTACAAAGAGATCGCGGGTTTGCTGGACCAGATTAAAGGTGGCCTCCGTGTCCCAATCCCCTTCGTCGAGGACAATCTGCTCTTGAAAGTCTTCACTCCCTATACCACCGACTGGGACTGAAACGTGGCGCTTGTGCGCTGCAGAGCCACTATGAGTCGCCGCAGCTGCCAGCGCTTGGCCCATTTTGAGTACCTTGCCTTTCCCTTTTCCTTTCGGCAGTCCAGAAGCTTGGCGAGCCGCAATGACTGCGCGAGCGAGGATATCCGGTGCTGGCTCGCGCTGCTCCAGTTTATCCAGCAGATGCGAGAGTAGTTTCTGCGTTTCATACAGCCCTCTGTAATTGCTGATTTGCTGTGCCTTCCTGGCTGATATCGTGGGCCTTCTACCGAGGGTCGCTCTGCGCGACGAGAACTTTGAGATATCTGGCGACGACGGGCTTCTGAGAGCCTGTGGAGAGGAAGAGTGTCGGGATGAAGAAGTGGAGAGGGGAGACGGCGGATAATCGAGAGTGGGGGAAGGGGGAATGTCCACGAAGGGATTGGGATCGATCTTGAGCTATGGTATGGTCAGCAGGGCCGGCAGGGAGAGGGAGAAAGAAGTACACGTGGAAGAGGATGGCCACCGGGTCGGATCCCAAGAGCGCGCCGACCATCATTGTCTGTCGCCGTGGATGGGACCCCCAGCATGGCGCTGAAGCGGAGCCTTTTTGTTTTGTTTTGAGAAACCAAACAGAAAAGACGAGTGGCTGACAGCGCGACTTGCCGAGCTCGGGAGGCATCGGCGGCCGGTTGATCTTTTGCCCTCTGGTTCGAGTATGCCGTGTCGAAGAGATATCGCCTTGTAGGCATGCTCAATGAGGGACAGCGCGAGTACTTGCGAGTAAGCACGGGGAGCAGCTTCAATATTCGTAGACTACAACTGCATGCGGTATAATTCTCGACCAGCCCGGGAGCGTCTGTGCCGTGTATGGCGCGAGGATAGCGCTTGGAAACGCGGGATTCCGTGGCAAAAGATTGCGATACCTCTATAGAAAAAAATGATATGCCAAGTTGGAATGCAAAAATAAAGAGACAAGATTGCAAGTCTGTCTGCCGTCGTTTGGCTTGAGTTTTCGGTTAACCGCCAGTCACATCCCGGACATCGCCGCAGGCACCACGCTGTAACTTTTGACTACCGCCTCATTCGCCCATCTGCTTCTCGTCAGCTTTTCAACCTTACAAGATACCCCTTCGACAGGGCTATTTCCACCATGCCCACCCCCCGTGCCACTCGTTCGCGCACCGCCACCCCTCTCTCTGTCCGTACCCGCTCAACACCCCAGGCTTCCGCGCCACCTTCCCATCACCACAAGACTGCCGACGAGCTCGCTTTGGAAGAAGCCGCTTCTCTCCTCCACACCCCGACGACCTCCCGCCTTAGAAGTGCCGGGAGTGATGAGGTGCTAGACGGGGGAAGTGCGAGAGCGCTGAGACATAGACGGTTAAATGAAGTGAGGCATGAAGGGGACGCTGTCAGGGAGAGGAGTAAGAGCCCGCAAAGGGACGAAAGGAGGCACTCTGAGGCCCCTTCCACTGCCGAGGTGCGGGAAAATGATGGTGAAGAGAAGGATAAGCAGGCGACAACGCAACAGGGTTCAGACACTGGTGACGAAGATGATGAGGAGGCGTCCATGGAGTTGCCAGGGATGTCTGGTATCTCGGAGGCTACTGCAAGTGTCGCTGGGGATGAGGAGGAGCAGGAGGGTGATGAGCCAGTGTCTTCCGCGCTGTCGACAGGCCGGAGATTCTCTCAGCCCAGGCATGAGGTGGAATTTGGCGAGGCAATGTCCGCGTCCGGATCCGAAACGGCGTCCGCTGGTAGCAGCTCTTCAGAGGCTGCAAGCGACTCTGATTCAGAATCTGATTCGTCAGAAGACTCTGATAGCGAGTCTGAGAGCGATGATGACGATCAGATGGAACGTCTCTTGCAAGCGGCTCGAGATGCGGCGGCTACCAAGGCCGCGAGTGGCAACAAACAGGGAGAAGACAGGGCGGAGGCAGACGGCGAGGTTGTTTTGCAATTCGACAAGGATCAGTTCGAGAAGAAGGAGGTGTGAGTGCATTCGTCAAGAGAATTTACTGTGACTGACACAAGCTAGTCCTATACCCGATCTATCCATCGCCAACCTTCCCCAAACCCACCTTTCGTTCACGAAAGAAGGCCAGGCCAAGGCTACCATCCCCGTGCCATCTGTCGCTTCATCATCTGCCGGTCCCTCCAAACGCGGTCCCACATCTCACAAATCTCAGGAGCTGGATGACCGTCCTTATGAGCGTCAATTGAGCAAGAAGGAGAAGGCTCTGGTACGTGCGATCGTGCGGTCTCGTGTGTATGTGCTTATATGTCCATAGCAACCGCGCAAAGCAACCACATCTGAGCTGTGGTCGCGCATCCCTGCGCCTCGCGCCGATATTCTGCCCCAGATGAAGCGCGACTACCAAGCATTGTCCCTTGCCAACAGCCTGGATCCCAAGAGATTCATGAAGGGTGGAAGCAAGAACGACAAGGCCCCCGAGTCGTTTGCTGTAAGTATAATGAGTATTCATTGAATGGCGCTAACAGGAGATAGATCGGTACGATGCTAGAGACCTCCCGTCGTGTCCGCGACACTACGCTCACCAAAGAGCACAAATACCGACCCGGACAGGTGGTACAAAATATCATCCGCGACAACGATATGGAAGGGTACGCCAAGAGAAAGTACGGGGATCTGCAGTCGTCGAGGATGGAGAATGGGCGCGGGAAGGGGTGGCAGAAGAGGACCAAGTGGTGAGCATGAGGTGTACTGCATCTGTTTGTATCTGTATTAGTAAGTGCGCAGGACATTGCGCGAGACACTGCTTACACCTGCAGGTCCCTGCATAGTCTCCTTGCATATCATACCTGTCGTGATTGTCCATAGATTCCATAGCAATCATTCAACTGTGGCGGAAGCAAAAGTGCCACACTGGGGGCGGGGGAAAGCGCCGGGAGGGCGTGCCAATGAGATTCCGCGGGCGGGCTGGATGGGGCCCAGGCACGAAAATTTGCACGGACGCAGACGGGCTTGCCACGCATTCACATAACGGCCCTTCCAACAAAGGAGATCCAGCAAAAACTCCAGGGGGCAAGCGCCGACACCCCCACACCACCCCCCTATCCATGGTCGCCCCCGGCAGAATGGTCACCTCGTCCCGCCGTGCTGGGCGGGTGACCAACAAGACCAAGCTCTTGATATATCGTGGCTCAGACAAGGTCGATCCCGAAGTCGCGGAAACCGTGCTGTGGGACCAGGACTCGAGTGGGGCCGGCAAGGACAGCACCAAGCATCAGCATATCGGCGCGACCGGCGTCGAGTCGAACGAGCTTCTGGTACGTAACTGCTTCCCCTCTTTCTTTTTCTCTTATGCATCGAGGGCGGTTGCATTAGGCAGCTGGGGCGTGAGGGGCGTTTGATGGGAGGGGGGCCCTAGCGCGGCTGGGAAAATGCTGGAAAAGGTGTATTCCGCGTGACGCGCTGGGTTTTTCATCCAACCTTTCTTCGTTTTCGAGCCTGCGGCCTGCATGGATGCGTGGATGCGTGCTCGGAGATGCCCTAGGGGGATAGGCGCTATGCATACCCCCGGATGGCATGCTTGGAGCGTGCAAATCGCGTCGATGGTGGTCGCCCGAGCACAATTGCCTAATGGGGCAATTCGCGCGTTGTTTGTGATCTAATGTTTGGCTCGCGCGCTGCGTCTCGTCACACGAATTTTGGCTGACCCCACGCAGGAACACCATCTCCAAGCTGCTCTATCCTCCGCCTCCGTCATCCACTCCAGCGACAAGGCCCCCCAGTCCGCCGCCAACAAGGCAACGGCCGTCCTCAACTACCACATCCCCACCCCCGACGCCACTGGGCTCATCAACAATGCTCAGTTCGCTCAACTCTACCAACGGGTCAAGTACAATGAACCCTACAATTTCATCCGCTTTTCAGACACTGTCGAGGAGAGCAGCTGCGGATGGGGAGGGCTCGGGTACTGCATGGATGATGCCGACGTCAAATGGCTGTCCGACTTCAACTCGAAAGCAGAAGGCTCAAGCGGAGAGGTGAAGAGTGAGAAGGAGCAGGGACGAGGTCTACGGGCAAAGGGCAAGGAGAAGGAGAAGGGTGACGCGCCGCCGCCGTTATCGATATCGGAGGACGTTTTTGAGTACATCATGGGTGTGTTTGACAAGTATACGGAGGACAATGTCCCCATGCTTCACACAAACCTGGCACTCTTGCCTCCGTTCTCATCAATCGAAAACATGTTTGCGTCGCCCATCTCGCCGTCTTTTTTGCCAAGCAACGAACGACCTAGGGAGATTAGCGATTTGAAGGCCTTGACGCGGATGGCGAGGAGTGTCTACTCTCACTGGAAGCAGAGACGCGAGCAGAGACAAGGCAAGCCTATTGTGCCTGCTCTCAACGTGAGTCTTCCTATGATTACAAGATTATTGCTAACCCTGTGTAGTTTGACGAGACCAACGACAACGATCCTTACGTCTGTTTCCGTCGCCGAGACATCAGAGCCACCCGAAAGACGCGCCGTACCGACAACTTTTCCATCGAACAATTTCAGAAACTCCAGTATGAGCTCAAGGCTGCCTACAGTCTCTCGCAAATGGTTCTTCAACGAGAGACGGAGAAACAGGCATTCTTCAAAGCCGACAAGGAAGTCTGGGAAACAAGATGGAAGCTGTTTGAGACCAAGAGACGGTGGCCGAGTTTGGGCTGTACTCCGCAGGAGGAAGAGCTCATCACTGGTCGGACTCTTGGCCCTGCGCCGATACAGATCCCATCTATCAGTGCCCACGGCTCGATTTCTTCGTCATCTGGCATCCAGCCCACTATACGCAAGCGTATGGAGAAGGAGCGGGACGATCGATCCCAAAGGGACAGGTACGATGCTCAGCAAAGAGGCGAGCGGTCAAATGTCTTGTCTGGTCGATCGAATGCTCCGGATGCTTTGAAGGATAGGTTGGCGGCGTTGCACCAGAAGATAGAGGATCTTATGGCGAGGAAGAAGCACGAGGATTCGCAGTGGGACGACTACACAGACGTAAGTGTCTTTATCCAACGCTTGTTCTTTGCTGACCTTTTGCAGAACTCGTATCAGCCCTTGTCATCACCGTTGGCTTCGCGCCATTACTCGTCCATCTATACCCTTGATCCGTCACGCCTTAATCAGAAGTCTGATTCCGACGACGAAGAGCTGGTCACACCAGAACAATTCCGCATCCGAAGAGGACGAGGTGGTGTCGTGCGACTCGATAGACGGACGCCTGTGGTCGCTCATAGACGAGGGGCTCAGCCAAATACTCCGTCAGAGCTGCCATCATGGCTGTTCCCCGATATCGCTCCGAGTAAGCAGGAGCGAAAGCGGCCGCGGTCTATCGACGAGGTCGAGGAAGAAACATCGCCCAAGGTACCGAGGTCTGCATCGACCGAGACTTGGAGATACTCTGTGGACAGAGGAGGGGCGGTTGGTGTGGGTATGGGGATCACGGAAGAGCACGATCGAATCTTGATTGATGATTTGGATTCCAAGTGAGTGACTGTTCTCTGGATAAGAACGCCGCTGACCTCTTCCAGATACATTAGATATCGTGTCAGCCTTTTGAAGGAGAAGGACATTGACAAACTTCGACCAAACGCCTATATCCTTGAGCAAACATACGATGCTCTTGAAGCTGCTGCAGACGCCAAACCCCCTCCTGCGCCCATCTTCCAAAAGCCTTCAGCTCCTCAGCACAACCCGCAAGTCATTGCTCATTTGCAACAACAGCAAATGTTGCATCAGCAGCAGCAGGTTGAGCAATTCCAGAGGTTCCAGATGATTGCCCAGCAGCAGGCGCTCGTCCAACAACAAGCCCTCGCTCAAGCCCAGGCCCAGGCCCAGGCCCAGGCTCACGCGCAAGCGCAACCACAGGCTCAGGGGATCCCTCATCCGCAACCCCAGTCAGGCAGCAATCACAACTCACCAGCCATGCACGCTCAGCAGCAGATTCTCGGTCAAGCGACTAGCAGAGTCAACTCGCCAGCTGTTAACGGTCAGCACCAGCAGCAAATGCTCCAGCAGGCTACTGAAGGTGTTGCCAAGGGATTGAAGCTGCCGGCGCACGCTGTCGCGAGACTTGGTGCGATGGCCAACGGTCACCCTCACCACATGCAGCAGCAGCAAGGCCAACCTGCTCAATAATCCTGCGGCACCTCGAGCGAGAGGCTGCGCCACGGCGCCTGCTACATATGAGTTTGAGATTCTCGGCGCACCCTCTTGCTCCTTCCTCCTCCTCCCCTCATCTTTGCATTGTCCTCTGGTTTAGTGATACCTCAGCATAGATATACCCTCTTGGAGCAGATCTTGCTCTACATCAATCTACATCTGTTATCAGACACACCCTTCAAACACCATTATAGCTATAGTTGCTGGAATATCCGGCGTTTTGTGGAGGAAAGCAGTAAACGTTCACGTACATAGGGGACGACTACTTGGACAAGAGTAGCTGTCATCTCAATTAGTTGTACATTAGAAACAGGAAATAAATAGATCGGAAGCATCCTACTGGTATGCAAATGGGTTCACGCAATGAGCTTTGTCGCATGAATACATGATTCAAATGATTGAGAAGCATAGCGGAAGCCCGACGGTGTCTTCCACGTCGCCTCCACTCGTGAACGCGTCCCGTCAGATCGCTTTGCCTTGCTTTCCATTACACTTTATTCCGACCAAGCTCGCCAACTACGCCTATCAACATTCAGTACCTTTCGGCTTCAGCCTCAGTCACTGCCTCAATCGCAAGAAAGTATCAACCCACAACAGAGCAGGGATAATGGCGCAGCCCGTAGAACAATGGATCTACGACATCCCGCCCGTCACTCGTCTTTGGGTAGGCGCTTCTCTAGCAACCAGTCTCCTAGTGGTATGTGTCTGGTGAATGTGACGGATGGAGTGTGCGGTGATTGGGGCGCGAGACTGATCATCTCGCAGGAGTGCCAGGCCGTTGCCCCGTTGCAGCTGTATTTTTCTTGGAGGGGCGCCGTTGTGAATATGCAGGTGAGTACATCATGTTCGGCTTCTGTGACTTGTTTGATGTCTGTCTCTGACGTCCTATCTGTAGCTATGGAGGTTCATCACAACTTTCCTCTACTTTGGACCTATTTCGCTTGATCTGCTGTTTCATGTGTTCTTCATGTGAGTAGACAGACCATATCGTGCATTGCCGCCAGCATGCACGAGGTGATTGTTCGCAGCTGATTCATATCTCAGAATGCGTTATTCGAGACTGTTGGAGGAGAATTCTTTTGCAAACCGGAGACCAGACTACGCATGGTTGCTGTTCCTCTGTGCGAGCTTCCTCCTGGTACGTCTTCCCACCACGAACGAAGATGGTCATTTTGACTCTACAATAGGTAGTCTCATCAGTCACCACCCTACCCTTCCTCTCATCCTCCCTCGCCTTCGCACTAGTTTACATCTGGTCAAGACGCAATCCTGCAGTCAAGATGTCGCTTTTCGGTGTCGTCACGTACGTCTACCCTTGTCTTAATCAACTGCTGCTGACCTGGTAGATCAGAATAACTGCTCCGTATCTTCCGATATCACTGATCATATTCACGTGGATGTTTCAAGGCGGATACAGAGCTGCTATCCCGGACATAGTACGTCTCGAGTGGCCATCTTCAGAGCGGATGCTAAATCTTGATGGTGCAGGTGGGCATGCTGGCAGGGCACACCTATGTCTTTCTGCAAGACTACTGGCCACGAGAGATGTGGAGCATCAGTGGCAATCCAGAAGTCCAGACCCCAGCTTTTGTGTAAGTCTTGGGCGGTGCGCGACTCCTGCTTTTCGCTGACTCTGTACACACTAGTCGTCGGTTATTCGGGCAAGAAGGTCAATGAGGTGTCCTACTTCGTTACCATCAGCCATCAAATGATCTGGTTCTTGTTCTCATGTATAATCTAGCATACGTCGTGATCGCATTGGAGATCCCCGGGCAGGTTTGCTCAAGGGTGAGGAGAGAACACAGAGAAGTATGAGAGTGAGAGACGGGGAGATATCTGCCACGTACACGGACGACCCCCGTCAATCAAGGAAAGAATAACGTGGCTGAACAGGCGAGCAGGTGTTGTATGATCTTCTCAGTCCAGTTGATAGAGCACACAGTACCACCCCTGCCATCATCATGCGCCTCCGAGGATCTGTTGCCTAATGAGAGTTAATGCGATTCAGCACCCTTATGTGAGGCTAAGAGGGGACATTCGCACACATACAAATGAAAATCATGCACCGAGGGGAGAGATTCGCACCAGAGAGCATGAATTCCCTCCCATATGGTGTGCTTCGGAGGCAGCCGACGGATTCTCCGTGTCCACGCGGGTAGCCGAGCTGCTTCTTTTTATCTTCTTCCTCATCATCCTTCAATCTCGAGGCAGCGCATGGCCCGGCTTGCGCTGCACTGCACGCCATCACACTATAAGTGCACCATACAGACATACCCTTCTTCACCAGGGTGCCATGTCAGAGGAAAAGGAAGGCCTTCCCGCAGAATCCGGTAGTCATATCTCCAGCCTGCCAGAGATAGACACCGTCATTGATGGCGTCGATCCAGTCTATGCAGCGAAAGCTGGAGTCTTGAACCAAGCCGTGAGTAAAGGCCCCTATCTTGTGCCTGAGATTGATGCAGATGCTGACCTCTTCTGTAGGTCCAAGAAATCGGCATGGGTCGGTACCAATGGCAACTCTTTTGCGTCGCCGGCTTTGGCTGGGCCGTTGACGGCTTGGGCCTCGTAATCACCTCCCTCATCCTCACACCTATTACAAACGAGTTCAGCGTCTCTCGCCCTGCCCTCCTCACCCTGGCGTCGAATATCGGCTTGCTCGCTGGGGCTGCTTTCTGGGGTGTGGGATGCGATATCTTTGGCCGACGAGTAGGCTTCAACACTACGCTGTGTGTTGCCTCGGTCTTCGCCCTCATAGCCGCTTCTTCGCCAAACTTTGCTGCCATTGGGGTCTTCACTGCTCTCTACAGTTTCGGTGTGGGCGGGAATCTTCCGATAGACAGTGCTATCTTTTTGGAAGCACTTCCGCACGATCACCAATGGCTCCTCACGGTGCTTGCTCTGTGGTGGGCTGTAGCTCAGCTTATCGCGACAGGCGTAGCTTGGCCGCTCATGGGACAGCTCACATGCCAGCAAGACCAAGCTATCTGCAGCCGCGGGGACAACATGGGCTGGCGGTACTTTCTCATCGCTATGGGCGGATTGACTTTTGTCATGTGGCTCATTCGCTTTTTCATCTTCAGCCTGTTGGAAAGCCCTAAATACCTCATGGGGAAAGGGAAAGACGAGGACGCGGTTCTGGTTGTTTATGAACTGGCTAGAAGAAACGGCAAAGTCACGACCCTATCTGTACAGGATCTCACAGCGTGCGAACTACTGGCGGGTCCCGAAGCGAGGGGGGAGATGGATTTGAGGGCAGCGGTCAAGAGAACGCTTTCGGTCGTTGACGGGGCGCATGTCCGAAGGTTGTTTGCTTCAAGAAAGCTTGCTCTCAGTACCTCTATGATCATTGGCATCTGGGCACTCATTGGCCTTGCTTCTCCGTTATACGTAAGTGTTAATCTCTGTAGAAGAGAAGGCGGGGCTGACTATCATTAGAACAACTTTATAACATACACTCTGGCTACGAAGGGTGCGACGTTCGGCGACGGCTCGACCTACATTACTTATCGCAACTCTTGCATCATCTCTTCCCTCGGCGTCCCCGGTGCAATCATCGGAGGCCTCCTCGTGGAGATCAATCTTGTCGGACGAAAGGGCACCTTGGCCATCTCCGCCATTCTCAACGGAGTACTCATCTATGGTCTCACGACAGCGAAAACTAGTCCAGTACTGTTGGCATGGAATTGCGTTTACGCATTCTTTTCCAACGTCATGTACTCGGTACTATACGCTTACACGGCCGAGATCTTTCCCACAAGAGATAGAGGGACAGGTAACGCTTTGACGGCGGTCACCAATCGTACATTTGGTGTTGTCTGTGAGTACACCAGTCGCTATACCCATTGATCCACTTGCTTAGAGCATACCAGCTCCCATCATTGCCATGTTTGCAAACCTTAACACGTCGGCCCCCGTCTACACCAGCGGAGCCCTGTTTATAGCAGCAGGTCTCTTGGCGCTTGTGCTACCTTACGAATCCCGAGGAAAGGCATCTCTGTAGACCCGCTAGACATAATGACATGACTCTATTATGTTCCGTAATATTGTTGTACATATAATCAGCAACGGATATCATGTCATCCTGCTTTCCACATGAGAGCGTCGTTGAAGGCGGCTTTCATGATCTCGAAAGGATGTACCCTATATTGCATTTGGCAATACACCGTAGAGATATATGCTCACCATGCTCGCCTCTCCGCATAAGTACAAATGCAAGTACTAATGACATATCTGCTTGCAATACTCTGCATGTTGGCTGAGAAGAGTGCGGGCAATGATTATGTAAGCGCGCTGTGGCCGCACTCTCAAGTACGCTTTTTGATTTTCCACGCGCTCGTCTCTCGCAACTCATTACTCGAGCAACCATGCCGTTCCAACTCCCCGACATAAGCCATCGGCAGTCGCTCGTACTGACTGCCCTGGCAGCAGTCATCGCCACTTCCTCCGTCATCATCTCTTTCCAGTCACTCCGGCGAGAATTCAGAACGGAGCGCTTGAAGCGTCAAGTCGGCGAGGACGTCGAGGAATGGGAGAAAAGTAGGGAAGGAAGTGGGTTGTCGAGCCCAGATGAGAGGGCCGAGAGGATTGCTAGAAGAGAAAATAATTGGGCGGAAGGGTTTGACGAGGGGCTTATACGAGAGCAGGTGCGTCGCCATCGAATTGCGTGTCTCGATACTGATGCAATGAGGCTAGCTTACTAGAAACTACAACTTTTTGGGGGAAGAATCGATGGCTCTGGTACGGAAAGGTTATGTCGTGATTGTCGGATGTGGTGGTGTAGGCAGTTGGTGTGCCCTCATGCTGCTGCGAAGGTGAGATTCATCTTGGTTGGTGGTGGCGCATGTTTGTTGCTGACAGCCGATCGCCAGTGGTGTTGGTCGTTTACTTCTTATCGACGTAAGCAACTGGTCTCGTCTCATTGCATGGACTAACATATGTGCAGTTTGATCTCACCACTCTCTCGTCCCTCAATCGACATGCAAGTGCCACCTTGGAAGATGTCGGAACACCGAAAGTCATTGCCATGCAAAAATTCCTCAAAAAGGTCGCTCCTTGGGCCCAGTGAGTGTCCGTATCTGACCAGGCTACATATAGCTGACATGGTTATGCAGAGTTGAGACTCATGTTGGTCTTTGGCGTAAAGGCGAGGGCGAAAAGTTGCTGCAAGGAGCGGACTGGGTCGTTGATGCCATCGACAACATCGAGACAAAGGCAGACTTGCTCTCGTACTGTCACAAGAGTGGCATCAAGGTGTTCTCAAGCATGGGCTCTGGGGCTAAGCAGGACCCTACCAGAGTCCAAATTTCGTTCGTGCTTTTCAGATACATGCAAGATTTGAAGCTAACACTCTGTCCAGTGATATCTCGGCTACCAACGAAGACCCGCTCGCCCGAAGCGTGAGAAGACATTTGAGGATCAATGGCATCTCCTCCGGTATTCCGTACGTCAAACCCAAGCCTATTTGGCGATAAGCTCTAACACCTTCCAGCGTCGTCTACTCTACTGAAGTACCTTCCGAGGTCAAGCTCCTTCCATTGGACGAGGAAGAGTTCCAACGGGGTGCCGTCAAAGAGCTTCAAGCCTTTGACGACTTCCGCGTTCGAATCATGCCTGTCCTCGGCCCTCTTCCAGCCATATTTGGCCTGAACGTCGCTACCTATATCCTCCTTGATCTCGCCGGCAAGCCGTTAACCGACTACATGGAGATCAAGAACAGGAAGAAGCTTTACCAAGGACTCGAACGTGGTCTTGGGTCCAGAGAGACCAAGTTCAAGGGAGAAAAGCTCATCGTCAAACTTCCCGTATCTCTCGAAGATATCGGGTTTGTGTTTGATGAGCTTTACCACGGGCGCTCAAGTCTCCCGCCATATGAGATCTTGCAAAAGGCCAATGCCGTGCGTTGGGATAAGAGCCGAGGGCTGGATGTGGACAACATGGTTGTGATGAACAACAAGGATGTGGAGAAGCATTTCCAGGAGCATTTGATGGGCGACAAGTCGCTGGTGGATCTTTGGGGGCAGGACGTTGTAGATCGCATTAGACGGAAATCTGACGAGGCGAGAAAGGTCATTGCTTGGAGGAGAAGCTAGACTAGCAGTGTATGCATTGCTCAATACATATCACCCAGGTCTGACCCTTTGTTCATATGAAGTGCCTCCATGCTTTGTGCAGTGGCAGTCGTGCAAGATGCTGCCACAAAGGTCTGCTCCTTTCAAGATATTTCTTCAATCCCTGTAACCCCACTCGTCCCTATCATAATCATCCTCCTGCTCCTCCTCGCTCCAATCACTATCGTCATCTCCTCCTCTAAAGCCCATCATGTCCTCGTCTGCATCCTCATCCTCGGGATAATCGTTCCTGTAGTAGTCCTCGTCATTGGAATCTTCGTCTGCTTCGTCCTCTGGTTCGGAACCAGACACCGAAGAAGGTGGAGAGCCGTCTTCAAGGCCGAGTCTGCAAATGGTCAGTTCAAGCAAGAGACGGAATGGTCGATGACGTACAGTTGACCAATAGACACCCCGTCTCCCACTCCGAGATCTAGAGGCACAGACCCGCTCGTGTCTCTGTAGTACAGATCATAGACCCAGTCATCGTTACTCTCCTCTTTGGCCGCCTGCTGTTTCGCCTCCTCCTCCACTGCAGATACGCTCAGTATTACACAACCTCTTAAAAGGCTGCACATACGTTTCAAGTACTCTTGTAGCATCGGCAAGAACGCTGCCACCTCTTTATCCTCTTCTATATCATTCTTTCTCCGAGCATCTTCTACCGCTTGGGCATCGACGAATACCAAAGCAGGATCACGCCCCTCGGTCCTAGTAGATATCAGCGATCTGAAGCTTGTAGTAAGATGAAACGTGTCCCACTCTGCGGCGGTGATCAACCGGGGAGGCATCATTGCTTTCGTCCGAGGCGACATGGGTGGAATCACCCGGTACTGCATCTGAGCTCGAGCCTGAGATGACCGTCTCTCCACTGGAGGCTGTACCGGCTGCGCTACCGGAGGAACCGTTTGGGCAGACGTGGAAGCCGGCTCGTGAGACGAGGGCAAGTCTAAGGGAGGTAGTTGTGCGGAGGAGTACGTGGGATGGGAAAGTGATGGAGCGGGTGGTTCTGCAGTCGGGCTCTTTACAGGAGGGCTAGTAATGGGCGAAGGCGAAGCTCCTGATGATAGCAGACCTTGGATCCTGGTCTAACTCTCCAATGTCAGCGATGTCCGCGTTCAGACTCAACAGCCAGAGTGGCCACACCGAGCAGGGACCTTGCCTCACCTTCAGCACCTTCCCTTCCTCCCCTTCCCCAATCCATGTCCCGGGCACAGTATCCGCCAGTCTGAATACGCCCCTCGGTCGCCCAGCGATATCCCGCCGCCTCTTTGCTCGAGATTCGTCTTGGATGACTAGATGGGGTGCATGAGCATACAGGCTACAATTCCATAGACTGTGGTCGTACCAAGAGAGGACAAGGCTGGTTCTGTAGCCTTCCGCTTGATTCGGAGGACGGTGTAGCTCGAGGGGTGAGGAGCGGGAGAGAGAGGGTAGCTGGGGTCGATGTCCATGGTGAAGCTTGCTTGAGGGTCTGATGATATATCCGAGTGTGAGCTGGAGGGCGATTGAGGATGCTGATACGATGCTATAGAACAAGCAAGAAACAAAGAAGAAAAGAGATAGAGCGATGCTCATTTTCGTCAAAACACCGCTCAAGCAGACCAACCTCCACTTCCATTCATCTCTGGTACTGAAAACACAAACCATACTTCTACAACATACGTACCCAGCACTCTCATTGCTGCTCCTATCCCAGAGACTGCCGCCCACAGACATGTCCTGCACCGCTCTCCGCGCACTCCCTCATCCTCGTCATCTCATCTCCCCTCGCATGCGCATAGCTCGAGCCTGCGCCTCCAACTTCAGCACCTCTTCCAACCCATCCCCCATATCAATGTCCCCAGTCCAATCCGACGCCATCCCAAAAATAACCCCCACCCCTCTCTCCCGTGACGTCCTCGTCAAACTACACAAACTCTCAGCTCTGCATCCCCCGCCAGGAGGTTCGGCAGAGGAGGCAGAGATGGTGGAGGAACTGGGAGAGCTAGTGGGTCTGATGGACTTGGTAAAGCAGGTGGAGTTGCCGCAGGAAGAGATTGAAGGGCTGTTGGGCGAAGGCATAGGGGCCATCAGAATTGGGCAAACGGATGCTAGTGGGAAAGAAGAGGAGACATTAGAGAAGGAGGGATCTGGAAAGAAGCTGCTTGCATGGAGTCCGACGAGAGTGGGCGATTTCTACTCTTCGGCTCTCAAGAAGACATGAACCGTATCATACGATTGTATACATGCAACTGACTGCATAGTAACTATTGGAAGATTGGCATGGTGATAGACCAAAGGAAATGGGCCCAGCGCATGGGATTCTCGAAGGGAACATCAAGTACGAAGCACTCGACAAGCCGCGCATGATCTAGAATCATTATGCATCGAGCACATTGAAAACGAGCGACCCACTTGCACAGCACGACTTGGTCGTACATAGAAATGCGACAAAGTCGCAGGACGGCAGAGGAAGTAAAACGTTTGAGGATGCCATACCACACAAGTACCATTGGTGCCTTGAAGTATGAACTCGGAGGTGAGCCAGGCAGCCGACCCTAAGGATCGTCTTGTCTTCTGAGAAGACCCTGATGGCGTTGCATACTTTGTATGTGCCAACTCAGAACCGAGCAAGCACAGCCCTACGGGCGAGTCCTCAAATGAAGATGTGCTTACATCGACAAAAGGTGGTCGAAAAAAAACCCTCTAATCAGGATCAAGATCCTTACCAACGAGGGAAAAAGGTGAACACCCAGTGTCTATACGCGCAAATAGGTGATTCACCCCCCTGCGCGTACTTTCGTCGTGTGAAAAGGTATACAAACCCCCTCCACGATTATCGGGCAATTGGCTATTATAGCCACTTGCACGGGATAAGTAACGCCCATCTTAGACGTGCGCACAAGCGCCCCCCACGCCTATCCAAAGGGTGTAGGGGAAGTCTCCCTTCTAGCAGCTTCCAGACTACTAGAAGGAACGAATGTTGGACTTAAGTCTTCCCCAAATTGCAAATCGGGGAAGGCGGCCGTATGCGGACTTACGCTGTCCTGAGGATAGCAGCCGGCTGTTGGACTTACGCCTTACGGCTGCCGTAGGTGTTTACTCGGTGCGCTGGCGCTTGACCTCGCGGGTGGCGGTCTCGTCGGCGAGGACGGCCTCGGGCACCGTCTCAGCGCTAGGCGTAGGGAGAGACGGGTTGATGGGGGCAACGACAGCAGCGTTGGGCTCGGGCTTGGTGACGGTGGGCAGCTCGGGGTTGCCCAGGACGGCTCCAGCGGCGTGGACGACGGGGAAAAGCTTGTGTTCAGCACCAAGAGTGTAGGTAAAACTCTTTTGGGCGAGAAGAGAGGGGCCGTCGGCAGGAGAGAGCTCGAGCTGGGAGTATGTCAGTAGAGAAACTTGTCGTCAGGAATGACTCACGAGGGAGATGAGGTCCTCGAGCAAATGGGCTTGTCCGGCTACCTGGGAACCGAGGTTGTCATGGCTGATATGGACGACGTGGACATGGAAGTGGTCTGTGACGTGATCAGACAAAGAACGCCGAGGTTGAGGAAAGACTTACAGTAGGTTGGATGGTAGTGGACAAAGAGTCTCAACTTTCCCTTGTCTACGCCATGCTTTTCCTCGGCCACACGCCAAGCTTCCTTCTGGATGTCTTGAAGGAGCGGCAAGTGGGAGGGGCGGAGGTCCCTCAGAGACTTGATGGCTCGGTCTTGGGTAATGACCACCAAGTACTATCCACACATCGATATGCGACCCGTACAGCGTTCAAAGGGTACTCACAAGGGCGTTCTGTGTAGTCTCGTCCCATTTGAGGTCGGGAAGGACTACGAAGCCATCGGGGCCGGACTTGTTGACCAAAACTCTGTCGACTTCTTTCCTGCCCTCGAGGATCTCATAAACCCTGTCGATATGATCAGCACAACCGCTGATTAACATTCAACCTTGAGGCTCACCATTGAATCTTTGAGACCGGCATGGCGTCAATGAAGGGCTTGACGACGGTCTCGTAGACCTCAGCAGTCTCCCTGACCACATAGCGCTCCTGGATAGAGTACTTTTTGATATGATCCGCAGTCGCGGGGCAGATGAGCTTGAGGTTGTAGTCGGGGTGAGTAATGTCCGGCTTGACCCATGCGTGTGCAGAGTAATACTATCATCCAACATCACACGCGTCAGCACCGCACTTGGCCCTTGACGACGAAAGGACGACTTACAGGAGTGTTCTCCAAGAGAAGCTTGACATCCTCGAGGCGTTTGACCACCTCTTCCGCATCCTTACCAGCCACAAGGGACTTCTGAAGGTGGACGATTGCATCCTCGCCCTCGAGTCGACCGAGGATGAAGGTCGAGCCGGTGAAGGTGGACTCGGAGAGGATCCTCTCAGGCTGGAAGCCACCGAGAAGAGCCGGGGTGAGCTGGAGGGGGGTTGCTTGGGCGTCGACGGACATGGTAGCGGAGGTGCGGGATGAAAGGGGGGAGGGGGATAAAGAAGAAAGAAGGAAGGAAGAGAGAAGATAGATAGAAAGTAGATCACATATCAGGCCGTGTGCGAGTAGCGGGATCAAATGGCGGCCCGAAAGCCGAAGCGACACGCCCTTCACCGAAAGATGGCTTCAATTTGGTCGCTGTCATGTACGAACGTTGAGCGAGTTGTAGCACTGCACAGCTTCAGCTAATCTCCCTGCTCAAGCTTGCTCTGACCCGCTGCCACAATGTCGACCGCTATCCCCGAGACGATGAACGCCGTCGTCCTGAAACAACCCTACAAAGTCGCTCTCGAGAAAGTACCCACTCCAATGCTTCTAAAGAGTGATGATGTTATTGTTAAAGTACATCTCGCTGGGCTATGTGGTATGTGTATCCTGCTCCGTCTATTGTCAAGGTTACTAACAATGCGAATGACAGGATCCGACCTTCATCTGTACCGGGGAACGGAAGATGCGGGCAAGGACTATGTGATGGGGCATGAGGTCGTGGGAACGATCGTTCGGAAAGGAAATGATGTCAAAGAATACAGTGTAGGAGATGTGGTGGCTGTCCCATTCACGATATCTTGCGGTATGTCCCTTCTCACAGCTGATGGTCAGAACTGACCCGCGATCAGGCAAATGCTACTACTGCAAGTCTTCCCTCACCTCCCGATGCACCTCCTCAGCTTTATTCGGAACTCCAAACCTGCCCGGGTTCCAGGCAGAGTACGTCCGAGTCCCCCTGGCTCCAGCCTGCCTCCTCCTCAAACCCCCTCAGCTCCCGGAAGAGCTCATGCTTCTGATGGCCGACATTCTGCCTACGGGGTACAGTGCGGCGTATAACGCTTGGAAGCTGTTGGGATGGGGCGAGGAGAAGGGAGGGAAGGCAGAGAAGAGGGGAGTCTGCGTTGTTGTGGGCTGTGGACCTGTGAGCCGCTTCGTCGTGCAGCGTTACAGGGTATTGCTGACCATATGACAGGTTGGCCTTTGCGCTATCACGTCGGCTCTGACATTATTTGACAAGGTCTTTGCTGTCGACCCTACCTCTTCCCGGAGAGAACTGGCGGCTAAACACGGTGCCATCCCCGTGTCCCCGTCTGATCTCCAATCTTCAGTCTTTTCGGCCACGGAAGGCCGAGGGGCCGATGCCGTTCTTGAAATCGTTGGGAATCAGAGTGCTATAGATACCGCCTTGAGCGTAGTGAGGCCTTACGGGGCTGTAAGCAGTGTCGGTGTCCATGCGAAGGAGTTAAAGATTGACGGAGGGCTGCTTTATGACAAAAAGTGGGTGTTCTTCTGGAGTCGAGTCGTTGATAATGAGGGCGAAGCTAATGCCTTCTGTCCAGCGTAAAACTCCAATTCGGCCGGTGCTCTGTCAAGCGCTTTTATCTCGCGGCCCTTGAAGTGCTTATCGATAACCAGAAACTCTTCGAGAGCTTTATTGCCCACATTGTGAACTTTGATCAAGCCGAAAAGGTAAGCCTTCGCTTGGTAGTGGCCACATTGACTCGACAGCGATGAGCTGACCATATTCTAGTATTACGAACTATTCGAACAAGGAAAAGTCCCCAAGACAGTCTTTAGGCCATAGGATTATGCAATGAACGGACGCGGCGAACGAGAGTTGGAGGGATGCTTGGAGGCGATGCAAGCCAGCAGATGTTGAGGTATCCGATCTCCATGAGACTGCGGCTGGTCGATGGTATGCATATGACAGCGAGCGTTCCAAAAGTTAGAAGTACACAACCCCACCCGGAACCCGGTCCTCGTCCGAGTCTCCGAGCGGCGACAGTGCGTGGGGATGAGCTGGCGATGAAAGTAACCCTTGTATTTGATTACCGCCATTCTTCACCTCTTCGACTCGTTTTCCCTTATTGCTTATTGTCAATCATAAACCAGATAGAAGGAGCAGCAGGCTCTCATCTTCACTTCAGTGCTGCTGCAGTGACGCCCTCCCGCAGAAAGGTGAGAGGCTCAGGCCAACAAAACAGACTGACACTCATCAAGCGCCCCTCTCTCTCCCCTCATCTTTCATCATCATCCCTTGCTTCTATCTTGCGTCTACACGCTTCGACTTGTGCTGCCAAGGTCGCTCACTGCTAAGCTCCACCGACTCGCGGAAACACGGCAAGCAGCTCGTGCATATGAGGGCTGTCCGCTGTACGCGTGGTAAACATCAGCTCTTTGAACAATTGTGGGTTCAACATATCTTCTTTTGGGATCGTACTAGTACAGTACTCTACTGTCACTCGTCCTGTAAAGTACATCTGCTACTGTTCTCTTACTAACGCACCCTTCAGCTTGTCACTCTCGCCCATCTGTAGCCGGCATCTTGACTCAACATCAACGACGGTACCCTGCGCTCATGTTAATTTCCTGGTTCGCTGCTCCTTCAACATATCCCCATGATACAATGCCTACCCGTGCTGGAGATAGGAAGGAGAACCAATTTTGAAGCAAGTTTGTGAAATCATATGAGACCTGCTGACAGCGCATTTCAGTCAATCATTCATGTAAAATATATCTTCTGATCAATCTCCTATGACGGATACGTTTAGTACCTGCCACCGCCACCACCCTGGAATCCACCGGGACTGAACAGAGAATGTCAGATGAGAAGCATTGATGAGATCAAGAAGATCACTTACCCACCACCACCGCCGCCCTGGAAGCCGCCCTGCTGACCACCGGGACCACCGGGGCCACCACCACCCTGGTGGCCACCAGGTCCACCGAAGCCACCACCGCCTTGCTGGCCACCAGGTCCGCCGAAGCCGCCGCCGCCTTGCTGAGGGCCTCCGGGTCCACCAAAGCCACCGCCGCCCTGCTGCTGTCCGGGTCCACCAAAGCCACCGCCGCCCTGCTGCTGTCCGGGTCCACCAAAGCCACCACCGCCACCGCCCTGGAAGCCTCCCTGCTGCTGGCCACCACCGAATCCGCCGCCGCCGCCCTGCTGGGGAGGGGGGCCACCGGGGCCGCCGCCCTGCTGGCTAGAATCTTCGTCAGTGGAGCTCGACATTCAAGGGGTCCAAGACTCACCCGCCGTGCGGACCCTCGTGCTTGTGGTGGAAGAGACCCATTGTGATTGTGTTTGTTGTAGTTTGGTTTGTGGTGAAAAGAGGAAAGTGTTGAAAGAGGTGGGGGATGATCCTGGAGCGGCAAGACAAGGCCCTCTTATATAGGCTGGTCAGTCACTTGATGCCGTTCAGAGGCCATAGCTTTCTTAGGTGCAGTGCCAGCGAAATGACGCTTGAATCGTCATTTGGCGCAACTCGCAGCAGGGCGATCTCTTTTGTCAGGGTAGCCGAGATTGCCGACGCGACGCGATTATGGCCTGGTACAGGCTGACCCGCGAATGACCTTGCTCTTGTCGAAGATATGGGGATATGATCACCTTCATCTCGTTCAGAATCAGTGGAATGAAGCTTGTCCCTGGTCTTTTGCTCTGTGGAAGTGGACATGTCCCGAAAGCCTGCCTCTGGAAGTTGGAATCATCCAAACTACAACAGCCGGTAGTGCGCAGCAAGTCAGGCAAATGAAAGGTACAGAAGCCGGAGCGCTTTCTATGCGCTCCGTGGGCGGTGAACAGCCGTCTGCCATAACGTTTTGGCTTTCGCTTTGTGTTGTACAGCTATGGGTCAAGATGTCAAGGGGCATTATGACGAGCAGATCCGGTCGAGTCCGTACTCGTATGTACGAAGCGCACGGCATAAAGTGTGCAGTTGGGGAACGGAAATGCAGACGTCTCTTGGCCAGACTGGTCATAGCACAAAGCAAAGCAAAATGCATCCCTATACAATGACCACAACGCAGACAAGAACAGACAGCAGCCATGTACATTCTAGAGGCATTCTAAGCAACCTTGACTCCCTGGGTCCACATCCCCTTCCTGTTGCTACAATCGCCATTGGACCACCATCTCTCTAGCACCTCAATCCACCACTGGTCATTGTCAGTGTCGATAGACTTGTCTTCAAGGTCAAAGAGGTCGAGAGGGCCAGTACCGATCGGGTTCTCGTCGCTGGCAAGTTCAACTAAATATTGTCAACAATGGCCTTGTTGTCTGACGAAAACATACTGAGCTGAGCATCAAACTCCATCCCGACTTCCAGAGCACCTCCCAGCCCCATACCAGCCTTTCCACCCCTCGTAGCAGCCCACATTGCCTCTTTCCAATCCACCCTCAGATCCCGGCCCCCACCCTCCTTCTCCGACTTCATTCCGAAGAACGAGCACCCCGCCTTCTCACACCTGTCTCCCTCTCGCATGCGCGAGATGATCACGGCTTGACGCATAGCAGTATGGATAGAGGGAGAGTACCCGCCGGCAATGTCGGTGCCGAGACCGAGGGAGAGGGAGGCATCGAGGGCCTCGCGGAGAGGGAATTGGCGTTCGGAAAGGTATTGGTTTGAGAGGGGGCAATGGGCGATGGTGACACCCCGCTCTTTCACGAGTACAGACATATCCTCGTCAAGGTATGTGACGTGAGCTTGGAGCGTTTGAGGAGTGAGGAGACCAAACTGAGAGACATTAGTTGTTGCTCATGCACGACCAAGAAGACGTACTTTGTCAAAGACTTTTTCATCGTTCATTTTCTTGTTCATCATCACCATATCTATCTGATCCCTCCCTTCACACATATGACTCTGCAAGCGCACATTCCTCTCCTTGCTGACCTTGGCCAGCCCCTCCAGCAGCTCGTCAGAGCAGACCGGGACGAATCGGGGAGTAATGATAGGCTGGACGAGCTGCCTGTGCTTGGGGAATTGGGAGATGTAGGACTCGAAAGAATCGAGGAACTCGTTGAGGGAAGTGAGGGAGGATGCCGCAGAAGCTTCGCCATAAGTCGGGCGCTAGACATCTGGGTCAGCATGGACATTGTAAGGGCTTGCAAACACGTACGGGCGATTCGTCCATCGACAGCTTGCCTATGAATGCTCGGATACCAGACTTCTGGACCTTCCTCGCCAATATCAGACTGCGCACACGTCAGCTGAGTTGCTGACCACGGAACAGAACTTACTTGGCCTTGACGCCGATGGTTCCAAAGAAGACCACACACCCCGTCCCGTTCTCCCTCAGACGCTCCACGAGCCGCCCATACACTCGTTCCGCAAGCGCCTCGTCGCTATCGATTCTCTCCTCTGCCCTGTACGCATACCTCTCCAGCCACTGCAGGAGCGGCAAGTCCAAGCCCGTTCCGGCGTAAAGGTACTGAGGAGCGTGCAGATGGAGGTCGGCGTAGGTGGGCAGGAAGAACGAGTGCTTGCCTAACGGTGTCGGGCTGTTGTCCTTGAGAAGAGCCTGAGACGAGGGGTCGGATAGAGGCGCGACGTGGGAGATGTATCCCTGGTCATCCACAGCTGAGAGGGAGGTGAGCCACGTTCCATGTGTGCTTGGCTCGGCTGACCGAGTAGATGGTTGCGCCTGACTCTGAGGTGGGAGGAGGCGGGGGTGTCGACGAATGTGCCGGTGAAGAGCTGAGGCATGGCGAGCAGAACAGGAATGGTGCAGAGTGAGAGATTCCGAGGAGAAAGGAAATGAGAATGCATCGCGCATATAAGAGAAAGCGTTATCATGGGGGCGGCGCACGCCGTCGTCCGCCTTGACCGGGCCAGCTCTGGTATCCGTTGACTGACAGCCCCTGCCTGAACGGCGATAGCACATTGGCCGTATGTAATCCCGAATGCATGCTTTTCTACAACTGCCTGAGCCTACACGAATCCCAAAACGATATGGAGCATATGTAACCGCTCTTTTACTTTCAGATCTTGACGTCGTTCGCAATGACACTCCAGGGGTGTTCAACCTCACCGGTCTGGATAGCGTTCATCTGGTGAAGTACGCCCTTGGCGATGGGTCCGAGACCATCGGGTCCGACGGGGATCTGGATGTCCCTGCCCTCGTAACCGATCTTGTCGACGGCAGACACGACAGCAGCGGTACCAGTGCCAAACACCTCAAAGAGGGTTCCGTTGGCTTCGGCATCGACCAAGTCCTTCATGATGACCTTGCGTTCAGAGACGACGAGCTTTTCGGGGAGACCGGGGATCTTGGCCTTGCCGGAGGCGTGGTCGCGGGCAAGCTGGAGAGCAGAGTCACGGGTGACGCCGGCAAGAATGACATCGTCGAGGGGAGGGGTGACGAGCTCGACAGCTGGAAACTGTCAGTATGGATCTGTGGCGTCTTGAAGGAGACCCACTGCCGTCGGCTTGCTTGAAGGCGACAAACAAGTTCATGGTGCCGACCTCAGTCAAGGCGTGCTCAGGGCCGAGCAACCAGAGGTTCTGGCTGTAGCCTTCCTTAGCGGCTTCGGATTGAGGAACAACGCCGGGCGCGTAGCTATCGGTGTATCAGCAACTGTGTCATTTGGCACGGCACACACTTACTTGGCACCGAGCTTGAACCCACCAGTACCTCCGTGAGTAGCACGGACATACTTGGTGGTAGCCAACAGTTGGACGGGCTTGAAGCCAGAAGCATAGTAAGGGCCGACCTGGTCTGCCGTCAGCGCGCGCCGAATGTATCTACGATTCACGTACAGGAGAGCAGATGACAAACAAGAGAGCGTCACTGGAAGGTCCCACGCCGAGCGCACTTTGGGTGCCGATCATGGTAGGGCGGATGTACAATGAGTAGCCCTTCTCCTTGGGGATCCACTCCGAGTCGAGGACGACGAGTTTCTTGATAAGCTCAGTGAGGGCTTCACCGTCAAAGTTGGGAAGCGCGATACGGCTGGCACTCTGTATCGTGTCAGTACATCCTCACATCTTGTGGATACCACTCACTCTGTTCATTCGTGCCATGTTCATGTCGGGCCTAAACAACCGCACGGTGCCGTCCTCCTGCCTGTACGCCTTCATACCCTCAAAAAGGGTGAACGCGTAGTGAAAGACGGTGGAAGAAGGGTCAAGCGACAAGTTGCCATAAGGCTTGATGTGGGGCACGTCCCAGCCGGTGGCGCTGGACCAGGGGATGACGAGCATGTGGTCGGTAAAAGTGCGGCCAAAGACGAGTTTGTCGTGGGGAAGCTGAGTTTTGGCTGACGTTGTCTTGTCGATTTTGACGGCAGAGGGCTATGATGAAGTGTGAGCTTGGTCTGCCAGAGACAGGTGTGGACTTGCGTCAATCTCGCCGTGTTTTGAGATGAGCTCGCCAGTCATCATATCGGTCTGAAGACCCTTGCCGTAGCTCCTAGCCTGGAACGAGGGCAAAGCACGGGGAAACGCCGTCTGGCGGAGGGAGCGGGAGATATTTCTGAGTGGTGAGAGACGAGACATTTTGGAAAGCTGGTTGAAAGAGAAGAGGACAAGAAAGTTACAAATGTCATGGAGCTCAGGCGGGCGTCGTCAGTCGTGTCGAGTCGCGAGCTTATCCTCTGCACGTGACTCGGCCAATTCCGGAATTTCTTTCGGCCGTATCCATCACCTTGTTGTTGGGTTCGCCTTTGTGTTGATGCTGCCTCCTTCGTTTGTACATACGAGTTGCATTGAGAGCTTTGAGTGATGTTCTTTGGCCTGCTTGGGTCGTCATGCGCACCGAATTTACTCCCGCCCCCACGGCCGCTATGAAAATCAACAACTTGCCCTGTCCGTCTCGAGCTTGGGATGTCATGTCGCTTTGACGGTAGAATTGCCGATCCATCAGAGTATATATATTGCAGGATCAGCAGTGATTGGGTCTCAAGGGGACAAAGGCTAGGCTGAGAGGCCTTTGGGTTGCTACAACCGGAAGGTGCGCTAATGCTGACCAGTGACACCAGACATTGGTGCTTGCAGACTCACACAAGATACATGCGTCATTACTGTTATTACAACACGCTTCCACTACAAGTACGACCGGTCCAAGAAGCTCAATAGGTCAGATCTTCCACACCAGTCTTTGCAACACATTCTTGTACCATCAAGCGTATCTGCAAGGATACCATCAGCTCCCAAACAGCGTCAATATACAGAGCACTCACATCGATGACACCTGTCTCGACGGCCTTGATGCTCAGCAACGGCTCATGCTTCTCCAAGCTCTTATCGGATCCTTCTGCGTGTTGCAGCACGTCAGATGCCAGAGCGGGTACCCATGGGCCGACATCCTGAATTGACGTTAGTATTGGGGGGTTGCGCGTGTACGCTACGTACCGCGGTCGAGTTGCCCGATGGCTCGAGGTCGTCGTTTGTCTCTACGACGATCGCAAAAGTACACTCGTCTACAGCACAATGAGCTCCAGTCCTACAGTTGAGAGGTACTTGCCTTTATTATCACGTAGCTGTCCATCCAAGGCAACAAGTTTGACAAGAAATCCACGCAGCATGAGACCCAGCTCATCGGCATTGGGGGCACCAGTCAAGCTACAAGTGATGAGCGCCACTCATCGGCTCCCATCTCGGCCGCTCACCCTATATCCTTCCTTCCTTCCAGTCCCATGATGTATCCAATATCGAATATCAGCCTCTCCATTGGCAACCCGGTGCGCACGCTCTTGATCACCACGGTCATTCTCCGCAATCTGCCCTCTTGTATTTCCTTCCCGACACTGGCGATCACCTGAGCAATGTAGGACCGCACGGTGGGGTGGCGGGATTGATAGACCGGAACGCCATGAGCACGCCGGCGGGTGAAAGTCGCCGGTGGATATATTTGCCTGATGCAGAGGACCGTGTGAAGAGCGATCTCAACTGGGGTCCGTCAGTGCGTGTTTCTTTGGAGATCAAGCAGACGTACGAAACGACGTGAGAGCGTCCCCAATCTCTGCGAGGTGGTCAGCAAAGCCTACGTCCAGTTGGGTTGACTGACCCTTGTAGCTCAATCCTGGTTGGACCATTTCTTGCTGGAGATGTACTGGCCACGGCGGCCAGAAATGTACGCGACGCGCTCGTTTCCGCGTCGCTTTGAGCTGATGTTCGGCTGTCCCGCTGTTACATAAGCGATCAGGCTGCTAGCGATCCGGATTTGGCCGTTATCATCGGGTGGAAACGGAGATGTAGATGGCGTGCCTGGCTCAGTTCGAAAACAGAAGTTGATCGTTCGAAATCGCGAGAGCCGTGAGTCGAGCTGGGAATGGAGACATTTTATCACAGCCCGACTATACCGATTATCACCGTCCATCTCTCCTTTTACCCGTCCCCAGGCGCACTCTTCCGCCTGCCCTCTATATATACCCACCATGACTCGTCCCCTCGCCCTCGCCCCGGTCCTCCGTTCACTAGATAACACTCCTTCCCACCGTCTCGCCTTATCACAGCTCCTTTCACGCCCCCAAGAGAAGGCAGCCTGCACAAGAGCATATAACACCACCACCGCCCCTCGCATTCCCACCACGCTTTCACACCACTCTCGCACAATGCCCATCGCTCTTCCCAGCCGCTCGCTTTCTTCGGCCGCAGACAGTCAGCCTATCAAGGCGAGGTCTGGTGAGTTGTTCACTGCTTCCCCAATGGCTTTGGTGGCCGTTGCTGATAGACCTTGTAGCATCTCCCCACCCCACTACCACTCCCGAGCAGAATCTCCTTCGTCTCAAGGCCCACCTCCAGAACCTGCCGACTCCTCTTCTCAAAAATGTCCACCTCGCCAAAATCCGACGAAGCGATCCCAATGCATTCTTCTCGCTGATGCGTGACGAGCTCATCGACTAGTGAGTAGAGACCCCCATCGTGTGACCCCTTTCGAGGCTTGCTATGCGTGTCAGTGCGTCTGCCGTGCGCATCTCGATCACTCGACCTGAGCAAACCTTGCGCTCGCTGGATCTGCAGGATCATACAGCGTCTCGGGATATCTCATTCACCAGTACCACGTCCTGCAACGGTCTGCTGTACGACTTGTAACTACAGTCGCTGACGATTTCACCCTAGCGCTCCCATCGTCTACACTCCCACTGTCGGCGAGGTTTGCCAGAAGTATTCTCAAATCTACGATGGACCCGAAGGCTTGTACCTCAGTATCGAAGACAAGGTAGGCATTATCTCTACACATCGAATACCCTTACTTACCTACCAACACAGGACCGCATCCCCGAGATCCTCCGTGAATACGCCTCAAACCTCTCCAACACGCCCCAAATCCTCGTGGTTACCGATGGTTCTCGTATCCTTGGACTGGGAGATCTCGGAATCGGAGGAATGGGAATCAGTGTCGGAAAGCTAAACTTGTATGTTGCTGGTGGTGGTGTGAATCCGCATGGCTGTCTGCCTGTCGTCCTCGAGTGAGTCCTTTCCGACCCCTTATTCGGCCGAGCTGATGATGTTGTAGCATGGGCACAAATACAGAGTCCATCCGAGATGACCCACTGTATATTGGTCTCCGACGCCCTCGTGCCACCCTCGAGGAAGCTACCGAGTTCATGGACGCCTTCATGGCTGCCGCTTCCGAGGCGTTCCCCAAGGCTGTCATTCAACATGAGGACTTTTACTCTGAAGCCGCTTTCGGCTTCCTGGAAAGGTACAAGGAGGACTACCGAATGTTCAACGATGACATTGAGGGGTAAGTACCATCTATGGTATGTGGATCTTGCTGACGTGCTATAGTACCGGCTCTGTCATTCTCGCTGGGTTCCTGGCCGCTGCCAAGCAGGCTAGTGAGGCTTCCGGCAAATCCTTGAAGGACCACAGGATCGTCTTCCTGGGTGGTGGTTCTGCTGCTGTTGGGTGAGTTGCACCGCTGCATATCCTTGCTGGGCTAACCATTCTGTAGTGTCGCCAAAGAGATGATGAACTTTTTCAGGATGCAAGGATTGACCGAGGATGAGGCCAGAGAAAGGTTCTGGCTCATCGACACCAAGGTCAGTATACCGGTCCGCTGTGAAAACATAGACTAATCCCTACCAGGGTCTCATCACCTCTACCCGCCCCGACGTCGTCTCTGGCAAGGTCGCTTCCCACAAGAAGTACTTTATCCGAAACGACACTGAAGGCAAAGAGTACCCGTCCCTCGAGTCCGTCATCGAGTACGTCAAGCCCACCGCCCTCGTCGGTCTCTCCACCACCTTTGGCGCCTTCTCCGAGCCCGCCGTCCGCCGCATGGCCGAGCTCAACGAAACACCCATCATCTTCCCTCTCTCCAACCCCACCAGCAAGTGCGAGCTTTCCTTCTCTGACGCCCTCGAATGGACCGACGGCAGGGTGCTCTTTGCTTCTGGGTCTCCTTACCCCTCGCAAGAGTTTGGCGGCAAGTTCCGTGAGCCTGGACAGGGAAACAACTTCCTCGTCTTCCCTGGTATTGGCTTTGGTGCCCTCCAGGCTGGGGCTACGAGGATCACGAATGGCATGATCACTGCCTCTGCCATCTCGCTCTCCGAGGCGCTCAATGCCGAGGAGAAGGCGAGAGGGTTGCTCTACCCCAGGCTCGACAGGATCAGGGAAGTCAGCGCGAGGGTTTCCGCAGGTGTTGTCAAGCGAGCACAGGAGGATGGCGTTGACACCAACACTGAGTTGAGAGGTCTGGGTGAGTACTCTCCATGTTTCTCGCCGAGCGGTAGCTAACGACTGCTCAGATATTGACGCTCTCACGGAAAAGATGAAGAGTGCTCAGTGGTGGCCCCGAATGTAGCTTACCATGTTGACTCTGGATGTGTAAAAAAAGCCCAGCCATAACACCTATGGAGGCTTCTGGTTGCCAGACCGGTTTACGATAATTCATGTATAACGTACACTATCACTGTGAAGCCGATGATAGACCACTGGCAAGCAACAACTGAACAAGCCTTTCTTGAACCACTGTCATGCCCTTACACTATACTCGTCTCGCACGCCAGGCTTTATAATTTGACGCAGCACATCGCTAGCGCTAGATATTATACATGCTCTTTCTTATGCTATCCACCTCACTTCATTCACCATGCCACGTTCGATCAAAGTTGGATGATAGAGAAGAGTGGCGCAGCGGATGGTACGCTATCAAACGTGACGTGTGATTAACGAGCCAGGCCGAAAGCTCGATCCAATTTTTCGAAACTCATATCACTCATTCTTTTCTTCACCATCTTTCGTTCTAGTAATCTGTGAGTGTCTCATCCTTCTCATCCAACCGCCCACAGCAAGCATGTGATTAAGGACGAACACCGATGACGAGACCTAGCGTCTTCCACTCTCCATTATCTCACCGTCGATTGCCCATCCCGGCTGGACTTTCATTCTTCGTTTTGAAGGGCGTCTGTCTGGTCCTCGTGTGGATGGGGTCAACAATTGATAGCGGGGTCATGGTTGAACTGGGAGATGCGGTGCCGAGTCTATACTTAGTTTGGCGACTTTTATTTCTGAGCTCACATCTTGCTTTGGGCTGTTGCTTTCTATCGTGGCACATGTCTAAGGCCCAAAGCTGACAAGATAACGTAGGCAAAACATGGCACCATCATCTCCCTCTGGATCATCGTCATCTTCGTTATGTTACACCAACACTCTTTTGGCTATGCCTGATGGTCCTATACCGGCCGCTCACCCTGATCTCACCTCGCACACCTCATCATTCATTGGAGGCTACCCGACTTTCCCTGCGCTTCCTTCTGCCGCTTCTAACAAGACAGGCAGCACGCCCTCGGACATCAAGTGCGGTGTCTGCCACAAGTCGATTCCCCTCCTGGCTCAAGTGTATTGCCCACCCGAGGATGGGGAGAATGACCGCACAATGTATGTGTTTGCTTGCCCCAAGGTAGGTTGTCAAAAACGTGAGGGAAGTGTGCGTGCATGGCGAGCCTCGGTCCGCAATGAGGAGTATGTAAGAGACGTAGAAGAGAAGCGTAAAATCGCGGAGAAGGCGGCTGAGGAAGAGCGTGAGCGTGCTAGACAGAACCCTTTTACAGTGAGTATGCATACAGTGATGACATGTACATATTTGGCTGACGCCATTGCAGCTTGGCAGCGATGGTGCTCAGCCTGCTGGGTCTGCTCTGTTCGGTTCTGGTCAGCCTCTCTTTGGTGCTGCTGCACCCAGCCCTTTCGCAGCTCCGTCAGTGTCCACCGATCCCACCTCGGCGCTCTCTGCCCTCTCTATCAACGAGGAGGAAGCCGCGCCCATCATTGCCGGTCCCTCCAAGACATTCACTCCTCCCTTACCAGCCTATCACCCCGTCCAGTACCTTTCCACCATCGAGGAGTACATCCCCCCGGCAGAAGACGACGTCTCGATTGCTTCCTCGGATGACGACGAGACGCCCGAGCAAAAGGCGGAATGGCACGAAGACGGTTGGGAGAAGATTTTGCCCAAGCGCACGGACGAAGTGTTTGAGCTTTTCGTCGGTCGGCTCGAGAGTGCCGAAGACGGCAAGAGGCAGGTACTGAGGTACGACCTGGGTGGCCAGCCCTTGCCATACTCGTCCCAGTCGCCTCTGACCAGAAAGCTTTTCCCCGGTGCGGAGAAGCCTTTGGGGAAGAATGACGAGTTGGACTTGTCTGCGCTGTACACTGACAAGTCTATTCCCGCTTGCTCGCGATGCGGCGGCAAAAGGGTCTTTGAGCTCCAGGTCGTCCCTTCCCTCATCAACATTCTTCGTCCCCACACTCTCACCACCACCGGCTCCGCTTCTGACGAGGTTGCGCCTACAGCGATTTCAGAGGACGAGCGCCGTAAAGAGCTGGTCAAGTTGGCCGCAGGTATCAAGGAAGAGGGAGCAAAGGAGCAGGATGGAGAGATGGAGTGGGGAAACATCATTGTTTATGGGTGTGAAAGGGACTGTGTAGGGGTTGGAGAGGAGTGGGTCGGAGTCGAGTGGGAGTCGGGGCTGGAGTTGTAGACTGCTAGAATTATAATCGCCATGATATGCTATGACCATCACGATCTGATTTCAAAATCGTTATTCATTACAGACGTATCAAGAGTACAAATCTACAAAGCTGTTCTACGGTCTATGTGAAGATGCTGCATCATTGCTTGCTCTTCTTCTTACTCTTCTCCTCACCGTCCTCTCTTTCCTTTCTCTTCTTCTTCGATGGCTTCTCTTGTTCTATACGAGTACCGCTGCTCTCTTCCCTCTTGGTCTTCTTCTCCTTCTTGGTCTTGGGTTGACCATCCTCGCCTAGCTTGGCCTCTTTCTTCTCTCTATTTTCCTTTTTCTCCGCTCTCCGCGCCCGCCTCTCCTCCTTGGTCTCGTCCTCCTTCTGTTTGCCCTTACTCTTATCTTTCTTATCTCTCTTCTCACTCTTCTCCTTCTTTTCTCGCTTTTCCTTCCTCTTCTCCGCTTGCACGCTCAGCCCCGAATCCTTCACACCATCCTCGACGACACTGTCTATCTCCGACGCCTTCCCCTTTCCCTTCTTCTCGCTCGGCTTGACTTCTACTTCCTCCTCCTCGTCGCCCATATACACCTTTCCTCTGAAGAATCTCGAATAGAGCTGCCGTCTGGCCATCTCCCTTGCCATACGAGTTTGAGCAGAGATAGAAAGCTTTGGGGGTATGCGGGGGGCAGGAGATGAGCTGCCGGCGGGAGTGAGGGTGGTCCATGAGCTCGAAGGGGGTGCAGGTGCAGGCGAGGACGAGCCAGAACCCGAACCGATATTGAGGGAAGCGGCTGTGGCTGCAAAGATGCTGTCGCGGTGGTCAGTATACAGTAGAGCGATGTATCGTAAAAGGTAGCGTACTGATCCCAGAATGGTACTGCTTCATCTCTGTCCTTTCCAATCCCTGATAAAGTCTTCTTCTGAACGACGGCTAAGGGTCTGGAGATATGTCCCTGCTGGAGAGCTGCAGTGCGTGAGTCGCGGTCCAGCCCTCTAGGTGATGCTACTCACCAGTCCCCTTTCCCGCCCAGCCCTGTTGCTCAAGATGTCTAGCGGGGTCGAATCGTGCGGTCTTGACAGCCATGTTGGGCGCTGTGAGTATAGTGTGAAAGTGTCAACAACTACGGACTGCAAGAGATGATAGAAATTTAGAGTGGAGGCATCGAGTACGTAATCACTCCGCGATCCCCTTGTGCTCATTTGACGCGTCCGCTGTTGTATAACTGTCTCACGCGACGGAAATCTCGAAATGAGCACCGAAAACCAGAACCAGCAGCAGATCACTGAGGGTAGGCGAGTCCCAGGCGAGGCTGAGCTAATCTCCAGACGAGGCATCCTTGTACGACAGGCAGATCCGATTATGGGGTCTTGAGGCCCAGAACCGGTATGTATGCCCTTGTGCTTCGTACCAAGTGGCTGACGGTATCCTAGAATGCGTTCATCCACCGTGCTCATACTGTCTCTCCGGTCCCTCGCCCACGAAACCATCAAGAACCTTGTGCTGGCTGGTATTGGTCGGCTGATCGTTGCCGACTCTGGTGTCGTCACTGAGGAGGACCTCGGGTCAGGCTTCCTCTTTCGTGAAGAGGACGGCGCGCTCGGAAAGTCTAGGACAGAAGCAGCTCTCCCGCAGATAGCGTCACTCAACCCGCTCGTGACGCTGAGCGAGATGACATTGGAAAGCTTCCAGGGGGCGGAGGACGATGTTGCAGCGGTTCTGAGAAAGGAAAGTGTGAACGTCGTTGTTGCGTGTGACCTGTCGACCACCCAGAATGTAAGCCCTCTTTGGCAGACTGCACAATATGCGCGAGAGCTCTAATTTCTGTAGGAACTCACCAACGCTGCTGCTCGCAAGGCTGGCTCTTTGTTCTACGCCGCCGGCACCTATGGCTTCTTTGGTTATGCCTTTGCCGACCTCGGCGACTCCTACGAATATGTAGTCAAGTGAGTCGTGCTCCATAGAGAATTCATTTGCCAATGCTGATGGATCTATAGTCAGACAGAGGGCCTCGCGAAAAAGTCCCTCACATATACCCCTCTGAGCGCCGCCCTTGACGAAACCAAGTGGGGCCAGGCGAATGGAAGTCCTTTCCGAGGTCAGACCCGGAACACAACCAAGGGCATGGCTCCCAATGCTTCTTTGGGCATACTAGGTACCTTCTACATGTCAGTCATATGGGCCGAGAGCTTATACTTGCGTCGCAGCCCTTTGGAAGTACGAGAAGGAAAACGGTCATCTGCCCAGCGACGACTCTGCTCTGGAAGCTCTCACCTCCATATCCAGCTCTTTAATTACCTCCCTCGGTGTCAACCCCAAAGCTCTCGCCGCTGTTGAACAATCCACCCTCTCTCATCTCGCCTCCCACGCTACGCACTTCTTCGCACCTACTCTCGCCATCTTGGGTGGCCTCCTCGCCCAGGATGTATTGAGGGCGCTGAGTAGAAAAGACAAGCCTTTTGCGAATCTGTTAGCTGTGGATACCATGACTGGTCTGGGGACAGTGAACAGGTGGAGCATGGAAGATGCCAAGGATGTGTAGGATTACATGTGGTTGTATATTACAGATGCAATCGATCATACCATGATTATACTGAGCCGGCGCCTCTTCCAAGCGCCGTTTCCCTAAGCTTCAGCTACGTTGCCCTTCTTCTTGCGCCGTTTCTCCTTCTTGTCACCATGATCTCCTTCAGCCTGGTCATCCTCGTCCTCATCCTCCATGACTGGACCCGACACGAACGGTTCTTCCTTCGGTTTCTCTTCCTCTGGCGGCTTCTCCACACGCCTAAACCACAGGGTCAGCATCGCCTTCACGAACAGATTGAAACATACCAAGATGAATGATGCTTTGTTCCCACTCTTATCAGCTCCATGATGAAGCCCATATCTCCCAATCTTGACCGGAACATTTCAGTTTGCAGCAACGTCAAGTACACCAGACATGTCGGATATCTACAGTCATCATATAAGTCATCTCCCACTACACGGCTGGGACAATCACTCACATGATGAAGCGAACGTAATCTGGTTCCCGCCAATATTCCAAGTATCTCAGATAATTCAGAAACTCGGGTTTGGCCAGATAGCCTTGAATGTGCAGTTCGTGCAGGTATTGCGGATGCGCCAGACATTGCACAAACTGCGACATCTACATCAATCTCCAGCTTGACAAATGAAGGTTATCACGAACCTCTAGTTCTGACTGAAACTTGACGATGTTGGCGTGTCTTTCGGGTGACCGGGCGGGGGCATCGGAACCGTCTGGTAGAGGAGGAGGAGCGAGGATTGTCGGTAAGGGGGCTTGCATCGGGAAGAGTGCGGATGGGGGAGAAGGAGGTCTTGATGTATGCTCTGGGTGGAGCGCCAGGTAGTGAAGTTAAGTTGTGGAGTACAAATGAGACAGAAAGTGCAGGAAAGAGAGTAAAGAGACGAGATGCCGAAAGAGAGGAGTGAGGATGCACTCGCGACGCGTTTCGACCATGACCTTTTAAATTGCTTCTTCACCTCGATATTCGGCATTGGCTTGCATATGTGTTCTAGCCGCTTCAACCCCTCAATCCCGTGCCACTCAATGGTCATAAAATACATCGGCATTATACAACCATACGGGAACCAACTACTAACAACAGTCGGGAAACTTTTCACCACTTCTTTCCATCACCGGACGGCGGGTCCGTCCTCGGGATTCCGGACATGACTCTCAGCGTGAGCAGGACTCATCAGGGCTCGACAATACCATCACGCTCAGCATCCGCCTCGGGTCTCTTCCAAAGACGCAGCTTTCCCAGACCTTCGAGAATCCCAATGGAATCGGGCAAAAAGTAGATATCTGTCGGCGTAGTCGCTGCAACCATATGACACTGACCCGACCAAACATCAGCCGTGTCCATGACTTGCTATACTATTTACCGCTGAATAGTCGACGAGGACGTAATTGTCGAAAGGCCATCTCGATGGGCCCGGAAGGTCGCGCGGTTTGATCTCTGCTACTCTCTCCCACTTGTACTGGGTCAGGCTGGGGTCAAAGTCCCACTAATGAAAGACAGGTGAGCAACCATTCTATTACAGTCGATTCACGATCTCACAAGCATGTAGCGACAATGATCGGGAAGTACACAACCCAACCTGTACTTTCCATCCTGGCTCATTACATCGTCAAACGCCACAGACCGAGTACTCATAAAGTCGTAATTGACAATGCCCTGGCATCGTGCCACTCGAGATCGCTTCTCGGAAGGACACAATATGGTCACCCCGTTCGATTTGCCCCCAGCAGCAAGAAGGCGCGAATCAGCGGACCATGCCAGGGAGGTAAAACAGTAGTCGTGGTGAAGAACCTGGGGTTGGTTGACCGATTCTGGGTCGAGGTATCGACAGTCTGGCAAGTCATGTCCTGGACCAAAGGTGCGATGGTTTCTAGTCATCAACATCAGTGGGTGGCGCCGTGTCAAGGTAGGTAAACACAAACGTTAAATCAGGCGTGTTGAGTACGCTCAAGAGAGCTTTGCGACATCGGGAAAAGCGATCGACATTCATCCCCGAAAGAGCAAGATACTTTCCGTCTGGCGAGTACTCCATTGCTACGATGCGTAAGCTTTGCCTCATGACAGACGTCAAGTGACCAACCATTCAACTCGTGATCGCCCGCTGACATGACGGAGACAGGGTTGAACGCGATCTTCTCGCCTTTACGCTTGCCTTTCCCCTCTACAGCCCACTCTTCGTTCATCCAACGCATCAGTTCAAGCTCCGGCTTGTTGTTTCTTATGCCTTCCGTCATATCCACCAGACACTCTTGCTGCTGTTGTTTCTTTCGAGCGTCGAAAAACTCTTCCCAAGGACGATTGACAATATTCGAGTCGGGTGCTGGCTCCGGTAAGCTAAGGTCGATCTCGAATATACGGGAGTCGCAAGGGGGATCTTGTTGGTCTGTGGGGCCAATGACAGCGAGGACCCGCGTGGGGCAAGATGGATCGCTGTGAAGGGATAACACTGGATGTTCCATATACAGCCTCTGGTCGAGACTGTTAGCCTGATACAGAGGTAAGACACATGTTCCACTACCCACATCCAGCCTGAATTCTTTGCAGGTGCCCAGAACGGGGTCTATCCACACGATCATTCCGCTGGCAAGACCAACCAGGATGTCAATTCTGTCACTGGCGGCAGTAGACTGGATGACCGTATGGCAGAGAGGGTATGAACTGAAGAATATTCTGGCCAGAGGCTCCTACGTTTTGAACGATGTTCTAGCTGTTCATCCCACCATCAATCGAGTCACGTACCGGCTGATTACCCGATGTACCAAGCTCAGACCAACTAATATGATGCTTCTGGTTATATACACCCCACATCGCGGTGGTGATCCCATCCTTGCCAAGTCTGCCCATGTATTTGTTATACCGGGATGTTCTGACAAACCCTCTCACGGCCGGGTCGGTTTTGGACAATCTCATGTCCTGGGATGGGCGCGGAATGTCGTGTATCAGCCCGAGCGAGGAGGACGACTGGTCCTCTTTGAGTGAGCACTTCTCCATTTCTAAATTGAGGCCATGCGGCTTGCCCTTTTCGACAATCGAGGCGAGTTCGTCGACGTCTGCACGGTCGATCTGGTGGTCATTATCGCTCATGAAGCTGCTTCTTCTGGTCATCTTGAACCTCCAGCCGTCCTTTTTCTCCTTGACCTCCTCCCTTTCCGCAGTTGTGGGTAAAAGGACTTTAGTCCAACATACCCGTACCCCTCCCAGCCTTACGGAAGGAGTGCGGGGGAACCGGCACTGAGGTGGATTCTGTGTAGGCGCCCTCAGGGGACGTGAAAGTGTTTTTGTCTGAATTGGAAAGGCGCGGCCGAGGGCCCCAATGGTCGGTTGTCTTCTTAGTGAGCCTGCTTTTGATATTGTAGGGCATAGTGATAGCCATCCAATCATATCTGAATGCGAGTGACGACTTCACAAGGGGTCCGAGGAAGCCGCAATCCGAAGAGGAGGCTGTTAAACTCTCTTGTGGATGGGGACTGACTGGTTGAACCAACATGGTAGCAATATACGGAAGGAATGAAAACAAAGAGGCAAGTTTCCCAATTCGAGTCTGCGGAAAGCGGATATGCCGGGTACTGAGCGCTGAAGGAGAATGCCTGTTCCCGCCAACACCACTTCAGTCAACTTCGCAACGCCTGGTAAATGGGCGCTCGAAGCACATGACCACGTAAATGCGGAACGGAATCAAATACACGGCGCGACTTACTTCTGTGATAAACAATTGACTTTGAAAACAGCAACAACAAGAGATATCGCCAGTCGCCTATTTCAGCTGACCGAAGCATGGAGAGAACGAGACAGCAAGTACCCCAAGCAACTCCCAAGGTTGGCTCCAGGGCCAGAGCCATCTTCGGCCCCAAGACTCCCTCCGCAAAGCCCCACCCCCTCAGCTCCCACAATTCCAATACCCACGACGTCCCTGCTCTTCCCCACGGCATCTCTCCCAAAGACGGCATGAGCTCGGTAAAGCTCAAAATCAAGAGTTCCACGACGCCTGAGGCACGGTCGAGGGTGTTGGTGAAACCGATGGGGTCAAAGCTGCCTGGTGCAGGTAGCCGTCCTGTGGCGACACCGTCCATGAAACTGGTCACCAAAACGCCCCAAGCAAGACACGAAGACGTCTTTGCCGACCAGTGGATGAGTGCGCCTGCGGAAGCTTCCGACGCTATTATGCCTGCCTATGACGAATATCAGCAGGACCTTGCGGAGACAGAAGCTGTTCAGGTCTCGATCAGGTTGGTGCTCCGCCGCTGGAGGCATACCGTGCTTACATGTTACCGTCGTCAGGGTGCGACCAGCGAACGATATGGAACTCAGAACCGACTCGAGGTGTGTATGGACCATGCCCGACCATGACCCGCATGTCTTGAAGTTGGCGAAGGGAACAGAAGGCAGTCGTGAAGACCGTGATTGGCTGTTTGGTGAGTGTTTTGTATACGTGAGAAGCGTTTGCTCACGATTGTGACTAGACCGGATCCTCCAACCCCACTGCAACAACTCCAACGCATACCATACTTCTGCGAGAACACATGTTCGATGTGAGTATAGCCTACAACGCTAGATACGGCCACTGATGGCTGTGTTCAGCTGCCATGGAAGGGTACAATGCCGTCATCTTTGCATATGGACAAACAGCTTCCGGTAAAACCCACACTCTCACAGGATCTCCCTCAGAGCCTGGTATCATCCCTCTGGCCATTTCCGACCTTTTCTCGCAAATTCGGTCCACACCGGATAGAGAGTATCTTCTCCGAGCGTCCTACATTGAACTCTATAATGAGACCATCTTCGATCTTCTTCACCCCAACCACGGGCACGAGCTGCATTTGAGCGAGACCAAGAAGGGTATCACTATCAACGGTCTCACAGAGTCGCCCGTGAGGAACGAGTACGATGTAACGCAGCTGTTGAGATCAGGAGAGGAGAAGAGGAGAGTCGGCGCTACCGATTGGAATTCTCGAAGTTCCCGAAGTCACTGTGTTTTCAGAATTGTGAGCCCTGAAATTCCTGCTTTGAGGCGTTACTCATGTAGCTTTCAGTCTATCGAATCCAGAGCAAGAAGCTCATCGGGCGAAGAGACTCCCAGGACCCCGGGACGCGGCGACAAGACTACTAGGAGCAGTACACTCTCCATCATCGGTGAGCCGTCACTGCGGGTTGGACCCAGCAATCTCGGACACTGACAGATAATTCTAGATCTTGCCGGCTCCGAGAAGCACACATCATCCAAAGAGAGGAATGCAGAAGGTCGCCATATCAACCAGTCGCTGTTGACTTTGAAGTTGGTGATCTCGAAGCTTGCGGATCTGGCGTCAAAACGCAACGTGACACATATTCCTTACCGTGACAGTAAACTGTAAGCTCAACTTTCCCTATCTTACTCATTGCTCACTCCCCGACAGCACACGTCTCTTACAAAACTCGCTCTCCGGCGATGCTCTCATATCAGTCATCTGTACCGTCTCCCCCTCAGGACTGAACCTCGCCGAGTCAATATCTACACTGGCATTCGCTCAAGGTCTCAAACGAGTGGTCCTCAAGGCTCAGAAGAAGGAGGTCGTTGATCCTCATGCTCTGATTCAGCAGTACCAAAATGAGATCGCTGAGCTCAAAGCGCAATTGGCGGCCAAGGACGCTGGGGCCGGTACCGTTGGGTCGAAGGCCTCGAAGAATGAGGTAAGTTTCAGGTCTGAAACAAGATGTTGTATGGTTGCTGATAGGATACTCAGAAGGAGAACAATGAGGCTATGGAGAAGAGGCTGAACGAGCTCAAGAGTATGATCTTGACGTCTGTCAATGTTAAATCGCCAAACCTTGGCGATCAAGCGATGGTGAGAACACTTTCAAACGATATCAGGCATAGCTGATACTTGCCCGACAGATGCCTCCTGCTAGTCCGGCCAAGATGAAATACCCAAAACTCGATTACGGCCGACCCTCCGCCGAGCTTCAGGAAGAGCTTCATGCCGAGCAGCTTTGTCGAGCTGAGCTGGAAGACGAAGTTGCCCGTCTGAGGGCAGAGCTTGCTACCCGACCACTGGAGCCTAACGCCCATATTGTCCAGCTTCAGAATGAGGTCAGCGAGCTCAAGCTCATTGCAGGTGAGTCTCTCATTGCCCCATCGATATAGACATCAGCTGACTGAGCTCAGACGACTACGAGCGCCATCTCCTCGAGCCTTCCCGAAAAGTCCGGGAGGATGTCGAGAAAGAATTCAGGTCAAAGATGAAGACACTCGAGAACCAACTGGACAGCAAGAAGATCTGGGCAAACAGGTTGGACGAGAATGTGCGATTCTTGAGCACTGAAAACAAACAGTTGAAGGCTGTAAGTGGATCAGGGCAGAAGTGTTGACGGTAGCTGATCATGATGCAGCGATCCGTCGAGGCCGAAGCCAAGGTGTCCCAAATCATCGAGTGGATCAATCTTGCCCTTCTTCCTCCTGGCATGGCCACTGCCTCTAGTGCCGATCAACCACTCGAATCCCTCGTCGTATCTGACGACTTTTCTCCCGTCCCCTCCGTCAACACATCTGCCAAGAACACCTTGACCCTCTCTGCATCCAAGATGCGAGCAACATTCAGTCAGATGGACTTGGCAAATTTCAACGACAAGTTTGGCACCCTGACCATGGGCGGCAACGGCGGGAGGGGTTTGGGTAGCGATTTGGTTCGTGAGGAAAGCCATTTTGACTTGGCAGAGGTAGCAAGTGACGACGAGGCTTTTTGAGCGGACGTGCTGAAAGTGGGTAATGATGTGTACGACAAGCCGAGAGCCTCTTGTGTATCTATTTTTTTCCGTGTGCATCATGTATGTTATTTACGAGCAGTTCTATATGTGCTCGTTTGTCATAATATCCATCTCGAGTTCATGCTATTATAATGTCAACAACAGGCGACTGTGCGCTCTGGTAATGTGTGGCCAAGGCCAAATGCTAATTACAACCTATACCTCCTGATGCTATACTCTTGCGCATACTTTCGTATTCTCCCCTGGTCTTCTTCCTCTTCTCTCAGCTTTGCTTCCTCCTTCTTGGCCCACTCTTCATCCAACCTCTCCGTCTCTGACATTTCTCTTCTCCCGCTCAAAGGGCCATTATTCGTCAAATTCAAATTTGAGTTCGAGGAGCCTTGCGCAGAGTATGAGACGGACATGTAATGCGACGCGTAGTACGCGCAGGGGTAGACGGGGAAGCGAATAGGAATCGGGCGGTGGGCCTCGTACACTGGCAACGCGGGTGCTTCGGTCATGACGAACCGCGGCGTCGGGGGTGTTGGCGGGCACTCGTACCTTTGTGGTGCGGGCGGGGATTGGGATGGGGGAGAGGATGATTCAGAGCGGGGTGGGGAATTTCGTGCGGGTGGCGAACGTGACGGCAATTCTTCAGGCAAGGCTGATGCCGCAGCCACTGGTGATGTCTCAATCAGCCAAGGGCTCTTTGGGAGGAAAAGAGCAGCGTCCTCATCGGGGTGGTCCCGATCACTCCCGTCGCCGTCGTCAGAAGACGAGTCGGAGCGAAAAGAGGCGGCGACAAAGATGCTGTCGATCGAAGATGGGCGGCAAGGCTCTGCCAATAGTGGAGGCGCGAGGAGCGGATGGGGACATTGCCGAGTTTCGGCGTCACCCTCGTCGCCTTCTTCTTCGCCACCCTCTTCCTCGCCGCTTTCGTCCCCGTCCTCGCCACTTTCCCCCTCGTCACTGCTATCTTCATCATCCGAATCACTCCACTCGTTCAATTCGTCATCACTAAACACGATATTCTCTTTTCTTGTTGCACATCTCTCGTCGTCTGCCTCGTCCTCTGAATCCGAATCGGAGGAAGAGGTGAAAAGACCCGACGCAAAGCCGGTGATTCGGATTGTAGTCGAACATTCTCCTTCGTCCTGTCCTTCCCTCTCTTCTTCGAATGCTCCATCCATGAATTGAAACTCATTTGTGGGCGTCTTTTCCGACCAAGAGTCCGACATTTGCACCGACCCAGCTGGATCGGACGTCTCCGAAGGGCTTGAATCGGAGACACAAGAGCTGGCGGGGGAGAGGCACATGGAAGACACGGAGGGGGAAGTCGTTTCAGAGCCATGGATAGAATGTTGGGTCTGGTGGCGCAAGTCCATGGTGGCTTTTTCAGCCTTGGGGGTGGCGTCTGGGTCCTGATAGTGGTATGAGTACAAAGATGTTGCACGAATGCAAGTCGCTTACCTCCTCGCATCCACTTTGCTTTGTCCCCTGCGCGTGCTCTACGCACCGTGAGCCGATCCCGATGCATAAAGTGAGCGCCTGGAAGTGATCGGTCAGCACGCATCCCTTTTCTTTTCCGTCCCCACAACGACTTACCTCATCCAAAGATGCCTTTACGTTGCAATGGTGCTGTTCTCCAATCGCTGGGCTGATCCCCATTCCATCCAGCTCCAGGACACTCAGGCCGTGATCTAACAGTCGCGAGGACATGGGAGCACAATCGTGCAGGCTGATGGATGATGGACCGCGGGTGTCATTCGAAATATAGCCGGTGTCATCCCTTATCGGGGTATCAAGCTCAAGTGGGGCTCTCAAAGGAGTGGGCGGTAATGCGGGTGGCGATTCTCCACCATGTTGGGACGGGATGGGCATAACGCCCGGCTGAAAATCCAACCCGGCACCACGAATGGCGTCCTTGACGCCGCCTGGCAACCGCCGGCTCGAGCCCGCGCCCGACTCGAATTCGACCATGGATCTTTTCATGAGGACGGTGGGCGAACACATTGCTCTTTGTCTGTCGAGTTGCTTTGTACTATATGGAGAGTCCGTCGGGACGTATATCTGGGATGGGAAAAGTGTAAGCGAGTCGACAAGATCCCATTATCTTTTTCGACGTACTTTTAGAGCATCCATGGTGGCGGAAAAGTGACTGTACCCGGACAGGCGGATACAGTGTGGGGTGTGCGCGATGCTGTGGCTATGGGCGAGAAAATTGAAAGAGGCGGATAAAGAAGACAAAAGAAGACAAGAAGGACGGCGTGGACGATCTGACTCGCGTCGCACGGAATTAAAACGCGCAACAAGAAACTCGGTCGTATCCGGACCGGACTATAGAATGGCCCCGAGCAGGAGGTGATGCATGCTTCCACTATATCTGCTTCTGGGACAGCTCGACCGCCACCTTGAACGCCCCTAGCAGCGCCGTCAACTGCATCTTCTCAGACCCTCCCAGCGACAACCGGTGTCTGCAGCATGACGTCAGTGCCCGCTTATGGTCTTACGCGTTTCGGCGAGCCTCGAGCTTGTGGAAGAAATACTTACTCGGTGCTCCCCAGGTGGTCCAGCAGGTATATCCTGCTCTGCTTTGGCAGTTCCACGGTATCCAGGAAATCGTAGGCACCTGCAATGAGATCCTGCAGAGCGAGGCCTTTGTCGATCTTGAGCTTTGTGATGGCTGTGTTCTGTCAGCCATGTGCTGAAGCATACTTGCAAAATCGCGTACCATCATATGCACTTCCAAACTCGTCCTGCAGCATGCTTTTCACCACACGCTCAATGTCCTTGGGGTGCGGATTGCCGGTACAGTTGTACACGGCAGCCTCGTCGACAATGTCATAAGCAGCATGGCATGCCTGCTCGTGTCAGCACTGGTCGAGTGGGCATGCAAGTGACTCACTTGAAGAACATTGAGAGCACGTCGCATATCACCTCGCGTAAGCTTGAGCAAAGCCGCCTCTCCATCCTTGGTCATATTCACGCTGTTACCACCATCAGTTTCCGATCTCACGTTCTTTGGTATCCAACTCACCCCTCCTTCGCCACAACCTCATCTACCCTGATCTTCACTTCGCTCTCAGGTAAAGGCGAGAATCTGAAACGCGTACAACGTGATTGAATGGCGGGGGTGATTTTGTTGACATAATTGCAGAGGATACAGAATCGAACGTTCTTGGTGTGCTGCTCGATGACTATGGATAGATCAGCGCCGCCCTCGTGTGATACAGATTGACGTACCTCGACGAAGCGCCGATTGAGCAGCTTGTGTCATCATATCTGCTTCATCCAGAATGACCAATTTGAATCCCTTCCTATACCTAACGTCAGTCACAGTCTCGCGACCAGATAGACAAGACGTACGAGAACAAGACCTTGGTCATGGCAAAGTTTTTGATCTGATCACGTACGACGTCGATACCACGGTCATCTGAGGCATTGAGTTCGAGGATGTGTTTCTTGTATGCTGTTCCGTAGAGTCTTCTTGCCAAAGCGAGAACAGTGGAGGTTTTACCGGTACCTGTGCCCTGTCAGCTCATTTAGGTGATAGTACTTATTGACGCACCAGGAGGGCCATAGAGGAGAAGATGGGGTAGACGACCAGCGTCAATAAACTTCTCAACTATCCCAAGGTCAGCTCCTCCATCCACACCTCTTAGCCAATCCCTTACTGGTCCCCGTAATGTCCTTGTGCGAAACCACATCATCGAGCGATACAGGTCTATACTTCTCCACCCTACCAATTGTCAGCTCCTGTTATTTTACATCACCCGGGATGCTCCACTCACCAAGGCAATCCATCATCGAGTACCGCCGGTTGCGCGGCATCAGTCTCCTTCCCCTTCCCCTTCTTCGCGTTCGCCATCATCGCCTCCATCGCGTTCTTCGGCTTGGGCGCTGGCGGGGGCGCCTGATGGGGTGCGTCTACGTCCATAGGTTCGGCCATGTTGATTTTATAGGGTGAGTAATGTTTGAATGGATGATGCGACGCGTCGGAAATTGCAACTTGACCTTCGCGTCGATCTTGGACGGGATCAAAATGTCGCTCTATCGAAGTGACTTTTTGAGCGAGCCTCACTCGTCAGTCCCATATTGACAACCCAAATAAAATCAATCATGGACCTCTCATATAATGTCGTTGCTGCCAGTAAGTATATGATAATACTTGAAGCGATCAGAAAAGCTGATCCTTCCAGACTGTGCCGAGCAGATGGCCAAGTACCAAGAAGTCGGTTTCATCGATCCTCCCTGACCGAGGCGCAAGACTGACAAAGTATACAGTGTGTATTGAACAATCAGGCTGGTGACTGGAACTCAATATGTCGTCCCCAGGGTCAAGCTCTTGCCGCTTGCGCCGATAATGCGTACGATCCTTGTATTGAAACCGGTCTAGCTCGCATCGCTGACAACCTCCCCTCCAGCGTCCCCCACCTGGCCGAACTGAAAGCGTCTTGCTCCGAACAGATCATGGCATACCGACAGTGTCTTGACCGCCACGGTGCCCAATCGGACGAGGTCATTGGCGAAAAGTGTGGTGGGCTGATGAAGAGTCTTTGGGAGTGTACGGAGAAGACTGTGGCGGGGATCGAGGCGAGGGAAGGTGGACCAAAGCTGGTGTAGAGAAGACGACAAGGGAGAGGGGGTGAGGAGAAGTCAACGGGAAGGAGAGCATAGTATAATCACAGCATCGCAGTCATGTAGCCCATCATCCAGAGCCTTGTTGCAGATTATTAGATCGTACTGTCATATTCATTCGTTACTAAGTCGTCGTCTATATCGATCCGTCCGTCCGTATGGCCTCATAATAAACAACAAAGACACTAGCCACAGGGAATAGAAGATATATATAGACAGAAAGTGATATGTGTTGTCTAAACTAGAAATTGGTAGTACTACATATGGTCCATGTCGATGTATTCCTCCTCATTATCATCCAAATCCAACCCAAACTCTTCAGTCCCATTCTCAGTCTCGCCAACGCTCCCACTTTTGGACACGATCACCTCGCCAGTAGAGAGCAAGTCGCTCTTTGACAATGATCTCCTAAAGCTCCCTAGTGCTCCCCACCACCTACTCTCTGCCTCTGCCACAGCGGTCTCTCCATTCAAATGTATAGCCGGTATGCTCATCATGCTTCCCGCAGGCAGTGAGCGTATAGAGCTGGTCGGACTAGGACATGTAGTCGTATCCGACACCATACTCCCCGGCGACGAGCTCAGCTCTCCCTTCCCAGCGCCCACGCTGCTGGCCCGGTGCAGACTCGCTGCCGACTGGCTGTGCATCGAGAGCGGATTTGGGTTCCGTAGTCTGGTGGTCGTAGTACGTCTCTGAGGTCTGGGGGGTGGGAGGAGAGGTTGTAGTGGTGGACCCATGGCGCCTGGGGAACCAGTCCCGGGGGCCGCCCCGGGGGCCGCCGTTTGAAAGAGTACGTTGGGAGATGAATGAGTATGGCGATGGCGCGATGTGAGATGCGATGGGAGCGGCCGTGATGGGCGGATGACGATATCGGTGCTGTCCATGCTACTCGTGCTCGTCCTGCCACTCAGACTAGACGCAGAGTTGTTGGGGGGTCGCCGGCTGGTATCCAGCTCTGACAGGCTCTTGAGCCTTTCCCGAAGTCTGTTGGACGACCCTAGTCTCCGCCCTCTATCCGGGTCTTCTTCCACATCTAGCTTTGTGGGCGTCTTCTTTTCTGGACTCGGACTGGCTGGAAAGCTCCAAGTAGCCATGACTGCCACATCCGACACCTCCGCCGAGGCTAGACTATCCACTGACGCCCTGCGACTATGTGACGGGCGTTTGAGACCGCTGATTGAGTCGACATCACGGAACGACTGTGTCCGCGAGGGTCTGGGACGGTGGAATGTCTTTGAAGGAGAGTAGGTGATGGTTGCAGGGGAAGGATGGAGTGGAGGAGGTGGCATGGAAGCGTGATTGCGCGCCTCTGGGGGGGCTGGCTGGGGCGGAGGGACGAGGGATCTGTGGCGACTGTCCTCGCCAGGAGTATGCAGAAGACTCGAGGACGGTGAACTGGAGAGGGAGATGACACTAGAGCCACGGCTCAGCCTGGCGCTGGGTCGGACGATGGGGGACGGAGGAATGGACACCCGGCCACCGCTCGTTACTGGCCCGCTCGCGCTCACCCCCACATCCTCCGCATCCATATTCTGGCCCATCTCGGTCAGTGTGGGGAGACTAGTCGCACTTGAAGAGGAGAGCGAGTTTCGCGAGTACTCTTGGAGCGAAGGCCGCGGCCCATAGTCGGTAGAGGGTGATAGGGAGATAGTCGACAGAGTTGGGAGGGGCGGGGACTGGGGAGCAGGGAGAGCACTCTGGCAGCGCCTGTGCCCTGGACGCATAGGCTTGCCTCCGTCCAGTTGGCTGATTGACCGCCTCCTCTCTTCGAGCCCTCCCCCAGGCAGGGGCTGCCACATCGCCCCTAGGTCCAGCGCCGACATGCTCGCAGCGAGTGTTTTTGTTGCCTTTCCTTGGCCTTCCTGAGGCTGGTGGGTAGTAAGAGAGTGTCTGGAAGTTTGTTGCCGGAGCCTGGGAAAGGGAGGAGGTGCCAGTGAGGGTGAGGAAGGCGTAGAGACGGCTGTCGTGGTCTTTGATCTCGCGCGATGCAGCGGTTTAGGCTTGGAGGGGTATACGACAGGCGGAGAGGTGTCGAACAAGGAAAAGACCCCCGAGGAGAAGTGGGGTAGGGACAAGACCATGATAGCTGTTGTTGGATTATGGGAGAGCGATAGAGTACTTTTGGGGGGTCTGCTGGGTGGGTGGTTTGAGGCTTGTTGCAAGCTTTTTGTGGTTTGTGCAGAGCAAGCAACAAGATACTCAGCGTACTGCGAGGGGTCAGCATGGGCTGTGGTGACTCGACAGGCAGCGGAGAGACTGGAAAGGAATTTGGCGCAGGAAATTCAAAGGAGACTCACGTGTCCGGGACATAGTCCGTCTCAGGTGGTTAAAGGATGCGGGGAGGGTGTAGGAGGGAGAGAAAGAGAGGGAGCGAGGGGGGGGGATGGAGGAACGATGTTGTAGATGGGAAAGCAAAATGAATGTAAAAGTGAGATCCGAAAGCAGGCGGTGTCAGGGATATCCTCGTGAAACGCTGATTTTGGCCAGGGGATGTTGGAATGTTGGATGATGTGTGCCACGCTGCCTCGTTCGGGGGTGCAGGGGCTCGCTGTCTGATGGATGCAGAAGAACGACGAGGTGGGACGATTGACGTGTCCCACCCCATGCACCGCCACCCAATTCCCACTCTGCGCCCGCCCGCTCGCAGCTCCCGGCATTTTCCATCTATTTGTTGATCTTCATCTCCTCCCCCGCTTCAAGCCCAGGGATAACCGGCTTGCCTCGTCATATTCCCCGCAGATATACAAAGCACCCTCGAGGCCCTCAAATCCCCTCACCACCCTCAACGACATGTCCCATCTGGCGCGTCCATTGTTTGGTTCTTTCAGGAACTCCCCCAAAGCCCAGCGATCGCCCGGGGATAGAACTATCGGACTGCTGCTCTTCTGCCTTTCTTCTTCGTGCGTCCCGGAACTGGAACCGGGAAGCTTAGGGAAGGCCCGGCATGAGGTGAGGGAACTCTAGCTCTCACAGTGGTAACAGTTAGAGTTCAATAATGGTTTGTTACAGTTCACTCGTGGCTGTCAACTCTAAGGTGTATGTATGTATGATTGTACATATACAGTATATGTGGGCGCTGTTGGTGGATCGTCGCTGATCGTCGCTGGCGCTGCAAGCTTTGAGCTTGTGTGTGATTCCAAGTGTACACTTACCACACTGGCATGTTTGGAGGGAGAAGGTAAAGTCAGCTGCGAGCAAGAGAGAAGTCGCGTTGAAACTCCCACATCATCTTGAGCGTTTCAGTGCCACCTATGACGGCGGTGCTCGACGTTTTCCAAAGGAGCCAGCCCTTCTACTCCACAATCCACCCGTATATGGCTCTTTCCTGATGATACATACCTCTCGAACATCCACCTCTACCCTCAGCTGCTTCGGTGACTGCCGCCATCCGTCGGTGCCCCGACAGCGTGGCGTCATCGCTTACCACGGCAATGAACAACCGGCCAGTTCTTACTCATGTTCTTCCTGTCGTATCCCAACCCATGTCATTTTCAGACGAGTCAGAAGAAATGGGCCCCATCACGCCTGCCATGAAACGCTTTCTCAGCGCCGAGCGCTATGCCGTCATCGGTCGTGTCCTCGATGACCGTTCTCGCTGGGACAACAAGGCAAGTCTGGCAACTATTTGCATGTCATAGTTGCTGATCTCCAGTAGGTCCTTAGGTGGTAAGCTTCGAGATCCTATCGGTGACTTACTCTCTGACCTGGAACGCAGGTACCAAGCGCGCAACTACCCAGTTGCTGCTGTACGACCCGACAAACCGTCCGAGTCCATCGAAGGGCTGGACGTGCTGACTGATCCTGCAAGTATTTCGACATTCCGCCTGACTCTAGCTGACAGCCCACAGCTTTCCATCCCATCCCTCCCCTCTACCTCCGTGTCTATCATCATACACCCGGTCAAGTCGCTCGGCATCCTCCAGTCCCTCTTTGCCGACCCCGCCAACGCGCCTCACAGTGTTTGGTTCCAGCCGGGTGCGGATGATGACAGTATCTGGAAGTGGGTCAAGGAGAAGGGATTGGAGGAGAAGATTGTGGGACATGGTGCATGTGTACTGAGGGATGGAGACGGTGTATTGGACGCCATCAAGAGCGACGGCAAGGCCAAAATCTGAATGGTATGCAGCAGGTCGTGGAGTGTCGAGCAAGCGTGATCACGCGATCTAATCATAAGATGGGCCCGAACAGTGACAGCATCTTTTGAGCTCCGCCTGAACCAACATTACTCTGCTTCCTCCCTGCTTATATGGATACCTAGCTGAGCCACAGGCTGTTGTAGTATGTCCTGCCGCAAAGGAGGTCAACGACATTCAACTGCCGCAATGATCCTTTCTCTCCTCCACCCATGGCGGGACTTGGATGCACCACGGCTGCGGAGTCGTTCAGATAATGGGGGCAGATGGTATATGTACCCCAGACGATCAGAAAATTCCACCGCCCACTCCTCCAACTTGAGAACAGACGCCAAAAAGATCGGAACCAGCCATGTCCGTCTTCCACCTCCCGACCGATTTCAAAGATGTCATCTCCGATTCCGATCGATCATCTTACCTCCAAAGCCAGGCACGCGAAATCATGGCTCTGAGCAGTATACTGCAAGAAGGTGAGTCTGGCATATCGCCTCGACAGATTGATACGCCCATACTGACGGGGATGACAGATGACGACCAGCAGTCCACTCCTTCCCCGTATCAACTCTATCATGGACCCCATGTTTTTGGCGACTCCCGCTGGACAGCTGGGAATAGCTCGGCCGACGTTCAAGATAGCGCCTCAGAAACTGGGAATCCCGAAGACTCGGAGTGGGGCGAAGGTGGATGGCCGATAGATATATGTCGAAAGGCGGACATGGGAGGTCTTAGTGGTATTGCTGCTACATCGCAACGAGAAACTGCCAGGAAATCGACTCTGGTATGTTACGTTGGTTTGCGTGTTACACACCCAACTGACATGATTACTCGATAGAGGCCTGAATCACTTCCCTTTTACCCATCTCTCATAGATGCTGTAGAACTTCCGCCACAGCTCTCCGAATATCCTGCTTTGCAGCCATCCAATACCCACCCCACAACAAACCCCACCACCCCCACAGATCCTTTATATCTTTCTCCAACTTCCAACCCCAATGATCCCGTTCGCAGTCGTCAGAGACCCAACCGTGTCGCATACTCATTCACACACGACCCCGTCGCGCGCTTCTCCTTGCAAGACTCTCAAGAAGGCCCTGATAACATCGGATCGAGGGATGTACTGGAAGACGATATGCGAGCGGATCAACTGAGAGATCATTGGGAAGCTTTCCAAGGTGGGAGAATGGGCGGTATGAATAGCCAGCATATTTCGAGGTATGGGCCGAGATTTACGATGTGAGGTTGAGATTGTGAGGATGACGATGGGGGTATACACGTGAACGGTGCAAAAGTCTATAGTTTGGTTATTCGACGGCCATAGAAGAAGGAATTTGTGTATGCGCTGCAGGTTACTGGTGGTGTTGTGCTGTGCGGTGCCACAAAGAAATATTCACCTTCATCTATGTACGAGAAAACATGAGGCGCATCACGCATGACGATCAGTGGTTGTGATCGTCACGCTCTACTACTAGCCTGTGACCTGTGACAAGTGTTTGAGCATGCTGGAAGATGCCTACTGTACCCCGTACGTGACCTGTGCTGCGAGCAAGACCGTACCATGGGTCTCCAGTAACGCCTTGTTGATCTTTGATGCTCGTACTTGCTGTCAGAGCCTTATTGCTGGCTCACATGATGGCACATATCGCGAGGTCCAATAGTAGCGGTGTCGATGATGACGAGGCCTCGAGGATAGGATAGCAGGTGGAAGAGCACAACAACGCGTACTTGCATTGATGAATCGCGGCTCGATGCTGCGAAGGTCTGCAGGAGCAGTGGCCCGATATAAATAAAAAAATTAGTTTCAAGCCGGCAGGCACTGCACTTGCTATCAGGTCTAGCTATGTACATGTGTAGATGGAAGAGCAGCTGGTAACCATCCTTTCGGGGTAGCACGGCTCGTCTTGCTGGGTCTCGGAGTTCTTTTGTCTTCTGCAAAGATTGCATGAAGTGTCAGTGGTACCAAATATCATCGATACAGGTTCGAGTCATCCAAGACAGCTACCGAAAAGAAGGCGATAGATGCTGCGTCTGAAGGATACCGACTGGCTATTTCGGTGCGGGTTTGCGGGAGGGAGCTAAAAGGCAGACTAGAAAGCTACCAAACTTGTCAAGCTTATACATTCTTCGGTCTATTCTCCCTGTGCCTCCAAGTTCCTCCAGTAGGCACTCAGATGAAACAGCCATACAATGAAGCATGTGGCCTGTGCATCTCCGTGAGGCGATGCAAAGAATACCAATTGAGCAGCTAACGCAGTCGCAGTGAAAGGCACTTGCCCCTTTGACCAAAATCAGTCGCGTCTGTCAACGACGTCACTTTCATTAGCGCCGTGAAATTTCTGGAATTCTTCCTATAATCGATGCTCGATGGCCAGATCCCACTTGTGTCGGAGTCGGAGAGCATTCGGTGATTGACATGCATGTGGCTTGGCTGGATTACCATAGGCATAAGCCCACCCTCCACCCCCAAAAAAGCTTGTGCGTACGCTGGGTAAGAGCCGAGAACAAAGGCCGCAACGAAGAGCTGCGGGTCTAGCGGAGAGGCGTCCCCCCAAAGGTTGGTTGATGCACTTGACGTCACACCACAATTCTCCCTGTACTCTTCAACTCTTTCCGCTGCATGGACGGGGCTTTCCTGCGGCCTGGCCGAGAGCATATGCGAAGCGAGCGAGTCTGAGGCCTCTGAGGACTCCAGTTGACACCCCGAAAGCCCATGTAGCTCCACTCCCCCCCCCCGGCCTTCCCTCGCCCTGATGGCAATGACTCATGAGCAACTTTTCTGTCCTCCGCCCTGCCAGGGGAAGGGCTTGTGTCGAGCCAGTCCCAGTCCCAGCGTGCGTACCTCCGCCTTGCCAGTCCCAGCATGCGTGCATGCGTACGCCTCCTGTACAGCCGAGGCTTCCGAAAATCTGTTGTTCCCGGGCGGGGCGGCGCTCTTCTGCAGCCTCCACAAGCATGGTATCGACATGGCTGATGGGGGCGATCATACCCGTGGACCGATGGCAAGGTGCATAAGGGAAGCATTTTAGGCTGGCTCGACATGCTGAGGCAGGCCGTCCATGCGCTGCCGATTAGGAAATTTGCTAATAGTTCCGGGGTGGGCGGCGTGCACGATTAGGAAAAGTTGTAGTAGCGCGGCTCGGGGTTCCGGGAGTGTGACGTTGTGAGCGCTAGTGCGGCGATGGGGGTCTCGAATTCGGTGGAGGTTTCAAGCAGGACCTCGAAATACTTTGAGGCGGTGTGCAACAAACATATAAATACCCAGCCCCCTCCCGCTGTCCCCCCATCCTTCAACTGTCCACATCTCCACATCTTCGGCACAAAAGTCTTTCAGACACCCGACACTCACTCACTTACACACTCGGTACCACACCAACACCAACACACACCCATCGCCATGTTCACCAAGGTCATCTTCGCTGCCCTCGCTGCCCTCTCTGTCGTCTCTGCCGCCCCCTCTTCCGAGAAGCGAGACCAGTCTACCGGTACCGCCACCTACTACACTGCCAACGGCGACGGCGCCTGTGGCTGGGCCATCACCGACGACCAAGAGTACGTCCTTCACACCTTGTTTGCATTGTTTACTAACCCGCTCTCTAGACTCGTCGCCGTCAACTCTGCCCAGTACGACTCTTCCAAGTGTGGCCAGAAGATCTGGGTCTGGAACGCTGCCACCCAGCGAATCGCCTTTCCCACCGTCGCCGATGAATGTACGTCAACCCCCTTTCCGCACGGTCAACAAACGTACTGACCCATTCTTCTAGGCCCTACCTGTAGCTCTGGTGACCTCGACATGTCCGGCACTCTCTTTTCCTACCTTGCTGATGGCGACATGGACCAGGGTGAGTCTCTTGCCGGTGTCTTGTGGACGATACTGACGCTGCTGCTAGGTGTCTTTGACATGAAGTGGGGTTACTTCTAAACTCCTCCACCCCGCAACATCATCCATCTTCTCTTTCGTTATCCCTTTAGTCTTCTATCAGAACGTTTCTCAATGGGCATTTGGTTTCCTAGCTATATAGTCTGGTACTAACTATTATCGCACTTGGGTCCCGCGGGCCACACACAACTTTCCGACTCTAGAAGTCACCTGTATCAAATTCACGCTCTTTGTAACGACGTTGATCCGTCCTTTTTAATGCCCATTATGAATATTCTCATGACTAAAGAATGTTGTGTTGTGGTTGGCAAGTTGCACGTGTTTGCAGATTCCCGAGAGGGGACGAATGTTGAGTGATCTTGTTTGTTGATTCGCGGGCGCGGCGGGTGAGAATTAAGTCTTGTTGATTCCGCGGCAGGCTTATGTTGGGCTTGCAGTATACGCTGGGGAGGCTTTCCTTCGCTGGAAGTCTATAGATACATCAGCATGCATAGATGCTCGTGAGAAGTGCGTAATATCTAGTGTCGCATTAATTCATGCATCGATCTTCACCGAGTCACACCCTGAAGGCTCAAGCAGCCATCGCACACAACGACTTCCTCTTGTCTGCTGGCTGTGCTACATACTAGCTGCGTGATGCATTACTCGTTGGCTCAGGTACTCAAACTGCATACGTTATACGCGGCACTCTAATAACGACCAGCCGGCTTCAATAGCTGAAGTACTCTGATGTAAGGAGAGGAAGCTGGGATAGACTGTTGTCGTTGAATTATTCCAGTGTTGACCAGCAATTGGCCCTTTCCATTCAGACTAAGAGAGAGAAGGGGCAAGGGAGCGGCCAACTTCGTGGCGACGGCAAGAAAAGATTATGCTCATTGTCGCCCTTTCTACTAACTAGCTAACTCTACCGTCGTCGTCGTCGTCGTAATGATCATCCTTTCGGTATCAGCATCGCAACACCCAATCGCCCCCGCCCCCCCCTTCACTGTGACTCGAGCAAGGCAATCCGGAGGAGTAGATCCCTCCCTGTTGTCGTTTTAATCTATACCAGTGAAGACACTGTCAGACGGCAATGTTTAGTGTCGCCTGCGCGATGATCATGTAAGAGGTCTGCGCTGCTGGTAGAGTTCAGCGGCTCTTCATCTGTTCGATCACACAGCCTTGTGTTGTCTATAGCTTTCATCTCTGCATTATTGTAGAGCCTGATACATGAAGTCCAGGCACTTGACTCTACGTGCTCGAAGGATAAGCGTCTGGCGACGAGACGAACAATGTTGACTGACACTTTTGGTACACATTTCATGAGCAAGAAGCCATATAGAACATCTCCACTGTGCGCCAGCCTAGCATTGCATCAAAGTGACTGAGATGTTCATATGACCAATGCCCACCATAGAGTATCCTCTTGAATTTCTGAACGGAACCATTTACAAGAGTTATATGCGCTGCTTCTCCACCTTGAATTGGGAACCAAGAGAGGCGTTGGGTAGGTGCCCGATTCGGAAGGCGCGAGCATGCAAGCAAAGCCCGGCCATAGTTGAATTATTGACTTGATGTACTAGAGGCTGTCACTGCTGAACGACGACAGACAAAGATAGAGAGCGCTAATCAGGGTGAAAGTACATGTGCGCGGCGGCGGCGTCTGTCCTACCATCACGCCATGCGTCTTACCTCTCTTCGACCATGTGCTCGGGGGCTCCGAAGAAGTACATGCGTGTATTAGTTGCATGCGGTGCGCCATGCGCATGGACCACCTGCAGTCTCCCTGGGTCCCAAACTAACACTCGAGTGAGGAGAGGGCGACACGAGAGGACAAGTTGACCGACCGCGTTTGACCTCGGGACGGGACATGACAGGTACTCGGGGTACTCGGAGCAACATCCCGCCTGCATTCTGCTTCTTCCTAGGGTGGTTACGAACTGACGAGATTGCGTCGAGCGAGTTGTGCGAGGTGAGGAGCGTGAAGAGGAGGGACATGAGGCGAGTCGTGCGACAGTCATCGATTCAGGGTTGTGTTTCGGCGCCTAACTTGCATCGAAATGTATGTGGATACTTGGAGCTGGAGCTGGAGTTGGAAGCTTGGCATCTGGAGCATTGTAGAGCAGAGTTCATTGGAGTAGCCGAGGAAGACCGAGCGTATGAATGAATGTACGATATGATCAGCATACTCTTATGTTGCTTCGTCACTCGATGAATAAAAGCTGTCGTGATATCGGGAGATGGTGGATATTGCTTGTTGCATCTCTTCTTCTGGGCTCTGGGCCTGTCTCGGTCGAGGCTCATGAAAGTGGCGAATGAGGGGGCAGTTCACCGCGTCTACACTATGGCTGCCTGGTATGAGGGCTCCTCGATCAGCTTTGGCCTCTGAGCCGCTGACGTCTAGGTGTCGATGAAATAGAGTCCGACCAGGATCAAGCATGGTGCTCCTAATAACGAGTGTACCTAGTGGCTCTAATTGAGGACCTCTTAATTATCCAGGCTGCCCACTCGATGCATGTGGCGGCGCCCGGTCCAGAACATCTTCTCGCTCAAACAGAGAACCCCAAATTTCGTACCCACGTGGCTTCTGGGGTCCGGATCCCAGGTACAATCAGATTTGGGGTGCCAGCCGCGTCTGAAGGACCCCAAAAAAATCCACTTTATCTCAGCTATCTCGACGCGTTACGCGTCTCGGGATTCAGCGCTGTCTCCCGCGTGCCGCATGCCTCTCCTGCCACCGCGGGTTCCAGTGGATTTACTTGTGTCGCCCTGAGTGTCAGATGTGACTCGCCGAGCGACCCGCAGAGGGCACTCTTTTTTCACAACCCGCCAAGAGCTCTCCACACTCCACCCTGCCGTCATTTGCCTCGGAGGCCTCTCTGATGTAATACCTCCATGCATCGAAGAGAACATTGCTGGTACGTGCCTGCTCTTCGGCCGTACCTCTGGGACCTCCTTTTGGTGCCATCGAGCGCCATGATCGAGCCCGATCCGAAAGACAATCCCGCCGAAATCTGATCGCGGCCTTCCGACATTCTGAATTCCTTCTGGGCCTGCGCACCCGTCCCTCTCAGTTTTTCCGCCTCTTCTCTCGTCCTGCGCCCTCTGCGGTTATTGCGGATCCCAGGTTCCACTTTTATTGTCTCTCAGGAATTCACGCTTATGTAACCCCTTGCTATACCCTGAAATCCTACTCAATCTCTCTCCTCTGCTGCCTGCACGCGTTTCGCGCCCTTTCCCTCTCCACTTCGCATGCAGGTTTGTAAGATTCTCCGAGTGGCCATCTGCCAATCCAAATCCGTTTTCATCCATGCATACAGGGCCTTTGACGCCTCCACATGAGGGGCCAAATTTCGGGGTGGGTCTGTAACCTCGAAATTCTATTGTTCCCCATTCAGCCACTCTAACTGCACGCAAAAACCTCTTCGGGTCTCTGCTCTGTCAATCAAATTCCAGCTTACAGCAGATGTCCATCTGAAACGGTGAATGCATGGAAGTGCTCCAGGCCCATCGCCAAAAGATTATCTTGGGCCTCGAAAAGTTGCTCAACATGGCGGCTTTTGTCCTCTCGTCGCTTGTGTGGTCTCTGAACGGCATATAAAGACTCTCGTCCAACCCACCTTCCCATCTCTTCTCATCCACCAAAACACCAACCAACTTTCCTTCTTACAAAAAAGCAAGCGTCAGCTGCACCAGTCAACACACTCACTACTCACCACTGCTTTACGCATCACCACATCACCCAACACCCACATATCAAAATGTTCGCCAAGCTCTTTGCCGCTCTCTTCGCCGCCTCCGTCGTCCTCGCTGCTCCCATCGAGTCTATGGAGAAGCGTATCATGCACTCTGGCCGGTAAGTCACCTCCCGGCTCTCTTTTCAACATCGGCTGACCTCATCCAGTGCTACCTACTACACCGTCACCGGTACTGGCTCCGCTTGCGAGTACACCGTCACCGACTCCGACTTCATTGTCGCCCTCAACAAGCCCCAGTACACCCTCCACAACGGTGGCAACTGTGGTCAGTACCTCACCATCACCAACACCAACGTGAGTCTTTCTCTCCTTTTCACATCTCTGGGGAGACCGCTGATCTTTTTGCTAGAACGGTAACACTGAGACCGCCTACGTTGCCGACGAGTGCCCCGAGTGCAAGGACGGTTCCCTCGACATGAGCCCCGCCCTCTTCTCCGCCCTCAACGACGGTGACATGGTACGTTTATCTTCAATTTTTCTTATCATGGACTTGGGGCTGACGATCGATCTAGGACGCCGGTGTCTTCCCCATCTCTTGGCACTTCCTCAAGAGGGACGACTAAGCGCATCGCATCTTTGCCTTGCCCTTCTCTGTCGACTCTCTTCCTTCTTCATCCACCTTCAATTCTTGGCTAGTCCAACCCTTATAGTTCTTATCCCGTAGCAAGTCTACACCCTTTCATTCTTACAACAGCTGGTCTTACCATTATAGTAGTCAAGCCCTGGCGCCTTGTTCAACTATCGTCATCACGTATAACGACTAGAATCTTTATCTTTTTTTGGGCGCTCTTGGTTTATTACTCTCTACATTCACTTAATCTCACGATTTACTGTATAATATATATACGCCAAACGATGCTTGATGCAGAAATGAGTGTGTATCCTTTACTTTTCCATTGTTGGCGTGAAGAGTGCTGAGGAAGGTTTGCAGATACGATCTTTTGGCGAAGAGGAGCAAGATACGCGAGGACCGGACAGGCTGGCAGACTGACTCGAGGCCGCCGCACTGACGAGTGGGTTTCATACACTTATCGGAACCAAACAATCAAGAACAACAACCAACGACTCCCCCGGCATCATATCCGGTCCACAAGGCTGCGCAAGTGAGGCACCCTGCTGAACTTCTTCCGTGTCGACTGTTCTGTGAGTCTTCCATGAAAGGGTCCCGAGTCTTCTGACCATGCTCTGTAGGGAAGTATACGTGCGTGCCAGGCGGCTGACTCGAAGCGGACGGGCATATTTCACTTTCCGGAACCACACAATCAACAACGACGCCCAACGGATCCTTTCCCTGCTTGTTGCCGGACTGCGTAAGTGCTTGCTTCTCTTGCGCCTTGTCGAGTAGACTATCGCTCACAAACACTTACAGTGTAAAAAGGAGCGACAGGGTATAATCAAGCGGGCGACTTTCACTTCCCGGGAACCACACAACTACAACAACGACGCCTCCGGCAGCTTCTTCCCCCGACCTCCGATCCACATGACATGGCTGCGTAAGTGTGCTTCTGCACTTTTCTGCGCTTCCGTCCGGCGTTGAAGATCTCAATATTCATCCCGGAGATGGTATGTCTGTTTGTGTGGTATCAACAGAGTCGTACGGCGCACGATCATCTTTCGGGGGGCAGGGTTGAAAGACGCCCGAAGGCAGCTGGCGCATGTCATCGTGCGGTATGTACTCGATCTTGTGAGTATTGGAGACGAAGAGAGGGAGCTTCAACCTGGTACTCGCAGGTATATCGTCGGCTTGCATACATGCCAATCGTCGACTCTTTTCCTCCATGGTCGCCACTGCGCACCTCGGATCGCCGCGAGTCGCCACTCGTCTTTCGCGAGGTCCCATACGAGGCACTTTCATTGTTCCAGATATGTGCCTCCATCTCCCGCATCACACCTTCTCCCAGTGCCTCTGCGGCTTCTGCATTCAGTCACCTACCGAGACCTGCTCGCCCTGCGCGCCTCGAACTTTTTCCGTCTCCACAACCGCGGCGCCTCCCTACAAATCCGCACTGTCCTGATCCCAGGCCCTCTCGGACTCGCGTCGGTGCGCAGGTAGGCACCGAAATGACGACTCTTTCTTTTCAAACTTTGGTCCCGGCAGTCCGGAAAGCGGGGAGCAGCAAACTCGGGGGGGTCGGTGGGCGAATCGAGAGTAGAACGGCAAAAGCGGTTGGGTCGGCCGGGAAGAGACGCCCCGGCCGTTACAAGTTTTCACGAGGAAGAGCCGATTTTTGGAGCACATGGGAGGACCAAGGGAGCGGCTGGGGAGGATTTCAGATGTGCATGTGGGTCGATTCTGCCTCAATATTTCCCGTTGTCTTTTACTGCTGTACCTGAGTGACTACATCTTTCAACAGCAGTGATGCAAGCCGAGCCATGAACGAGAAAAGAGGAGCGAGGGGCGCGAGGGGGTATGGAATGAGTCTCGAGATCACTGGACTCGCCACTACGTTCTCCCATTACAAGTAGCCTGTCGGACTATTACAAGTAGCATATGGACTATTATAACCCCGGACTAACTTTCCAGAGGCCCAAAGAACAATGAATAACCGTGGGCAGAAGCTTTGGTGCCGTACCAAAAAAGGTTATCGAGCTCCGATTTTCACGACTCCGCGCAATCGTCACTGCGCTTTCACCCTCTTTTTTCTTAATCTCCCCCTATCGCCCCTCGTGTTTCGTGACTGTGCCAGCATTTTTTATTATCTCTCAGGGTAAAGTGACGTTCTCCCCATCAAATCGTTGTTCTCTAGGCTCAGGATCTCATGATAGTCGCTTGGGGCCTCGATCTTTTAGCAATTCGATCCACCTGTTGAACAACCCCCGACGAATGATCCCGTCGGCCCCACCCTCTAAGCGGCGCTCGCTCTCGGCTCTTGTCCAGATCATCGGCGTATTATCAAACGTGCCGAAATGCAGAAGCCAACCCCGGTATCTGGTCTTACGGCAGGATCTAGAGCTCCAGGCCCAGCCGTTTAACCTCTCAGTATGGGACAACGTCAAGGCCTCAAAAATGTTATTCACCGTGGCACCTTTTTCCACAGTCGAGGGCTCTGGTCAAAAAAGGTATATAAGAGCCTGCTCTGACGGTCAATTCCAACTCATCTCATCTCAACCAACCACCAACCAACCTTCTTTACCACACCTTTAAAAAAAAGCTAGCTTTAGCTACACCACACTCACTACACACCACTGCTTTACGCAACCACCACAAAAGCCCAACACATATCTAGAATGTTCACCCAGGTCCTTACCGCTCTCTTCGCTGCCTCTGCTGTCCTTTCCGCTCCCGTGGAGTTCGGAAAGCGATCCTCCAACGAGACCATGACTGGTGGCCGGTACGTTCTCTTCTTTTCGACGCGACGCGACGCGATTTGTACTGACCCTTCATTAGCGCCACCTACTACACCGTCACCGGTACCGGCTCCGCCTGCGAGTTGACCGTCACCGATGAGGACTTTATTGTCGCTCTTAACAAGCCTCAATACAACTCCGTCGACAACCACTACTGTGGCGAGTACGTCACCATCACCAACACCGACGTGAGTCTTTTTTCCTTCTCTCTATTGTCTTGCCCCACTGACTCTTTCTCCAGAACGGTAACACCGAGACTGCCTACGTCGCCGACGAGTGCCCCGAGTGCAAGTGGGGTTCCCTCGACATGAGCCCTGCTCTCTTCTCCGCCCTCGCCGACGGTGACTTTGACCTCGGTGTCTTCCCCATCTCTTGGGTCTGGGGCTCCGACAACTCCACCACCTACAACTCTACCTCCAACGCCACCTCTTCCGCCTAAGCGCCTAGTGCCCTATAGCTTGTAGCTCTTCTTCATGGTCTAGATATGCCCAGTGCATTCTAGTCTTGTGTTACTATCTACCTTATACTCCTTGTAAACCTTAAGTACTGTAGTTGGAAGCCTGGCGCCCGACTATAGTTGTCATTCTATAGAAAATCTTTTTGGGTGCTTCGGTCGGAAATGGAAAATCTTGTACGGGCTGGTTTGCTTGATGCATATCAATCTGTATTGACATCTCTGCGCGTCTCATGGTACACTTTGGGGCTCAATATATCTACTTTTAGGCTTTTTCTTACCGAGTGCGCCTGGCATCCAGGCTGCTTGCCTCGTGAAAAAGTCCAATGGAATGTCGAAGAGAACAACGAAAGAGGTCGTAGGCGGTTGATAGATGGTAGTCTCCAAGCCTCTCAAACGTAGACAGACGCGCTTCAAGCTGGATACATCAGTCTGGGTCCTCTGGGAGCATATCGTGGGCCTAGCTGTGGAAGCATCGAAGGTCGCCAGGCAGATCTTGGACGCGTTCGTTGCTACATGAGGGAGACATGAGGGGTGGTCGACCTCCACTCTTCGCTGGACGCGTTCCTCTCTGTTACTGCGTGTGCCAGACACTAAAACACCATCATCGACCTTTCTGTTCTGCACCGCTCTCGAGGATGATAGGCTTCTCGACCTTCGTAAGTACTGCCCGGGTGCGTGGACTGCATGAAGCTCACAGGCAGCAGATCCTGCGCAATTACTACTCGGCCATTGGATGGAACGAAGACAACTTGTACAGCTCCTTCACACGCTCCTCTAGTGGTGAGTCGCTTTGTGTCAGATATGTGTGTGGCTGACGATGACCAGCTCTGCTGTGAGATGGCTCTCATCTTCTCAGAGAACCCAACTGACTCGTACCCAGAGACTTTCAGATCCCTCAGTCGTTGATACTTCAGCTCACAAACGCCCCGACCCCTGTCTTCTTCACCTCCTACGCCCTCGACGCCCTTCCCCAGCTGAACGGGTCATTATCATACATCACCACTTCTGAAGCCTTGCGAGAGGTAAGCCCCCATTGCTCATGTATCGCTGCGACTGACGGCTGGCAGATCGGACCAGATCGTAAATTGGCATTCAAAGATGTCGTCGAGCGCTTTCGTGTTCTCCCTCCGCCCAAACGGCCGCAACCGAAAGATGAAGTCTGGCTAGGCGGCAAGAGGATGGAAGGCAGGGACTACCTCCTCTACTCGCGGTTACATCTACCATCACTACATCTCTCGGGCCTGGCGACGACGAGGTTAGGACCGACACTACAAGCCCATCTTGCATTCCTCTCCCAGCCTGGCCCACCAACACCGACCCGTCCCACATCCCCAAATACGGCTCCCTCGCACTCTCGACAACCATCCGAACCGTCTGCCCCCGCACCACCACCTACACCAGGAAACGTGTTTCTTTCATTACAACATGATACCGGTCGGTATTGCGGAGAGTACACGTACTCGGCGCAAGATGGGATGCTTGGCATCAGGCAGCTGTACAACTTTGGCTGGCATGGAGAAGAAGAAGACAAGGTGGAGAAGCGGGTCAAGGATATACGGGAGGGCAAGCGGATTGATGAGGAAGATTGGATGGAAGGTGGGCTGAAGGGCAGATTCTCTGCCGGGGGGGAAGTGTATTTCTCGGCAAAGCAACGGAGCTTCGGCAGTAAGTCATGTTTCGTATATAAGTCCATCCGAAAGCTGACGTTTGATTTAGTATCTACTGGCTTGAAATTCACGACCGTCCCCCCCACATCACCCCTTCCACCCAACGCCCCTGCTCCTTCTCCGCCAACCACATTGACCCTCCTATACAACCCCCTCATCGGTTTCCTCTCCTCAGCATACTCTGCCCAAGTCTCCCCCACGGTCGCTCTTGCCACCCGTTTCGGCGTCAACGTATACTCGTACGAAAGCGATTTCAGCGTCGGCGGCGAATGGTGGATTGGAAGAAGGCGAGGGAAGAGAGGTGCGGAGCATGAGGATGCTTTGGCGCGGAGTGCCCAGGCAGGGGATGCGGTTGGGGCTGCTGTCGAGGAGAATAGGGAGCTTGCGCAGCTCATGGCGAAGAAGGCGGCTTTGAAGGATACTACTTTGAGAGAAGAGGTCATCGAAGATGTCGTTGCGGAACAGCAGCTCGATTCGCCTGTCCCCCTTGTGACTGATGCGAACGCTCGCAAGGTCTTGGGACGAGCTGTCCCCCGAACTCAAACACGAGAGCCTGTGGATGATGAGCGAGATGGAGTCCTCAAGGCGAGATTTTCGGGCAACTGGGTGAGTTCTACGCGTGTATGCTGTTCTACCTGCTGACTTGTGTAGCAAATCGCCTTGTTGTACGAGGCCAGGATCCGAAACTGTCTCGTCTCTGCTGGCATTAATGCTGATCTCACCGGTACCCAGCGCCCAATCAAAAGCGTCGGTCTCGAGGTGCAGTACTTTTCATAACATCCATGCAGAGACCATTCATAGCAATACAACAACCACAGTATACACACTGATACTCACGCTACTCGTCGTCGAGACCCACATATCCCACATCACGTCTAAACCTTCCCAACGTCCTGAAATTGACTGATCGCCCTCCATTGGATTTTTGGCTTTGACTCTTGAGCCCGTATCCTTGTCTCGGGCCATACCAAGCTGCCACAATCTCGCTCGTCCACCATTCCTTTTCCAGCTGCTCCACCTGTCTCTCTGTTGGACCTTCCTCCTCACTTTCGCCTTGCCTTTGGACGTCGCTCTCTTTGCCACTCGACCGCCGCTTACTTGGAGGGAGGCTGTCGTTTCGGATTCTAGGCATCGGCGGCGAGCCGTTGAAGGGGTTGGTCAGGAAGGATAAGGAAACGACAGATTTCGACCTTGGCATGCCTGGGGGACTTGGGGGTGCTGGGTCTCCATGGGAGATCTTGGGAGACAGAGACGCAGCGCGCTGATAGAAATGCGTGAGTTCTGTAAGGTGGAGAGGCGATGGTATGGGTGTAGCAGCGTACGAGGCGATCACAGAGGTGATGATGCTGAGCAGTCGTTCGAGGCGTTGAGCGGGCGTGTCGTCCTTCTTTAATAAGGCTGTCATTTGAGGACGTGATGAGGTGGATGGATGATCAGCCAAGGGGAACTTGTGGAGGGTGGCGACAGATATATGTGAAAAGTGAACAACTGGGTAGCTTAGTGCTGGAAGGCGTCAGATATGGAATGTCATCGACATGTCGACCCTTCGCCGCTCCGGCTGCCCTCCCCGGGCCCCTGAATCGTGCCATCTACATTGTCCTTCCCAGAGGATACATAGAATATGCGAATACTGTAGCTTTTGAAAGGAAGCCCCTTCCAATCGGAAAGATCCGGGACGGAGACAAGGACGCAACCGGCAAAGCTATATCGCAACGCCGGTGAGGAGTCGAGTGGGTGAACTTAGGACAAGAAAGGACGAAGATGGAAGTAACACTTGTACATAGAGGAGCGCAGGGTGACCATTGTTCGATGGAAGCATCTCTGACCCAGAAGACATTGTGTGTATCGTGCGACGGTGTCACAGGATATGCCCAACGGTGACGTTATTGTCACCCAGTCTTCTACAGCGACTACGAGTACCATGCATATACTCAGACCAATTGTTGATTGAGCAGCTAATTATGAAAACTTGAGGTATCAAGTCAACATAGCTGCATAAGATACGTCTGATCATATAGTGCTACAAAAAGATACTTCTGACATTCTTCAACATCATCCCCTTCACTCCTAGTGGGTACCCTTGTGCTCGTTTCCAGTGACCTTGTTCTTGATCTGGTTCAAAATACCTCCAGCACCGGCAGAGTCGTTACCGGGGGTGACAAAGTCCTTGGTCTGACGAGCGGTGGACTTGGTGTCGTTCGGCTGGACCTCAGAGCCAAGCCTGTAATCCAAAGAGTCAGCCGCCTTGCAGTGTAGATAGCTGTGTGACTTACTGTCCCGCCTTTTGCTGAGCTTGTTCACCAAGACTCTGCTCGCCACTGGGCTTCAAAGTGTTGGTGATACCTCCAGCGTCTGGGCGGAGAGCGTCTTCGGCCTGGTGGTGGGTACCACTAGTGGCGCTGCAACGGGGTGTCAGTCATTTGAGAAAGTCGTGGAGGTAAGGGGCTTACTGCCTGGCGTCTTGCTGGACACCCTCCTTGGCCTTGTCGGCGTCAGACTTGAAGACGTTGGGGGTAATGTGCTGCTGGGCTATTGAACGGTATCAGCTTCATGGTATGTGGACAAGATACGGTGAAAGCCGTACCAGCCTCAGAGTCGCTTTGTCCGAAAACCATGTTGATTGATGAAGTTGTTGCCGGTAGTACGTGGAGTAAGTTGAGTTATTGAATAAGATCCTAGACCGGTTGGCTGTTGAAGAAGTCAGTAATTGCCTCTGAAGCTGGCTCTTATATACGTTTCAATCCCTTCGTTGACACTTATTGAGTCATCCCTCCATCCACACACATGACGTCGCCAAAGGGGGCTCGATGGCGGTGACGTGAGCTGATCAAAGGAGGTGTTGAAGTCAAATGATGTCTTTGGTGTCTGTGATGGAGTAAGGTGTCAGAGGAAGGTGACAAGAAAGGAGATCTATCCACGAGATCGTCATCATCATGCGCGACTCGCCCAAACACACAAAGCGCCATTGACGGTGAAGGGTGGCGACTTGTGCGTGTTTCCTGTGTGACTCAAGGTCTGAACGTCATGACAAGTAACCTATGACAACTCGAAGAGAAGTCTGTAGAAATATATAGGCAAGAAGCCGAGTTTGTCTTCGTCCATACTCATCAACCGACTTCCCATTCACCAGCTTTCGAACTTGTTAGCACCAGACCGGATCAACGACAATGACTCTTGGACAGAGCGACTCGAAGCTGGTGCGTTGGCATTGTCTCCATCTTTATCTATCCTTGTCCCAGCTGACAGCCATGCTGTCTAGCCAAGCAGCACATCAAGCCCGACATCTTCAAGTCCGACGCCGAGAAAGGCAAGGAGAAAGTCCAGCAAGACATCAGGCAGTAAGCACACCCTTCCCTTCTTCCATGGACCCACACCCTTTCCATATCAGGAGACTGACTGACATGATCCAACAGTGTCACGGGCAACACCCACGGCCACGGGCACGACGCATTCCGCCAAGACACGAGTGGCGTGACGAACGCCCTCAAGCCTAGTGGGAAGCAGAGTTTGGGCGATCAGGCCGAGCAGCTGGTCGACAGGTGCGGGACTTTCTACTTGATACTCGAGTCTGGTGGCGAGCTGATACGGGATAAGCAGGGCCCAGGCTGGAGCCCAGCTGAACGACACCAAGTCTGTCACTCAACAAACGCGGGATTATGTAACCCCTGGTAACGACTCGGCCGGGGCCGGGGGTATCTTGAACCAGGTCAAGCACAAGATTACTGGTAATGAGCATAAGGGGACTCATTGAGCGTGAGAATGATGGAAGTGTATTATGGGAGTGTAGCGACTATGTATGATCAATTAATGAAATTCGATGTTGGATTGAATGAGTTTAGGCACTCGACACCCAAGGTGCTCTGACCACAAACGACAACCCCATCTTCAAGGGGACCCATTGAGTACGAGAATCAAGGGTGATCGACAGAGCGATAGCCGTGTGATGGCATTCATGTGGGCTGAAAGTGCTCTATGAATGCTGCATGGTATCAGCGCCCTCCTCTTCGCTTATACTTGCGAGAACAACTCACCATACGGTTTCCTCTACTCTTCCTCTTCCATCCCAGCCCTGACAGCTTCATCCCAAGCCTCCTTGAATTCTGCCATATTCCGCCCTTCCCCCAGCTCAATCATCTCCAAAGGCATCATACTCGTCTGATACGTCGGCGCATTCCTCGTTACTGATGGGTGTGCTTGTGATTCGATTATCCGCAGAATCGGAAGTGTTGGCGTTGTTTGTGGTGAGCCTGGGGAGGAAGAGGATGAGGGGGAGAGGGCAGCTTGGGCGATGGCGTGGAGTTGTTCGTATGTGAAGAGAAGGGCGTCGGTGGATTGGCGGTAGGGTTGGAAATCTATTATCGTGGCGTCTTCATAATTGGGCGTAAGGTAGAGGTCGAATGTATCTATGATAGTCATCAGCACAGAGGTTTCGTGAGACGACAAGGAGGGGGACGTACAGTTGGCGCCGCCTTCATAGTTGTCTCGGATCTCGTCCAGCCAAAACTCTCTGACAGTGTTGACTACCTTGTCCCGGATTTCTTGTGGTTGGAGATGGTCGTAAAAGTTCATGTCTCTTTGAGACACGCCTTTGCACAGTGATGAGCAGTTGCTAGCACCACGCTATTGAGGATGGGACCTACCGACAAGCACATTCTCCCTCACAAACGCACGCACCTCCCTCGACGGATTCAGGCTCTCAAACTTTTTCAACACCAGTTCAATCTTTGGCTTTATGCCCAACGCAAGGTCATTAGCGTCCAAACCAGAGTGGGCGGTGATGGGGTCGATGTCGTGTGTGACAAAGTCGCTGGATTTGAGGAGGAGGTAGATATCTGACGGGGTGGTGCAGTATAGGGGACCGTAGGATGCTTGGGGCAGTATGAATGCAGCGTCCTTCTTTATTGTCAGTGTTGGATCTTGAGAAGGGTTGTGGATGAAGGCTGACCTTGGGGCTGGTCCAATTGAGCTTTGGAAAGGCGGCACCGCCGAATGATTTGATAGCCTCTCGGATGGCCGCGTTCAATTTTGGCAGGCGATAGACGGGGGGTATGGATGAGGAAGAGCTGTTGCTGGCGTTGGAGGACGATCGGGAGCGGGAGGAGGGTTCTTGGTATATGGTAGCTGTCTCTTCGGTGCTATATCGATCACAAGTGAGTTCTCGACATCTTGCAGCTTGCTAGGGTGGCATACCCTTCACTGCCTTCCGGGTAAAAGATCGAATCCGCCTCGAGCCACTGCGCACGCGGATCAGCCCCGACTAAATCCCATATAGCATGACCTTACTCTCAGAAACTCCTCTTGCTCGCCAAGCTCTGCGAGATCGATGATTTGCGCAGGAAAGGTAATGTCGGCGAATGTGTCGTGCCACGAAGACGTACGGGCGGCATCGATATGCGGCAGCATCAACGCCGGAAAGAGCTCGATCTGCTGATTTGTCGGCGCTGGTACTGGCATGCTGTGGCGGTCCAATGGTACATACAGGACCCGATAAAAAGTGTCACAACAATGTTTCATAGATATGAAACTGATTATGTAAGCACGACATTACGCGTACTATTTGCCGCTGTTGCCTGGTTGTTTTCGTGAGTCAGTCCTTCGTCCCATTCCGCGAAAGCGCACAGACCCCGTCCCCAGGTGGCCGTCAGCGTGTGCAGACATGGCAGTGCCCCCTCCCCGCGTGGCCATCGCCGCCCCCGCCCTGCCCACAGACAGGCCCGTCCCCACCACCAGCCCCTCCCCCGACCCCGCCGTGACCCCAGGCGGCACCCGCAACGGCCAGACACTGCGGCCAGATACAGACGCCCTCCAGTGGATACCCCGCAACGGAGCCCGCTCAAAGACCGGGAAAGACAAGGCGGGGTGGGGCAATCTGCCAGTGGAAATATTGCAGTGCGTTCGCTTTCGGATGCCACGACTGGACTGACGATCCTTCTCGTCAGCCGTGTACTGTCCTTCGCAAGAGATGACATCAGTCTTGATCTGATCCTAGAATCCTTCTATGGAGAGCGGTCGGCGCGCCCGAATGAGATAGCGCTGGCTCTGGTACACCGCGTCTGGTTCTGTCGCATGCGTCTTGTCTCGAGCGGCTGGCGCAGTGCTGGTGCGTAGTATAGGCTATCCCATGTTTTCACTAACAATATCACAGTCGACTCGCATTCATTCTGGCCCGATTATACCCTCATAATAGATCCCTCCAGACATCATGCCTCAACCATATCCGACCTCCACTCTGCCCGCCTGACCCCCTCCACTCCGACCTTTCCGACCCTCTTCCATCGCGCGCGCAACACTACTCTCTCAAGCTGCCTCGCATGCCGCCTGAATCACCCCTCTAGACTAGGCTACTATCCCGCTGTAGCCAAGCGTATGACATATACGTCTCGATTCGGATTCGCCCCGACCTGCGACAAGCACGCCGGAACGTTTTGCACGAGCTGTCTACGCGAGAGCGAACCACTGGCAGGGCGCAATTCAATTTCGGGGGGGATCATATCATCTACACCTTCTCCCCGCGAGTATGGTATGAGTTTGATGCTCTCGCCGTGCAACTTGGGCGACGTCGATGAACGCGGGGTGGAACGTCCACCCCGCGCACTCGTCTGTCCTGATTGCCGGCGACAATCCATCTGGAATCAGATCCAGCTCAACCTCGTCGCCTGCGCCCGGGGTACCTATCTCCGAGGCAATCGTGCCCCCTGGCTCTCCAATGAAAAGCTCAAGGATTATGTGGATTTCAATGTCGGTACGGCGTTTGAAATGGGGTATGCGGCGGTAGAGGAGCAGTGGCTGAAAGATCATACACGGTGGGATGAGCTATTTGAGACGGCATTGGCGTTGCAGAACCATGAGAGGGCGTTGAAATTGCAGTTCATGACGACTGCCACAGAGGAGACAAAGTCGCAGAGAGATGAGAGGGTTGCGCGTTTGGCAGAGCTCAGGGGTGAAGACTCGAACGGTCGGGAGACCGAGGAAGATGCGATGGAGATGGAGGCGCTGTATCGGTCTTGGTGGAGAGAGATCGAAGAGGAAGAGTTGAGCAGTGACGAAGAGGAAGACGACGAACTGTTGAACGAAAAGGTGAGTCGCTGGTCTCTATATGGCCTCCGCTGACTGTGTGTAGTACCGCTTGAAACTCAAGATTGGGTGCATCAACGACTTTGTATCCGATCGCATCCGCTACGCTTTCTGGGTCCTGCCCTCTGACGAACTTGAAAAACTTGTATCGGACGATCAATCCCGCAAATCTGATCGTTCCGGCGCCATCCACACTTCCCTCCTCGACATTGCTACCAACTTCACGCACCCTTTCGCCGGTTTCGTCCCCTTTGCGTACCAGCCAAACCACGCATATATCGATACTGTCGGCTTTATGGCGATACAGCCTTCGCCCGCCCCAGAGATTGCGAGGCTGGAAAGCCCGGCGGACCCGTTCTACCCACCCGACAGGCTCCTGAGACAGCTAGACTCGGCCTTTACCGAGGTGCTTACCAGACGGACAGGCGGAGCCCTGTATAACGTTGCCCACTTTGTCCGCCAAAGTTGTGCCAGCGACGAAGAGGCGGAACACGAGTGCGAGTCGCTCAAAGTAGAGGATATCCTCTCACGTCTGACTGCTTGGGAAGTCTGGGTACCGCGGGCGCTGGCGGAGGGCGTGCTGGATGCAGAGAGGGACAAGGAGGAGGCCGAGCTTCGCGCAGCTCAGAGGGTCTGGGAGGAAGAATCCGGGCCGGAGATAGTGGTCGTGGATGAGTCGAAGGAAGAGGAGGATGGGACGGCTGTGCATGAGCAGATGTCGTCGGACGAAAAGTCGTCGTCGTCGTCTGCTACGTTGGGCAAGCGCAAATCGTCTCGCCCGGCGTCGCCACATGACAAACGTCAGCGCGCTTCGCCCACCACACCTCCAGCTCAGATCTCAGCCGACGCGACATTACTCGAGGTGACGCTCGAACCTAGCCAGGGTCTGAAGAGGAAAGCACCACCTTCGCCCGCCTCTCATCATATAGACAAGAACCGGAAAGAGGTCACCCCGCCACCGGGGCCGACGTTTGAAGTTGGGAAGGATGGTGGGCTCGAAATGAAGCGGACAAGGGTCGAGTCTCTTGCTGCGGGCGACGATAGTTCTGTGGCTGCATCGTCTGCGCCTGTGAGCCCAACGCCGGTAGCGAAAGTCCTCGATGATGTGTCAGAAAGGACGAGCTCGACAGAGACGGTCGGGGATGTGCCGGTGACCCCGCAAGAGAGCTGGGTGCTGGCGGATGGGGAAGGAGAGGCGGTGCTCAAAGACGCCAGTATGGAGGTTGAAGAAGAGGAGCTCTTTGAAGTGCGACTGGAGGAAAAGGCGAGAGCGCCCCTGCAAGCTCGTCCAGACGAGGAGCAATTGGCAGCTGGCCCAGCCACTCCTCGTTCCCCTTCTACAATATCCGGCGTTTCGTCCGTCCCTACCGGCTCACCATCCCCGCCTCTCGCTCGCGAACTATCGCCCGTCAGTCACGCAAGAAGTCGGCTTGGCAACTATATGACCCGCACCGAGCATATTGTACCATTCATCCCCCTCACCTCCATCCCCATCCAACTCCCCCCGACTCATCCCTTGGCCGGCCACGGTCCCGTATCCCTCCCGATCAACCTCGGGCAAGGCGCAAACAGGGCGCTGTTGGCAGCCTTTTACGAGTCGCGGGCCGACTTGAGAGAGTGTAAATGTAGGATATGTGAGAGGGCGAGAAAGAAGGCATGGGATAACCTGGAGGCTATGAGGCAGCTTGTGGCGAGTGGAGAGATTGGGTGGGAAGCGCTGCTATCCTAGAGAGTCATAGATTCACGAAAAGTCTGTCAGAAGGGTCTAAGATCTTGGAAATGTATCATAAGGAGACTTTGTATAGATTCTCGGGGATGCATACGCCCTGACATCTTGTACATGTACTCATTTGCTTATATACAACCTTACTATATCGCTCTGTCTATCTATCCATACCGGAGTTCTACTACACAGAAGCAGTAACCGGGTAGCCAAGGATGTCCTTTGCGTCTTCATTCTCGACAAAGTACCAAACTATACCGTGGTCAATGGGTTGCTACACGCCGAAACACATTACTCACTCTGGTTACTGTTCCCGGTGAAACACTGGTAAGTCTGAGGGCCGTCGTCACCGTGGTCAAGGCACTGATACTCTTCGGTGACAGAAGAGACATTGTCACCCCCGGTAAGGGCGATGCGGTTGTCTTCCGTGTAGAGCCAGCTGTCAAGGGTCAGCACGAGGGCGGCTGGAATCAACTCACGTTTGTTGGAAGAGACCAGGAGAAGACTTTTGAAGCTGCAAAACATCCGTCATCGTCAGCATAGAAAACTCCAATCACGACATTCACCAACCGTAAGTTTCTCGTTGTTGGTCGTGCCGTCACCGGCATCCAGAGCCAACTGAGGCGAAGTGTTGGCAGGCTCCAAGATGATACTGCCAATACTTCCAGCGGTGCTGTTGACAGTCCAGGTAGGAGCAGAGTCACAGTCCCCGTAGGTAAGCTCAGTGCCGATGCCCCACTTGCCGCCTGCACCCGTCAGACATTGTCCGTCGGCGGAAGCTTTGATACGCAGGTTGGAGCTGCGCTTGGCAAGTTGGGATCGAGGCTCGGCTACCGGGGAGGCAAGGGAAGAGACGGCGAGGAAGGAGAGGATAGAAGCGAGGTTGAAGAGCATCATAGCTGGCCGTATGTTGTATTTTTGTATTATTGGGATAGGCTATGTTGATTGAGAGTAGTTACTGCGGGGATGTTAAACTTTATCTTGGAATCTGGTTCATTTTAATACCTTTTCACGATCACAGCCTCACGGGGTTTGAAACGTTGGGTATACCTTTGTCAACTCAAAGGGATGGTTTAGTCTCGGGCATTAACCCTGGCCCCACAAAGCAGTGCAGCTCTCTGAAACGCCTTTAGAACGAGTCAATATCGGGCTCGGAGGCGGTCCCAGAGGCGAGAAAAGGAAAATGGTGAAACCCCAAACGGCGTGGAGATGTTGGAACCAAATAACACACTAATAGCAATGTGGGACCCGTAATAAGTTTTTGCTAAATTGACTGAATTTCGAAAGTCTATCACGGCCCATTAGATTTACCTCTTTGTATGATCCATCGCCTCAAGGCAGCCCTCACAAACATCCTCAGACGACCTATACCACTCAGGATGGAACCCGCCGAAAGCACCAAGCGCCCCCTCTCCCCCACTCCCCAGAATGAGGCTCCCGAAGCCAAAAGGCCGCACCTCGAAGCCCAGCCCAAACAGAGCGTCGAGATCGATCCCGAGGAAGCCATGTTCAACGCAGAGAACGCTGGAGGCAACATCAAGAACAAGAACAACAACAAGGGCTCGAGGGGAGGGAAGCGTGCGAATACAAAGGTGCAGAAGAAGAGGGATGAGACGCGGGAGAAGAAGAATCTGTCGTCTGATGGACGGGTGCAGCGCGCTTGGGAGCCTAGAGAGGTCAAGGAGGGAGAGACGAAGGAGGCCAAGCTGCCCAAGAAGAGATGTGCTTTGCTCATTGGGTATGTCGTGTGGTCGTCCAGTTGCTCGAGCTGACCCTGTCTAGATACTGTGGTACTGGATACCATGGAATGCAAATGTACGTTATCCTTTTTTCGGCTCTGAGACATACTAATACGACTCTAGACAAGACCACACGGCACGCACGATCGAAGGCGAGATCTTTGCGGCCCTCGTCAAAGCCGGCGCCGTCTCCTCCGACAACGCCGTCGACGCTCGTAAAGTCGACATTGCCAGAGCCGCCCGTACCGATGCCGGTGTCCATGCCGCCGGCAACGTCATCTCCATCAAGATGATCACCGAACCCCCTCTCCCCGAAGGCTACAAGACCATCGCCGAATACGTCAACACCTTCCTGCCCCCGCAAATCAGGATGTGGGGCTGGGTCAGGACTGTCAAGTCTTTCAACGCCCGCACGGCCGCCGACTCGCGTATATACGAGTACCTCCTGCCTTCTTACTGTCTCTTGCCGCCAAACAAGGATGATCAGCTGGCGCAGAGGCTGAATGAGACGAGTCCGGGGTGGAGGGATGTGGTTGGGGAGGAGGCGTGCGCGTTTGCGGATGCTAGGTTGCCGATGCCCACGAGCGAGGAGGGTGAGGTAGACCCCAAGGTCAGGGGAGAGTTTGAGAGGAAGAGGGGGTATAGGGTGGATGAGAAGACTTTGAACAGGTTCAGGGACATTGTCGCTTTGTACAAGGGAACCCAGTGAGTGTTCTTGAGGGGTGCATGTGCTGTATCTGACGAGCGATAGCAACTTTCACAACTACACTGTCGGCAAGCCTTTCAACGACCGCGCGGTCAAGCGATTCATGATCAAGCTGGAAGTCAAGGACCCCAAGGTCTACGGCGACATCGAGTGGATCTCTGTTCAAATCCACGGCCAGAGTTTCATGCTCCACCAAATCGTTAGTCTCCACCATATAGCAAGAGCTATACTCACATTCCCACAGCGAAAGATGATCTCGATGGCAATGCTCGCCTGTCGATCCGGTTCCCCACCTTCCCTCCTCCCCGAAACATTCGGCCCCAAAAAGATCCACATCCCCAAAGCCCCTCCCCTCGGTCTCTTGCTCGAAGCGCCCCAATTCGGGGTTTATAACGACAGGATCGACAAGAAGATGCACGGTATCACCGAAGACAGGGATCCGGTCAACTTTGGGCTGTATGCGGAGGAGATTTATGCTTTCAAGGTCAAGTGGATCTATGAGATGTTGAGGCAGGAGGAATTGGAGAAGAATGTGTAAGTGTTGTTTGTGTTTTTGATTTCGTATTGTCGCTGATATGGTGGGTCAGGTTCCACAAGTGGATGCAGATGATGGACAACATCAGGAACAACACTCTGGGTTACCTCAAGTACGTCTTTAGAACTCCAAACTCTTCACCTGAGACCCCTACTAACCCGTGTCCAGCATCAAGGGTGTCATTCCCGAAGAAGCCACCGCCGAAGCGCTCGATGCCGAGGGCAAACGCAAGAAGGAAGAGGAAGCCGGAGGGGTTACCAAGGATGGAGCTGATGCAAAGTTGGAGGAGGAGATTGAGAGTGATGATGAGGTTGACCAAGAGGCGTTGAAGAGGGGTGATTTGGAGGGTTAGGGCGGGGATATTGCTTTTGAGTAAGTTTGCGACCCCTTTCTCGTGAAAGGATGGTGGGCTGATGGGGGGCAGTTTGTACCATGTATAGCTATTCAGCATCTCATGCAAACACTATGAGGTCTACTATCTCTTCCTTCTGTGTTGCTCCAGGGAACAGGATCTGCCAAAGAAACGTGCACGCTTTCATCCCCACTTGATGATATCAGCGTTCCGATCATGCCTGCACGTATGTTTCGAGGGGCTACGCGATATCTCGAGTGGCTGTTTTGAATTTGCCAGGCGCAGGGGAGCACGAGAGTCACGACAAATTCATTCTTACTTCAAACTCGACTACTACATGACTATTTAATGTCGACAACGCTGACGACAGTACCAAACCCATCGGCCAGCTCGCGCAAGACTACATCCACCAACTGAGCCGCCTTGACGCCCGGAATGTCGCGGTCGCCAATCGCCTCCCGAGGAAGCACAATCTCGTACCCCCTCTCGGACGCCTGGCGAGTCGTAGTGCTCACACAGATATGCGCCATATACCCCACAAGCACCACCTTCTTCTTCCCAAACCTGTCGAGCAGCTCTTGCAAGTTGGTGCCCGTAAACGCCCCGGGGTGCTGCTTGCCGACGACGGGCTCGCCAGGAGCAGGCTTGAGCTCGTCAAATTCCTCGGCGAGGCGGGTGCCGGGGGTGAAGAAGGGCGCGCCGGCGGGGGTCTGGTGGACGACGTGGACGAGGGGGGCGGAGGCGTTGCGGTAGTGCGTGAGGAGGGTGCTGATGGCCTTGCGGGTGGAGGCGACGTCGACGGTGGTCAAGAGGCCTTCGGCGTACCTGCGTGGGGTCAGTATGATGTCTTGTGTAGTAGAAAGGGGGACTCACTCGTTCTGGGCGTCGATGATGATGAGGACACTGTCGTCGGTGGATGCAGTGCTGGGCGAGACTCCCTTAAGTTCTTGGTATGACTTGGCAGACATGGTGCAGTGGTACTTGCTTGAGGGGTGTGAAGGCAGGAGTAGATGGCGCCCCGGTATATATAGACAGGCCTCCTAGCGGAACTTCCGCAAGTACACTTGACCTGCTTACACATCGCGCCGGGTTTCTTGGTAAGCGTTGGTAGTCGCGATTAGCAATCATCACAACTCATATGACGATAGGGCGCGGAGTATCCGCCATGCTCCTCGGGTGTGGGGACTCGACCCATGTGTGCATGCAGCGGCAGAGTATCCTAGGAGACTCCCATGAGAATGAAGGAGGAGGGCGGCGGGCGCCGGGAGTTGTGTGAGCGGGAGCAAATGGGACGGGTGGTCGTGTTGGTGTCAACAAGTGGACTGATGCTGCCAGCGAGATCTCGCAGCTAACAGGGCCCAGCCCACTACAGGAATACGAAAAGCGGACACCCACCCACCACGTGACACATGTCCAAACTGCCCCAGCTGTCCACCCCCGGACGCCCCTCGCCCTCCGGTATATCCTCCGGCATCCCCACCCCCGCCTCCCGCCGCCCCCGCTCGTCTCTCGGCCCCGCCCACTCCCTCCCCGCCGCCGACGATGCGATGGACAAGGCCCTCCAGGACGTCCTGCGCACACGGCCCCCAAGCAGTCTGAGGAACAACGATGACGCGCCTTTGGAATCTTCATCACATCTTTCAGCCTCCTATGGACTCCCTGCGCCGCGCACACCTGGCGTCTCGCGCCCGCGCACCCCTTCAGCTTTGGGCGGGGCGCCAGTCACACCTTCAACAGCGTCTCGGAGCGTGTCTCGTGCGGGGCTCGGGCTTCGATCGTCCCTTGCCAACTCTACCACTGCCCCATTCACACCCCGGCGTACGTCCATGGCGTCTTCGACGACATCGACAACGCCGTTTGCTAGGCGGCCAGAGTCTCGAGCGTCGGAAAGAGACCCGGGCACATCAAAATGGGTGCCTGTGGTGGGAGAGCGAGTGAGGATCAGCAGTATGGGGTACGAGGGGACACTGCGGTTTTATGGCGCGACAGAATTCAAAGAAGGCGTCTGGGCGGGAGTCGAGCTGGAAGGGGGGTTCAAGGGAAAAGGCAAGAATGATGGAAATGTCGGCGGGTGCGTGATCTCCCATTGCACTCGGCTCGTGCTGATATACTACAGTGTGCAATACTTTTCATGCCCACCGAACTGTGGTATCTTTGTGACAGCAGTCAAACTTTCCCAACCCACAACAGGAGCCTCCCGCCCATCTTCCGTCGCCTCATCCCATCGCTCACAAGCCTCCTACACTCTATCCGGCCGCGCCACGCCCTCCATGTCTGGCCGCGCTACCCCTTCCAGACCTCCATCCGTCACCCCAGGCCGTGTCCCGCGCACCGTCTCATCAGCCGCCCGTTCCCGCCCCAGCATCTCGGGTAACCTAGACGACGATCTCCCCAGCCGGACCGCCCTCGGCACCAGCACCACCGCCAACACCCTCGACTCTCGGTTCACCGCCGGCTCCCGCGCCAGTAAATACGCAGGCATGACGGCCAAGCAGCTCGACACTGCCCGAGCTGGCTCCGCGTCCAAGCTCGGGCAGAGCACGTCGACGGTAACGGGCACGACGCCGAAAGTGTCGCGCATCTCGATGGGGCTCGGTACCCCGGCACGGGGCCCGAGGCAGAGTGTGAGCAGCCTCGTGACGCCGCGTGCGACGCGCGCGCCGAGGGCGAGTGGGCTGCATGATATGCCCCCGCCGCCGAGTCCGGGGAATATCAATAGGATCCTCACTGCCAGGCAGGCTGAAGCGCTGGAGGAAGAGATTAGGGAACTGAAGCGGAGGAATGGGGAACTGGAGGAGGATCTCAAGCAGGCGCCAGAGTTGAAGGAGGGGAGGGAGGATGATGGGGACGAGGTGGAGGCGCTGAGGGGGGAGGCAGAAAAGGCCAAAACGGATGTTGCGTTTTTGAGATCGCAGCTCGAGACGGCAGAGACAAACGCCAATGACGCTGTCCGGATTCTGGAAGAACTCCAAGGCGAGCACACTGCTCAACAACAAGATATCGACCAAAAAGCCAAAGAGCTGCAAGATCTCCGAAAAGAGCTCAAGCTGGCGGCGGAGAGGGCAGAGGAAGAGCTCTCAGCGGGGATGGAAGCGAAAAAGCAAGAAGTGCGCGAGATGCTGGAACGCGCCGAATCTGCAGAGCTCGAACTGTCCGAGATGAAGGCGCTCGTCGATGAGCTCACGAACGCTGGGCAACAGATGATCTCGCTGAACGAGACCAAGCAGTACGAGCTCGAAGAGCGGCTGCGCGAGCTGGAAGACAAGAATCGCTCGCTCGACGAAAAACTCCAGAAAGCCCGAGAAGAGCAAGAAAGGTCTCTCCTCCCGCCGTCGCCTTCCACGCGTCAGCGCGAAGCTGCGACAGCGGCGGAAATCGACAATGAAACCCTCACCGCCCAAGTCAAGCATCTCCAAAACAAGCTCAACCACCTCGAAGAAGAGCTCGACGAGGCGCGGGCGCAGGCAGAGACGGATGCCGAGGCGTGGAAAACCAAGATCAACAGGGTCAAGGAGAGTGAGAAGGCGGTGAGGGAGGAGGGTGGGGTGTTGAGGACGGAGATTAAAGAGTTGAAGGAGCAGGCGAATGGGGCGAGGGGCAAGATTGGAGAGTTGGAGGGGGCGCTCAAGGAGAATCAGGTGGCGCTGGAAGGGGCGCGGGCAGAGATTGAGAGTCTTAGAGTTGAAGCTTCTGTACGTTCAAGATCATTTAATGGTGGGGCTGGGACTGACAGCGTGGATGTGTAGGAGGCTGCGGGTATGCGAGCCGCCTTGCAGTCGGCTTCTGCCAATGAAAAGGCACTTGCTGCTGCTCAAGCCGAGGTCGCAGAGCTCAAGAAGACTCTTTCAGCTGCAACCGAGTCTAGCTCCAAGGCTGCTGCCGATGTCGAGGGACAAATCGGTGACCTCGAGGACAAGATCGCCTCTCTCGAGGCCGAGATCGAGACTGCAAGTGGCTTTGCGTCCTCAGGTAGCCAAGCTGACTCTCATATAGCTCAAAAAGACCGCCAAGAGCAACATCTCCAACAACCTCCCCACCCCACCTACCAAACTCTCATCTTCATCCTCTTCCTCCGAAGACACTGAAAAGAAGATTCACGGCTTCCAGCATATCATCCAAGACTTGTCTGCGGAGAATGCTGATCTCAAGGAGCAGTGTGAAAGCTTGAGGGAAGAAGTTGCGTTGATGAAGGAGGAGGTCAAGTTGTTGGAGGAGACTGCTGGTGACTTGCCGTCGGGCGGTGCTGGTACCGAGAAGGAGTTGTTGGTGGCCAAGACTACCATCAAGGAGGTGAGTGCTCAAAAACAGCGACGGCAATGACAAGCTGACTTTTTTCCAGCTTAACCGAGAAGTCGCCGAACTCGAGACTCTCATCGAGACCAAGATCTACCGAGAAGACGAGCTCGAGACGCGCGTGTCCAGCCTGGAACGCGAAGTCGACAGGTATCGCAAATCCTCAACCTCCTCCGACCGAAACACCAACGGCGAACCTCCCCATTCCGCTACCTCAACACATTTTTCACACGGATCAGATAACAGCCACTCGTCGAGTACGGCTACGGGAGGCTCGAAACGAGAGGTGGAAAGGTGCGAGCTGTGCGAGGGGCCGCATGATCTTGATGCTTGTCCTGTCTTTGCTGGGAATGTGACGGGAGAGGAGAAGAAGGGCGGCAAGTGGTGTGAGGACTGTGAAGTGAGTCAACTACGCGGCTACGCCAATCGAATACTGATCTCCCCTGACAGAGCTCTGAACACGACACCGTCGAATGTCCCATGGCAGAAGACGTCTTCTAGTCCCGCCGCCTTTGTGGCATCATGTCCCGGATCCATATCTACTCATCTCTAGGGTTGTGTATTTCTCACGGCTTGCAACGAATACAGCATATCTCTTTCTCTTTCCAAAAATGTAGATTAGGCTGAAACGTAGGGTAATATGCATCTTCAGGTACGTTTGACGTCTTGCTTGTAGATGGCATATTGTTTGAAAAAGAGAGGCGTGGTGGTGTAGACCGTCGGTGCCTTGATGCCAAACAACCATAACCAGGGTTTTGCCGCTTCGACCTTCTCTTTTGTCCGCATCACATCGCCTCAGACTTGTTGTCACGGATCGCGATTCTACGCCATGGAACGGCTTGACATCGGCCAGCGAATAGCGGACCGGTACGATATCACACGAGTCATCACGCACCGTGAACCCAACGGCAAGTCTCACCATCTCTCACATCCTCGGATTTGTCCACGCACATATGTACTGACTTCAGAGATAGTGAGCGTGTACGTCGGCGCAGACATTGTCACAAAAGAAGAAGTAGCCCTCAAACTCAATAGCTACATCGATAGGCATAGGAGCGAAGCCGCCTTTTACGACGCCATCGCACATCTTGAGGGCTTCCCAAAGTGCATCGGGGCGTGGGCCAACGGGGATTGAGACTATGGCGTGATCGCCGTCGAGCTGCTGGGACCTAACCTGGACACTACCATGGCCAACTTGGAGGGCAGAAAGTTCAGTCTAAAGACGACTCTCCAGATAGCTGTCCAAATCATCACCCGGAGCCAAGATTTGCACCACCAACGTCTCGTCCATGCCGGAATCAAACCGGACAACCTTTGTATCGGCTTGCGAGCGAGGGGCAAGGATGGGATGGTGTACATGATTGACTTTGATCGCGCTCAAGAGTATATCGACCGGGGTGGGGACCTCATTCCCAATAAGGCGCAGGGCCTTGGGAACCATCTCTGGACTTCGTTGAATGTCGATCACAAAAACCAGCCTGCGAGACGGGACGATATGGAGTCGGCGGGGTATCTCTTTGTTGTAAGCACATGCTACCTACCGTGACTCGGGTGCTGACCTCCTTGTAGTACTTCTTGACTGACCGGGACCTTGCCGTGGCTAGGCGCTTCTTCCCACAAAGAGGCCGAAATAATCAGTAGGTGCACTCGTCTCAGAAAGAACACCTCGGCTGACCGAATGCCTTGAGAACACGCAACGACCCTTGAGGACCTCTGCAAAGACGTGCACGCCGAGTTCAAGACCTATATAAGCTACTGCCGGAGCCTCAACTTTCTGACGAACCAGACTATGGATATTGCAGGAAGTTGCTCTGGGATGTGTTGTAGAGGGAGGGTTTTGAGGAGGATGGTGTATATGATTGGATGTCGGCTTCTCCTCCTTAGCGTAAGAGGGAGAAGCCTAAGAAGAAGAAGCCCAAGAGGGAGACTGAACCACACCAAGAGCGAAAGAAAGGGATATCGAGCGAGGAAGGGGTGGCATGCAAGAGGATAAGACGGAGAGATGGAGAGGAGGAAGAGGAGGTGATTCACGACGGGGACTTTGCCGAAGTTGTACTCGAGTAGTCGCGAAAACGATATCGCTCCATAGAGCATATGTACTTGTTCCCGGGTGCCAACCGACATCGTAAGAACGAGCATGATCGAAAAGCATCATGAAGGAGGAAAGATGACGGGAAAGAGCGACGGGCAATCATCAGATAGCGCGTGCGACGGAATCAGCCGCCTTTTTGATGATAGTTTCCGCCGTCTCTCGTCTGTCCTGCATCAGTTCTTGCTGCTATCTATCTCGTCAAACCACGGATTTTTCTGCCCTAAATGAACTCGCTTGAGCACGACCGGTATGAGAGAGGGCAACGCATTTTCTGGGGTAACTATGGCAAGTCTCACGTCGTCTCCTCTGAATCCAGCGGGATAACTCTTCTAACTCACGGAACAGTAATGGTCTACTCTGGCTTCGACACGGTAACGAACGAGCAAGTCGCTATCAAATACAATGAAGACGTCGACAGGGCTATGCGAGAAGCCGACTGTTACAAACACATCCAAGGTCTTGAAGGGTTCCCGGCTTGGAAGAGTGATTGGCTTGACCTTAGAGGGAAGCACTATGGAGGGCTTGCTATTGGGCTCTTGGGCCCCTCTTTGACCACACTGGTTAAAGAGGCGGAGGGAAAGAAACTCAGTCTGAAGACCACTCTCCAGGCAGCTGATCAGATCATCACCCGGATCGAAGCTCTACACCAAACAGGTCTCGTCCATCGCGACGTCAGGCCAGAAAACTTTTGCATCGGCTTTAAAGAAAGCGGAAAAGATGGGACGGTATACATGATTGACTTTGACAAATCAAAGGGGTATATCGACCTCACGCTTTCAACTATGGGACGGCTTCGGGGAGTTCGGCCTGGACTTCCTTGAACGTCTGGGGTAGTGGTTCCAGTCCCTCCAGGCGAGATGATATGGAGTCTGCTGGGTACGTGTTTGTCGTAAGTGATCCTTGCCTTCTGCCAAGGCTGCAACGATGGCTGACCTCCCGACGTTCATCATTGCAGTATTGTTTGACGGGGAGCTTGCCGTGGTTGGGTCCCCTTTGGAGTGATTCGGACCAATGGAGTGATTGCACTCGCCTTCGGGAGATACATCAATTGATCTCCAGCGGAATCAGAGCATAAGATCAGTCTCAAGGATCTTTGCAAAGGCTTGCCTGCAGAGTTCAAGACCTATCTCAGCTACTGCCGAAGCCTCGAGTATACCGACAAACCAGACTATGCCTATTGCAGAAGACTCTTCCGGGACGTCTTTGTCAGGGAGGGGTACGAGGAGGATGATGTCTATGACTGGATGTCGGGTTCCCCTCCCTCGAACAGGGAATGAATCACACTCAGAGCGAGACAGGCCAAGATCGAACGATGGAGAGGTGGAATGCAAGAAGACAAGACGAAGAAGAGGAAGAGGAGGCGATTGACGACGGGGACGTTGCCGATGCTGTACATACTCGAGTAGTTGAAAGTGACGGTGTTGTTCCAAAGGCCCAGCACGAGGATGAAACTGAGTGGTCAAATCGTCAAAGCAGGAACGTAAGCCAGGATGGTCTTGGAGTCTTGATTGGAGAACGCTATGTTTGCTAGTAGCGGCAATGAAGTCGATGCCTTTGGCGTCAGCGAGAAGTCAAAGGGGTACTTGGCCTTCCGAACTTCTAGTGTCTGGTGTGTCGGGAGACATGGCGTGGGTCTGAAAGAGAGGAAGAGCGCATCGCATCGTTTGAGTCACTCAACTTCGTCAGCTCAGACAACTGCCTGAATTCGAGACATTGAGCTATGTATAGCTGTACAAGTGCAGCCACTGTTGGGATGTACGGCGGCCCCTGCTCTCACATGCTTAATGCATGGAATATGCAGTACATATCATGGGCACGCAGTGTGCAGACATGATGTAAGTGCTTGTCATGTGGTGGTACAAGAGACAAGCATAACGTAGTAGTATGCCATACTGCCCATACATTTTGGCCTATTTGGCTTCTAAATTCTTTAAGGCCGTCCAGGAACCCCGATATCTACATCCTCGTGCCTCGTGCGATCGGGATATTCCTCAGAAAGACGGAAGGGCGGCGTGCATACAGCATATGTAGAAATAAGTAGAATGAAGCAGGGCCACGGCATGCCTGTGCCAGTCAGTGCGGCCCACTAACGTGATGTGCCACACGCAATCAACGGGCAATCAGTCATCGACACGATCAACAATCATGCACATGCCTGCCGCGAACCAAAGAGAGGGACGGCGGGCCAGCAAGGTTTCCGGGTGATGCAGTGCGTCGCACAGCACAACCGCACGAGGGCACAGAGTATAGAGGGCCAAACAAAGAGGGTCAGGTGGGGTATGCGATGCAGGATGTCTGGCCGCCTCCCCACGCTACAACAATGCATTGACACTCATTGACAGAGACGGGGAATTTCCGGAAGAGGCAATGTGTTCACGGCGCAGAGTGCCGTAAGATGGGGGCTTAAGTGGGAGCTTGTCGATAACGGAGACTTCTGCCGAGGGGACTCATCGCATCTTTCGGTCAGGGCCCGGTCGAGATTGAATACAACTTCCATTCTGCATCTATATCACCACGCCCCCCAGACATCCCGCCGTCCCATCCCATCCAGCCATGGCAGACCCCCCGACCTTTGCACAGCAGACAAGCGTCTTCAGCGTCGCAGAGGGGCCCAGTACCAGCGGCGTCAAGCGGGGCAAGACTGGATGTCTCACCTGCAGGCTAAGGAAAAAGGTTGGTCGATCGTGCTCCCAGGAGCGTCCGCTGACATCCTACAGCGTTGCGATGAAGCAAAGCCAGTATGCCTCAACTGTGACCGCCTGGGCCTCGAGTGCATGGGCTACACTGTCAAACGGCCGGATTTTCTGAAGGAAGAAGAGGAGATAAAGCGTATCAAGGCAGACATGTGCGTCATATGCGATTGTGAATATGGCTGATACAAAGCAGCAAAGCCAAGATGTCAGAGACGCGTAGAGCAAACAACAAGAAGGGCAAGGGCAAGAGCCGGCGTTCGAATCGCAAAGACAGCAACCAAACCACATCCACGTCTGATGACCAGCCTGTGGACGACCCCGCCCCTGCTAGTGGCTTCCACCAGCCTGCTACCGCTACACCTTCGACTGCTATGCCGTTCCGAACCACGCCACCAGATAGCGCAGGTCTATGGAGCTCGCATGTGGGCATGTCAAATTCAGCCTGGCCTCCGGATTCGTCAATGCGTCTCCCCTCCCAGATCAACATGCCGGCGCGCACAGACAGCAGCCAATCCACGTCCACACCTGAATACAGGGCTACGGATGGCTCTGGCCTACCGGAGGCATCTTGCTCTCACGCATCTGCTGAACCACCGTCCTCTATACCATCGTCCTCTATGCGATTTCTTACGCCCACATCCGCAGAAGCCACCCATATGCCGATATGGAACTCTGTATCCAAGCCGACTTGGTCGCCACGTTCAGCTGTCCCTCCCCCAGTGCCAGAGATGCATCTGGCCAGTCATCAAGAAGTCATGTCTGACGCACACCAGATCAACAAGGCGCGCACAGACAGCAGCCAGTCTATAAGCACATTCCAAGGCGAGGGCTCATCCGAACCACCTCCCTACTACCCTGCCCCCCCTGATTCGTCAACTTCCATGCTTTTCCAAACAGCGCATCCTTCAGAGCCGGGCCCACCTCCTTGGGGCTCGAGCGCGGCCCCTCTGCCACCTTTGTCACAGCCGGAAGACAACAGTGTGCCTGTATGGAAGATTATGGGCCCGTCGGACCCGAACACGACTTGGTCCTCCCACCCGCCCATGCCGATGCCGACCCAAGCGTCACATTTAAGCGCTCCCATGGGAGAAGCATCCATGCCGACGCTCGACTCGGGACTCCCTATGAGTGATCCTGCAAACGTCTTTGGCGATTGGACGGGTCTGGATGGACTGCCGATCGCAGCCGTTCCATGGCCTGCTGCCTTCCTTGCCGACGTCCCCGCCCCCCTTCCCTCGCCTCATGCTCCTGCCCAACAGCAAGAGTCTACGATCCCAAGCGGACAAAACTCTATGGACATGACCATGTTCAACGTTCAAAGCTCCATCGACGACTTTTGGGCAAGCTTTGGCAACCCCAATGCCCCACATAGTCTGATCCAGACGCAAAATCATGACCAAAATGACGCATCAGCGCCCCCCTGGCCCAGACCAAAGTTCAACTTTCCCATATTCTCTCCACCCCCTCGTACGCTATCTGTATCAACCATGCCGTCGGAATCGTATATCCAACACTATTTCAACGTCATGCTGCCGAAACAGTACCCCTTTATTGGCTTTGCCATCTCCGACTTTCTTACGCGCCTCACGTGTGCTAATGGAGACGTCTTGACCAGTCTATCATCCCTCGCTGCTCTCCACATCTCTGCTTCCAAGCGGCGCGAAGTAGGAGGGTTCGATAGCACCATGCAGGCGGCTAGAGTCTTGGGCCTCGAGGACGGCCAGACTGAGGAAGAAGACGTCGACCAGCAAGTAGCTTCTTCAGGGCATCAACATATCGTCGAGCGGCTCCGCTTTATAGCGCCTGCAGAGCTTACTTCGGAGGCGGTGGTGGTGTCGGCCATCACGGCTTTGTCGTATGTGACCTTTGCGGGGGGTACGGCGCCGCAGTGGAGAGAGTCGCTGGCAGTCATACGGGGATGTCTTGCTTCCACCCTGGCAGCTTCTTCCAAGCTTGGAGACTTTTCCTTGCAGGCGTGAGTTCCGTCTTCTCGATAGTCGGGGCAAGAGCTGATATTGTCGTAGTGACTCGCCGAATGTGCCTTGGAAACAGTATCGACCGCTGATAGAGTTCATGATCCGTCTAGACATCATTGGGTCGGTGACGGAGAACAAGCCATCGCGGCTCTTGGATGTCTATCGGGTACTGCTGAAACGCTCAAAGGCGGATCCGACGACCGAGACGCAACGTATACTACCTCACCTTGTAGGATGCGACAACACCACCGTAAGCCTTTTCTCATCTTCTGGAATCTGAGCTGACATACGGCAGCTGCTGGTGATTGCCGAATGCGCCGCCCTCTCCCACTGGCGCACCTCTGCCGAAAACGAAGGCCGCCTTCAAGTCGACGAGCTCGTCCGCCGTGGTCAAGATATCGAAGATATCATGGACGACCGTGATGAACGAGAGGCGTGTCTGGGCGAAGCTGATTCAAAGCTTCCAGAGGGCCAGGCGGATAAGGTGAGGGCGATGAGGGAGGCGTTCTTTTGTGGGGCGAGGGTGCTTTGGGCGACCGTGGTCAATGGGCCTTTCCCTGGAGGTGAGTGGCTTGTGCTTATAATAGCGCCATTGCTGATAACAAACAGTTCCCAAGATCAGTCTGGCAGTCCAAGAGACTATCACCGCCCTTCAGAACCTCTTCAATCTGCATGGCAGCACAGACATCAACCGTGTCCTCATTTTCCCCATCACCCTCGCCGGTGCCCATGCCGAAACGCCTTCGCAACAAGCATTCTTCCGAAACATGTTTAGCGACATGTCGGAAACGGATAAAGCGTTTGGGAATAGGTGGGCAGTGCTGCAGATGATGGAGGAAGTGTGGCGGAAGAGGAGGTCGATGGGTAAAGGGGCGAGGGTTGAGTGGAGGGAAATGATGAAGGATATGGGGTGGGAGGCGGGTGTGCTGCTCGTATGAGGCAGTGCAAGGCACCCGTGGGCGATGCTGCCACGAATCACATGGTAATATAATGATAGGTCATCCGCTCATCAGAGTTTGGACAATTTGTAGCGATGTAGTTGTAATAGTGTGTATCATCATTGTCTATCTATCATGAATTAGCGACCCTTCAGGATTGTCAGCCAGCATCGTATCCTGGAAGCGAAGGAATGAACGCAAGCTGAGCCCCAAGGGACAAGTCCACGCTCGTCCCTCGTTCGGCAACGAACCTGCAAGATGTAGGTACAATTGCATTATCCAGATCCCAATAATCCCTTCCTCTCCTAATCTTCCAAAGTGATATGTTTCTCATAATGACAACAATCCAACCCGATCCCTCAAGCATTCTCCCCGTCTTCCGCTCTTAACCAGAGAATGATCTGACGACCTTGGCGACAATGTGGAGGAAGAAGATGGAGGCGATGAAAGAGATGGAGAGGACGAGGACGACGTAGGGGTCACTGAAGATAGCATGAGCATGCGTTTGGATGTTTCCATGGGCACGTACACCTTGAGGCCAGCCTCTCCAGAGTCGGTATAGAGCTTGAGCATGGTGTTTGAAGAACCACCGGCACCAGCAGAACGAGTTGAAGAGGGTCGGGCAGCAGCAGGGGCTCTTCGTCTGTTCATTTGGAGTGCGTATTGAAGTCATTGACGAAAGGGCGAGTATCGAAGAAAGAAGACAATCAGCACATCATAATACAAGTACGGCTTTGAATACTTACCGCACAGCGTTAGCACCATGGGGCCTAGATACGGCAAATCCTGAGGCAGCACCGGCAGCTCCGGGGGAAGAAGGTCGCTTGTCGTCAGACTGTTGTGCAATTGAATCAGCTCCTTGCTCATCTTTGATATCCTCGGGGTTGGCCGCGGAGCAGTGGTGGTTTCAGACGAGTGGGAAGCTGGGCGGATAACGGACCATTATGAGGGAGTATTCGAGCGGATAAGGAGGTTGAGGGGAGGGCCGAGGGTAGGGTCTTTTGGGGAATTGGTCTCTGGTGGAAGTATAGCTGGAGTTAAGAGAGGGCTGGATGAAAGAGGAGATGCCAGCGAGCCACCGAAAGCGGCAGTTAGCGCCGCCGCCCCCCACTTAAGCCTCCACCACAGACGCGTCTACGCGACTTGGCCATCTTTTTGTGCTGTAGTTGCTCACCAAGACCAATAGAAGATAAAAGCCATGTGGTGAGTGTGCAGATTGAGGTGATAGAATGTGAACTAATGTATCGGATAGTAAACACATCTTGAACGCCCAAGTGGCTATCCGAGCGCCCTGTTGCAAAAAATGGTTTGATGTGCGCTTCCATCTCTCAGCGACTATGTCATGACCGGACAGCTCATGATCATTTATAGTGCCCCGAGTGTCACGCCGAGTCTCAGGATCATGAGCTCACGAGGACAATGGAGATGGTCTTCCTCTGTAAAAAGGTGCGCCTATCGTCAAAGACCGCTATGACCTCCAGCTTATCCAAGAAAAGTGCAAGAAGGCGTTCCGAAAGGACATGTCGGAATATGAAGAAGCGGACGAGTTCTGCCCTCATTGCGACAACCAATATGTGATCGAAGCGAAGGAGGCGAAGCCCATGCTCGGTGTTGAGGGTGAAGATGCCCGTATGGACAACAGGTCGGTAAAACCTCCCAAGTCTTGCTCGCCCGAAGCTAACCAACTGGTAGAATGCTCAAGGACGACAGAGAAAAGCAAAAGCCCGAACGGAGTCTCTTCAACAACAGAGACGTATCCGATAAGCTCGACACAATGCCCCTCTATCAGCTCAACCCCAAACAGCAGAAGGGAAGATGACACCGCTTCAGGTTACCGCTTGCTTTCTTTGGGCTCTTGGGAGTGGAGCGATGCGGATTCTGTAATATGCATACAGGGTATCGTTGTACAGCATTTGTTTCATTCACCGGCTATGTGCGATGCCACTGACTGCACGCTGACTCGTATAGGACTATCACGCATCCCCACATCCCTCGCAACACTTTACACTCTCATTAGGCCCATGTACCAGCAACAAATCGTCACCTGCGTCACTCCACAAGCTGTCGTGCTGCCAAAGCTTGCCGAGGAGAAAGACCACCTTGGCTCTGTCAACTCCGAGCCCGTGCATCTCGAATGACCTGGGATGGTTAGTGCCACTTTCGCTACCACTGGATCAGCCTCTGCCCCCTCCAAACAGACCTGGAACTTACTCTGTCCAATCAGACACTGCGCCTGTGAAACACAACTTGAAGAAATCGATATAGCCGGTCGTACAGCACTGGCACGGCATCGCCATACCGGGGCAATTGCGACAAGATCCATCCTCCGGGTTCAAGTACGACCCAAAGTAAAACTCGGTATGTCTTGCAGGATAGTAGCGCACGAGCGAGCAGACTGTCGTGTCGTGGATGATGAGCCGCTCGATCTGATCTGCGAGGCCATAGTCGAGGAGAGCTTGCGGGATGATGGAGACTTCTTGGAATTGGAATGCTTTGGGCGCCCACATACAGATGTTGTGAGGGCGGATCTCTCTCAAGACGGTCCTGACGGGGTCGTTCGCGCACCCAGTCTCGTCGCTGCAGATATCCTTGGCAAAGGAACCGTCAAATACCAGCCATTCGACATTCATGAATGCGAGGAACCTCCCGGTAACAGTGTTGGAGAGAGTGTCGAACGAGGACAAGTCGGAAAAGCTGGATTGGACATTGACGATAAACTCGGCCAGCACTTCAGCAGCCGCGACATCTCTCACCACAATCTTTTTGATCGACCGGCACAGCAGCACCTTCTTGAACAACGCAACAATCTGATTATCCTTTTCTTCGGAAAAGACGTTGATCCCGAGATTCAGCAGGTGAACCACAGGGTCAAAGTCGGCAAAGCGGCGGCACAAGCTCTCCGGCACATTGGGCATCACCTGGCCGAGCTCTTTCGCACTCAAATGTCCCGCCCTGGGGCACAATGGCCACACCGCTCCATCTTCGCTAACAGAGTCGCCAAAGAACTCGGTGGCCTTGGTCCCGTCGACTGCCAACTTTTCGTGGAGGAGGTAGGAGAAGAAGAGATAGGTCGATTCGGAGGAGCAGAGGAGGTTGGCAATGTCGTCGCGCGCGGCGCCCGCTATAAAGGTGCTGAAGATGGAGGAGGAGAGATCGGGCGGGAGGCGGTAGCAGAAGCTGGGGATGTTGGGGTGGTCGTCGGACGAGGCAGACGCCTGTGAGTCGTCTTTGGTGTCGTTCATGGTCGCATAGAGTTGAAGGAAAAGGCTGAATGTGAATTACTGGGCGGAAGGATGGCGGGAAGTGAGCGCGACGCCGGGATAAGTTCGTACTCTTCCATCCTCATTGTCATGGTAGATCATCCATACTAATACATACGGCAGATAAAGCACTCAGAAAAGAATAACTCAAAGATATCACTCGAATCTACATCCCGTCAGCCTCTTCACCTCCTCCAAACTATCCCTCTCCGCCTTTGCATACAAATCAAAGTAATCTACAATCCCCGCCCCGATATGCTTTTCCAACTCTCCCTGCGCCGACCCATTCCCCTGCCCCGTCAACTGCTCATGCTCTCCCAAATTACTCTGGAAGATCCCAGCCGCCGAAGCCGGCAAGAAATCTTCATATACCATCGGCACATACGTCACCACTCCCGCCTCAATAAGCCCGTCGAGGGACATGCGTTCAGGTGGGTTGAAAGGGAGGGGGTTGACTTTGTATCTAAAGTAGGCGAGACGCTGGGTGCGGAGGATGTGCCACGAGTCGGGGAAGGCGGAGAAGATGGAGGAGAGGCGAGATTGCCATTTGTCGTTGTCGTCAGTTGGGGTGAGACCGCCGGTTTTGGACATGAGGCTTTGGTAGAGTTCGTGGCCTGTATGGATGTCAGTGAAGTACAAGAAAGTATAGAAGGCTATGTACCTTTTGGAGTCAGGGCACATCCTCGGGATTCGATCTCGCCAAACCTCGCTCGATGGGAGCCGCTGCTGATGGCCCCGGGTGATGAACCAGCAAAGTGGATCGGCTCTGTCAATGCCTGGAATGATGTCTGACGAAGGAGGATGGGGCAAAGACGTTTAGGCGGGCCTTCGATATACTTTTTCGGTGGAATACTAGAGTACTTGTCAGCCAATATTCTCACAAAAGTGTCGAACTTACCCTCGCTCAGCCATCATCCTCTGAACCATATCGATATCCAAAACCCTCGGCGTCAAGTGGTTGATATGCGGCCCCTTGAACCCCGCAATATCCGCCAACAACGGGTGCGTCCTCTTCATCCTCTCATACACATCCTGCGTCACCAGCGCCGCTTCATGCCACTTGAACGTCTCGAGCGCCTTCTCCACAAGCTGTTCCTTATCCTCTGGCCTTACGCCCCCTTCTTGCTCTGCTTTGGCGATAAGCACCCTTACTTCAGGGTGGAAAATATCCCTCGCATCGAGTATCTCTTCCACCTGCTCCCGAAGTTCCTCGTTGAGGATGAGTTCAGGCCGGAGGAGGGAGGTGAATACGCGGAAAGGATGTTTATCGAGAGAGGCAGGGTCGATAGGGCGGAACGCTGTAGCGTGGACGGGGACGCCAGAGGTGGAGAGGTCGTAGTAACCCACGGGGAACATGCCGAGGAGGCGGAAGAGACGAGCGATCATGGCGAGTTCGCATGGGCGGCCTAGGCGGATAGCACCATGGCGCTCGACTCGGAGTCGGTCTGCAAAAGTCAGCTCGAGATGAGGGTAGGTAGAAGATGGCTTACCTCCGACCTCCCAGAGACCGGGAGATGCGGTGGTGACTTTCGAGTTCACCTCGTCGACCAGCTCGACAAGATCGCCATAGAGAGGGACCTCTGAGCGGTACATGTTCGAGAGGGCGGTGCAGAAGGCGGCGCGGAGGTCGTCTGGGTGGACGAATTGGGACATGGTGAGTGTCATGGTGGTCAGTGGGTTGCGGGTGAGTAGAGAGTCAGCGGTTCTTATAGTGGGCGTCTCGCTTGGTGGATGCATGGAATTGGAGCGTGACCAGCTATACGTATGCACCCAGCAGCGCATCTCGAGAATGATAAGCAACAGCAACCGCGCTGCTATTCATCCCACGCAGTCTTATCCGCGGCGGGACCAGATTGCCACAAGCGCGGGACCTTTTCGCCCATACCATCCTGCGTGCTCATCATCTCTTTCAATCCTCAAGGTGATTCAAGATCACTACTGACTGCCCAATCACCGAGATGTCCCAGCAGGTGGTATCATCGTGTATAATAACCATCATGACATCAAGAACTCATGCGGGGGGGGAGAGAGGTTCGGGCGACGGGCAGCTGAGTAGTCGGTAAGATCTGCTGGTGTTTGGGTCGGACAATTTCCCCGTTGTATCTCGCCTTGCATTTATAACATGCAACATGCGAGGTCGGCGACTTGCCCATACCCCGACAACGACCGCCAAATTGCCCCATGTTGCCCCAAACCCCTCAATTTTCGGAAAGAGCCCCAGATATCGTGCCAATGATCATGATCTCGATATGTATGACTTGATAGCCGGTGTGTCCCTCAAAGCCTCTGGTTGATCAGAAAGGTCGAGCGATATAACCGACTTCGGCTTTACATGGGCATGCGTCACACCGTACGCATATCATGTGTCATGAACCATGGAAGATGAAGCTAAAGAGGCTGAATGGCATGAATGATTGGATAGCCGGTATCGATAACGTAGTTGACTCTGAATTGCAGGGGGCGGTTCTCGTAAGTAACATCATCTCGTGTTGCTGTGCCATCTTATGCTAGCGTTGGTTTCCTTTGTGCATTACATATGAAAGCAGCAAGTCTGATAACCGGCAGCCGGCCGTTCTACTCGGAGGCGTCTGAATGGAGTCGAGGTCACATGTCTGATGTAGCTCCAGCAGCATGTCCCGTCACCTGTCATGCCATTCGAACGTTCAAGCCCAGCGTCGTAAAGAATAAGAGAGTGAAGGGGTGGCTCGGAAATATGGAGGCCATGAAGGTTTGATGATCATGGGCCCAAGGAATCCCCCCGGGGAATGGGGCAAATGGGCATGGGGAATGAGATCTAACGTTTGTTATGTACGCACCCGGCATCGATTATCGATGACGCTGTTTGCCGCTTCATGCTCGGGCTCAGGCTCGAGAGCTTGATTAGAGTACCGAGACAGGTTGTCTCGACCGTATGCATCGCAATCGTAGGGCTTGGAGGACACAAGAGCCCAGAGACGAGTATGTCCAAAGATCATTCGAGGACGATCCATCAAGAGATCCAAGCAAGACCAACGAGGCCATCTTGATGGATGCCCAGAAAAAGGTAAAAAAGCCTCAAAAACAAGCGCGGAGTGCGGTTCGTAGAAGAGGGGGAGTTAAAGCGGATGGAAGGAAAAGAAGAGATCGCTTGTCGCTTGCCCCCGCTTGTTGTCCTTCTTTGTTTACGCGTGTCTCGTTTAAGACACTACGTCTAATATGCTTTCGGGGGAAGCTTTCGGGGATGAGGAGGGGTGAGACGCGTGGGTGTTGTATCAGTATGAAAGGATGTGTGGGGTATTGGAGGTGTGCTTTTCGGGATGTTGAATGAAGGGGATAGACACCGTCAGAGAGAGGCAGAGGGGATGGGCATCACTCAACGTAGATTTATGGAGGCAAAAAATAGACCGCCTTTCCTGGAACGACGCCGAAAGGGGCGATCACTTGGGATCGACGGACGGCCCTGGGTGGCGGTGTCCGGATCCGGCAGCATGCATGTCCGCCGGCACATCTCGGCATGTGTCTTGGCTCATGTGGAGGTGGCCAGGTGGGTCTCCCTCTCTGTGCATGCTGAGTAGGGAAGAGGAGGGAGGTGGCGGATGGATGAGGGGGCAAGTGCCACGTCGGGTTGAACAACATGAGCCGATACGATGCATAACAGCGTTCACCAGTTGACCCGGATATAACCTGTCTCATACGGCCGAACCCGGGTCATACGCCGATAGCACGATAGGGCTCATTACGCTATTTTCCCGGAGAATCATTTCTGCAGCATTTGTGCCCGAAACGTGGCAGCTGGGGGGCGAGGGCAGGGCAAAGTTTCCCAGGATGCGGCAAAAGATGAAGCCCCGCGCCGCCCCAGTTTTCATGTCACAACAACAAGATCTATTCCAGCAATTCTTATCATCTCTTTCTTCTCCGCTTTCCCCCTCACTGTTCCCCCTCAGCCATTCATCCGCCCTCACCAACAGGGTATTCCGCATCCAGCGTCCTAGGAAAGAGAAATAGAGGAGAGAGTGAGTACTTTTCGACTGCGTTCCGTTGCCGCTTTTGTCGTCCGGGGCCCTGGCGGTATCTTTGGTCGTGTTGGGTCTGCGCCTTGTATGCCTGTGTATGCCTTTTGTCAGAGGAGAGACGTGTCCCTGGCTCCATGGGGGGTAGTTTGGGGAGGGCTGGTGCATGGACCTTGGGTCTTGGGAGAGTCGGCAGCGATACGCACTCCAAGCATGCGGTGCGGCTTGGTCTCACGTTCGTCAAAACCGCGCCAACCTGTCATGCGCAGAGATAACGGTGACCTCAATGCATCGTCCCGCTTCGTCGCCCTGGGGACGTCTATATGGGGCTCTCCACCACCGTGCGCGCCCCGTTCTGCCCGTGGGCTGCTTCGTGCATGGATATGGGGGAGACGTCGGGGCTGGTTAATGCGTGATAAGGCTTTCAAGGGGTCGTGGCGCCGTAACCGACGTCCCTTATTAAGTCAAACTTTCGTATGCGTCTGCTTCGTTCTTTCTTTCTTCCTCGTTCGTCTTTGTCTCCCTGTCTCTCCAGCATCCCATCATCCAGTGCGACGGATTCTCCAGAAGAAGATCGGTATAGGGTGAGGATTGTTGGTCCGTTTTCTCCACTTTTTGCCAATTACGTTGCCGAATCGCGTCCCCCGCCCCCGGAGTTGCCCCTCTTTGCTCTGCATCATCGACCATCAACCCACAATTTTGTTTTCCATCTTTTCTTTCATCCGCATCCATCCCATCCCCTCGCCCTCTCGTGGCGCGCCCCTGATCCTCGCTGACACGAATCCTTCCAGCCAGCCAGCACGTCATCCGGCATTGCCACCTTCTTCTCTTCCCTCTCCTTCAAAGCAACACTCCTTTGCGCCCGCCTCCGCCTTTTGCGGTCCCACAACCCACCCAACCGCCTTCTTTCTTATCTATCCATCGACAGATAGATGCCAGATACGCCCCTCACAATGGCCGCCGCTGAAAACGCCTCTGGCGATAATAATCTCAACAACCTCCCCGCCCCTGTGCCCGACCCAGTGACGGGCCGTCTCGACCCCAACGACCCGACCGTCAAGGCCCTCACTGAGGCCGCGTTGAATATGGACAAGAGCAAGATCCCCAGGCCATACAAGTGCCCTTTGTGTGATAGGGCTTTCTACAGATTAGAACACCAGGTGCGCCGGATTATGTGCGGAGGGGAGATAAGGAGGGACGCTGACGCGATAAGCACAGACGAGACATATTCGCACGCATACGGGTGAAAAACCACATGCTTGTACGCATCCGGGCTGTGACAAGCGGTTCTCTAGATCGGACGAGTTGACGAGGCATGCGAGGATCCATCTGCCCACGTCGAATGATTCAAATGGTGTCAACAAGGGTAAACACAAGTACCAGGATGATGAGGTGAGTACTCTCGCATTTGATGCTGGTGCGGATGTTGATGGGGATATAGCTTGAGCATCACGATGACCACCGATCCCATCCCATGGGCCACCTCGGCCCATCGTACAATATGGACGTCGACCGCAACGCTTATCCCTACAATCTCCACTCTATCCAAATGTCTGGCCCCAGCGGCGGTATCAGCGACATCTCTGCCCTCGCCGCGGCTGCTTCCGACCAGCTGATCGAGATCGAGCGCCACGAAGCCTTCCGACGCGCCGAGTGGGAGCTGCGTCATAGGCAAATAGCGGGCGCGAGGAAGAGTAACGGCAACAGCCCTGTCGGTACGCCTGGGAGCGGGTCCGGAGGCGGGGGTGGCGCGCCGTATGGGTTCTCGAATGAGCGCGAGAGAATGTCGATGAGTGCGGCGCCAAGTGGGGCGAATGGGAATTCGTTGGTGTATCCCGTTTCGGCGCCGCAAGCTGCCACGGGAACGTTGCCGGCTGTACCAGCTGGCTCCCTTGCCGACCCGACGTACCTCGTCCCGCCTTCGTGCTGCCATGAAGAGTGCCACAAGAGCTATCGCAAGCGACTCAAGCTTGCCAAGCAGACTGCGGCTTGCCCCAACTGTTTGACTTTTGCGCACCCGAGTAATACGTTTGGTGGACCTGGTCTTGGTGGAGCTGGGCATGGTGCAGGTGGTGGGGGAGGAGATGGGAGTCATCATTCGAGCAACTCCAACACGCCTCGAGATGGGAGGTCGAACCATAATTCCGCCGAGGACCTCACCAAATTCGCTTCGGGCCAGCAGGGCAACCACTACAGCATGAACCAGCCCCAACCCAACCTTTCGCAAGAGCTCGCTTCCTTGCAGTACCAGCACATGCAAGCTCTTCAGCGAGCCCGGCTCGGGCCATACGGCACCCCTGCTTCGTCCGCTTCCCACTCTCGCTCGCACTCTCACTCTGCTTCGCCTGCTATGCAGATCCCCAATAATGGCAGCAACAACCACCTCCGGCCTTATACCATCGATCTCCACTCTCATCGTGGCGGTCTTGCCTCGGCGCACCAATCTGCTGCACCCAGCCCGTCGTCTAGCGATGATAGCGACGACGAGCACATGGGCGAGCTCATGCCCCATGCGCCTTTCGAGTTTACGCCAGCTACGAGTCCAGTCTTGAGCGGCATGCGTCAGATGTCTCTATGGCAGCAGGGCAAGGCCTTGACAGCGCCCCCTTCGAGAGCTACGAGCCCTGTGCACAGCCTCTCGCGTAATCCGTCCAGGCCAGGCTCGCCAGAGGGCCACAGTGCCAACTCTGGCAAACATGGCCATACTTCGCACTCTGCCCGAGACGCCAAGAATCGATCGCACCCTTATACCCACCATTACTCCACCACGCCCAACTCGCCCTACCTCCCCCAGGCAATGAAGACCCGCATGTCTCCTCCGAAACTCAATCGCTCCCTTAGCGCTGCGAACCAAAGTGGCGGCGGGGGCAAGAGTGTTCAGGATATATTGAACGCACCGTCTATCCCGCCACCACCTAGTGACAGGATGCTGCCGCCTCCAAATGCCAACTCTGGCGGGAACGGGTATACTTCGTCAGCGCCGAGTGTGAACTATTCGTACTCTTCTCAGCCTACCTCTGCGCACCAGAGCCCGTCTACCTCGCGTGCGTCTTCGCCGGTACATGGTCAATCTACAAACAACCAGAACCATATCGCGCACGGCGTTCGCGCCGCATTCGGTATGACTCCGATCATGCAGCAGAGGGATGCGTCCAAGCAAGTGGGTGGGAGTTTTAGCCCACCGCACAAGCTTGCGCCGTTAGGGCTGGCGGGGGATGGGACGAGGTTGCCGAGTATGAGTAGGGGGAGCAGTCCGGTGCATCTTGGGGTTGGAGGGGTCGGGATGGAGTTGGATGGTCAGGCTTGAAGGTGTGCAGGGGCGGTCGTGGCTTGAGACGCCCCTGTGGATTGCAATTCGACGAGAACGTGGGAGACTAGGAGGATGTCAGTCCAAGAAAGGAGAGGGGAGGGGAGAAAAGGAAGAAGGGAGAAGATACCAATACCACAAAACAGGATTCCATATACAATTTTTCTTCTTTCACATAGAGATGTTCGGCAAAGATTCTGAAAGTAGACTAGGCCCGTGATACTTTTCCATAGAGAATACGAACATTGATAGAGGGGCTTCATATACGATGTATCAATTACACCACTTCCATTCATATGATGCGAAACTTGTCCAGGAATCCAAGACAGTAGGGTCAAGCGTCGTCCCCTGGCAGCTTGACAAATTCTCCAACTTGCGTCTTTTCCTGATCCCAGATACCTTCCGTCCAATAGACATCTCCCTTCAGTCTGTCCCACACTTCTTCAAGACTTTCCATACGGAAGAACATAATGGAGCCTGCCATGGGCTGAGCACCGACAGGGAGGGCTGGGTCGTTGTAGAGGGGATGTGATGGGGGAGGCAAGAACCCCCTGCCGAATTCTATACTCGTTCAGTTTCTGTGACATGTCACGTGAATTGAGAGAATCACATACCGAGTTTGCCAGTCTTCTTGTCTTCTTCAGCCCGCTTCAAGTGGGCAGGCCTGGCCTTGAGACGCGTAGCGAGGACATTGGGTCCGACGGTATCGGGGAGGTAGGCGTAGAACAGCCGGGGCTTCAAGAGTTGGCGGGTCGCGTTCATTTCTGGTGTAGGCAAGGGGGGACCGACGTGGAGGGATAGTGATGGAAGAGAGAACGATGAAAGAAAGCAGGATGAAGATGCGAGAGATGGATAGCGCTCCAGGCACAAGCATAATAGCGGAAGCCCGACGGCCGACAGCGTGAAGCAGTGAGAGGCAAGCGATTGGCTGTCTCTTCCAACTCCCATACATGGTTTTCTATGGGTAGCCTGGTCTGGCAGGGGCGCCCAAGATGTCCATGAGCTATGGACGGTGTTGCATACCATACCAGAATTGGGTTCCGCTTCTGCTTCCATTCGTACTTGCTGGTAGTCGCTCTTCTTGTGATCAGCGTGTGATGTCTTCTTCTTCATATCACCTCATCACCCTCAAACGACTCTAACATGATGACAGCCAAAGTGGGTCAACGCTTTGGCAACAAGTACGAGGTCAAAGAGGTGATCAATCGTCGTGACTCCACTGGTAAGCCATTCCCACACCGGCTGAAGCGGAATCTCACTATAATTCAGTGAGCGTCTACATCGCGACAGACATCGAGACGCAAGAAGAGGTCGCTCTCAAACTCAGCTCCGACTACTACAAGCTCAAGCGCGAGGCCAGGTTCTACAGATCCCAAGTCCAAACGCTCGAGGGCTTTCCGAGTCTTAAGTGGTTCTGGAAGGAGAAACATCGCAATGGTGCTTATGGCGTCCTCGCTATGGACCTTTTGGGCCCGTCTTTGGATAGCCTCATGGAGAAGACCAAAAAAGGCGAGTTCAGCCTCAAAACGACTCTTCAAATCATGGATCAAGTCATCACCCGCATCCAAGCTCTCCACGAATGCCAATGGATCCACCGCGGCATCAAGCCCGACAACTTTTGCATTGGTCCCATCGGGAGCAAGAGCGAGGGAGTGGTGTACTTGATCGACTTTGATGATGTGTACCAATACATCTCGCCGTATGGGAACCATTTCAGAGACTGGGGGGACAATCAGGGAAACCGGAATTGGACGTCGTTGGCCGTGGATGAAGGGCGGCAGACAATTCGGCGGGATGATATGGAATCCGCTGGTTATATGGCCGTTGTGAGTCTTCTTTACTTTGAAAGCTGAAAATCCCCTGACGGTCCGGATCTAGTACTTTCTCAAAGGGTGGTTGCCCTGGCATGGTCACTCGTACCACCACAGTCATTCGACAATGGGGTATAGTAAGACATCACCTCAATAAGAAGTGACGACCCGTAGCTCACAGCTCTGCAGAGAAGGACACTTCCCTCGACGATCTCTGCGAAGACCTACCCCAAGAGTTCATCACATACCTCGCCTACTGCCGCTCACTTGCATACACCCAGCAGCCCGACTATGACTATTGCCGCCGGCTTTTCCGACAAGTGTTTGAGAGAGAAGGGTTCAGGGATGATGGAGTGTGCGACTGGATGGCCCCGCAGAGCGTTGGTGAATCGGAGAAGCTCCGGCCAACTTTCCTCCGGTGATGTTGAGAACAGCGAGAAGTCTGAAAAGAGCTGTTCGTCGGCTGTTTCGGGCGATGATGCTACTGTTGACCATTCTCTTATCAGCCAGCCCGAGACGGATGAGGCAGGTTCTTCCCAGCCAAAACTCGCCAGGTCATAGGGATCGACTATGTGGTCTCTGTGTCATGGGCGGAGTGGGTGTGACATGTTGAACGATAATTTTGTGACGAGGAGAAGAAAGAAACACAGCTAATAATATATGGGAATGGTGGTTCCTTTCGAGATGCATCATTCATAGTGGCCTGTTCAGCCTCGCATGGTCGCGTCGGTAGCATGTCTGAAACACAGTTGGCTATCGCGAACGTCGTAGCCGCCGCAACAACATGTTTCCGCATCTGCTTCGCCCATTCCGCATACGCCGTCGAATCGTCTTTGCCTCCTCATCATGAAGTCTTCTACTTGTCACTGAACCACTCAAAAGTACTTCCTGCTGAGCGTGATTCAAGATGGTTAGAAGAAGGATCGGTGCCCGTATAGGAGATAAATATGAGATCAAAGAAGTGATCACCAACCGCGACCACGAAGGTAAGTCATCCTTCTTCTTCCTGGCAGAAACGAAACCTCATTGGCTTGTGCGGGATAGTGAGCGTCTACGTCGCAACAGACATCGAAACGCAGGAAGAGGTCGCTCTCAAGCTCAGCTACGCGGTCGACAGAATCGAACTCGAAGCCGCCTTTTACGAAGATTCGATTCAAGACCTGGAAGGATTCCCGAGAAAGAAGTGGTTCTGGAAGGCGGAACATTCTGGCTATGGTGCTCTTGCTCTCGACCGCTTGGGCCCCACTCTGGACGACCTCATGAAAGAATCCAAATTCGGCCTCAAGACGACGCTTCAAGTGATGGATCAAGTCATCACCCTTATCCAAACTCTGCACGAACGACACATTATCCACCGGGGCATCAAACCTGACAACTTTTGCATCGGGCCTCGAGGCAGCAAGACAGAAAGCAAAGTCTATATGATCGACTTTGATATGTCGAAAGTATATGTCACCTCGGATGGTTCTCACATAGAAGACGAGGATAAGTGTGGCGGGAACAAGTACTGGACCTCGCTAGCTGTAGATGAGGGATATGAAGGTGTCAGGCGGGATGATCTGGAGTCTGCTGGTTATCTGGCTGTCGTAAGTCTTTCTCAGTTCTGAGGGCGCTATGGCCCAGCTGACAGCTTGGATGCAGTACCTCCTTCAGGGCCACCTGCCCTGGTTCACTGAATACAATAACTCTGGTGTATCTGCAAGGCGTTGCAGTAAGTTCAACGGTTCACTTTTCCGATGATACATCTTGACCAGTGTATCTTGCTCATACCATATTCAGAAGCAGAAACGACCCTCATAGAGCTCTGCATGGACCTTCCCAAGGAGCTGAGCACATATTTCACCTACTGCCGATCACTTGGCTTCAAACAACAGCCCGATTACGACTATTGCCGAGGATTGTTCCGGAAAGTGTTTGAGAGAGAGGGCTTCAGAGATGATGGAGTATATGATTGGGTCGCTCCAGAGTCTGTCGTCGAAGAGATTGAGAGCTTGGAGGAGCAGAAATCCTCTGGTGATTCTCAGACCAGCGATCAGTCTGAAGAAGAATGTTCCTCTGTGCCGCCATCATGCGATGACAATACTGTTGAACAGGCTCTTGATAGCCAGCTCAAGACGACCGAGGCATGTCCTGTTGAGCACCGGAAAAAGCAGTTGCGCCAGATCTTGAAAATTAGAAGATAGCCGTAGCTGAGGTATGTGAAGAGTTTATGCAGCGTATATCCACAACCTGATGGTGTGTCTTTGGACCAGTATAGTCTTGAGCGAGAGTTTCCGACTTGGCCCTTTCCAAACAGATATGTAGATCTCATACATGGATATCGCCTGATTGCATGGCCCGGTATATGTCAAGTCAAATCTAGCGATGTCGTCGTCGACCATCCCATAGCCACAACAGGTTTCCGCATCTTCTGGCCCTGCTCGATTCCGCCTCTTGTATCTTCTTCTTGTTGACGATCATCATTCAACACTTCTTCCCGCTGAAAGCACTTCCTCATGTACGCAAGGAAAGAAATTGGTACAGTCATAGGGGGGAGATACGAGATCAAAGAAGTGATCACTCACCGGGACCGCGAGGGTGAGTTAACCTCCTTCCTCTTCTTGGCCGTCGGAACGGAGTTTCATCGGTCTGCGCGGAATAGTGAGCGTCTACGTTGCCACAGACATCGAAACCCAGGAAGAGGTCGCTCTCAAACTCAACACCGCGTTCGACAGAGTCCGACGCGAAACGAAGTTCTACGACTATTCAATACGAGACCTGGAGGGGTTTCCGAGCAAGAGGTGGTGCAAGATATGGTCTTGGGAGCGCGAATACCATGGTTACGGCGCTATTGCCCTCGACCGTCTGGGACCGTCTTTGGATACTCTCATCAACGAGGTCGAAGAAAGCAAGTTTAGCCTCAAGACGACTCTTCAAATCATGAATCAAGTCATCACCCGCATTCAGGCTTTACATGAACGTCACATTGTCCACCGTGGTATCAGACCGGACAACTTCTGCATTGGCCTTAGAGGAAGCAAGACAGAGAATAAGGTGTATTTGATCGACTTTGACCTCTCTAAAAAGTACATCATGGACGGAGTCCACATACAGGACTATGGGGACAACGTGGGCAACCAAGATTGGACGTCGTTGGCCATTGCCGAAGGATACGAGCCTGTGAGGCGAGATGATATGGAATCCGCTGGTTTCCTGGCTATCGTGAGTTTATCTCGCTTGCAAGAAGCTGTGTGAACTGTGGGCTTGGATGTAGTACCTCCTCAAGGGCAAATTGCCCTGGTTATGTGAATACAGATCAAGCTCAGTAATGCGTGGCAGTACGTTGATCGCTTTGCCCAAAAGGATCAGCAGGCTGATATCTTTCTCAGAAGCGATCACTGCTCTGCAAGAGCTGTGCAAAGACCTCCCAGAGGAGATTATCACATACATTATTTACTGTCGATCACTTCAATTTGCCCAAGAGCCCGATTATGGCTATTGCCGCGAGCTTTTCCGCCAAGTGTTCGAGAGGGAAGGGTACAAAGATGATGGGCTGTGTGATTGGAGTACACCTCAGCTTGTCGCCGAGTCCGAGAGCATGGAAATCGCACATGGCTCCGATGATGATCTCGCCAGCAGAAATCACTCCGAGGAGGACGGCTCCGCTACCCCGTTCGATGGCGATACTGTTGATGGGCAGACTCTTGTTACTGAGACGACCGAGGCATGTTCTGCTGAATATCTTAATCTGCGAACCCGCCAGGTTCTCAGACTTATGAAAAGGATACCGTAGATGCATGTATCTAGCTGTTGATCGACTACTGTACTCCCCCAGCTGCATACAATCAGCTTGCCTCGAGAGGGCATGTTGAGTGCAAGTTGAGTGATAAATCAGGAAAGCATACGCAGGCGCCGCGGAGACGAGAGGAGGCGGAGGTGACCGTGCCGCTGCTGTGCCGCTGTCCGTGCGAGTGCGTGCCGCGTCGAGTCTTCCATGTAATTTCGTATAACCATCCAACCTATATCCATACTCTCACCTTCCAGCCTATTCGAGGTCGACATCTGGCGCCCCTAGTCAGACCCTCCACGTAACCACTCCTAGGTTACGCCACCTATCCGCCCTCCTTACACCATCCCATAGCCACCGACAGCATCTACTGGCCCCGCCCGATTCCGTCTCTTGTATCTTCTTCTTTTTGACGATCATCATTCAACACTTCTCCCCGCTGAAAGCGCTTCCTCATGCTCGTGTACGCAAGGAAAGATATTGGTACATTCATAGCTGGGAGATACATGATCACAGAAGTGATCACTCACCGTGACTGCGAGGGTGAGTTATCCTTCTTCCTCTTCTTGGCCGTCGGAACGGATTCTCATTGGTCTGCGCGGAATAGTGAGCGTCTACGTTGCTACAGACACCATAGCCCAGGAAGAGGTCGCTCTCAAGCTCAACACCGCGCGCCACAGATTCCGATGCGAAGCCGAGTTCTACGACGATTCAATCCGAGACTTGGAGGGGTTTCCGAGGATGAGGTGGGCTTGGGAGCACTGTTTCTGTTACTTCACTGCTATTGCCCTCGACCGTCTGGGACCGTCTTTGGGTGCTCTCATCAAAGAGGTGGAAGAAAGCAAGTTTAGCCTCAAGACGACTCTTCAAATCATGAATCAGGTCATCACCCGCATTCAAGCTTTACATGAACGACACATTATCCACCGTGGTATCAAACCCGACAACTTCTGTATTGGCATGCCAGGGAGCAAGACAGAGAACACGGTGTATATGATCGATTTTGATCACGCCAAGAAATTCAGGGATCCTCTTACCCATCTGCATATCCCCTATCGAGAAGAGAATGACGTTGGCAACTCTTCTCAGACATCGTTGGGTGTCCATCCCTGGACATCGTTAGCCGTCGACCAGAGGGTCGAGGCTTCGAGGCGAGATGATATGGAATCCGCGGGCTATATGGCGGTCGTGAGTATCTACGTTTGGAAGGCAGCAGGCCCAAGCTTACACATGAATAGTTATTCCTCAAAGGCTGCCTACCTTGGTGCTACGGGCGTGACTATTGTCCATCATACCCAGAGCACCTTGAAAGTAAGAGAATCAATGTTTCCATGGAAAAATATGACCAGAACGCTGATATTCTACTCAGAGAAGGACACCAGTCTCGAATATCTCTGCGAAGGCCTCCCCGAAGAGCTCAAGACTTACATCTCCTACTCCCGTTCTCTCAAATTCGACGAAGAGCCCGACTATGACTATTGCCGAGGGCTCTTTCGACGAGTGTTTGAGAGAGAAAGGTTCAAGGATGACGGGGTCTACGATTGGACAGCTTCTGAGGTTGAGCTGGATATGCGGGAGAACGAACCGTCTCCCGGGAGTCCCCAGGTTTCTGCATCGGGAGTTGACGATACCGAGGTTGAGACGACCGAGGACGGGCCTTCTGCTAGCCAGACCGAGGTCACGCAGGCTTGTTCTAAACCGTATATGAGCTTGCGATCGCGCGAGGTGGTCTTGAAGGTTTGAAGGTGACTGGTTCGATTTGCGTGGTTGAGTGTCTCGAGCATGGCATTAGGTATCGGTGATAGCTGTTGTATACTACTGTAAATCAGTCACATACAAAATTTATTAATCTCTTCACTCTCCATTCCACTCCCAGCGAGCCAGCCTCATACTCTCCATGTCGTCGTGTAGCATGCCGGGAGCAGAACATCTGCTTCCGTTCCGTACCTGGCTGGTGTAGTCGGTGTTCCGAGATCAGCTTGTGACGTCTTTCTCTGCTTCAGTCACCAACAACAGAAATTGACCTCAGCCTCGTCCAAACCGCTTCATTATGGTGCGCAAACAGATCGGAGAGCGGATTGGGAACAAGTATGTATCTACGACTGGACTGTAGTACCTCAAGATGCGATTGAGTCTGAGAATGAAGACGATAGACACTCTCCCGAGAATCTCCAGGACAGTGATCAATCCAAAGACGACTGTTCCGTCACTTCTTCAAGCGAAGGAGACTTTGCCGAGCTGTCGCTTGTTTCGACTCGGCCCAAGACGAAAACTCGTATGGCTGAGCATCTGGATTCGCTGACACGCTAGATGCTGCTGTTGGGCCCTTGATGGTGGCTGCAGTAATGGTCTTCCACGAGTTTATGCACGTCCTTGTGTAATTGAATTGCTAGGTGTTCCTTTGATACATCGAATACGCTCTGCATTGCTTTTCTACTTATACAACGAAGACCGATCAGAACAGAAACTTAACAGATAATCAAGACCCAAACATCTCTCGACAGTCAACAAGATACGAGAAGCAAATCAAACAGGCAACAGCACCTTGACCCCAAAGAACTCTCTCACACTATGTTTCTTCCCATTAATCTCCACCTCCTTCTGCGGCACCGTCGTGTCCCTCATCGAAGCAATCTGCGCTTCTCGCCATTGTTTGTTGGTGGGGACGGAGATGCCGGAGGCCATGACGGTTTGGAATTCCTTGAATACGCCTTGAGAGGATACGCAGCCTTCGCGTTTGAGGAGGGGTGACTCTGCGGTGTTGTTAGCTTCTGAAAGAGGGGTAAGGAAGGAGGAGAGGAACATACCCATACAAGGCGTCATGCGCAAGTGACCCATGGAAGCGTTGAAGAGCACGAGGGAGAGACGTTCTTCCTCCAGTTGGTCGGAGGGAGGCTCGAATACCCTGTGTCGGGTAGCCTTGAAGTGGCCTCCAGATAAGACTGTGAAGAGTCAGCTTTTGTGTCGAGTAAGATGGGTAAGGATGGGGGCGAGACGGGATGGAGGGGATGGACGTACTCTCGAGGGTCTCGCCGATGTTGATTACGAGTGCTCCAGGCTCATACTTGACGTAATGCCACTTTTCATCCCTACCCCAGATTTGGAGACAAGAGATCGGCACAGAGAAAAGCTGGGTTGTGGTTCCGTAATCCCTACGACAAATCGTCAGACAGAGCAAGAGAGGACATGATGAGAAGGACGTACGTGTGACCGTTCATACGCAGACCGCCACTGAGCTCGCGTGTCTCTTTGGGAGGAGGTCGGAAGAGGGCATGACGGAAGTAGCCTTCGGCGACGGGGCCGCCTTGGGACTGGACGTTGTTCCAGAGGTAGTCGTCGGGGAGCTCGAGTACCTTGGAAAGGAGCGTCAAAAGGCGGCGATTCACTTGTTTGGTCAAGTACTACCATTCCCATCAGCTCTGGCCTCCGAGAAAAGATGAAGGAAAGGAGACGTACCTCGCAGAAAGCGGTGATCTCATCCATAAAAGGCAAGATGCATTCGGGGACTTTGTTGTGGTCTTCGAATTCGGGGGTGTAGAAGTTGAATTGGGAAATACCGTCGGGGCGGGCTCTCTCACGCTGAGTCGTAGGTCAGCTCCGATATTCGAAATAAGGATACCGAAGAAGGACACACCTTCCAGCCGTAGGGCGCCTTGTAGCCTTCAAACAGACCGGTCTCGGGATCCCAGAGCAGCTTGGCCTTGTCTGCCTCGGAGATGTTGGCGTGGAGGTATTGAGCAATGGAAAACTGGCGCATTAACTAAGAAGCCGGTAAGTATCTGGTCTATTGACAAGAAGAGATTTCTCACCTGATCGTATGAGACGCCATAATCCTTGAGATACAAGAACCCGTCTTCCTTGATAGCCACTTTGGCAAGCTCGACAAGGTCTTGCACGACCTTGGGGTCGGGGGAGTCAAGGAGGGAGAGCTCAATGGTGTGGAGCTGGGCCCAGTCTTGCTCTGTCTTGGTAGCAGGGGGAGGGATCCAGTCGGGGACGAAGGGCTTGCCTTGGGTGGAGGGTGGCTGGAAGGACATTGTGAAGTATGGAGGGTGATGGAGTGGTGGGTGGATATGGATGGGGGCATTCGCGATGGCCATATATAGTTGCTGGGATGGGAGAATGCTGTCGGGATGCCGGGATCACGGGGTGGCGGGGCGATAAGATCTACCAATGACCCGTGTTGTTATCGGGAATCCGGGGGAATCCGACAGCGAGGTCATGCTGCAAGCTGTGAGTGGCTCAGTGTGCTGTACTCGTGCGCGATGCTCTCGATGCAGCTAATGTTGCCTGCGTTCTCTCAATTAGCCCTCGTGTATACTTGCCATGCATACATGGAGCGTATTCTCACACAAACAACCGACGTCCAATAGAGCCCCCCAGGCAGGCACTCAGTCGGCCGCCGAGAAGTAGACACGGGTGCTCGGGATCTAACGAGGGATTCTTATCTCCCTTATCTGCATGATATCACCGACCCACCTCTATAAGAACACAGCGAATCACCACCGACCCATGTCACCCATCCACCATGTCCCACACCCCAGACGAGAAGCAGGAGCCAGAAAAGATCACAGTCGTCGACGTCGCCGTGGACGATGTAGAGCTCGGCGGCGAACCCGAGATTGACCATGTAGCAGAGCGCAAGGTGCTAAGAAAGATCGATTGGAATCTCATCCCGGTATTTGGGGCTTTGTACATGATGTCTTTCCTGGGTGAGTCGAGTATCACGAGTACGTGCCGCCTGCTAACTTGCCACAGATCGGTCCAACATCGGTAACGCCGTACGTGGCCACTCAAGATCATATAAGTGTCAAGCTGATTTAGTCCAAGAAACTCACAAGCTTTTCCGACGACCTTGGCTTGGTCGGGAATCAATACGGTGCTGCCGTTTCGGTAGTCTATGCGACGTATGTCGTGTTTGAGCCTTTATGTAAGTGACCCTAATACGCTTCTACTATTGACTTCATCTGACATCTATCCAGGGACCGTCCTCTTGAAGATTATCACCCCCCGATACCTCTGTTCGTACCACCCTCTCCTTACCATGACTATACTAACATCACCCAAGTAACCGCCACCACAATCTGCTGGGCCTCTCTAACAATCGGCTCCGCCTTTGTCAAGAACTACGACCAACTCATCGCCTGCCGTGTCCTCCTCGGCGCATTCGAAGCCGGTATGATCCCCTGCACCACCCTCTACCTCACCATGACATACAACCGAAACGAATACGTCAGTCGGCAGACTGTTGTCTTTGTGTTTTCAGCGATTAGTAGTGGGTTTGGAGGACTGTTGGCCTATGCTTTGTCGCATATCAAGGGCAACCTTGCAGGGTGGCAGTGGCTGTGAGTCTTTCTTCTTTCTCATGGTTCCAAGCTGACACCTATAAGCTTCCTCGTGGAAGGACTTTTGTCCTTGTGTCTCGCGCCCATCGCCTGGTACCAAATCCCCAACAACGTCTCCGAAGCCCGCTGGCTCAAACCGCACGAGAAAGAGATCCTCCGCATCAGGCAAGAGCGGAACAAGTCTGTCTATGACCACCAAGAGGACTTTTCGTGGGGTGCTATCTACTCAGTGTTAAAGGATTTCAGACTCTGGGTTGCGTATGTTCTTTCCATCTATCAGTTCGTGACCTCGAGCTGACCTTGATACTAGCGCCGTCAGTCATTTCGGTATCGACTCCACCCTCTATTCCCTCAGTAAGTCTCCCTCTCTTTCCTGTCTAGGACACCGACTGACCTCCTCTCAGCAACATTCATCCCCTCCCTCCTCGCCGGCCTCGGTTTCACCTCCACCACCGACGCCCAACTCCTCACCGTCCCCGTCTACGCCCTCGCCGCCATCGCCTACGTCATCTTTGGCCGCCTCTCCGACAAACTCCAAATGCGTGGACCCATGATTGCTGGATCCCTCTTCTTTTGCTTGATCGGATACATCATTCTGAGTACGGCACCGCAAGTTGGGGTTCGGTATGCGGGGGTGTTTATCGCTAGTGTGGGGCTTTATGGGTCTACTTCTCTCAATGTTTTGTGAGCGGCCCCTCTAGCTTGAATGGAAGTCAAGAGCTGATGGGGTGATAGGTGGGCGGCCGATAACTTTGCGGGTCATTATCGTCGTGCATTCGCTATGGGATTCATCCAACTCGTCGGCAGTACGTCCCATTCCCCTCCTTCTCATCATCCGTCCGTCTTGCTGACGCTTGTGGTCACCACAGATTCTGCGGGCGCATGTGTAGGATTCATCTTTACAACCCAATCATCTCCGCGATACTTGCAAGGACTGCACTACGATATCGGCATCACCTTGATGTCTATCGTGTTTACTGGTATTCTTGTACGTTTTCTTGATACCCGTTGGGGTGGCATGGAATACGAATACTGACAAGATACGAAACGTAGTCGGGATACGCATGGTACAGCAACAAGAAGAAGCGCGCTGCCATTGCTGCCGGGGCGGAAGATAGGCCAGAGCTGGGAGACGCCAATCCTCATTATTTGTATTACATCTAATCCTTCCTGTTTGCTTGCTTCTTGGGTGTTTGAGAGTTGTACTGTGCTACTAGAGCTGCTTTCTAGAGTTGTGGAATGAGAGATGACTTCTTTCAGAGCTGTTTTTGGAGTAATGCTTTGGGTTTTTGGGGAAGAAAATGTAAGATCTGATGTTGTGTGCACGGCTACACGAATGGGTTATCGCCTTTCAAAAGAAAGAGACTCTCTTGCGGCAACATAAAAGAAGACGAAATACACGCTTGACCAGTTGATCGAACTCGAGACCTGTGAGTCTTGTTGCCGTTCACATTCCTAACACGTCTTCGCCCTCCCTCTTCACCCTCTTCCAGCTTCGCTGTAAGGAGGAAGATGGGTGAGGCGTAACCTAAGGACGGATACGTGGTGGATCTGACTAGGGACGCCAGATGTCGACCTTGAATAGGCTGGAGAGGAGAAGGAGGGATATAGGTGATGAGGATACTACGAGAATACATCGATGGGGAAAAGGATATGGGGATACGGCACGATATATATATATGGAAACCTCATCTCGCAATCCCGCCTACGCATCCCTGAGGCCATAGCGGCAACCCTAGCACCGAACCCTGCGTTCCATAGTACACGTTACCACATCTCCTCCTACTAGCCAGTCTGTACCAATCCCTTACATTCACCAACAGCACCATTTGCTGGATTTTGTGAACGTCCCGCCGAATCGAGGCTTGACCTCTTGGATCCGAGTGAAGAAGATTTGTAGCCTGCTAGACTTTACATGCGGATTCTCACGTACTTGTATACAACAGTAATACAATAGTGATCACCAGATACCTCATGCTTCTAATCAAGAAACCCAACAAGACAAGGAGCCTCCTTCAACTAGTCACAAGACCCTTGCGAGTCCGCAGATCTATACAAGGCGCAGGACACGTCTCTTCTGTCGATTCAGGCTGGCTAGTAGGACCGCCTCCTCAACAGTATCGACGGTTTCGACAGTACCGGCGGCATTGGTGCTATCGACGGAAGGATCGACAGGATAGACGGTGACGGCAATTCAGGGGTCTGTATCATCGGCGTCCCCCCAAGCAGAAACCCGAGGACTCCCGGGAGACGGTGCGTTCTCCCATATGTCCAGTTCAAGCTCAGAAGGACCCCAATCATACACCCCGTCATCCTCGAATCCCTCCCTCTCAAACACCTGTCGAAAGAGCCCACGGCAGTAGCCATAATCGGGCTCGTCGTCGAATTGGAGGGAACGACAGTAGGTCATATATGTCGCGAATTCCTCTGGAAGGTCTTGGCAGAGGTACTCGACGGTGGTCTCACTCTCTGCGAAACGTGTCAGTGTACTGGTCATATCATTTCCAAAGCGTAATGCTCTTCTTACTCTTTTTTCGGGACTCCGGATAAGGCGAACGACCTTCACGGTCAGAGTGCCAGGGTAGAATTCCTTTGACGAAGAACTATGATCAAGTGTCAGCTCGGATCATCTGCTGCGTTCCAAACGTAAAGACTCACGACAGCCATATATCCCATACATTCCATGTCGTCTCGCCTCGAGCCCACAATCCCCAAGTCCACATTCACCGACGACCAGTATGGATTGCCGACGGGATCCTGGTCCTCTCGATAGGGTAAATGTAGATGGGTTCGGGGGTCCCTGAACTTCTTGGCCAGGTCGAAGTCGATCATATAGACCTTGTTCTCGTGCAGGCTTCCTGGAGGACCGAGACAGAAGTTGTCGGGCTTGATGCCACGATGGACAAAGCTCTGTGCGTGCAGAGCTTGGATGCGGGTGATGATTTGATCGATCACCTGAAGGGTTGTCTTGAGGGTAAACTTGGACCCTTTCGCATCCGAGACAACTTTGTCCAAAGATGGGCCCAGAAGTTCTATAGCGAGGGCGCCATATTGGGGACGAGAGCTTTTGTGCCAGTCGTACATGGACGGAAAGCCGTCCAGGTGTCGGAAGCGGCTGTGCAAGCAAAATTCATAGTAGACAAGGTCGACCTTGCGATTGAGCTTGAGAGCGACCGCTTGGCCGCTTGGAATGTCTTCTGCGACATAGATGCTCACTGTTGCGTGAAAGGTGAGATTCTGCTCGTGTGAGAAGAGGAAGCACTTGCCGTTGTGATCGCGGTGAGAGATCACATCCGTGATCTTAAACCTGCCCCCGATGACTTCTCCAATTTCTACCTGTACCATGGCTGAGTGATATGAGAGTATGGCTGAGTGATATGAGAGTATGGCTGAGTGATATGAGAGTTAGCAGGGGATATCTTTTGGCGAAGTGGGTGAATAGGACAGGAAGACTGGGTGATGGGTGCGGAATGGCCCGGGTTACCACCCTTGATTTTGACGGAGGATGAACATTCATAACAGCTTTATTAACCATGGGCCCGGGCACTTCCATCGTTATTATGGCGGCCATCCGAGGGTGGGGATTACGTACTGCAGATCGGGATCTCTTATCTATATGATGCAGCTTATCTCCGGCTCAACTCCGGCCCATTATGCATTGCCATCTACAATCATAGCAGGTCAGCAGCCGACAGGGAACCACACAAATGCCCCAGTCCCCCCCGCCAAAGAGGAGAAAGACCTTGAGGGCATGCGATAGTTGTCGCGAGAGCAGGATCAGGTCAGCATCATTGCTCTATCGACAAGAGGAAGGGCTGACGGAAAGTAGATGTGAGTATCAAGGGCAGCAAGAGTGTAAGCACTGTAAGGACTATGGTATTCAGTGTCTTCGGGTCGCCCCTGCTCCCGTTGTGAGTCTACAACGTACCTCAAAACTACCGCTCACATCATCTCAGGACAAACGCAAGAAGATTGCCCGCGAAGGTCTCCCCGAGGAAGAAGAAGAATCTCAAGGTCTCGAACCGACCTACCTCGGCCCTTCCAGCCTTACTCAGCTGATACATTCTTCGCTCATATCTACCCCCGGTGAGGAGCGGGGCCTGGACGGCTTGGGAAGCAAGTACGACTGTCATTGGGACTCGTTGGGGAGCGGGAAAGGGTCGGGGTTGCTGTTGGGTAGGGAAGACGGGAGAGAGGTACAGAAAAGGGGACAGACGTCGTTGCAGGTATTGGGAAGGCTAGCGGATGAGGTTGTTTCGCTAGAAGTTCTCAACTCTTGCAAGTCGTCCCTCTTTTATCATACTCAGCTGACGACGATTACTCGTGCGAGTAGTGTACTACCAAAGCCTTCCGACTTTCATTTCCATGTTCCCCGTCATCTCCGCCTCCGAAAGGCAAGTATTGTGACCTCCTAACCTGATCTGACGATATCGCAGCGCCTTGACGAAGAGCAAAGAACCACCTGGCGGCTGGCTAGACCGCTACTCGGGCTGGGACCCCAACTCTTCTCCTCCAACATCAATCCCCCGCATCATCCGGCTCCTCCACTGCTCTCTCTCTTCCCTCTCCCGCCTCACCCCTACCTCCATCAGACACGCCCTCTTATCTGCCTTGCACAAACATCTTCGTGACGGCGAAAGCGAAAGGCTGGTAAGCCAGTCGACGATAGCGAGTAGTCAGGTTTTGGTGTTGATGGGGATGAACCATGATTTGCATGGGTATGAGGAGTCGAGGGCGGCTAGTGCTATGTGGCAGAGGACGGGTACAGCAATCAGAATGGCCACTGAGCTCGTGGGTCCCTTTACCATCTCTTGTGGCTTCGATCTAACGACATATAGGCTGTCCACCGAAAGTCGACGGAAAAAGTCATCCCCATAGCCCAGATCCACCGCCGTGCCCGTCTCTGGGGAGGTTGTGTCATAACCGACAAATGGACAGCTCTACGTTTTGGCCAAGTGCAGAACATCAACCTAGAAGATTGTGACTGTCCACTACCCTTCCAATGGCCGGACCATTATCACGATGAGGCGCATGCAGAGGGGCCGGCGTGTTTTGCGCCATTGTATCATTTGACCAAGCTCAGTATCATCCTTGGGCAGGTCTGTGAGTTCTTTTTCAGTATTATTAAAGTGCAGAAGCTGAAGTGAGAAGTACGCATAACGAGCAGCCCCCAAGGACTCGCTCGTACCACCGACCGCGCCATCCTCCAATCCCTGACAGATCTCGACACCTGGACCAAAGATCTGCCCACCTCTTGGGCAGTCAGCGAGCGGACAAGATTGCCCCAAGCGGGCGACTTTTTCAACCTGATGTACTGTGCGGTGGAAGTGCGTCCCTTACTTTTTACCTTGCTTCCCTTCCTTAATGAAAGGTTGGATGATGGGTGCTGATGACAATACAGTTCACACTCCTCCGACCATTCCTCTTCCCCACTCGTCCCATCCCAGCTCATATAACCTACCGTCCCTCTTCTCTCCTTTTATTAAACCTCATAGATCGCTCAGAAACGGCGCTGGACTGGCTTTCAACCGCAGAAGGAGAGCTATACCTTGATGTTTGGGGTATCACTGTTTATCCTCTTGGTACGCTCACTGCGCCTCCCGTCGAACAAATAAGAGTCCAGCTGATTCGAGATAGTGACTTGCATACTCATAAACCTCTACGCCTACAACCATCCCTCCCCATCCCCGCCCGCCACCATCTCCAACTCCCAAGCCCGTGCCCTGCACTACCTCAAAAAAGGCCACCACATCGTCCAACTCTGGGTCCAAGCCCACGCCGAGGGATGGCCCGAGGACCAGACGAGCTGGAGGAGAAAAGTGGGAGATATGGTGGATGTTGTCATGGATAGTGTTGGGGCGCATGAAGCTGGTGGTGGACGTGATCGGGGTGACAGGAGTGTGGATGGGTTTTGGGAAGGGATTTTCCAGGGAAGACTTTAGTTCTATCTGCACATGAAATATACTACCATCACTCAGCGAGAGTCCTTATTATATGATCACTGAGGGCGGACAATGATCACAAAAGTCTCGGGTCGAGATCTTGTACGTCGTTGGGTGTCTTGGGCACTTGCTATAGAAAAGTAGTGTCAGTTACTTACTGCTGTATGCTATGTGCTACAAGTAGTGATATCAATGATCACGTACCGTCATCTCATAGTCATCAGGCCAATCACAGTCGTTTACGCGACTGCGAATGAATCCGAATTTGCCACTTTCATTGAATCGAGCACGGCTCATCTTCTGTTGCAACTGTATTTCTTGCCGCAGAATGGGTCAACAAACACACTCCCCAACCGCGCTGGCTTTTTTGCCATTCTTGTCCCCTTGTCATTGCGACTGTTCTTTGCGCTTTGCGGTAGTCGATGGTCAATAACAGTATGATGGGTTTCATCAGATATAAACCAGCACAGACACTCATTCCTTGTTCAAAGAGTTCACATGCTCAAACTCCTCGCCCGTTCTCAGAGTTCCATATCAATCAAGTGCATCATCGTATTCATATCTCTCAACTCGTAGATACCAACATTGTCCATTACACTTACTACAAGAGAAAGTCAGCACCGACCCAGCCACACGATTATAGACGCGACTCACTGTGATGACACTGGGCTTCTCCCTGCCAGTAAACTCCTTCAACTTGGAAAGCTCCAAAGCGACCTCAATCAACGGCTTCAACCCCACCTGCGCATCATTCTCATACTCGCTCTCATCCTGGCTATACTTTTCCACATACAACCTGATAGTAGCTCCGCTCGAGCCGGTACCAGATAATCTGAAAATGACCCTAGAGCCATCGGCAAACTTGATGTACAAGCCCTGGTTCTTGGAGACGGAACCGTCGATGGGGTCGGTGTATGAAAAGTCGCCGGCCTCGGCGACCTTAAAGGAAGCGTCGGAGGAGGTGGCTTTGAGGGACGAGCCGACGAAACCGGGGGCAGCGAAAGTGTCGCGGATGTGGGAGACGAGTTTTTCGGCGCCCTCGGACTCGCACTCTTCATAGTCGTAGCGGGAGAAGAAGGATCGGCCGTACTTTTTCCAGAATTGGAGCTGGACTTCCTTGATACCAACGCCGGGGGTCTCCTTGTTGGCGGTAGCGAGAATAGACAACCAGGCTGTAGATAGTCAGCATGGGTTTGGGTATGGAGATGGTGACTTACCGACGACAGCCCAGACACCGTCCTTCTCACGGATGTGGTCGGAACCAGTACCGAAACTCTCCTCACCACAGATAGAAAGCCTGCCAGCGTCCATCAAGTTGCCAAAGAACTTCCATCCAGTGGGAACCTCGAACACCTCGAGACCCTTGGACTTGGCGACAATGTCGATAGCGCCAGAGGTGGGCATGGATCGGGCGAGACCCTTGATACCGTCCTTAAAGTAGGGGATGGCCTTCTCGGCCCAGTCGGCAATGATGGCAACAGAGTCGGAAGGAGTGACGAAAGCGCCCTTGCCGTAGATCATGTTTCGGTCACCGTCACCGTCAGAAGCAGCACCAAACTCGATGTTCTCCTTCTCGACTCGCTCGACGAGCTCGTGGGCGTAGGTCAAGTTGGGGTCGGGGTGGCTGCCACCAAAGTCGGGCAAGGGGACACAGTTCTGGACAGAGTTTTCGTCCAAGCCGAGCTCGTTGACAAAGATGGCGCGGCCGTAGGGGCCGGTGACACCGTTGAGGGCGTCAAAGAGGACGGTGGGCTTGGGAGAGGTGGTGTGGAGCCAGTTCTTGATGAGGTCAAAGTCAAAGATCTCCTTCAAGAGCTTGATGTAGTTCTCAACGGGGTCGACGACGGTGACCTTGAGGGGACCGTGAGTGAACTCTCCGATCTTGGAGAGGTCGAACTGGATAATTGTTAGACGAGGTCAAAGTATGAAGTTGAGACTCACTTCAGGGAGGTCAACCTGCTTGTACTCAGTGATAGAGTCGGCAACCTTGTGAATGGCGTTGGTCACCTCCTCGGGGGCAGGACCACCGTTGGCAGTGTTGAACTTGATACCAAAGTCGTTCTCGGGACCACCAGGGTTGTGAGAGGCAGTCAAAAGGATACCACCGTCGGTCTTGAGAGATCGGATGAGGGCAGAGACGGCGGGGGTGGAGAGGATGGCGTCCTTGCCGATGATGACATGCTTGATACCGTTACCGGCAGCGAGACGGAGGATGATTTGGGAAGCCTCCGGAGACTGATACGTGTCAGTGCGTGCAGGGCTATAAAAGCAGCAGGGAAGTCCCGTAGCATATCGACAGCAGCCCTGGGCAACACTCCCCTGGGCGGCACGCTAATAGATGTCCCGCTACGGGGCCCCTGCGCAATGCCTTACTTACAAAGTATCGGCCATCACCACCGACGACGATGGTCTTGCCCTGGGAACCTCCAGGCATGGCGGTGAAGGTGGCCTGGATAAAGTTCTCGGTGTAGTGCTCCTGCTGGAAGATCTTGACCTTCTTTCGGAGACCAGAGGTCCCTGGCTTCTGGCCTGGGAAGGGTGTCAGAGGTGGTTAGGGAGGGCGGGGTGTGCGTACCAGAGTAGGGCTTTGTGGATACGGTTTTGATGTCAGACCTGAGGGGGTTAGTTGGGCCATGGCAGCGGGGAGTACTCACATTGTGTTGTGGAGAGAAAACAAGTAGAGGGGGCGAACACGTCGGTTGGGGTGCTCGCGATCCACCACGCGCCCGTTACGTCATCACCACCCTATATCCCCGAGCGTGGCACTGAACTTTGGCTCATTCTTCGTTCAACCATGGCATCTCTTCTGTATTGGCAGTGTATTCTGAAGAATGCTCAGGAGGCTCCTCCCAGGGTGTAAAGCAGGCAGTATGTAGATGCTCACTTTGACAGATCCGGGTCTTACACCCTCTGCCCTCACTCAGGAGGCTCGCTTCCTAGCTCTACAAGCACATCCCCTGCCCTTCCATACGATCACTCTATGACTCACGACTCACGAACTCTTTCCCTGTCAATCGTTTTCACTACACTGCCCAGCACTCTGCTGCTAATGGCTCATCAGGTCAACACGACGATCCCCAGCGGCGGCCCTCCCCGCCGTGCCTGCCTCCATCTTATCTTTCTTTTTTTTCTGGCCCACTCATATGAAGCAACCCATCCACGAGCCACGCTCTCCAGGGGCCGCCCATCCCACAATGTCCCACCAAATCTCCTTCCCCGCCCCCAAATCAGACCTTACCGTCCTCCTCCTCGGAGCCGGCGGCAGAGAGCACGCCCTCGCTTTCAAGCTCGCCCAGTCCCCTCGCGTCGCTCGAGTCGTCGTCTGCCCCGGTAACGGTGGTACAGCCCTCATGGGCGGCAAGGTCGAGAACCTCGCCCTCCCTTGGGGTGCTCCTCCCGCCTTTGCCTCCATCGTCGAGTGGTCTCAGGCTCAGAAGGTCGACCTCGTCGTTCCCGGGCCTGAGCAGCCGCTCGTTGATGGTGTCGAGGGCGCTTTCAAGAAGGCCGGTATCGCCGTCTTTGGCCCCTCCCCTGCTGCTGCCATGCTCGAAGGCTCCAAGAGCCTGAGTAAGGAGTTTATGGCGAGGCACAACGTCCCCACTGCGGCGTTCCGATCTTTTCTCTCCAACGAGTACTCTGAAGCTGCCGCCTACATCAACTCGAACCCCTTCCCCTCTGGCAGGGCCGTCATCAAGGCGTCTGGACTGGCTGGTGGTAAAGGTGTGTTGATCCCCGAGACCAACGAGGAAGCGATTGCTGCGCTCAAGAGCGTCATGGTCGACAAGGAGTTTGGCGATGCCGGAGACGAAGTCGTGGTGGAAGAGTACTTGACTGGACCTGAAATCTCCATCCTCGCCTTCTGTGACGGCTACACCATCGTCCCCATGCCCGCTGCCCAAGACCATAAGCGTATCGGCGAGGGCGACACTGGCCTCAACACTGGTGGTATGGGTGCTTATGCCCCTGCTCCCATCGCTACCAAGGAGATCATGGACCGATGTGTCCAGGAGGCTTTGGCCCCAACGATCAAGGGTATGCGAGAGGAGGGTTACCCCTTTGTCGGCATGCTCTTCACTGGGTTTATGCTCACTGCCAACGGTCCCAAGGTGTTGGAGTACAATGTCAGATTTGGAGATCCCGAGACGGAGGCTTTGATGCTGTTGTTGGATGATGAAACTGATCTGGCCGAGGTTTTGACTGTGAGTGTCTTGTTTCTTGATGATTCGTGCTGACGAGATTAGGCCTGTGTGGAGCGACGATTGGACTCTGTCAAGCTCGACTACAAGCCTGGCTTTGCCATCTCCGTCATCCTCGCTTCTGGCGGCTACCCCGGCTCTTACCCCAAGGGCGTCCCCATCGACCTCGGCTCCAGGCCTCAGGGTAAGTCCCTCCCCCTCCCCAATCTATCCTCACTCACGATCACATAGGCGTCGAGGTGTTCCACGCCGGTACCAAGCTCCAAAACACCACCACCCTTACAGACGGTGGCCGAGTCCTCGCCGTCTCCGCCTACGCCCCCACCCTCCGCGCCGCCGTCGACCTCGCCTACTCTGGCGTCGACCAAATCGCTTTCGAAGGTAAGACCTACCGCCGAGACATTGCCTACCGCGCCCTCTCCTCCGTTCCCGTCGAGGTCACTCCCGCCAAGGGTTTGACCTACGCCGCTGCGGGTGTGGACGTCGATGCCGGTAACGACCTCGTCGACATGATCAAGCCTGTGGTCAAGGCTACCAAGCGGGCTGGTACCGACTCAGACATTGGCGGTTTCGGCGGTGCGTTCGACCTTGCTGCAGCTGGCTTCCGAGACCCCGTGCTCGTCTCTGGTACGGACGGTGTCGGAACAAAGCTTCGTGTCGCGCTCGACTATGGCAAACACAACACTGTCGGTATTGACCTCGTCGCCATGTCTGTCAACGACCTCATCGTCCAAGGTGCCGAGCCCTTGTACTTTTTGGACTACTATGCGTGCTCCAAGTTGGACGTGCCCGTGGCTGCCGATGTCATTACTGGTA